GAACCCCTTAAAACCTCACCCGTCCTTAGAACGTTCCGGTATGAAGATGCAAAGATCAGCTTATTAGATAGAATATCCCATTTGCCTTGTAGACGCTTTTCTCATAAACCGCTCAGCTTCTGGTACCTGACAATGTCGCCCTCCGTTTCGCAAAGACTTCCCGTAGAAAAAGACGATCCATTCAACAGCAGTAATGATGAGAAAGCCACGGTTGTCACTCGTAAACAAGTACCAAAAACTTATTGGCGTGATTTACGGTCGGAAACGTAACTACGAAGCATGCTTACTATAATATGCGTTGCAAGTTACAGTAAACCTCATTGGCTAGAAACTAATCCATAGACTGTATTGATATATGCAACAAGAACCAACACACCATTATGAAGCACTTGGCTCCAGAATGTAACTATAACGCCTTGGAACGAGATAATTCCGTTTGATCCCTTCTAAAAAGAGAAGAATCAAAGACGTTGGAGCCAAGAAAATCACTAGTTGAATATGAACACACGTTCCAAGCTATACCACCTTGTCATGACAGCCAAGTTTTGTCTGCTATGAGTAACAGTACGTAAGATTGCCCATGTGCGCACCCACTTACCTACCGCTATCAATAAGATTCTCCGTGTTGCCAATTAGCAGTATCTATATAAACGTCCCTGACCGAAGCCGAGCGACGCTTTAGTTGATTGTCCCGAAAAGAACTTGACACCCGAAGTCTTCACTTATCCCGGTGGTTGGCACAAGACTACAACTCCATCAGATTTTGTAACTACACCGAGAACAGCCCGAGTACAGTGGCACCCTCAGATATCAAGCTTGGTTGGCTCCATTCACTGTACAATCTTTCTAAGAACCTTCACTTTTACGAGACTGTTCCACCAAGCGATCATCACCATGTACACTGCCCGTTTTGCGGAGAATGTAGTCTTGCGCCAAGATATCCCACTCGCATTATGATCTAGTCAAGAGCAGCATGAAATTGGTGGCAGATTGTTATCTCGCAGACTATGGCTACACGCCTTGGAGCCGACGCATTTGGTTCAACATGGTTCACGAGAAGTAAAGCAGTGCAGCGGTACAGACGCCGATGCAGAAGTAGTATCTTGTCCACAGCCTAAATCTTAGTCAGCTATTTTGGCCCTGTGAGAAGAGATTACTCCTGCCCTGTCCTATCTTCCAGTTTCGTGGCTGAAGAATCTTCAACATACACTTAAAGTATGCCGCATGACTACCTATGTGTGCGCTGCCGCCAGCAAGCTTGTTCCTAATCTTAATTCAATTTCCGGAAGATGTTTCATTAACAAGTCATTCCGACATGATCGCCTCTACATCCCCCCCTCGCGCTTTCGCATCAGACATCGAGTAAATGGAACACCAGACTTCGTTGCGCTACATGGAGTTGTAAGTAGCGTCGACATCCTGGTTGCCACCTTGGGCTGCTAGATCAATACTGCTGAGAAGGTGGGAAAACGCCTAATCGCTATTCATTTGGAACCTTCCCCTGTTTGCCGGTGACATACGAACTTCAGCCAGCGGATTTATGAAGTGCGATTTATCTGCTGGCGGTTTTATATGGAAATTGAAACTATGTGCTGCCGCCAGCAGAAAACTCAAATCGCCATATGAAACTGCCAGCACATGGATTCTTAATTATGTGCTGTCCAATTTGTATGGACAAATGAACGATGTGCGGGCGACAGCAGAAAACTTAAATCGCCATACAAAACAGGCAGCAGATAAATTTCCACTCCTAAGATTTATGTGCTGTCGGATTTGTATGGGGATTTGAGTTTTGTGCTGGCGGCAGCACATGCTTTAAATTCCCATACAAATCAGCCAGCACATGGATCGCACTTAATAAAAGTTTATATGCTGGCTGTTTTGTATGGGGATTTAAGTTTTGTGCTGCCGCCAGCACATCCTTCGTTTTTCCATACAAATCAGCCAGCACATAAATTCCACTAGCGATATTATCCCTTAACGCCGGCATGAGTGAAGAACAATCTACTAGAAATGTTTCCTTGCTTCCACGAAGTGCCCCTGACCATAATAAGCACGTTATCGCAAGATTTCGCAATACAATTAGTGACTAGAGTACGTACGTATTTGAGTATCCAGGCACTCAATCTAATATTTACGACTGCCATTCCAAAAAGCTCATGCAATGCATTTGAAGAGTCCTCTACGGTCTTCTAGCAAAAGAGCTCAATGGACAAGTCGTTGACGTCGTCGCCGGGGGTTATGGTAATGGTCCGTATCGCGTAGTTTTGTATATGGTGCACTTGTTAGACTTGATTCTTAGCTGATGACGAAGGTCATGTCTCTTCACGATGATAATCAGATTCAAGGATATCGAACAGATCTATTATTACTTTTCTCCGAGATAATCCAACCGAGCTCCAAAAGTAACTGGAACGGGCCAGGTGTTTACGAATGGCGATGGAGTACGCCATCGGCCAAATCGCGTTGGAGAACACGCTCCTTGTCAGCCATGATAAATCTTGAGAAGCAGTTTCCGCTAATCCCTAGTCGAGAGAAGTAGATCTTGAAGATCTCCTCGACGAGCGGGCTTTCCGACACCTCTCAAATGGCAGAAGCATAGGACGAGGAGGCCGCAACGCCTTTTATTTTAACCAGCGTTGATAGCCTGCAGTTAGGAACATTTCTGTATCTTATATTATCATGTGTTATGCGATTGTATCAGCTATGTATCCGCGTTTGAGATTTTCCCTCTTATTTCGCGGCCCTACCCCCCGTGAGCTGTAATCGTGCGAATATGTTGACGGGTCTCTGCTATTTTATGAGATATGCGCAGACGCGTGCAAGTTAATCCCATTCGACGAGAAAGTCCAGCTTATATGAATCCCCGTCTCCAATGCTATTAAGGCCGGCTGGGCACGTATGGCACTTCACCATAACGGCCAGAATCGATACGCCATTATAGTATTACGGAGCCGCAGCGGCAAAAGTCGGACGGCTTCGTAAAGTTAACACCTCCTATCTCAAAGTTATTGTGACGGATCAGCTTTATCACCTGTAATATCGCAAGGCTGTTCGACTTGCGATCCTCGTCTTTTGGTGGTTGTCTGGCTCAATTGGCAGGTGATAGCTTCCACCCGCAGGTCTTTGTCCCTGTCGTGACAGTTATCAAGTTTTTGTAAATCCATGGCTCCTAATGAATCGCTTGTGATGTAACGGTCTGAAGTTGCTAGCTTCTACTTTCATCCATTGCCGTGACGATCATAAATTTACAGTTAGAAATCGCCCTCTCGCTAAAGAGGACGATGGTGAAATGAAGTTAGTTGACAATGAACAATTAGAAAGAGAGTTGTAGGTATGTTTATTTGTTTAAAGTCTGTGGGAAAAAGCCGGCGGACTTTATTCCCAACCCCCTAAGTCTATGGGACGTCACGAGCATGTGTGCATGAATTCAAACAGTGTCTCAAGAACTCAACATTCCCGCAGCCAAAACCTGAACGCGTAGTAATCTTAAGGCTGATCGAAACTTGTTGCCCTCAAGATATCGCCGTAGTGCGTGGTCCTCCCCCTGAGTCCTGCCAGGACGTAAGGACTGAGCCCCATGCAGCCATGCTTGGTGATTCTTACCTGCCGATTAAGCCAGACCACCAAAAGACGAGACATTACAAGTCGGAAAACTTGCAATCTATTGCAAGTGATATGGTCAGTCCGTGACAAGCCCTTCAGTCATAGCCGGAATTTCCTCCGCCCCAGTAAGGCAAACCCCGTGGGCAAAGCCATCTTCGTTGAGCAGGTAATGCAGGTACCTCCCAGTCGCCGGTATCGAGGTTCGAGCAAATCACACGCGCAATCAGTGCCTGGTAGCCACCGTTCACTCGTACCGCGTAGAAAAGGGGGGAGGTTTACTAGTGAATTATTCTGCTGGCAGAATTGTATGGGGATTTGAGTTTTCTGCTGGCGCTAGCACATACTTTAAACCCCTATACAAATCTGGTAGCATATGAATCGCACCTTACAGAGATTTATGTGCTGGTTGTTTTGTATGGGGATTTAAGGTTTCTACCGCCGCCAGCACATGCTTCGATTTCCCACACAAATCTGGCAGCACATAAAATCCCCCTCCTAAGATTTATGTGCTGGCGAATTTATATGGAAATTCAAGGTTTCTGCTGCCGCCAGCACAAAGTCGAGATCCACATACAATTCCGCCAGCACAAAAACCGCACCCTTCAGATAAGTCTGGGTGCATATCCCTTTGGCATACAACTACAATTTCCATTATAGGTCAATTGCAGGTGCGCAGTTCAATGAACGTACTCTTAGATACAGGCAAGGTCAAGCTAGTTGACTTTGGACTGGCTGCTCCGGTAAAGCAATATAATTCAATGCAGCGGCTTAAATTAACGGCGCCTGCTCGTCGCTGGCTTCGGCTTCCGGTTCTGCCATCTGTCTGTTGCCATCTGCTAGTATATAACCATGAACGTGCGGCTGTAAACAGTTATCTATGATGAGCTTATTTAGAGCTTTCCTTACTCTTCTACTCTTGCCCCTTAGGATCTCAGCCGGGCGAATTGCTTTCCATGGCACGACAAAGTCCCTCGAAACGTCAAAGCATCGTTTGACGAGGCCATGACACAGGGGCGTTATGACAAACTTGCGTGAAGAGACCTCTGACAGCACCAATGTCTTCCGCATCTCCCTAAGCTGCCGGATTGAGGTTCAATCTTGAACGGTGTACTTTCTCTGACTTGCTTGATGTCGGTGTCGGTTTTCTAGCAAACACTACCCACAAAAGTCGAATTACGCATTATCATCGATCGTGCCAGACTTATGATGCGCCGCTCCGGCAGCTTGGGGTATAGCGCCGCACCCTCAACCGCTGCGTTATAGTCTACGGCGAGCCCGACTACACAAATGCTTGAGAAAGCGGCCGTGGAGACTAATTTGGATATCGGACGGATGCATCCAAAGAATAGGTAGCGAAGCCTGCTCATTTCCTTGATAGTTACCTGAATTTGACCATGGTGGCCGACCGGCGGCGTCTCTGCACGTCAACACATGCGGGGGAGCGCGGCGGCCTCGGCGGTGTATCTGGGGAGCGACGGCGTGGCCTCCCGGGGCGAAAAGAACTCGGCGGCGGGTCCGGTCAGACATAACCTACTCGGAGCATCATCGGGCGTTCTCGTCTATCAGGGTAGTGGCTCGCCATGGGATTGCCATAGGGGTTACAGCGTTATGACTCCCCGCAGGGTTCCCTGATCTCCTAGCTGCATGAACGCCATGCTTTGTCGCCGCGGTTCTTTTGCCTCTCTCGGCGTGAGAGCCATGCATTCTATTACTTAGTACATAGTACGTAGCGCGATGGGATCGTAACAACAAGGCTCGCGGCTAGCGGCATACTTGATCGCCTCAACATCATGAAAAGACCAACCGGCTTCTTCCGTGGGATAACGTCTCCAAGGTGAAATAGTATGCTAGTATGGGCTGTTTAGCTAGAGGCGTTGCCCATTTTCTTCCTTCCCTATATGAGGGGGTCATCGACGCGGATCCTTCGCAACCAGGATATGTCCATCAACTCAGCGCTGCAGTTCTATACTTCCGAGGGCTCGGGCTATCCCGGCCACGTAGAAGTTGTCAATTTTACCCGTTATTAACAGACTGAATTACGGGTCTAATTAGTTAAGATGATGCTAAACGCTACGGAATGATCCTGGGACGATACGCCTCGTGAAAGGAAAAATCAAAGTCTCATACACGTCTCGGTATTAATATCGTGCCCAAGTTGCGCAACTTGACGAGTCCGTATTACTGCTGCTCCATTGTTCTTGATATTCAGCTGATAGAGCGAAGGACTTGGTCCGCCGTCATCGCGTGTGCGAGCGGCGTCAGTGGGTACGCCGGCAGCGGTTTCGGTAGCGGGTCCGTCGACTCCGGCACCGAGACGCTGCGCGGCCCGCAGAGTGAGCGCGCCCTGTCAGATGCTTCTATGAGCCTTCCTTGAGAGCGGGAGACAATACGCGGGGTTGATTCTGCGGTAACAGAGATGACGCCAGGGTTGGATGACGTTGAAGGAGCTGGAATTCATCGTTGGCTTGTCGAGTCCGACCATTATATATCTATGTTCAGTTGTTCTCTTCCGGATCAAGCAATATCATGGTAGCATGGTTTGAGTTCGTTAACAGCGTGGCATGTGAACTAGAAAATCAAGGTTGATGCATCGTTTGGCGGCATCAGCATCGACATCGGCATTGGCGTTCGCATTAATGCGCTCGACAGCGGAGCTAGCACGCTCTCGACGCTACCACCGCCGCCCCATCGGCTCCCGTTCGCGACGGCGGACACGACCCGCTGGCAGTACCCCACCGAAAAGTACTACGAGCACTACCAGCTCCGGGCCAACTTCGCCGTCGCCATGAGGGCCGGGGAGTTCTCGCTGATTTCCGTGGGATTTTGTATGATTACATGAGTTTATGTCAAAGACTTTGATCCGGGGTTGCGGAAACAACGGCGTCCTCCGTCACCCCGTCAAAACGATGTCAACGAGATCCGCAGATAGATCCCTTACGAACCCCTGCATCTACCGCCCCTTTGCGTGCACTCGGACCAAACCCATACCGGCGTGTAGCTTTAGACGAATCGAATCGAATGGTGCTGTACGGAGGGCCGGCGAATCAGGAGTCGTGTTGTTGGTCCCGATTTCTCTTCCCGGATATCCCTTCCCGGCGTATGTACGATCCGATTTTATGCGCTCGCCTGCAGCCAGCCTTGGTTATGGCAATCGTTAATCTTCTTGATCGCATCAGGATCCCCAACAATGAGCTTCAGGGCAAGGTCAGGGGTTGGGGCTCTTTTCAAGAGAAATTTATTATAAAACATAGCTTTGGAATCAACATCATTCGGCTCTCTAATATCCCCCGTCCATCGTACCGTAAGTACGAGTCCGACCCAAGTTTCCTCCGTTCCTGCTGCTGCTGGAGCTTCGATAGTGGCATATCGACGGAGCTTTTGCTAGTGAAGCGGTTCTTGATCGCGGCGACATTTGTGACGGTGTCGTTCCCAGTCCCCATTATCCGACCTCTGCGTAACAACCAACCAGAACGTGCCGGCAAACAGCTCCAAGTGCGCAAGGACAACAGCTTGCTCGGAAAGTTCGAGCTCACCGGTGTCCCACCCGCAGCATTATTGCTCACGAAGACGGCTGAAGGCATCCGGTTGTGACACCAATCGATGGAGAAACAAGTTAAAGCCAATTCCAGACCATGATCATCATGGTGTACCTGCAAGGCGGCGACCATCGGCCCTTCCTCGAGACCGGGTTTCCGGCAGCGAGGTTCACGGAGATGCACGAGTCAACACTAACTGAAACGGCGCGCCGGGCGTCACGATGCCGTTGGAGTGTAGAGGGATCCGGAGCCGACGATGGTTCCGTATACTTTATCCTTGTATTTAGTCGCGTTGGTAACGACGGCGGCATGCTCATGCCAAGGCGCCTCAAGTCGGGCGTCAGGCCCACGATCGCTCACAGCGGCAAACTCGTAACGCCACCGTTGAAGTCGAACAACAGCGCGAACAAGGGCGCCAGCAGCCAGCTCAAAGTTAATGGGAAGCCGTTCGTCTCAACATTCGAAGGCCCAACCTGGACCGACAACTGAACTTCGGCGAGCAAACACCGTTCTTGGCCATCACTGTTACAATATCCGTGGTCATGTGGACGCGGACGAAATGCGACTAGCAATATACACCTGCGCCTCGGGGTCTGGCTTTGCTTCGCATATTATAGGTACCTAGTGATATGTTGGGTCATGCCCGACTCCTCAAAGCTTCAGATAGCCCGTTACCGTGTTATACATTCTACTTGATACAGTGAAGAGGAAGTTGGCTTAACAGACAAGCTTTCTAGGGACGTCACGCACGATGCCCCGCTGTAGGGCGGCGGCTGGGCTTGCAGGTCCCAAGAGGAGCGCGCACCCGATGTTGGCGCAGATATAAATCACGATGCGCAACCAGCGATTGCAATGGGTGGTGATGAATCCTGTTCTCTACTTTCCCCTGTTGCCCTCTATTAATCCCTACTTCTCGCGTCCGTACCTATGCACCGGTCTTGTCGGTTCTTAGGACCGGCCAACCATATCAACATATACAAAGCATTGCTTCCGTCGTTGGCTCTTTTATGCATTAAAGCGTAATGGCGAAAGCAAGGGATGGCGTCAAAGAAAGCGCTGTGTTGGTACCGATTGGTGTTATTCCGAAATGTGTATGCTAGTAGGATTACCCTTAAGGTAAGGGGTTGGACGGCACGGCATTGAAATATCAGTTTACAGCCATAACATCTCAAGCAGAACTGATACCTTAACTTCTCTTTCTCCAAGCCCGAAGTTTTGACTCATGATATCTTCGATTATTTTGCTTGACCTGCTTGCGCATTTATACCGACATGAATTCGAGTTATATGGACAGCACTCCCGCTAGACCGCCGCCTCCAGGACAGGAGTCCAACTTTACTAATCCCGAATCAAGGTGCTACCAGTTGATAATTCCCATTGCCGTATTTACTGCTCTCATTATTGTGATTGTTTTTTTGCGCATATACGCCCGGCTAAGGATCACCCGTTCGTTCGGTGCAGATGACTGTATGTACTCTAACGCATCCTTTGGAACGAGTTCACAATTTAACTATTTCGCTAGGGCTATGTATTGCTGCGACGGTTAGTCGCTTCTTCCCTGGTGTTGTCAACTTGCTGATAATGAATGGCCTAGATTCTCACCCTGTCCTACTCTGCTCTCATACTTAAACGTGGGTAAACCTCATTCCCATAACTACGCGTCTTACTAAGACAACGATACAGTTCTCTGGAGGCCGGGGGGCGGTATATTAGGGATTCATCTCTGGGATGTGCCGCTTTCACATTATGTCGAATACGCCAAGGTAGGCAAGACTCCAGCCTCAGAGGAAACAGCGATACTTAATCGGATCTATCTCCAGGGCTCTTTGGCCGACTCGGTTCTGATACGTATCACCAACACCACAATCAAGGTGGCTTTTCTAGTTTTCTATCTTCGGTTGTTCGGCCATGTCAATTATGTCAGGTACATGATCTGGGCTGGCATGGCCGTGGTGATTACCTTCTGCGTCGCCTTTGTTATTATCGATATTGTGGCATGCGCCCCATGGCCGAGCGAACATGGGAACTGGCTCGCACCATCTTTAACAGACCGTTGCGACAATATTGCGGTAGACCTAGTCACTGCTGGCGCGTATTTTAGTGTCATCAGCGACTTTTACATCTTGTTTATTCCACTTCACCGAGTACCGAAGCTCGGCCTTTCCAGGAGAAGAAAGATAGGCGTGAGCCTTATCTTCCTCACAGGTTTGTTGTATGTCATCAGCCTATCCTAAATGAGCGGTCATTGACATGATTACCTATAGAGCTACGTGTGCTGGGTTAGTTAACCTAATCATCCGCCAAAATAAAAAGATCTTCGATCCGTCAGATTTCTCGTGGACGATCGTCCCCGTATACGCCACTAGGTGTGTATAGCTTCTATTACTCTTCTTCCGTTTTTTAATAGGGATTCATCCAAGGCACAATGAAACCTAATGTTAATTATTTCGTATCCATACTAACCCGCGCCGTGATAGTCTCACCGAGATCAACGTCGGGCTGATATGCCACTCATTGCCCGTCGTGTTCGTCCTCTTCATCGGCCGCTTCACGAACCTTAGTAAGTCCGTAAGGTCTTGGGTTAGAGAACGGCCTAGTCCGCGACAGAGCGCGGGCGACAGTTCTTCAAATCTGGCACCGAATGATAGCGCGGCACCGCGTCTTTCATCTGTTCCAAGTGATACTGAATTCAGGGCTTGATTCCTTATATTTATTACACCACACAAAAGTTGGATAGAGGGATAACTGCACACAACCCGTAATTACATGGTTATCGGTCTTGGTGGTTGTTGTTCCCAACTCTGTTCATCGTTTTTTGTTAATCATTGCTCTCATATCGTGAATACGGTTATACGATAAGGTTGCTGGATCGAGTCTGGTTGCATATGGTCATGGCTTTCACGACATATATCCAGCCATTTACGAACCACATCCAAGTCAACCTCTCTCAGGGGTCGGTATTTGGCGCTCCCACATCTGAAAGTCATGGCTTGGGACGGGTACATCGAGATTTAGATAGAGATCAGGAGCTTCGAGCAACAGTTCAAGGTTCCTACCAGCGTCCTCCGAACTATTGCCTCGACTAAGCTTTCTCAGTAAAGTACATGTGACGCATGCGATAGGCGCAAAATCGTCCATGGAAAGGTCCGCGTCAGGCCGATCCAACATCGGGTGATAGGCACAATGCGCAATCTTGTTAATGAAGGGTACCATCTACGTTCTAACCGCGGGTCGATACCAAGTATTCAACCCGAATTCTTTTTTCTCTTCGTGATAGAAACCATATAATCTTGTCCCTCCTTAACCGATATAATACCCAACACAGGTCGTCCTACATCCGCCTCCGGCATTGGTGGGTCTCCTACCATCTCGATGTCGAAACGGTGCAGCACTGTGGCCACGAAGGCGGTGACAAAGTACTTGGCTAGAAACCTGCCGCTACACTTTGTCTTGCCACCGCCGAAGGGTCTCCATGATGGGCTGTTTGGCAGCTTCCGGGCCGCCTCGGAGCCGAGCCACCGTTCGGGCCGCCAGTTGTCGATATCGTCGCCGAAGACTTCCTGGTCAAAATGTAGCAGGCGGTGCGGGACCATGACTCGGTTTCCGCTACGCATACGCTTACCGCCGATAGTGACGTCGCGAGTGACCAGTCGCACAGACGCTGCCCAGCCGGCAACGCGTAGCGTCTCGTGCCAGATGGCGTCGATCTGCGGGCACTTGGTCGCGTCCTGGATGTAGCTCACGTCCACCAGCTCGTCGTCGCGGAAAGCCGGCGCCATCTCCGAGCGGAAGGCGGCAAGGTAGGACGGGTTGCGCATAAGGTGCGTCAACATCCAGAAAGACGTCTTGCGCGCGTTGGTGTTGATCCTATCCAGCCACGCATACCTTGTCAATAAATAGACGAAACCGGTTGTATTCGAACGATAGGTGAATAATAGATGAGTGGTACTTACGCAAAGTAGAGGTGAAAAATCATCACTGCCAGATTCTCATCGTCCACTCCTAGACTTCTCATCTCGTCCTCCATGGCGTTGATGATCCAGGCGGCTTGATCTCTCCTCTGGTTCGGAGGAATCTGAAAGTACGCCTTCAACGACGCCATCATATGGTCGCGAGGCTTGGTCATGTCACGGCATAGGAATGACGGATACTGGTACAGCATCTTCCATATTACCTCGTCAAAGACGACGTAAGCCGTTGCGTAGTCCGGATCGACCTGGTGCAAGACATCCCCAAAGTAGATGTACTGTCCGAGCCTGACAAAGTAGTCAGATGTCCACTGATAAAGGGGCAGCTGGATGTGCTCCGGACTCCGCGACGGCGAATACGTACATTCTTTTCCGAGAACGTCAAGATTAAGCTTGCGGTTGATCCAATCTTGGGCCTTTCTTTGGAGCACGACCATGTTCTCGCCTGGATAGAGCTGGTGCTTGTGCATGCGCTGAGCGAGGACGCCCAAGGATAGGCCGTCGGGGTTTGGAAAACCGTCTTTTTCTGTTGGCAGGGGGGAATAGACGGTCCTGATGGTATCTTCGTCATTTCCGTTAATCCTCATAAGGGTTTGGACGAACTCCTCAAAAGAAAGCGAATCCATGTTCCTGTACACCTCGGCGGACTGCTTCGCGTTGGTGACGACGTAGAAGGTGTGGCCGAAAGCGGTCAGGGCGAAGGGCTCATTATCGTTGGAAAAATACCTTCTGATCATCGCGGTTAGCCAAAGGCGAACCATACAGGCATCATTCCACCAGTTACTTGCCTTGCTCGAGCGAGTAAACCGTTTGAATCTTGGAAAAAGGCTTGACCGTGGCCTATGTATTATGTATCAGGACCACCGCTAGGCCGGGCTCGGTCGGTTTAGCAGAAGTTCTTACCCAGGACTATAATATGATTCAATGAGCAATCGTGACCTTATATGGCGCGAACAAGAAACTCACTCGGTATCAAGTAAGGTAGTTCCTTTGGCTCGTCAGGGTGCAGCTTGGGATGGATGGCGAACCTCCAACACCACCACGAGACCCAGACGAGCACAACGAAACCCAACAAAGACGATATGGTAGTGTGTTCATCTAGGACAAAAATCATTTTTTGCGCGACTATCTCGATATAGTTGCTCAATTGGTGAGAAGACATCTTGACGTAATGAAATGGATCAGGAAAGCTGTGAGAGGCAACTAACGGCTGAAGACGTATAAACAACACAATATAGAGATATTGGAATGCACGAACACCAACGTCGCACTAATATATACCTAATGAAAGGGGAGATGGCAATAATATACCTACCTATTTGGAGGGAATATGGGAAAATACAACGAGGCTTACATATTGCCATGGTTTGAACCCCCAACGTCAGGGGCAGAATCCACCGTGAAGAGTCTTACTACATTAGGTATACAGCTTACGGCGTAACGGGTGTGATTTGACGGACGCATGTCTGTAGCCACAAGTGGCTTAATTGAATAATGGTCGTTATGAAATGTATGAAATTATCCAAAATATGGTACCTGTCACTTTATTTACCCCCTTCCTCAAGCTTATCTCCAAAAGTCCTACCTACCTAGGTATCAAGTAAGTAATATTAAGCTTTCCTGCTGCCAATATAAATTTTGGCTTTAATGCCTCTTCGAGGCAGCACTATTTTCCTTGTCTCACAAGGCGTCTTAACTAACAGTATTGTACGAGCACCGTCACTTTATGCTATCGGTTGAAATCTACTATGAGTTCTACGCAGATAGACCTTTGCGCCGTTCCGGCAGGACCGTCCCCGGACGGAGAATACAATTTCGAAAATCCGACAAACCTGACGCCGGTAATAACTTCTATCAGCACTATCCTGCTAGCAATCTCTGTGATTCTCGCTCTTCTTCGAATGCGCACAAATCGGGAAAAGCTGCACCCCGCCGACTGTATGCCAACCTTGCAAGCTGGTTTTCAGCTTAGTTGCTAACAACGTACACTCAGGGTGGACTTTGGTCGCTGTTGTTATTAATATCGTTTTCACCGGTGTCGTATTGGCTCGTACGGATCCAGTATCTGTCACTTTCTTGGTCCATTCTGACGTTTTGCCTTCATAGAGCATAAATTCAACCGCCATCAATGGGACATACCGGTATGTTGGTTCACGGGCACGTACTTCAGGATCGTGTACGTTCAAGCAATGCTCTTCGCGCCCGTTTTCTTCACGTCGAAAGCCGCCATCTTTTTGCTTTACCAGCAAATTTTCGGGGTTCAGAGACGTATCAGGATCGCCGTCAAGATTGGCTTGTTATGTAGCCTCGTCTTATATATTCCGAACATACCTCTCTCTGCGATTTTCGTGGCTCCTCCCCGGGGCCAGCCGTGGGTGTCGATGTTGACGTCCGACGCGCCAAAGAAGATGGTTATATGGGGTATTGTGCAGAGTTCTATTACTATCCTGCTTGATTTCTACATCTTCTTCCTCCCTCTCCCCGTCATTCTGAAACTCAACATGCCAATGGGACGGCGGCTGCAGCTTTTTGGTGTTTTTACAACAGCTCTCATGTGGGTGAAATTTCTGCGCGAGTATTCCACTCCTTGATGAAAAGCTCACACGTATTTAGGGGTATTGCTGCAAGTGCTCTGTCGCTTGCCTACCGCATCACGCTTTTACACACGACCGACGCGTTGTGGCCGCAAACTATAGTAACCCTTTGCGCGTGAGTTCCCTCTCGAGATGCTGCTGCACTTTCCTGATCGTAGGGCTAACGGCCTGATTATGGCTCTAAGAGTGGTCGAAGTCAACGTGGCTATCATCGTTAGTTGCATGCCAGCGTCGGCCCATCTATGGAAGTTGCATATTAGCCGATCCGTTCTTTTCCAATCGTTGCGGTCACAGCTCTTGAACCTTGCCGGTAGTAGCGGTAGCAGGCGTTCCCGTGATGAACCCAAGGACGACAGACCCAAAATAGCAACCATTGGCTCGGCTGAAGCGCCCCGGCGACGCGATTATTACGAATTAACGGATACTGCCATCTTAAAGTCGCAGGTCACAGTCGAAGATAACATTCCAGGGACTCGTAACTCCCCACCGAGCGGCATCGTCCGTTCCGTGGGATTTTCTCAGCACTTCGGGTCTGAGAGCAACGAGAATTTGACATAAGAGAGCACTTGGAGCAAAGATCCTCGCATTTTGTTCAGTTCTGGGCGGTAAGGCATTGGTTGCTTGAATTGTTTGAGGGATGTAATAGCCTGCAAATGGTATATACCAACACTACAGAGAGAGACCTTGCGCCAAGTTTGACAACATTTGAAGTTAGCAACTATGTTCACTCCTAATAACTATATTCATAGTATAATCAGATTCCCCCCATAGTGTGCATGATTAAGACAGCAACTCTTGAGATATTTTAGATTACCTATGCATCTAACGGGGTTTGCTTTACAGCAACAAGATGTCTACTTCGCAGTAACAAGAGAATAATGTTAGGCGCGAAATTATTCCTGTCCATCCTCATCAGTTACGCAGTTGGATGCCTGGGCACCTGGGTATGGATCAGCTTCGGCCACTTTACTTCCTTAGACATATCTTTCAGCTTACATGGTCCTTGGCAATTAATAGCCATACGTCCTTGCCGGAGTAACATCTGGGATGGCTGCATGAACGGATCTTTCCGTTATTGAAGGTTTAAGTATTAATAGCAACACCGTTGAACCCCCTTCGCAGATATGGGATATGTAATACGTCAGTTTTGCTGTAAATATGCAAAGTCTTTTGCGTACCTAGTCTAGTGAAGACCTAGGAGTTCCTGTGGCTTGAGGTTTTCACCGTGGAAGCTTCCCTCCGCCATTCCTAATCATAAACCTTCCTATAACGGCAGTGAAAAGCAATGGGGCTTTCTTGTATCAGATATAGAAGGATGAAATTTTACGCTCCTCGAGAAAGATCACAAGAAATAACAACAAGTTTATCTGAACGATAATTGGTTGCTACTGAATAAACGACGATTGTGTTGGTTCAAAGTATGATTGATGTAACCTAGGCTTATGGTGTTATTGTACCTACATATGTAAGAGCGGCAACATTGCGACGGCCCGTTGAATAACTATCCCCAAAATTCTTGGAAATCGTGCGGCTAGGTCCCTACTAGGTACGATAATGTCCAGCTTCGCGGAAATATCGCAAAGCGCGACGAGAGACCATCCAACAATGAAATAAAATGGCACTCGAAGTAACCTACGAAAGGAGCGGTGTGTTTAACAGCACTGATAGGGTCACATCCAGAAATACGAAGCTAATTGTGTGCGGGAGCCTTATGCGTGGTTGAGTTGACATGTGCGGATGAAGATTCGTTGGCCTGAGCCTCGTATGTATGCTTGCTACAAAATCTCATCAACTATGTATTGTGATATTGTGATACGGAGATTAATAAAATAGTACACCCTGTAAACTCGCGTATATAGTTGCTTTCCTTATTTTCAATAGAGCTATGTTGAAGGAATATTATCTGGATAACTGATCAATCGTATTTACTTGGATACTTCGAGGAGCTGAAAAGTGTAAGCAAGCTGTAAGCGAGCTGAATGATACCGTTTACGGTCGATGTTAACCGGTTTGAAAGATTACACAATATTTAAATGTTGCTACCTACTTCCTCCCCTCGCTCAACCTCTTGACTGGCACTTGCAACCAAAGCCCACCCATCAGATCGTAGCCAAGAAATGATTCCTAACACTAACATCGGTCTCGTATGTGTGAGAGTTCCTAATTTTACGTTTTAACCCCCTGAGGTAGTTTCTAACTAGCTTATAGTGCGAGACGTTGACTGCTCTTTTAGGCAGAGAGAAGGTGTCGCTTCCAGGAAGTGCATCTTACAATGCATCTCTGTCGTCATATTTCTCGTTGCAATCGATCGCCGTGCACCCCGTATGCATTGTCTCACCACAGACGGTTCGTGACGTTTCAGCCTTGATTGGGTCGCTGACCGCCACCGCCTCTAATGGCTCATGCGAAGTTGCCATTCGGTCCGGCGGCCACATGTGGTTTGTCGGTGCGTCCAATGCTCCGAGTGGGGTAACGGTAGACCTGCGGGGTCTGGACTCGATAGATCTAAGCGCGGACAACTCTACCATATCTGTTGGTGTGGGCGCGACGTGGGATGCTGTCTACGGCAAGCTGGACCCCCTTGGGCTCAGTGTTGCCGGGGGTCGGGTGGCCGGCGTCGGTGTGGGGGGCCTTACCATTGGGGGCGGAATCTCCTACTTCGGGCCTCGCTATGGTTGGACTTGCAACACGGCATCTGCTTTTGAGGTCGTCTTAGCGGACGGCTCCGTCGTCGAAGCCAACGAGGAGCAGAATTCCGATCTCTTTCATGGACTTCGCGGGGGGTCGAACAATTTTGGTATCGTCACCCGCATCGATCTAAATACGTTCAGTCAGGGACCAATTTGGTACAGCTCTACCTATAATCCGCTGTCGACCATTGACGACCAGATCAAAATCTTCGCCAAGAATGTTGTGGCGGAGAATTATGACGAGAACGCCTCCTTCATCACCGGATTTGGCTATTCGCAGTCTAAAGGATTGACGGTCATTAACAACGAGCTTGCCTACACGAAGCCCGCGGAGAGTCCGCCGTCGTTCTACCAGGAATTTCTGAGTCTGCCATCTATCTACAATTCGTCGTCCGTGACAAATGCGACGGCGCTATCGCAGAATGTGGCGCTGCTCCTGCCTCCGGGTGTGGCTCGGTAAGCAATCCTTTATGTTGCACAGCATGATGATAACTAACCCCGAGAAGGTACCTATTTGCGACGGTGACCTTCCGGCCCACGGAAGCGATGCTGCGCGCCGCATTTGACGCCTGGAACAGTAGCTTGACGGGGATTAAGGATATTAATGGGCTGACGTGGTCTCTTTCGCTAGAGCCCCTTCCGCCAGCCATCTACCAACGCGGCTCCAAGGACAATGCGATGGGACTTGCCGATCGTACCGACACGCTCGTCGTGTGTTTGCTATCGCAGGCGTGGGCTGACGAGGCGGATGATGAGCGCGTCTACGCCGCGAGTGCCGCACTTGTGGTCGCGCTCCAAGAGGTTGCTCGTTCCCTAAATGCCTACGACCCGTTCATCTACCTCAATTATGCCGCCCCGTGGCAAGACCCGATTGCGAGTTACGGAGAAGAAAGCGTGCAGAAGTTGCGCGAGCTGCGAGCCAGGGTGGATCCTACGGGCGTCTTTACGCGTCTCGTTCCCGGCGGGTTTAAGATCCCATCGGATGACGTGCGCAAGTAGGATTCACAGTATGTAGTCATACCTGGTTATAGATCTCTCGAAATCTCGATTCATGTTGGTGACCAATAGCCGTTTCATCATAGTCCTGGATATGTGGAAAGGGGGCGGGGGCGGGGCATTTCGGAAAGCCGCAGAGCCGGTAAGGCTGTAGGTGGATACGGTTTAACCCTGTAATCCATGCAGGCCATGCATGCCATGTTAGTGGTGACATATGTATCCATGTATGTATGTGACATCTAACATCGAAGGATTCAATTAATAAACTAGGTATGCAACGTCGAAGAATTAGCCTCATATAATTTGTCACCTAGCAACTGTTGGCGGCCATCATCCTTCAGGCTTTGTAAAAGTGCATATTTATCTTACCAACACGTCACATCCCCTTGAACCTATCAGTTTCTGTAACTGCCCAGCTATATACCTACCTAGGTATGTCTCACGACGCCACTTCAAGGGCCTAGAACTTGGAAGTACCTAGGTAGGGATTCAATATGCCGGATTGAGTCGAAAACCCCGCCAAATCATGTCAAAACATGAAAATATTCAAGATATACATGGGCATATACTACATATCCGCCCATACTGACTATACGTATCCGAAGACGAATTCATTGAACAAGGCTCGAAGACTATCGTATACAAGAATATGCATGTTCTACAGGTGTGTGCCGGTAAGCTCCATTCCAGCCTCTTCAATACATTAGGAGGTATGTACCTGAACCGTAGAAGCTAACCGTGGTTCTCCTTTCAACGCCTGAGCTAACAGCGATGCATGTTGGTTCTTGTACTCCGAGGTACAGCATAAGTACCTCCTTTGTCGCACAATATGACAAGATAATGGAGTTAGTAATGGAGGGCGCTTATGCTCTAGCAGCTCCATTCCTGGCTTCTCAAGCTTCTCGCCTACCTTTTCTTTAATCTGCGAGCATTTCAACCAAGGTCCACGATGACAGCTCCCAAAGGCACAATCCTCGTAACGGGTGCAAATGGCGGCCTCGGCACTGCAATTGTCAAGAATATTATTGCGAGGCCTGATCTAGCAGCCTATCATGGAGTCTACACGGTGCGAGACGTAGCCGCGGCGAGTTCGCTCCAATCAGCTCTACGAACTGCGAAATCCCACCCGCACGACGTATTGCCGCTCGACCTTTCAAAACAGTCGAGCGTGCGCGAGACTGCGGCGGTTATCAATGCCAAGGTCTCGAACGGGGAGATCCCCCAGATCCGGGCCCTGATTCTCAACGCGGGTTATCGAGAGTGGCCGGGCCGGACCCGGATCGAAGATGGATTGGATATCACCTTTTCGAGTAATTACTTGGGGCATTGGCTGTTGACTTTATTGTTGCTGCAGAGCATGGACCGGGAATCGGGAAGGGTGGTTATTGTTGGAGGATGGGTTCACGAGTAAGTAGAACCGGCATCCTAGGCTACGGTGTCTTCGCAGGATAGGAGATTAATCTTCTCTTCTAATCTTCTTGTTGAGATAGCCCTCTCGATGAGGCCAATAAAGCCAACGGCGCCTTTGAAGACGAACAGTGGAAAAAGATCTTCGCCGACGCCAGCAGCGAAACCGTCGAATCGGTCGCCAAAGCTGCGTGGAGTCCTAGCCCGGACGACCCTTCCAAAGATCGGAAAGGGCTCAGCGGAATTCGGCGTTACGGGGCTGCTAAGCTGTGTAGTGTCATGATGATGTATGTTCTCCGTCGGCCTTCGACGAGGGATCAATTTAGGCGGTGTTAGCTAACCAGACCATTAGTTTCGAGCTTCAGCGCCGACTCGACTCGGACCCGGAACTGAGCGGCATCTCGGTCCTTGGTGTCGATCCGGGCATTATGGCGACCAATATCACAACTATGACTCTCGGCTGGCTCGTTCGGATCATATTTTCCGTCGTGGCGCAAATCGCGAATTGGGCCAAGCCCAACGGCATCATGCGCCAACCTCACAAGTCGGCTGGTGATGTCCTCGCGGCAGCCCTAGAGACCGATCCGCCTTTTGGCAAGCGGCCGAAAGGGATGTACTTTAACGGATCCGATCTCAAAGAACCGAGCGCCGAGGCGAAAGACGCGGCGAAGAGGGCAACTGTGTGGAAAACCAGCATCAAATACACCGAGCTGAAAGAGGGAGAAACTTGTCTGACTGACTGGTCATGATTGGAGAGACATGAGCAAGACAACCTACGAACACTCATTTCGGAAAACTATCAAATGGCTTGCCTAGCTTACATTATGTGCTTATATTGGATGATATTTTCATAGGTACCTATGTATTATGTTAAAAGTAGGTACTTCCAATTAGGATGTATGTCGTGGAATGTTTATGGCTGCTCGGGTGGCTAGCCTGCTATTAGTTAAATTCGTACTCGAAAGCTTTCATATTGACTCTAAAACAAGAAACTCCTGTCAAATCATGAAAATCAGTAGATACTTTCATCTTTTTCTTGCCCTTCATCTACAACGTTCAACTGGATCCCCCCCGCCCCCTTGCCAAATCCAACTCCACTTTTCGGCTCCAAAGATACCTAGGTAAACGACGTGTTAGTGCTATATTCTTATGTTCGTTTTAGGAGTTCTTATGGAGGTTACATACATGAGGCTTGGTCGGCATTATAGTACTACTACCCTATCTGGGTACCTAGGTATATTGCCCTCTGGATGCAGCTACATCGTGTGTTACGTGCATGCATATTCCAAGGTGCAATGCAAATCCTACTCACCACCACCAAGGTGAATGTACTGCTTACGACCCCAACCTTTTCCCCGATAATCCTGCCTCGTAATAAAGGTAAAGACTAAGTCAAAACGTACTGGAAGCTACTGGGTCTTCTGCTAGCCGCTCGTATGCCTACCTAGGTAGGGTAATCTACTGATTTCCAAGTATACCAGGAATAAGCTACTAGATCTATAGGTATCCTATTTGTCTCTAACTTTCTTACACCCGAGCCCGGTTACTCGACAAGCTGCAGCGTTCTTAATATTCCATCACTCTTGTTCGTATCATGATTCTCTCACTACTCTCAGGCTTAATCCTAGCCTACTTTGGGTGGAGCGTAGCACGCTTAGAGGTGAATGTGCGTAAAGCTCGTGCTATCGGAGTACCCGTTGTGCGCATTCCGTTCGACTTGAACAATTACGTCTGGGTTATCGCCCAACCGTTGGTATGGGCGGCCATAGCCTGCGTGCCGATCCCCTGGAGTTCTTATCCCGACTTTGTCCGCTTTTCTCACCGGAACTGGCATTTTCTCGAAAAGAACAGCCCGAATTCCCGCTTTGGAGCTGTCTGGGCTCTCGTATCTCCCGGGGGCGTCCATCTGCATATCGCGGATGCGGATGCTATCCAAGAAATCTGTACACGATGGCGAGACTTTCCTCGCCCTACCCAGATGTACCGCAAGTGCACCTCTTAGCTTTCGAGCGTTGACATTTCTAATCCGCGACCAGGGATGTTAGCTGTCTACGGGCCGTCCGTCTTCACGGTTCAGCAGAACGACTGGCCTCGGCATCGTAGAGCTGTGGCGGCGCCCTTTAACGAAGCCATTATGAAATCGGTATGGAATCAGTCGCTCCGTCAAACTCGGTGTGTATTTCCTCCATATTTCGGCTGGTAAACTCTCAAGCTACTGGTCAGCGCTGACTTGGACGGGCGGGAGGGCGACGGTGCACGATTGGATCTCTAGATCCGATACCGGTATTCGAGGTATGCCGGAGGACATGCAGACGATTACGCTTAGTGTGCTCGCGGCGACGGCGTTCCCGGAATCGTACGAGTTCGAAAGCTCTGCGCACCCGAAAGAACACGAGGCAAGCTCTGAAGGTATCCGAGATGCCTTTTTTATCGTGCATAAATATGCAATCTATCTGATGCTGATCCCTTATGGCCTTATGACCGGACCCTTGATGCCGAAGAAACTTGTGAAGATAGGACGAGCAGCTGCGTCGCTGAAGAATTTCATGGAGAAGACGGTCGTGGAGGAGGCGGGAGCGCTCTCTCGGGGCGAGCCGGGATCGGGCGGTCTGATAACGCATCTCGTGCATGCTCTCGAACGAAAGGCTATCCGGCAGACTGGATCCGGGGAAGATGAAAAACCCGTGAAAGGGGGTCTCTCTATGGACGAAGTCCTTGGTAATATCTTCGTGATAAACTTTGCCGGCCAAGACACTACCTCCATAACTCTCGCTTTCGCCGTCATGCTTCTAGCCGCGCATCCGGAGGTCCAACAGTGGATCCGCGAGGAGATTGCCGTCGTCACCCGAGGCGAACCCGTGGATCGCTGGGATTATGCTCTATTTCCGAGACTGAAACGCTGCCACGCCGTGTTCCTCGAGACGCTGCGTCTCTATCCGCCTATTACCGGCTTGCCCAAGATCACATCGGAAACGACGAAGGCTCTTCGAATTGGTAGTCGCGTGCTCGAGATCCCCCCAGGTACTGAGACGTACCCCATGATTCTGGGAGCCCAGACGGACCCGAGGTACTGGAAGGATCCTCTTGTGTGGAGGCCGTCACGCTGGATCGTGGGCCCGGAAAGGGGTATCGACGAGGAGGTGGTCTTTACACCGCGAAAGGGCTCGTTCTGCCCGTGGTCGGAAGGTCCGCAGGGCTGCGCTGGGAAGAAGTTCTCTCAAGTGGAGGGGGTTGCCGTGCTTGCCTGTTTGTTCCGTACTTGCAGCGTTCGACCGAAGACCAAAGCGGGCGAGACGGAAGCGCAGGCTAGGAGACGCGCCCAGAATTGTGCTGACGATGTCAATTACCAGCTTATGCTGAAGATGAACCACCCTGATCGGGTCACGCTGGAGTATGTGACAGTATAGAAGTTTCAAGACAGATGTATTGTAACGAATTTGGTATTATAATATATCAAGCGTCACTCGTCCAATTCATAGTATTTAACATGTTACCTAAGCAGATACACAGGCGAAGACTCCGATCAGCTAAACCCTCGCTTTGGAGCTTTCGATAAAGACAACGCCGTGAACTCTCAGAGTACGTGGCCCGCCTCGGGGTTTCGACCGGTACATATAAGTCCCATAGGAGTGCGCGTCACGTCCTGTGACCTTCGTCGAAGAGACAGCCACTCCAAGAGAAATTGAGCAGGGTCGTCCGCCAGCCGATTAATCTCGGCGTCATTCGAAAGACTCGGTTGGAAATATCGAGTGAGTAACTTCCCTTCGTCAGGATCGACGTAGAGCCTTCCGGCGAGTATTCCCAACTCAACTCGGAACCAATCAGGAAAGATATGATGCGTCGGGAGTTGCGGCAGGCTGTAATATCGAAATTCGTTAAAACCCGTCATAGTCTTCGTGACCGGTGCGGCATAGGCGATTAGGTGAACGGCGGACCTACAGCCCCGTAGTCGGAAAAGCGGTATGAGCAGCTCAGCCTCCTCGGGGATGATGACCACGGCAGTTTGGGTCGAAGGACTCCATAGAATCCACTCCACTGGACGCTGCAGGATCTGTAAGCTAATTTATCTCTCACTGTCGCAAAGACGTCTCGAGCACGATCGCGTAATCGCACACTCGCACTCACCAAGAAATTATCGATCAAGTCATATTTTCCCGGAACGTTAACCGTTCTCTCAAACTCGTTAGACACGAATAGTGCCGACCCTGTGATGTGCACTTTGTGTCGTTTTCCGATGTCGGTCCTCGCTAGATAAGCGAATGCGTGCGCGAATGCGGATGTCTGGCCGGCCGGTGCGAGGTCGAGTATGCCGGTCTCCGCGAACTTCCGAAGAGCGCGATGGAGACCTGGGAATGGGAATGCCCCGTATAGGGGTGGTCTCTGTATCTGCCGGACTTGCTGGACTTGATTCTGTACCTCACGCTCCCTTTCTACTTCTACCTCCTCGAAGACGCCCGTCTGCGCTACACCGGTAGTGCGGCGGGACCGAAGTAGCTGATTTAAAAATCCTTGCAGCTGTGGAGTGGACATCACTTTGGTGGAATCTGTGGCGGGTGTCGCTACATCATATCCGTACATTTGCTCTAACGTCTGACGCTCTGGCTGTTTCAATATCTGAAGCAGCCTTCTACGGTGCGTGAGTTTGGTTATAAAATCTCCGTAGCGTGACGCCGCGTCGGTGCGATCGCAGAAATCGACACCTTGGGCCACGTATAAACCCTGCATGTCCACGATACCGCGACAGGTTTGCTCGAGTAGCCAAGCAATGACATGCGAGGAGTCTAGCCGCTCGTTATGTTTTGGGTGGCAGCAATCTCGGATGCTCTGATCGACCTCGGGAGGAGCAAAGAAGGTTACGCGCTGGGTGCTACGGAGTTGGCGAAGCCGCATTGCCGCTGCAAGATTAGATAATTAGACCTTGTATGCTTGACGAAGAATACGAATCGGAAGAGACGAGGGTGATCACGGGGAACACATTGACAAAAAGATGTACCACTGACCTTGCATTGTAAAGTCTTTTGTTTGCTTGGGCGCGAGCGTCAGGGCGCCGTGGGCGTCCGACGGGAATTTGAGGTCTACGCCTCGTGTGTGCGCCTCGTCGAGGTATACGACGCATTCGCTCAGATCGTCCGCGAAAGGCGTGGCCAAGAGAGGCACGTCGCTCTTCGCCTCGCCTCGGTAGTGGACCCAAGCTTTGCTATCCCTTCCGAAGTAGATAGCAGCCTTAGCTGCGTGATCGATCTTCAGCCACGTGTCGGCGAGTGTCTTATTGTCCATCTCGAGTATGTACGCTCCGGCGTCGATGAGGACTCGAATTTCCTGTTCTTTCAATTGGGTCAGAAGATCAGATTCGCTCAGACGTTTGCCACGATGATTTGTGGTCACCTGGTATCCGCGGTTTCGACGCTGCAGGAGGTATGAGAGAACTTCGGCGTTTGTCTGTCGTAAGCTGGGTAGCTCGTCTTGTCGAATTGTCAAGGGTAGCATCATCCGATTATCGTTTGTCCCGCTGAAACCCGTCGTCTTGGCCTCGTGCTGTGCCTTCGACATGAGCGGAATATCCCATGCGGATGCCTGCAGCTTGGTTTCAAATTGTCTCGCGTATGAGGGGAAGACGAAGTTATTCATATGATAATTAACGACGATACGGTTAAACCGCAGGTGCTTCCACATCTCTTCCATCTGACCCGCGTCCTCGACGTTGATGGCTCTCCAGTGCTGCAACGACTCGGGTAGGGTGCTACACCCCGAAATCCACCATCCGTACTGCAGAGCCGGGTCGTCCGACTGGAGGACTTGCTTTACGCTCCGGCGAAGGTCCCCAAGTGGCAAACCTGTGTAGTAGAATGACAAACACGTAAACAAAATCGCGACGTCCGGGTGGCCGAATTCAGACTGCTCGGACGGCGTGCCTTTCGCTTCGAAAGGTACGGCGATGGGATCGCGGTCCGGATGTAGGCCGTACTGAACGTTCCAGCGTCTGCTCAAGCAGAAGAGCAATATTTTATTTACCACGAGACCTCGGACGACGAGGAGTGTCTTGGATGCTCTCTGCGGGTCGACAAACGCGCTCGACGCTTCGGTTAACGTGCGCTCGTCGGGTCGCTGCGCCGAGAGAGCTTGTCTGACACTTGCTTGCCGTTTCGGAAAGCTCCCTTTTGCGGGACGAAGGAAATTGGCTCTTCCCGCACAGATATCGTCCAATATACGATCTCGAAGTTTGTCTTCCATGTCACTTTTTAGGAAGTGCGCCATGGGGTACGATCCCGGGCGTTCTCGTACGTCGATGCTGCCGGGAAACTCGTCTCGCAACGACGAGATATGATCGGCTGCCAAGGCGAGCAGCTCTTGGGCAACTTCCCACCGATGAGGCTGCCCGTCGATGGCCATCTCGGATCCGCCGGGATAGTTGAGCTGGGTCTTAACTGACAGCGTGAAATCGCATTCGTCCAGCACATCTCTGCAGTGATCGTTCAGCCATCGCTGAAATTTGGTCATGGTCGACGCCGTCTCAAGTCTGCCGTCGGCCACGTGCTGCCACCCGCTTAGCTGGTAGGATAAGATGTGTTCGTGGCTGGTAAGTACCAGGCCTCTGTTAATGCGCGTGTCGTGGTGGAATCGGGCGTACTCGTCCAGCATTCCAGGGGACATCCGAGTCTTGCGCGAGAAGGGGATGTGGCATATCTCGCGGCCTACGAGACCTCCTAGTCGAGACTGTACCATCTGCGCAGTCTGCGCTAGAAGTGCCTTAGGCACGACGAGGCGCGAGAGGTTTTCCCCGTCGGCTATGACGGCTATAACCATAGGGACGATGCAGGAGGTTTTTCCTGAACGATGTTAGCATTCTTCAAATATAGGTGTCGCCGTGACCCCGAAGCGAGACTCACCCTTGCCCATGTTCATCTGTATGACGCTATTCTGACCTGACGCTGGTTTGATGATGGCTCGTGCTACGTCCACCTGCTCGGGCCGGATGAGGATGTCGCTTTCGATCTCCAACAAGAGCCAGTCCGGATGTTCGAGGGGCGACCAATTCTGGTGGCCCAGGTTGCGAATCTCCTCGCTCATCACCCGTGTATCTGCTCTTAGCAGGGCGTTTCGAATACGATGGAGTCGTTGCAGGCTTGTGATAGCGAGGCCGTACTCTACCAATGCTTCTTTCATACCCGGGCCAAACTGGTGACATGAAGCAGATCTAAGCAGCTCCAACAATTCAACTGGGGTTGTACAGGGCCAGATACCGCCCAGTTTCAACCACGTGGATCGACCATCGTTTGCGGAGAGGGCTGTAAAAATCTGACCAGCGTGGGAAGCGGTGATTTGGCGTAGTGGCTGTAGGGCGTTTGCCACGGAGTTAGACGCGGGTGCGGGATCTCCGTGGTCTCTCTGCGTAGCGGAGCTGGCGTCTTTAAGAGCTGCCAGACTCTGAAGAAGATCCGTGCCGTACTGTGCACGTAGGTCGTCGGGGGACTTTGCGAACCCTCCCAAGATTCTCTCGAGCTCTTGAACTTCGCTCGAAGGGTCGCTTCTAGATACCTTAGACGTTTCGGCATGCTCAGCCGCACTTGCGTCCTTGAATGTTGTCCCAGGACCTAGATTACCTAGGTCATTGCAGTTCTTCCCTACCAGTTCCCTAGCGGTAGGCGGGATTGCTCGCGATCTCTTCGGGGAGATGAACGCTGGCTCTTCGCTGTTCCGGACGCTTGGTGAAAAAACAATTTTCGGCCCGCGGCGGCGCGAGTCCAGAACTAGTTGAACTTGGTTGATATAATCCTCTAACTCTGCGTTTCCTCTTCTACGCTCCCACTCGACGACTATCGCGTTTAGGATGGTTGGGGCATCGATAAGGTCCATTCTCAGGCTTTTGGTCGACAACTCTTCGGCAGGAACCGGCCACTGAGACAGTATATGGGTAGCAATCCTCTGGCTCTGTACTCTGTCTCGTAAATGATGATTGCTTCTGGTTGTAGAACAGGTTTGAGTGATGATTCTCTGCAAGACATCAACCGAGGGTCGCCCGCGAGATGCAAAATCCGAGAAGCTACCATACGCGGGCTGTTCTAAACTTTTTAGCTCGTCGATGCAAGAAAATGCCGCGAGCATGCGGAGAGTGTCCATGTCGGGGCTGGGGGCGAATGCCAACAACCCAAGACGAAAGAGCACGGAAAATTGGTTTTCGGCTTGCCGACTGAAATTGACGAGATCCCCCCATTGCTCGTTTATCGGGTCCCCAATTTGATTAGCTAGCGGTTTGACGTGTGATAAAGAGACATTTTCGCTGTTGAACCCGCTAATAATCTTCCAAGACTCGAGTATGGAAATCAGTCGGGTATTGAGATGAATATCACGGCAGCTGGTAAGGACTAGACGAGCGATCTCGTAAACTCTACCGGCGTGGGGTTTCGTCCTCTGGTCGCGGGTTCCGCAGACTGCGTCATTTGTGATTTGGTCAGACGTATCCAGATTTGAGCGCCGGTAAAGATGCTGACATATTTCACCGCGGCGGCGGAGGTCGGTTGGCTTCGCAAAGTTGGAACCTCCTGTCTCGGGGCTGTCAAATTCTGCGAGTCGGCTTGACCTCTCTATGATATCTCCGATTAAGGACTCGTAGCCGTCGTGTTGGACAGTCATGGTTAGATCTGGATCCCACTTGACCCTCTGAAATCGCTTCAGATGGGGGGGATAATATTCTCTCTGCGGAAGTAGCGATGTCAGTATTATGAGCGGAGCCATGCCCTCTCTTTGTGAAGTCCATGGCTGAGCAGCGCCAGACCGGAGAATGTGAGATGCCTCTTCCGTGCCTGTGCGACCGGTCAGGGGGTCGGGTAAACAGAAAGATGTAAATGCGTGGTATAGAGCCTTCGTATATAAGAGCCACGGCTCTGGGGGGCACGAAAGCCTATTCAAGGTCTCGTCGACCGTATACCTGCCGTAATTCTGCGCTTCCTCCGTCCGGACCCTGATATGCATGCCATGCCTAATGGCAACTACCTTATTTCCAAGTGGTACGATGATACTTCTTTTATGAGAGATGACATCTCTCAACACGATCTTGCTCTCAAGGCCATACCAAGTCCCTGCATCCTGATCAGGGTCTATCTCCGCCTTCAGCTGACGGCATTCGAGAAGACCACGTGTATTCACAAAGAAGGACAGCTCTAAATGGCGTAGCTCAATTGATAGCTTGCCGTAATCTGTCTGGGGCTGGAATACTGTCAACCTTCTCGGGGTCTCGAAATATTGAAAGGCTCGGGCAACGTTGCGGAATAAATCCGACTGAGGATTGACAAGCATGCTATTGGCACGGATAGCTTGCCGTTCCTGAACGTTAACAATCCAATTCCGCATTTTCTTTTTCCAGATTTCCGGCTTTCGGCGTACTTCTAAGCATTTCGAATGCAAGTTAAGCCAATGTACGCAGTTGTCAAGCAGTTCTGTTGGCAAGTCGAAGTTATCGTGCCCTGGGCCGACGAAGATATCCCTAGGCACGTGTTCGAGTAGACCATCCCTCGAGACGATACGAATCACTACCCGTTCACCGCGCAGTCCAAAATGCACCCACTGGCCGAACATATTGGTAGCCAACCGATGTGACATCCCCGGTAGGGGCGAGGGATATGTCAAGAGATGTTTATCGCCGAAAATTTCTTTGACCGATGAGTCGTTGCGAATCTCGAGTGGGAGCTTCCCTCGTGGTTTTTTATTAACCAACAAGTGACCTTCGAGGACGTGGCAGTGCACCACCTGGCTAGAATGGCACATTTCCTCGTTTTCGAACATCCCAGCAACAACCCAGAAGGTATCTGGTTGCGGAAGAAAACTCCACTCCGTAAAGGTCAGGGGTACATTGTCCGACGAGTCGGTCCAGCTCATACGAATCCCGTCTCCGATGCTAGCAGGGCGGGCACGTATGGCACTCTGCAGCAGCGGCCAGAGCCGATGCGCCATTTTGGTATCGCGGATGAGCATGCTTTTCATGGTTTGTGGTAATTTTTCGATCTCGTTAGGGATGTTTTCCTGCAGGGCTATCGAAGCCTGGACCCATGATGCTAGATCTTCGGAGCTGATAACCTGCCCCAGATCGGCGTGAGCGGTGAAAGTCCGCCGGCACAGCAATGCCGCGCAAAAGCCGTATTTCGCAGCCCGCATCGCCGCGTGAGCATCGCCGGCGGATCGGGTTTCCCGCCCAAGACGAACCGTCCAGTCCAAGGTCGCGTCTCTCGCTTTTCGGAGAAATGTCTTACCACGCTCGTTAGGTAATCCGGAAGATAGCTGAACTATCCGCAACGCGAGTGTGATCAGCAACTCCATTTGATTGTGTTCCCGCCAGTTTGTCGATATAGCGTCCAGTCGTTTCTCAATTATATCCGCTAGGCGTTCTAAGAACGCCGGCTCCTTAAAAACGGCATGGACGGCTCTCAAGTCTTCGCCGTTTGACTCGGGGCCGGCTTGAACGGCGAGCTGGCATAGTAATCGAGTAGTGTCCTCGCTACTGAAGTTCAGATTTGAGGAACCCAACTCGACCAGGATATTGGGCCAGCGGCGTAGCTTACCCGCGAGTAGTTTCTGACACGCCGAAAACTCATGGACGGACATATTAGTGGGGCACTGGCCCTCGTTGGCCTGGATTTGATAAGATGACGGCCCCTCCAAGATGTTAGCGGTGTTTTGAACTGCCGGAATGACAGTGTTTCGAAGCCCCGTAGGGATATGGACGCCGCATTGACGCTGGAACGTTAGAGGCTCTCTAAGGTCCCTGATCCAGAGCTGGGAATCGCGGTCGTAAAGTTCGAAATTTGCCCCAAAGGGTAACATGATATCCGACAATGGGGCCTTGCCACGAGCAAACTTATAATGCGTCTGCTGGAAGCACTTGATCGTAGATCCCAGCGAGATCCCTTCCGCTTCGGCCGCGAAGTATGGGCGGAGGGGCTTGCAGTCCGTTAGCTCAATTGCAGGAGCCGAGGATCTCGCGAGACGGTCTGGATGTGTCAGCGCTCTCGCGATACGCCAAGTAGCATTCCTGTACGCGGATATGTGGCCAGGGATAGCAAGTTCAAATATCAGGGCGGATCTCTGCGGGTCTTTCGCTGGGAGGAACGCCTCGTGTACTTGAATCTCGATACGATTCCGAACTCGCCAGTGCCAGCATTTTGTGCAACCCCGAACATCACGTTGGCCGTCGCGCCAAGTGCAGCAGCATATGTCATCCGCGATAGCTTCCGTGTGCTCGTCATACTCTCGACAGGACGATTTCCATTCGAATTCCTTGACTATACGAGCTTCGTCTGATGCGTTTTGGATTGTTGAGCCCAAAGCTTTCATGCTACGTGACTGGGCGACATAACGCACAGCCAGACAGTCTGAACTGATATCGTCAAGAATACTACCGAGATGAGACTTCTTGTGGCGTTCAGATAAGTAGTCCTGGATTTCTTGAAGCTGGCGCATAGCACGCAATGTCGGGAGCTGTAAGACGTCAAGTATCTCGGGGCGGAAAAGGGGGCGGTGATCGGCTAAAATGGGACAGGCTTCGATAGCACGTTTGTCAAGTTGAATCCACAGGGTGAAGATTGAGAGAATCATATTGGACATCTGCTCTGGGTCCGAGCCGTACGTCGTCCCAACGTCTTCAAAGACGCGGCTTATTTGCCGAGCAAGTTTGACGCACTGGGCTTTGCAGGTTTCGTCATTTGATTCGTGATCACCTGCCGTATCGTTACTAAGTTCCATACCGCGACGTATACGAATCTCCTTCGATGCGAGATTATGAATATGATCCGTAAACTCTTGCATTCGTTTTATGGTTTTGTCGAGCGGTTGCGGAAGATCGAGAGATGAGAGAGATTGCCGCTGCGGCGCTGAGAACGACAACAAACGGTCGAGGTAGTCACCGCTGTTAGGGAGGGAGAGCCGAAGAGCATCATCAGTTGCGCGCAAGGGAAGCCGCGGAATCTTTCTCGTTGTTGCCTTTTTGAAGGAGTTCCAGGCAGCGTCGATTTGGGCGGTCACATTCTCTATAGCATCCTTGACTACGGGACTGATTCGCGTAAACGGCAACTCGTATATGGGCATATCTACCGGTCTAGTCTTGGTCCTTTCGACTTCCAGCTTCGCCATACGACGGCAGAGTTTAGCGCGCAGCAGGATGGTCAGTTCAGGATGTAATGTTCCGGCGGATTCCTTCAATAGTTCAGAAAAGAGTATGCTCATGAGGAATTTGTAGCTCATGCGGCCCTGCTCGTTCCCCAGTAATAAACAGAGGTGACGTTGACTTGCGACGCGTAATACTAGCCAAAAAGGAAGTCTTCGCCATGGTAAATTCCCCTTCACGATGTTAACATCGTCTCTGACTCGTTTTCGGAGTATCGGGGCCTGAAAGTGGTCACCCATAGCCTCGAGAAGAGGTATGAGCAACTGCGTGATAAGCGCTGGATTGGTCGTGTCCCTAGCCTCCGTGATAGATACTCCCGTCTTCTTGGCGTGAGCTTGAAGGCTATGAAGTGATTCGATGCAAGCCTGCTCGAGAAAACCCGCGAGAGTGTCCTGGAAGGCTTGATCAAAGAAGACACTAAGAGGAACCTGGGCGGAACGACCCGGAAAATCCCATTGCATAGCCTGGTCTGCGGCGAGGACTTGTTCGGAAGTTGCTGACGCTTCGAAAGCCTCGAAGATGACATGATCCTGGCCCTCACTATATTATGTAAGTAACGTCAGTCTTCGAGGGGATTATATAGTTTGTGAAGCACTAACAAAACTTCGCGCCGAATGATCAAGGCAGCGTTCTGCTCGACGACATGCAAGATGAGCATATGGTTGGGCTCAAGCCGGTGGAAATGCTTTAGCAATGTTGTCTTCTCTAAACGGCCAGTATTTAGATCAATACAAGTGGCCAGGGAGACCCGAAGGCATTGAAACGCTTGAGACCAAGGCTGATCTACGAGACTGCCAACGCCATCACATGCGGCGAGAATACGTTTTCCGATCTCGTGAGAGATTATTTCGATATTCTCATCCTGTTCCCCCGGAAGCTGGGGAGGTAGCACGAGATGATTGTAGATGCTTTGAAGCATGTCCATTTTCGTAGCGACTATGTATCAGTCAGTGATTACCCTCCAATGTGGTATGACAGGGACACGACAGTTATACGAGAAGCAATCTCGGAAACGTCAATGAGGAGTTCTAATAGAAGGGGAGTAACGAAGTGAGAGTTAGCATCACATACTATACTTGCAAGAATATTGATTTGGTTGTTTTATGCGTAATAATTCCCTAGCAAAGAGATAAACACTAGGTAAAGGAAGATTGGACGAAGTGAGCAGACTCCTAGCTTCTAATATCAACGTCAGGAAGGCTACCTATCATATAGAAATCAAATCGACATATCAGATTGACAACACATCCATAATCCTCATATGTGTTTAGCCCGGAAGACGGCAGGAGGCTACTTCCCCCCAAAACAAGTTTATAGATACGGGGACGTGGTGTGAGAATTCAAACAGTCCTAGGTGCTCCGTGTAGTTCGCAGCTACAAGGACGGGAAAATTAGATGCTGGTTAGAAGATGCATCGTGTCTTCCCCCTCACATACCTGTCGAACAGATATGAAGCAAACGGACTCGAAACCCTTGCCGAGTGGCAAGCCTCAGTACTTAGGTAGTACTGATATGATTAGTTGGGCATCTCTGTTTGGATTATCCGTTTGGCAAATTGATATCTCGTCTCTTGAAGTTGATTGCCTGAGGGCGTTTGTTGTTGACAGCAATTCATGCTCCCATTGGCAGCCTCGCCGCGTGTACCGGCGTCTCGTGTTGCCGTCGTGCGCTTATCTTCCGCTGTCGCTACCCGCGCACATATGTACCTGACCAAAAAATCATGACGAGACCTCCTTTTGAAATAACTTTTGCCATGATTATGCAGGTGAGTATTAAGTGAGTACATTGTATCTAGGTACTCGGGTACCTAATATCTATTAGTTTTGCGTATTGGATCTGTCAGTCAATGTCGAACAAATTTCGTTCAATCACACGCAGTTAACCACGTGGAAGAAAACTAGAGAATAGTACAGAGAAAGATGATTTATGAGATCTTACAAGTAAGATTGGAATTGAGATGAAAATGCCCGGATTGTGGAATGACAGGAATCGGAGTTAAGGGGTTCGGCATCGGAATAAGCTTACTCCGCTAATAATGTAAACAAATGTCGATGTAGAAGTGGGGTGGCTTGGAACTCCACCAATAAAACATCAATTCACCCCCTATTCTTTTCCTACATACAATACATACTACTAACGGAGCGTGTCACGGCACCCCTAAATTACTGCCAGGCCGCAGCAAGTTTTGGCACCGCCTCCCCGGCCATCTTTACATAAGCGTCGGGCTCCATGTCATCATCGATACCCAGAAATCTCTGGTTGGTAGGGAGCTCGTTATTCCTCAGCAGAGGCAATATCGCAGTCCCCTCATTCACTTCGTCGAACATGGCGCCAAATATAAAGTTAGGCTTCAGGTTTACCGCGCCATCCAGTTGCTTTTGATAGAACGTCCCGTTCCATCTTGGAAAGTGGTCGAACGTCTCACTTGGGTTCGCATTGCTGCTAGATCCTCCGGGCCACACAACAATGCTGCTCTCTATTCCCAGATCCCGCAACGCGTCGGCGTCTTCGACAGCCTGTCGCCCGTCGTGGAAGCTATCGTAACTATTGATGTCGTAAGCGCCGACGGTCCAAGGTTGTAGCATGTCGGCGAGTTGATACACTGGTCCGTATCCGCCCGGTTGGTTCGCCGCTAGCTCCGCGTGCCACGCCTGTTGTACACCTAGAATCACGTACCAGCCGGCGTTCTTAAGTGCGGTAACTATCGCTATCCCGTCGTCGACGGTGACCTCTGTGACGATACCGAAGCCCCATATCTCAAGGACGGGCTTCCCGTTATGGTGCATATATGCCGGAGACGATATTATATAATTCAGAGCCGCAAGGTCGGCGAGGAAGGTGCTCGTTACGTTCGTCGAGGCTGTGGCGGCGCCGTTAAGGTCGTATTCTATCACGAACCCTCGTCCGTATTTCTCCGCCGCTGTCTTCGTGTAATTGAGAATCTGCTCCGTAGTTAGAACAAATATAGCTACCGAGGAAGTGCTTAACAGACGTTGACCCAGCCCCCGTTGGCCTCGTTGATGTAGCCGTAGAAACGCTGCATGAAAGCGCCGCTGATGCCGTTGTCTGCCATGATCTTGAAATGAAGATCCACGACGCCTTCGCAGTCGTTTGTATAGAATGAGGCGTTTCCGCCGTCTGGGAGCGTAAAGGGCGTGTCGAAGAGACATTCGGACGGGTAACCCGTTATATTAGGTATCATATCGACACCAACTGCAACACTGGTCAGAATATGACTGGTTTATGAATCTTTCCATGCTCACCGTGCCCAACCTCTGGCGAAGGAGTGTCTCTATGAAGAGTTAGTCTAGTTGGTAAAAGATCATATAAGCGAAAGGTGCCTAACGTTGTCCAGTGTGAGTTTCCATCATCTTCCAGTGGTTTGCGGAACCATGCTTGGTAACCCACAAATAGCTTCCCGTTTAATGTAGATCTATCAATGCTTGAGGTTTGTCGCTCATAATATTGGGTTGGCGCTGCGCATGCTCCAAGACCGATGAGAGCGGCAGCCGCCACGCAACGTAATAAAGATGCCATCGAAGATATCTTTCTTTGTAGGACACTCAAATTTTTTCCCTGGGTCGATAAACAATCAAGGAATATGGATAGAACCGCTCCTATTTATAACTAGGTAGAGTACGTGACTAAGCTTACATGAAGAAACGCCTTGCTGACGTCTTCATCAAGACGAAATGCCTAGGTCAACAACCAATTCGATTCCATTTCCGTACACGAATCAATAGATCAGCTTACTTCGCAACTATTTGATTGCGCTCACACTTGTCAGCCCTGTTACTCATTCCCCTTTTCTCTTTTCGGATTTTATTTTCAATTTGTTTGGTTGACCTATGTATACCACATAGATACACTTTTATGCCGGCAGCTGGCCCTAGATCTCAACTTTCTGTTCACAATATTGAGGATTGTTAAGTGCTGAATGTATATTATTTGATTGAGAAGCCCAAGATGCCTTCTAATGATCCATGCCGTTTGGTATTACAACGCCACTTGATCGCGCTTAAGGATCGCATCGATATTTTCACCGATCGTTCAACGACACCTGGTTAGATTTGTCTCATTACGTACTCCACGACCTGGGTAGGTACCTATTTATCTACCTAGACAAGCTTCATAATAGTAAGTCCAGATAGTAAGACTGGTCTGGAAACACAAAGTAACTATATGACTTAGAACTCATTTCGTCGTTGTATTTTATAATGATTATAGGTCTATTTATTCAATGATCACCCATTCTATGCCCAGTCAGGTTTATTGCAAAGAACCTAGGATCATGAGCTCAAAGATAAACTAGGTAGGTAAGTGGATTTAGTGGAAAATAGCTAGGATGACATATTATAAACAAAACTCATATTTTAGGACTCTGGGCCAAATAGTCGCTGACTGCCCAGAACGACGGCTGCCTACATACAGATCTCCCAACTTTTTCACCACGATGATTAAATGCGTTGCCCCGTTGCGTCGATGCTGAATATATCGCTTTCGACTGTTTTCGTTGCCTCTCGGCATCTCACCGACAGCCTCTATAAAATACCGTGCACATCTAAGTAGGTACTATGAGTCGTTGTTCGCCCTAGGTTATATTCACTCAAATAAAATGTCAATTGGGGATTGCTCATGCACTCTCGCCGAATATCGAATTGACAATCTCCCCGGAGCGGGTGGCCAATACAGATAGCAAGGTATCGCTCAGCTAGAATGCAAAGTTAGCGCATGCCGGATTTAGGAGAAATTCTCAAGTGTTCCTACCCCGTGTGTTCCCTCGCAACAACCTTGAAGCCAAATACCGGAGCGCGGTGATACTTTACCAGGGGCAAACTGAACGCTGTAATCACGCGAGACTCGCAGCGCATGGTCCTTAATCCTCGATTCGGAAAATTTAGATCCGAAACCGTTGCTCGCCGATGTTCCGTTCGACTCGTTGGCTCTGGGCAGAAGGTCGGCCACGTCCTCCATCATAGCGAGGTGAGATTGTCGCTTATAGCCAGTTGCTGCGATGACGAGGTCCACTTCGAGGATCTCCTCTTCGCCTGTACCGTTTTGAAGACCGTTCTCGCCCGAGCTGTAGTCGTGAGGTTTTGTCAACCCCAGAGGACGCACTGTTAGTCGCAGTTGGCCCCCCTTCGTATCGAGACCGACGACATCCGTAGCACTTAGGATACGGTGCGGCCACTTCCGCTCGTCGCTCCCGATTTCGCGCCGCTGATCGTACATTCGTTCGTAGAGGCGCTCGATAAGTTCTAGTCGTACTACTCCGTAGTTCGTGCTCCGCGCGCCTTCTAGCAAGGAATGCCTATTCTCGGCAGATCTTTGGTATAGAGAATCCACAAATGACGGGTTGAAGATCGAATTGACGCTGTCGTGTGTTAATATCTAGGTAGGTAAAAGAGGAAAGTCCGACTGAAGTATCGGGAAGACATTTAGTATCTGGGTGAACTTACAAAGGCGAATCGTCGCTAGGCTTCAAAAACTCGGATCGCATGATTAGCGATGTTCGGGAATTCGGATAGAGCGTCTGGACATTGTTGAAGATCTCGGCCGCGCTCTGCCCCGCGCCGACTACGGCTACGCGATAAGGAGAATCCCGGTTGTCGAGGATTTGCGGCACGAGGTGGGCGTACTGGGAAGAGTGGATCACTCGAGGGTGGTTCGAAGGAAGGCACTTTGGAATCGACGCCTGTCCTCCGATGGCTAACAAGACGTTCTTAGCTGTATAACTGGTCAAGGCTCCCGTCTTGATATTCTTCGATGTGACCGTGAAGGTGGAGACTGAGCCTGCGGATTCCGATGCCTTGTTGGGAGAGACCGAGACGACTTCTGTGTTATATTGGACGACGTCGTTGAAGAAGCTTGCGCACCATCGTAGGTAGTCCTCGTATTCGACTCTCGCCGGCAGGAAGGTGTTTAGGTTTGTGAATTCGACGAGCCGGCCGTTCTTGTGGAGGTAATTCAAGAAGGTGAACTGCGAGGTGGGGTCCCTCAAGCTTGCCATATCTTTGATGAAGGAAATCTGCATCTTCGCGCCTGGGAGAAGCATGCCGGCATGCCATGCGAACTTCGGCTGCTTTTCCAGGAAGAGGACTTTCGGCGACGATGCATCTCCCTTTTTTAGGAGGTTCCCGCGTTCGATAGAATCGTGTAGAGCAACCGCGATTGCGAGACTAGCAGGCCCGAACCCGACGCAGACTAGATCATGTACGCTCTCCAGAGGCGTCCTTTTCAAGTGCGACTGGTTGTTGGAAACACCGTTGCCCGGTTGTATGCTAGAGTCGGCGTGGGAACCGTTGTGCGAAAATCCGTTGCTGGTGGGACCATCGTCGTGGCCGTCTAATAGACTATGCGGCGCCATGGCGGTGATTTGTTGAATGATACCGCCGCTTGCAGTCGGTAAGGTGGAAATAGTAGTTAGCTATGACGAATGACGTAGTTGAGCGCGACCTTCGCACGAGCCAGGTTGAACCGAGGTGGAAACACGAGGAGGTTTCTCGATTCTCCAAAGGTGTTACTTAGAATGACGCAAGAGACTCTCCGCTCACCAAAGAGGATGATGGTAAGATGAGGCTACTTCAGACTTGTAAATAGAGCAGAGAGGGTGGGAAGGATTGTCTTCCTCGGTATGGAGGACGAAGGATGCCGGAGCGTTATTAAAATAATCACGACGGGGTTATGTAAAGGTAGCAGCAGGATCTAAGATATATATAGGGCGGGTCTTGCCTCACGCATCCCTATTTGGATCGTGGAAAACTTCAGCAGCCAGGGGTCGGGATGGCGCAAGCGGTATGGCATGACACACCATGCATATCGGACGGTTGAGTAGGCGTGTAATAGTACGAGGGAGAGAGGAAAGAGAGGCATTCATGGATGTTCTACGGCCTTGACCTTGTGGAGTTTTGGCAGGCTAGTACTACCCGGGTAGGTACCGGAGACTTCGTAAAGGAGATTATACATGTAGACGGGAGCGATATAGATCGACAGCTGCCTCGGGTTCGAGAAGCAGGATACATGCCCTAGGTGACTCAAATGTTGGAAACTGGTGGGTTGCGTATATTTGGATTCGGACGGCTAGGTTCGATGGAATGGCCCGAAGAGGATACCTGAATTCGAAACGACCAATACTCCACGCCCTCGCCGGTCTCACTTCGAGACTAGATTAGCCGGCTTCGACGCGCTAGCATTGGCAGTTTCTAAGATCAGCTTAGGCCTCGCGGGCTGCTCCCACGTAACACGACCTTAAGCTCGCACTCATGTGTAATAGGGTGTGCGGAATATGGATTTCGCTGGTCGGCCGTTCGACCCTAACCAGGACTGAGGGGAGAGGGGCCGCCGTGGCCGCAGTGGCATTAACCTGGCGATATCGGCCTTATCTTCGGATCAGATAAGATGGTCGTGCATGAAGACTAAGTAAATAGAATGCCGATGACGGCCAGATCTGTAGTCCGGCTCCTTCTTCCCCCATCTTTCTCGGTCTTGGAATTCCCCACAGCTTGGAACTTGGGCGTACCTACTACGGATGCTTCGTGTATTTCATCCCATGCGCCAGGCGAAGCAAACAAGCGTACGGTGAAGATTGTTTGCGGCATCCTTTTAGCGCCGAGCCGGCAGGAGATAGCATCAGTGGATATAAGGGCGCGCTTCGCATAGAAACTCTCGATATTTCAAGACCTCCTTCAAGTCTCGTACGTGTATAATCTCTTCCTGTCCACAAAAGAGCGTCTCGGCTAGAACGAAGAAACGAGATCCCGAAGCCTCGGACGGGGCCGGTCTAGTTTTTTCGAGGCCGTATTCTCATGCCACACTATTTGAGCGCATACATAGTAACTCTTCCAGGTTTCGAGAAGGGTTTAATACTCTTACTGACTACTCCCATCGTTGCATTCGCGATGGGACTCCTTTCGTAGTAAGACAGGCATCCTTGTCACTTGGTTACCATGGCAAACCTGGTCAGCTAAATGCCTTCGCTCTAGTTCCCGGCCGAGCTAAATGGCGGATCAACTACCTAGAGCAGTAACCAAAACGGATAGTTGGACTAATTACCTACATATGTACGCTAAAGGTGCCAGAAGAAAAATAGCATCGTCGCCCTTAGGTCTCCCTCAAGGATATGTTGGGTACGCGTCGCCTACAATTCAGCAATCTTCAAAATTCTATGAATTGACGCAACTTCATATGTCGCGGCGACAACTAGGATGGCATTGGCAAGAGGCTAGAGGCTTAGCTGAAGATCGGCATGAACATACGTTCCGCTTATGACCCGCGAAATGGTGGAGACGGATCGGAGAATAGAGAGGGTTGAAAAGAAAAAAAATAGGAAAAATTTTCCCTCTCTTGCATCGTTACGTGGGGAAAATATGTTTAATGAGAGAGGGCGAGTTGTGGATAACCCATACGACCAAGCGACTCGCTTTCGCTGCGAATCGGTTTCCACAATGGCTTGACGAGAGGTACATGTGCAGTAGTAATTGGTCCGTGAGGGCAATGTATCTGATGATCTGATAAGATCATGTCAAGATCTCAGCCTAGAAGATGGGTCTTGGCATTGCCAGGGTCCTGGATGAACGCCGGAGCTAGGGGGTACGGTACGAACAGAAGAGGAATCGATTCCGAAGCAATCCGTCCAAATTATTATACATCGGTACGTAAAACGTTCCACGCCCAGCAAAGGAATCTTCGTACCTAATGGCAAATCGAGAAAAGGGAAAATGCCGAGAACACGAATACGCAGTTGAATTGCGCCTATTCGCGTACGTGTCCAACGTATAACAAGTTTGCCGTTTGGCAAGTATTTGCTTATATTTCATGTTTTCGTCCTTCAATATTTCTTGAATATTTCTGGGTTCTCATGAATGCTACTCCTCACGATACTTGCTTTGTCACAAACCTAGCAAGAGTACCTGGGTCTGTAAGCGACGTCCTATCTTTCTACATAGACGTAACTAGGTAGGTAGGTAACTTGGATGTAACATGAAAGTATGCACATGCCCAGGTAGGTACCTACCTAGGTACCTAGATAATTTCTCTGGAAAAATTCGTCGAGTCCCGCTGTGATCCATTCCGCCGGGTATCAAATATCATCCCATAAGTCTACCTCTAGGTAGTACAGTAATATTTTGACAGCGGGTTATACCTAGTATCGCGAGTACTACGTATTATCGATAAACTAGGTACTAGGTGTATGGGTATTTAACTACAGGTAGGTCATGAGGCGTTGGGCAACGGAACGAATATTGATATTAACGCTAATAGTAGAAATCGCCCAAGCCTCTTCTCAACAAAGTCCATCCCCCACCCTACTTTGCTTCGTTACATAGATAATATGTATTAATGGATTTCGAATCTACGGAGTCTTCCTACCATGTAATTGGGTGTAATCGACAAGTATCTACTATACTATTAGTATGTGTATATGCATGTGCGTATGCATCTACCTACTAAGTAGGTACCTACATGATCTAGTAGATGGCGCTAGCATGTGATGATGTAAGGTCGTACGTTACAAGTACATACATAGTCTCATGTATTGTACTTCATTCATTTAGCGTTTCTATTAGTCAATCACCTAGGCAAGAAAGTAAACGTAATAGAATTGTGACGCTTGACGCCAACCAAAAGTCAAGAAAAAAAGCCTCAGGGAAAAAAAAATCGACCGGCTAACCCACCTTTCAACCAATACCTACCTACCCAAGCTTCGCACCAAATTGTGACGAGCTCTTCTCGATCTGGCATTCATCTAGTTTGATTAATCTGGTTCAGGTTATGGCCATCATTGGCGTACCTTTGTACTGTGGCTTAAGCGATCCGGACTCGCAGAAGGCATCGAACCTTGGAACCTCAAGCTTCTCGGCCAGTTGGCGAGGTAATTCCCTGACTGCCTGATTGCCCAACCTATCGTGCCGTTCCTACCGCGCGGGGAAAAGCCACAAAAGCCACCTAACGGCCCGTTCCCCCTTTTCCAGCTAGCTCTGCCGCCCTGCGCCACCCGGCCTTAAATAACCTGTGGACCAAATTCGATATCGAGGTACCAAGATACCTGAAAGGACTCAAGTTTGTAAGTTCAGATTCAACCACCCGTGAGGACCATTCTATGCCTTCAGGTCGAAACGACATGCGGTTGTGTGTTGCTTCTGTTTGGTAACTTAAGGCTAATTCTGATTAGGGTCGACGGCAGCTATTTCTTGCCTAATGATCCTCAATGTACCTAAGGTTATGATAGGTAGTCGATGCTAAACAACGACATCGTCATATGAAAGACATCAAGCCATCCTCCGACCTATAACTTCGAGTCATAGTCTTCTTATACGTCCACTCGTGGAACTGGTGTCATAATATGACATGCTTGCACGCAAACAAGAACAAGAGGTCCTCAGCTCATTGCCTTTTCCCTTTGTCTCGCTTTCTTATGAATAACTTCGTCCACATATCACAATGGAGCTAGCAACGGACTCGAGGGGGTTGTCAATCCTCAATCCTTCCCCTAGTCTTGTCCGGGGACCGACGCTCTTGCATGATCTCGTGGCGCTGTCGAGTAACGATGATATGCTAGCGATAGATTATCGTTTCCTTGCTGGCGATAGATACCGCCTCTCCTATTCCGGGTTACGTAACGCCGTGGCAGCCTTAGCTGTGCGGATATCTAATGTCTTGCGCTCTTTAGCTCGGGAAGACACCGGTGAGAATCTCGTCATCCCGATCCTTCTGCCGCAGTCGCCGGTTCTTTACGTTGGGCTCCTTGCGGTATTAAAGGCCGGCGCTGCTTTTTGTCCTCTAAGCCTTGACGCCCCGAAAGAACGTCTAAATTTCATGTTGAAGGATGTCAGGGCTAAGATCGTCCTAACCGACGCCAAATCTGAGCCGAAACTCCCGGTAGATGAAGAGGTGTATAAGATTTTGATAGTCGACCAACCATCGGACAAACCTGCGCAAGAAGAAGCCCAGTTGGCTCCTTACAGAGTACCCAAGGCTGAGGACTTAGCATATGTCATGTATACGTCTGGCTCGACGGGTCTGCCCAAGGGCGTCGGTGTATCCCATCTCGCCGTGACGCAGAGCTTGCTCGCTCATGACCGCCACATCCCGCCGTTCGCGCGATTCCTCCAATTCGCGGCGCCTACGTTCGACGTATCTGTGTTTGAGATTTTCTTCCCTCTATTCCGTGGCCGCACCCTCGTGTGCTGCGACCGTGCAGATATGCTGACAGACCTCCCTGCTATTCTAAGGGATATGCGCATAGACGCGTGCGAGCTGACTCCCTCGGTTGCCGGCAGCCTTTTGAAGAAGAGAAGCAACGCCCCTGGATTGAGACTCTTATTGACCATCGGCGAGATGCTCACCGAACCAGTCATCCGGGAATTCGGGGGTGATGAGAATGAAGAAGGCTTACTTTGGGGAATGTACGGCCCCACAGAAGTGGCTATCCACTGGTAAGTTTTTCTCACTTCTTCCAGTCTCGATGACGTACTCATCTGCGAGAGCATAGTACGCTGCAGCCTGCGTTTTCGAAATCGTCTACTAGGAATAATATAGGGGTCCCACTTGACACCGTGTCGGCATTTATAATAGACACAGACACGACCGAATTTCGAGTGCTTCCTATCGGCGACTCTGGGGAGCTCGCCGTTGGAGGCCACCAGGTTGCCACGGGCTATTTCAACCGACCGGAGCAGACGTCGGCGGCTTTCGTCGATACGCGTTGGGGCCGGATCTATAGGACCGGCGATAAGGCGAGAATGCTGCGAGATGGCACTATTGAGTGCCTCGGGAGGATAGGCGGCGGTCAGGTAAAGCTGAACGGGCAGAGGATAGAGTTGGGGGAGATAGAGCATGCTCTCTTACGCACGCCCGGATGCCACGGCGCTTTCGCGGTTGTTGTCGCTAATGTTTTGGTGGCCTTTGCGGCGGTCGAAGAAAGCTCGGAGCCTGCAGGGATCCGTGCGGCTATTCTTTTCCAATGCAGGTCCTGGTTGCCGGCGTTCATGATCCCTACCGATCTCCAGATAATGAGACATTTCCCCTTGCTACCTTCAGGTAAAGTTGACAAGAAAACGTTAGTCGAGCACTACGAGGCGACAGCTTCTCATAGCCCGTGTGCGGAGGAGACATACGAGAATGACCTGGAATTTCGACTCTGCGAAATGGCTGGGGCAATCCTTGGCCAAAAGGTTGCTCCGTCGACTCGTCTACCCTCCTTAGGGTTAGATTCCTTGTCGGCAATTGAATATGCGTCGATGATTCGAGCCGTCGGAGTTGTCGTCAACCCGGTTGATATATTGGACGTGCCAACCGTGCGAGAGCTGTCGCGCCTTGTTAATGGTCGACGTGATTCGGTAAACTCGCTTAGCTCCGATGAAGATTCTCTAGGTTCTATGCGTTTAGAGCAGCGCGTAAATCTTTTTGCAAATGACGGCGCGATGCAATCACATCTAGATGATGTCGAGCGTGTAGAACTGTGCAGCCCTCTCCAGGAAGCGATGATTGCGGAGACCCTAAAGGATGCAAGATTATACATCAATCAGACTAAACTCCATTTCCCTAGCTACCTCGCCATCGAGTCGATCAAATCGTGGTTCTTAGCTCTAGCCCAGCGCAACGAAATCTTACGTACCGGGTTCTCGCACTTAAGCCACAAGCTCTACCAAGTTATTTGGAAACGGCTTAGGGAAGATCAAATCAATATTCTTGATCGTACTCGCCCTTTTGAATGCCTCGAAGTCGAGCATTTTCTTCGTCGTCCGTTCCAACTTGATATTATTCCTAACGAACCCGGGCCGAACTTCCATACGGCTATACTAACCCTACACCATTCAATATACGATGGATGGACTATAGATCTGCTAATCGAAGACCTTTCTTCGCTGGCGCGCAATGAACTGCCAACTGACAGACCTCAGTTCAGACAAATATCTCGCTACCTTGCTACGTTGCCGGAAGCCGAGATGATGAGCGCTAGAGAATTCTGGGCGGAACATCTCCGTGGACGCACTCCCCCAGCTCTACCTAACTTCAAAACCAAATCTGTGCCAGAGTCACAAATCAGAACGGTGTGCAGGGAGATGGGGCTTAACCCTACAATAGTGAGGGACTTCGCTCTCGGGGCGTCCGTCGGCCCTCAGGTCGTATTCCAAGCCTGCCTAATGTGGCTTTGGGGTACAGTTTGTGGCGTCGACGACACGACATTCGGTTCTGTATCATCCGGTCGCACTCTCCCGATAAGTGGCACCGAGAAGGTGATGGGTCCTTGCATGACCACGCTTCCGTTAAGAATAATTACTAGTAGATATACTAGCATTGTTGAACTCTTACAGGGAATTCACGCTATTAATCGGGAGACTCTTAGACATGGCAACATTCCCCTTGCCGAGATCAAGCGGGCAGCTGAGATCCCGCTCTCTCAGAAACTGTTTGATGTCATATTTGCCTACCAAGAATCCCTTGTTAGCCGCAGGCGAGACATTACTATCATCCGCGAGGACTCGCATCAGGATGCCGTAGAAGCTAAGCTTCTCGTCGAGATCTCGCCCTCGGAAAGTCAGTATTCATGTCAGATTACATGGCACTCGGATGCATTTTCGAAACCGCAAGTTGAATGCTTATTTCAACACCTAAGCCATTTGGTCAACTACTTTGTTAGAAATGGCAACGAGCCACTAAGCGGTGTCTCGCGGAGTTTCCCACTTGAACGGTTGTCTCTTTACAACGAGAAACCAAAGCGTCTTAAGCTACTATCAAGCTTGTCGGAACTCGTAGAGAGGTCGGCCTCGACCTTTCCAACTCACGACGCTCTGTGTTTCGCTTCTGCCATCGGCGCTTCGGGTCTAGAGGCGCGCGTGTTGACATACAAAGAGTTAAATTCGAAAGCAAACCGTATAGCTAGGTATCTTCAACGATCCGGCGTCGTCGGCGGGGGGGTAATTGCGGTAGTGATGGATAAGTCGACATTGATGTATTGCGCCATACTCGGAATCCTAAAATCCGGCTGCGCATATCTTCCCATACTTCCTAGCACCCCGTCGCAGAGGATACGACTGATTCTTGAGCAGGCTCGAACTCAATTTTGTCTCATTGACGGATCCTTTCATCTACAGCTAGTCGAGGGGTTCCCTTGCACAATCATCGACATCGCGTGCTCGACGTTGGCTGAATATTCTGATACTAATCTCGAAATTCCCAAGAACGCGTCCGATCTTGCCTATGTTATCTACACCAGCGGAACTACCGGCACTCCAAAAGGCGTCTCGGTTACTAACACGAATATATTGAGCAATATCGAAGTCCTATCCCGAATCTACCCTCATGAGCCTTCCGACCGAATGCTCCAAGCTTGTTCCCAGGCCTTCGACATGTCCGTGTTCGAGATATTCTTCTCGTGGGGTACCGGCATGTGCCTGTGCTCTGCTACCAACGACGTCTTATTTGGGAACCTTGAAAAGGCTATACGAGCGTTTCGGGTAACGCATCTCGGCGTGACTGTCACCGTTGCCTCTCTGCTAGAGCCTCTTCAAGTGCCTAGTGTCAAGTTCTTAGTCACAGCCGGCGAACCAATGACTGATAGAGTCTTGGAGAGATGGGCGGAACAGCTCTGGCAAGGTTTGTAAATACCTGCTAAGTCCAACTCACTATTTTGGTACTGACATGCTTAGGATACGGCCCTTCGGAGACCACGAATATTTGTACCGTAAGAAAGGTATCGCAAGGAGACTCGTCGCAATATTTAGGATGGTCTTTCGAAAACACCTCAACTTTTGTCTTCTCTCCGGGCACCGAAGAGCTTGTCCCTCTGGGTTGCGTAGGCGAGCTGTGTTTCGGGGGCGATCAGGTGGCCGCGGGCTACCTGGAGACGCCCGAATTGACAGCGGCAAAGTTTTTCGAGCATCGTGACTACGGTCGCCTATACCGGTCCGGGGACGTTGGGCGCATGCTTCCCGACGGCTCCTTGGTCATTCTCGGAAGGATCGACACCCAAGTGAAGCTCCGCGGACTAAGGATCGAGCTTCAAGAGATACAAGCGATTGCCCTGAGGAGCGGGTTTGCGAGCTCTTGTGCGAGTGTGCTTATTACGCTCAGGGGCACTTCGTCCCAGCAGCTGGCGCTATTTTATGTTCCTACTGACCACAGATCTACGACATTTGGTTTCTTGTCTCTTACGGACTCGATAAGACAGGGGGTCAGCATGATACGGCGGGAACTGAGAGCCTTTCTGCCAGATTACATGGTGCCGTCATTCATCTTTCCTATATCTGCCCTTCCATTGACGTCATCTGGAAAGGTCGATTATAATCTACTAAGTCGTTCTGTCGACGACCTCTCCGACAGAACTTTGAGTTTATGCAGTCATACGGAAGATCCTGATGAAAGTTCCGTGGAATGGACCGAGACCGAGATTCTCATATCAGAAGTGATATCAGAAACACTTGGTATCGATAGAAAGGCGATCAGTCGTTGGAGCTCATTCGCTGCCCTCGGAATAGATTCCATCTCCGCAATGTCTCTAGCTCGAAGACTTCAAGTGGTATTTGAAAAGAAGATTTCCTTGCCCGGCATTCTGTCAAATCCGAGCGTCGGAAGACTAGCTTCGGTTATTAATAAGGAAATGTCTCCCGTGATGGCTCATCCCGAAGGACGAGCTAGTATCCTCCCGGGGCGGTTAGTTGAAGCGATCCGACGCCGATTTGTGAGCCGCGGATTTGAGGAGGTGGAAAATGTTCTTCCGTGTACTCCGCTGCAGGAAGCTATGCTCTCGTCTGCTTCTCAATCTAAAGCGGGCTCTTATTGCAATCAAATGCTTTTCCGACTCCATTTACCGTCCCAAAATTTGAAGAATCATTGGGCTATGATGTTTGAGCGACATGGAATCCTACGAACGTGCTTTGTCACAACCGAAGATCCCCAACATCCGGTGGTCCAAGTAATTTTAAAATCCTACTTTCCTACTTGGAATACCATTCAAGTAGATAAGGACAACTTTCAGGACCGTATCGTCAGCCACGGGAGATCCCTTCCGGCCGTGCTCGAATCGGGCCAGCCTCCCGTGTCACTCGCCTATTTTATGCTCGATGACGCTACAGAATATTTGTCTTTTATTTGTCATCATGCTGTCTATGATGGTGTTTCGATGAGATACCTACTCTCTGAGATCGAGGCGGCATCCCGCGGTGAGCAGCTGCCGGCTCCTCTGTCGTTTGAGCCGTTCCTTCGGGAAACCCTTCCTTTACCTATTGAAGTAGATGATTTCTGGGCAACCCACTTTGCTTCCTTTTCTCCTTTTCACTTTGACAAGTTGCTACACGGAAACGATCCCGAACCAGATGTAGTATCCGGAAGCGCTTCCAGCAACTCGTTCTCGTACGTTGCGCGGCGGCTCCGAGACCTAAGCGTGTCGCTACTGCCGCTATGCCAAGCCACGTGGGCTATTACTTTGTCTTTGTTACAGGGAAATGGCGATGTCTGCTTCGGAAACGTCGTGAGTGGACGCTCTATCGATTTAGATTCAATTGATACCCTTGTGGCGCCATGCTTTAACACGGTGCCTATGCGATTGAACTTGTCAAGTATCACTTTTCTTCACGAGATCATCAGGAAATTTCAACAGCTCAATACCGAGATCATGCCATATCAATTTACTAGTTTACGCCGGATACAATCACGGCTTCCCGTATCACGGCTCTTCGACACCATACTCCTCCTTCAACCCCAGTCTAAACCCCTGGACGAAACTATATGGTCCTTGGTACAAGAGAACGGCGCAATGGACGTAAGTTGTAATTGGAACATTATCCCTTTGCACCCTAAACTAAGATGGTAATAGGTACCTCTTGTATGCGAGATCACCCCTTTACCAGAACAAGATGTCGTAACATTGCAACTGCATCGAGATCCGTGAGCACTAAGCCCTGCCCGAAACCCCTTCTAGCGCGCCATAAATCCACGTACTCACTCTTGAATAGTTCGATATTTACCCACCAAACCCTTGTACTGATTCTAGATATATTTCGGTTCGTTTTTGACGCCTGTCTTGAACACCCATCTGCGCATGTATTTACCGTCCCCGAATTACCTGCGCCATGGCAACACGACATCGCTCAAATATCTGTAACGCATGAATCACCTCGAGAGGATGCATGCGCTGCAATTGTAGAACAGCCTAACGACAGCGAGAGTTGGACCCAAACTGAGATGGCTGTTCGTTCGGTATTATCTAAGTTAGTCAAGACCCCAAAAGAAGAAATTAGACGCCATACGTCGATATATCGCTATGGTCTAGACAGTATCGGCGCCGTCCAGTTTGCGAATCTCCTCCGTCGAGAGCTCTTTGCCGTTTCAGCGGTGGACGTAATCGAAAACCCGACATGCGCCGGTATCGCCTCTCGTTTAATGGATCAAGGAAATGGCGAACAGTTATTTTCTTATAACTTCGATGCTTTCCAAGCTGCCGTTAGACGCGATCTAACCAATGTCCCAAGCCCGGATAAAGCTTATGAAGCATTGTTGCCATGCACGCCGACTCAACAAGGCATGATCTCGCAGTTCCTTAGCTCTAAAGGGGCGCATTATTTAAATTTCATGAGCTTCACCTTAAGACCGGAAATTGACCCTCAGCAAGCTGTCGGGGCGTGGATTCATCTGGCAAGCCGCCACCAAATACTCCGTGCTGGGTTCATGGCGGTTAATCATGAAGACACCTCCTATGCGATGATAGTTTACCCCAGCGTAGACTTCTCAGCCCCGATATCAGTTCGTTGTCAACCCAAAACGTTCGACGATTCTGAATGGCGTGCGGAGGCCACCTCGGAGGTCATAAATAACCTTTTGAAGCCTCCTTGGCAAGTCGTGATTGTCAATCATATGCGTGGTCCTCCAACAATGCATGTTGCAATGCACCATGCATTATATGATGAGAGGTCACTACGACGGTTGCTTTGCGAACTAGCAGGTGTTCTTTCAGGCAAGGTAGAAGATGGGGAAGCCTTGCCGATTCGATCAGCCATTTCTACGTGCCTTGAACCCGTGTGTTCTCAGGCTACCGCTACCTCTGAAGCTTTCTGGAAAGGGAAAGCCGAGGATCTCGTGATTAACAAGTTCCCAACAATGACGCCACTTTACGTTACCGAACGAGTCCAGTCTACCGTATCTAAAACGTGCGATTCGTCCTCTGAGAGTCTTCGCCGTAGTGCTGCCAGAGCTGGTGTCACGGTCCGAGCCGCGTTACAGGCAGCCTGGGCCCGTGTCCTTTCTTCCTATCTTGGGGAAACATCGGTTGTTTTCGGAGTCGTCCTTGATGGGCGGACTACGAAGGAAGAACAGGACGTAATATTCCCGATGGTGACGACTTTGCCTATTCTCGCACGTAATTCCGACTCCAATGCTGAGCTTCTTGAATACATGATGCGATACAACACTGATATGCGCCGACACGAGCGGACTCCCCTTACTAAGGTCCAACGATGGCTCGGGCGGCCTGATGGTCGACTCTTTGATACGATAATAGGTTACCAGACTGAAGATGTACCAAAAGGAAATCTTCCGTGGGAATTGTTAGATGAGATTGTGTCACTTGAGTACGTGGCCGCGTTAGAAGTTGTTGAGATATCTTCAAACGAGCTACAACTAAATTTAACGCATGACGCCCAGGTTTTACCACCGGGCCAAGCACATATTCTTCTACGACAATTCGACGCGGTACTTCTCGACCTTTTAACGAATCCCCAGAGTTATGCCAACGAGCTTCCGCGTCGTGATCCGGACCTTTTCTCTATCATTCCGGCGAGCCATCCAGAGCTTCCGTCTCCCGCCAGTTTCCTCCATCAGCTTGTAGAACAAACTGCCCAGCGCGTACCTACAGCAACTGCCCTTGAGTTCGTTGAGGAGTTAGGCAGCCCAATCCGACGAAGATACTGGACCTATCGTGAACTAGATGAGATGGGCAACCGTGTGGCCAACATGCTTTTGCGTCGCAAGATGCCTCCGGGCAGTATCATCGCAACGTGCTTCAACAAGTGCCCAGAGGCTTACTTTTCGATTCTCGGGATTCTCAAAGCCGGTTATGGATTTCTTTCCCTAGATCCTAGCGCCCCGGCATCCCGGCTCGAGTTTATCCTTAGCGACTCAGCAGCTGCGTGTTTGCTAACCGAGTCGGAGTTGAGTGTTATTTTGAATACGAATACGCCAACGTATACAGTTAGCGAGCATGAGCTCTTGGATTTCCCGGTTTCGTGCTGCGATGCGTCGCAAATATCGCCATCGGATACATGTTACTGCCTCTATACGAGCGGCACGACGGGCATTCCAAAGGGCTGCCTAATTAGTCACGACAATGCTGTTCAGGCCATGCTTGCTTTTAAGCAGCTTTTCTCTGGGCATTGGGACGCGTATTCAAGGTGGCTACAATTTGCCTCGTTTCATTTTGATGTGTCGGTATTAGAGCAGTACTGGTCATGGTTTGTCGGTATCACTCTCGTCGCAGCTCCGAGGGACCTTATACTTAGCGATATAATAACGACTATATCGACTTTAGAAATTACTCACATTGACCTTACCCCAAGCCTTGCGAGACTTATCCACCCTGAAGACGTGCCAAGCCTATGCAAGGGCGTCTTTATTACCGGGGGAGAGCAACTTCGACAAGAGATCCTACAGGCGTGGGGACCTACGGAAGTCATCTATAACGCATATGGCCCCACTGAAGCCACCATTGGAGTTACGATGTTCCAAAGGATGCCCGCGGATGGAAGATCGACTAACATTGGCACGCAATTTCCGAATGTAGGCACGTACGTACTGGAACCAGGCACCGAAGTCCCGGTCCTCAAAGGCGGTGTTGGGGAGTTGTGCGTGTCCGGGCGGCTAGTTGGTAAAGGGTACCTAAACAGAGAAGACCTTACCAATGAGCGATTCCCAGTTCTGGAGCAATACGTAGATCGCGTTTACCGCACGGGAGACCTCGTCCGTGTCCTTCACGATGGTTCGTTTGACTTTTTGGGTCGCGCTGACGACCAAGTCAAGCTACGCGGTCAGAGGCTCGAAATTGGTGAAATAAACCACGCCATCAAGACTGGTCTCTCTGGTCAGTTAGCTGATGTGGCTACCTTCGTTACGAGGCAGGCTGGGCAAGAGCGAGATCTCCTCGTCTCCTTCTTAGCTCCCATTGACTACCAATCCGGCTCCACGGACTTGTGCATCTGCGCTGACCATCGTTCTCTCAAAATGTCTCGGGCAGCGCTTGAAGCCTGTAAAAGCCGCCTTCCTGGGTATATGGTTCCTTCTTACGTATTATGCGTGCCGTTCATTCCTCTGTCAGCAAATAACAAAGCCGACGTCAGGCGTTTAAAGACTCTCTTTGCAGAATTGCCTCACGACCATCTACGAAGTCTTATGACGGACTCCACTATGTCCCGAAGAACACTCGACGAGAAGGAACATTTAATATCGTCGGCAATCTCGGCAATTACACAAATCAGAGATGTTGAGATACTCCCGTCGTCGTCAATTTTTGAACTCGGGATCGACTCAATAAACGTAGCGCGCTTAGCTATCATATTGAAATCCAAGGGTTTCGTCCGCGGGAGCGCTTCACTCATCTTACGCTATCCTCAGATAGACCGTCTCTCTCAAGCTCTGCAACAGGCGGACCCCATTTCCCTTGATAGACAGGCTCTTCAGGTCAACCAGTCTATTCGTGCATGTTACCATAGGCATATCGGCATGGTTTGTAGAGTGCTGGGGATCGACAAGGCAGACGTGGACTACGTGGCGCCATGTACTCCTCTTCAAGAGGGGATGATCACAAGATCAAAGATAGCCGAGAGTCAGTCGGTTTACTTCAACCAATTCCAGATTGATCTTAACACGCATGTGTCAGTCGAAGAATTAAAACGCTGTTGGGACAGTGTATTTAGAGAATGTGATATACTGAGAACGGCATTTCTCGCAACTACCGATGGATATATCCAAGTAGCCACCAAGCAAAAAGCCATCCCTTGGTTCGAGATTAGTGTAGGGGAAAAAGAAATCGATTGCATTGTATCAGAACGTCGAAGCATTTGGGTTACTTCGAATCAAAACATCTTACGAAATCCCGTGGAAATCGATCACTTCGAATATCGTGGAAGACAAACTATTCTAGTCCGACTCTTCCACGCCGTCTACGACGGACATAGTTTCGAACTTTTGCTTCGAAGAGTCAGTTCGAAGTATCGTGGCGAACCACCTACGCGCGCCCCCGAATTCCTTGACGTGTTATCTCGTGGACCATTGCTCAAACATGGTCAATACAGAACGTTCTGGGAGAATGTTTTCCGAGATCACGCGTTTCGGCCACTACCGGCCTTGACCAGTGAGCTTGGCGCGTCCGATGTCTTCGTTTCTCGGGTTTTTCGCGTAGATAAATTGGAAGCTCGACGTCTGGCTCTCAGGGTAACGCACCAGACCATGATACAAGCTGCATGGCTAGTTACGTTGAGCAAGCGCGTCGGATTCGTACCAACTATTGGCATTGTCTTCTCTGGGAGGTCCCTGGTTCTCGACGGCATCGAAGATGTAATAGGCCCTATTTTTAACACGCTGCCATTCCGAGTAGACTTCTCCGGACGGACTACTTGGGTATCGCTTGTTCGGAGTATCCAGGAGTATAACACTTCCGTTCTTGAGTGCGTGCATACACCGCTCCGAGATATTCAGAAATGGTGCTCAAGCGGACAGCCGTTATTTGATACCCTCATGACCTTTGATCGTGAAGATGTTTTTTCGGAAGAAAAGACGCCTTTATGGTCTTCCGTTCATTCGACAGCATCGCCAGACTATCCTCTTGCGCTCGAGGTGGTTCTATCACGAGACAACTCCCTAACAGTTAACGCTGCCGCTAAGGGAAATTTTGCTACGGACGCTGCGGTTTGTCTGTTACTAGAAGAACTCGGACAGGCTTTTGAAGACCTCGCTAGCTCGGATGATGATACACCCCTTACTAGTAGCTTTACAGAAAGTAATGGCTCAGCGACCTTACAAGAAGCACCTCGTGCAACAGATCCACATATTCCGAGCACGTCGACTACGGGTAGAACAGAGCTTTTCAAAGATATCAAAGCAAGAAACGTTCGACACGAGGTTGCTTCCTTAGCTGGATTGGCAGATGAAGACGTACTCGAGAACACAAGTCTCTTCGAGCTGGGTTTTGATAGCATTGATGCTATCAAGCTCGCCGCGAGGCTCAAGAGACTTGGACTTCATATCACAATCGGCGAGCTGATGAAAAACCCAACTATACGCAGCATCATTCTGTCGTATAATGCCGCAAATACCAATGGCACCTATGGACAGAATGGGATGGCTAGTCTAATAAACTCGGCTAACTCTTTGAGGGATCATCTTATGCGGGACGGACTAGACCTTCACAACGTCACAGCCTCTCTACCACCGACGCCGCTGCAGGACTCCATGGTTGCAGAAATGCTTTTATCTGGCTTTCATCGATATTTCAACCATGACGTATTAGAGATCTCTCCCGACACGAATATAGATCGGCTAAAGTCGGCCTGGGCGCTTGTGTATGCCAACTCTCCGATCCTGCGCACCTCGTTCGCTGTCGTCGATCATCCGAACAGTAAAACCGCGTTCTGCCAAATCGTCCGTGATCAACCGCTTAAGTTCAATTCGGCCGCGGAGTTTTCTAGTCTAGACGATATTTCAACGGTGATTAGCCAGGCCCGAGATAGGGCAGCTGCGGCAAATGGAACATCTGATTTATTCCAACTGACACTTGCGACGACACCGACAAATCACTACCTAGTCATATCCATCGCCCATGCTCTATATGATGGGTGGTCGCTTGAGTTGCTCCATAAGGATGTGTTAACTGCGTACGAAGGTCACTATCGATCTCGAGGAGGGTACGAGCCGTATCTTTCTCGCCTTCTTTTTGATTCTGTGACCGCAGGTGAAAGCTTTTGGGCCGACTACCTAAATGATGCCAGACCCACAATACTTCAGCCAGTTGCGAAAGTAGTCGATAGCCGTGAACCAACTATACATCGGTCAGAGCTAGTATCAGCGTTGAATCCGGATGCATTAAAGTCGTTATGCCGAAGATATCGTATCACTCCGCAGGTCTTAGCTCAGGGATGCTGGGCACCAGTGCTAGCTTCATTGACCAAATCCCTGGATGTGGTGTTTGGCATAGTCTTGTCGGGAAGGGATACAGACGATGCACAGGATCTCTTATTTCCAACCATGAATACCGTACCATTACGGGTCGTGCTTCATGGGACCGTCACCGAGTATTTTAATTATCTACAGGCTACCATGTCAGATATCATGGAATTCCAGCATTTTCCGTTGCGGGAAGTGCAAAAAGTAGCTAACCTCGCAGGCGAGCCGCTGTTCAACAGTCTTTTTCTCTTGCAAAATACCAAGGAGCCCAGCATCGGACCATACTCACCAATTTACAAGTCTGTTTATGCGTCGTCGGCCGTGGAATACCCGTTATGCATCGAAATGGAACTCACAGAAAGCACAGCTCTATGGCGCATAGCTAGTGACGAACGTTATGTGTCTCTTCATGATGCCAATCAGATTCTAAAGGATATCGAACAGATCCTATACTACTTTTCCGGAAACCACGACGATATTCTCGAATTCTACCACCCGTCCGAGCAGGTATCCATCTGCGGCCTTAAGCCTTTTAAGTTAAGTAATGCCGTCAATGGCGGAGCGGATATGACACCGTCGGATATGTCATCATGTAACTCGTACTCCTTTAGTCTAGAGTCACCCATACTCGACATCTTATCAGAGTTGTCAGGAGTAGAGAAACACGACATCGACCCTAATCATTCCATATATCACCTTGGACTGGATTCTATAAGTGCTATCAAGGCGTCATCCATGCTTCGAAAACGCGGTCTCGAGATATCCGTTCGAGATATGCTGAGAGCAACATCGATCCGCGAAATTGTGAATGGGCGAACTGAACGCGCCGACAGTCCGGAACATATCACTCTTGATACGCCTCTGCGATTAGAGACAGTCTCAGGTATGGCTAGAATGGAGACACTACTCGAGAGCGCCGGGGTGGGTCAAGACGAAGTGGAATCCGTCCTTCCAGCTCTCCCCATGCAAATACACATGTTAAGCACCTGGCAAAATACGGATGGGTTCCTCTTCTACCCGCGATTCGAGTACAGTATCTCTGGCAAAATAAACTACGAGATAGTCGCGAATGCTTGGTCTAAGCTAGTCGCTGAAAATCCAATACTTAGAACGCGCTTTGCTGCTACTGGGTCGGTAGAAATTCCCTTCGTCCAGGTCATCACGAAGTCAAAGCCGACAAACCCTGCGAAGCAGGTTACGCCAAGCCCTAGCCAAGAGAACTGGATCTATGAGGAGGCCGTGACGCCTTTTGTCTCAATCTGCGTTGATCATTCGCACCAAGGAACATTTCTGTATCTCCACATCCATCATGCGTTATACGATGGTATCAGCCTTTCTGCAATAATAAGTCGCTTCTCAGAATTATGCGCCAACATCTCGACTCCTTCTCTGGGACCTCGCCACTCCAGATGGTACGAGTTTGTCTCGAACCATTATTCTCTTCAGGTTCGGCAACGGAGACAAAATTTCTGGTCTTCATATCTTCGGGCCATAGAACCGAGACATCTGCTAACGCTACAAAGGTCGGTAACAACCGGCCAAAAGCCTCAACAAGTCGGACGGCTTCGGCGCGACGCCATAAAAAGCGTATCTGCTCTCAAGGCAAAAAGTTCGATTTATGGAATTACACTACAAGCGCTCTTCTTCGCGGCATATTCCAAGGCACTGGCAGGTTTACGGCGCTCCGAGCTTAGGGGGCTGGGTCAGGACGTCATATTTGGTATATACCTTGCGAATAGGACAAGTTTCGGTGGTCTTGAAGAAGCTGTCTTTCCAACGTTGAGTATTGTACCTCTGGTAGTTAGAAAACCGCTAGCCCGGTCAACTGTCGAATTAGCTGTGGATATTCAGAAGGATATCCTCGAAGTTGGCAAGTTCGAAAATGTCAGCGTCGGCTTATGGGAAATATACGAGTGGACCGGGATGCAGATCGAGAGTTCTGTTAACTTTCTCCCTGCCTTGGAGGATTCGATCACCGCATACACGAACCGTAGTGTTACAATGACCGAGGTGACTAGCCATTCAAAGTCAACCCCTGAAAGCAACGAACCACCGTCGAGCCTTGCACAGCCAAGCGCAGACTTTGCATCGCGGAATAAAGCAAGGAAAGCATTTCTAGTAAGTTATTCATCATTCATGCTGGTACTAAGGAGTCATATCACAATGCTAATCATAGACCCGTCAATAGCACACGATAGATGTCGAAGCGGCGGTTCATGGTGATGCCATGGATATTGGCGTATTCTGTCCGCCTTCCTTCTCAGAATCCAACGTAACGAGTTTGGTTGACGACCTCATTATTTCATTGGAGGCTGTACGTTAGGCTCCAGTACTTCGACGACACCTTCTGAATGGTGATCGAGATGACTGCCAGAATAGATGCCTCCCGACGCCACGATGCTATCAATATAGAATTCATTGGCATTGCATCTAACAGATTAGACACCATAATGCCCGCGCCAGCACGCCTTAGCTGTGTTCTTTAGCGGAAAAGCATAGATAGCCTTTGAATTCACTCGACTTCGGTTACAAGCTTCTGTAACTCTCGTATTATCTTCAGGCCTAGTATTAGTCTAATTTACCCCTGGTAAATGTCACGCTAGATGCATGTCTGGGTATGGTTTGGTAGCCTTTCGTTATGAGGCTATTGTTACAGCAAGACATTTATATATTCTCAACTGTCGAGCCGCCATGGTATATCAAGGTCTGTTGCTAGAGATATATGTGGCATGGTTATCACGAAAAGAAGAGAAGAACAAAGTGCTAATACAAGAGCCAACGGTCGAAGACAAAAGGAAATATCCTATTACGACATGTCCCATTGAGATTCTAGCCAATGCCTACCTACTAAGTACCTAGGTAATCAATGTTTACGAACTTGCCAAGTTAACTTCCAGACAATATAACATGCTACAACTAAACCGATGAGGAAGTTGCGAGGTTTTGCATGTCGCCATATATCTACCAGGTAGGTAAGTACCTAGGTGGGTAGTTCATGCGATGACCGTCAAGGCACTAGCGACGAAAAATGGAAGTCGGTCGGAAGCGGGGAAGTGCTCAAGAAAAACGTCAGCGAAGGCGACGATTATTCCTAGGGAATTTCCAGTTAGCTCAGTCCGTTCAGGAGTTGAGAACAGGAGCCGTTTCTTAATAATGCTGACATGAATGTCGGCCAGAGATCTCTACCCAAGTATGCCAAGGCTAAGATGTCGGGGATTAAACCGTCTAGCAGTGGCACGTTACCTAGCAGCCCCTCCGCCGTCCGTCAGCCGTACAGCAGTGGCACAACCGCTACAAGGGCATATAGGTAAGTATCTCGTGCAGCTATCCGGGGAAATAAGGTAAGGCCTGTGCGGAGAATTCGAGCTGTTCGTACCATTCATGATCGTCCCTAGGATGTGATATGCGCTGCGACGGCTGCATTTGTAGCCTACAGTACCTAGTCTAAGCAGTATCCTCTAGGTACTTTTTCGAACACTACGCGCTAGGTGCTGGATGGGGATGGTGTTGGGGATGGCATCGTGACTAAACTAGTAGATCAGATACCACGGTTAGTATGTAAGTTGACTAAGAGATAATTGCTTCGTATCTCATTTGAGGTTTTGACAAAATTGTAATACCGCGGTTCAAGCTTCGGCTGGCTTACTTCTATAGGAAGGTCTGCAAGATGAGAGAAACAGGAACGGACCAATGCCAAAGCTTTAGAGTTGTATCGACCACATATTTAAGCGCGACCATCCCGCAGCCAAGACTCGCTATAATATATTCATGTCTTAACGATATGCGTTAATGTCAGAGTCGCCTCCCAGCTAGGCAACACACGTCCCATCTGCCAGGCTGAGTCCTTCTTATCTCAACACGCCATGGCGTACAGAGTATACCTACATACCTGTAGCACATCACCACCGACCGCTGCGATTGTGCTTCCTTGTCCGCCAAGCTGTATATTGCGACATTGGCGCAGCGAAAGGGTCAGCCGATGCGCCAAGGCTGCCCTCTCAGAATACCAGGAGATTTATAGACTAGGCCTTGACAAGAATGTGCCATGGTCAAGAGGTCTGCTCGAGGCATCGTGAACAGAGAAGAGGTTCTCGAATTGGCAGTCGGTTTGTCCCATGTTCAACTTCCAACCATATTGACGACCGCAGAGTTAGGCTACCTAGGCAGCAATAGCCGGACCCTAGATATTCTACCGAGAGAAATTTCCAGAGTCGATTTCAGTCCTTCGTTGCGCTTCAGCAGCCTCGGTTGTGCTGGTTCTCGGCATATCTCTATGAAGAGAAAATCTAACAATAAGTCCGGGGCTCGTGAATAGGAGAGGCACTATCGTTACCCACAAGCGCCGGGAGAAACCTATCTGGAAAGCCTGCCGTATCGTAGAATTGAAGCCCTCTCGATACACCAATCCGGCGCTATTTCGTCCCACTCGTCCCTCCGATAGCTTGGCATGCGAGCAAGCCGGTCTACCGCGCCCAGGGACCTACTCCGAACGTCATAGGCCCCTGTCAAGACGTGCGGTATACCACTGCAACCGATAATCACTTTCCTTTCGTGAACTCGTATCGGGCAAGGGGGGAAGGTTATCAAGCTTCTCGTGCATCGCCGCCAATGGCGTTAGGACGAACATACCCGGAAGACCTTCTCGAACAAAGGAGCTTTCTGCGAAGAAGACGCCCGAATGATGGCACCCGACCGTATTCAGCGGGGCGAGGTAAGGCATGCTCGACCCCAACCCTGCCGATAAGCACCATGTCTGGTCCGTCAACAATCACGAACCTCTTCTAAAGAGGAAGCTCAGGGACGATGAGTGTCGAGGTCCAAATCGAATATCAGGCGCCTCGAGCTATATAAAGCTCAACGCCGGGCTGCCATAGACTAACCAGCAAGCTCAAGCATCTCAGGTCATCTCTGCTGTCCCTTTTTCATCATGATGCGATCTCTGCTATTACTCGGCCTTCTCGGCGCGTCGTTGCCCGCGCACGCCCACCCCACGCAGCCCTACAAGGCTGGCCTCCGACGCCGGACGGTAGACCTCAACACGTACCGCCTTAAGGAGACGGCTGAGTACAGCAATAAGGCCGCGACGAGCTCCAACAAAGCCGTGCGCCTTCTCAAGCGGGATGCGTACGTCGACACCGCGACCGAGCTTGTCAAGAGCGTTGCCCCGGGCGCTACTTTCCGCCTAGTTGACGACCACTATGTCGGCAACAACGGCATTGCGCACGTCAACTTCAAACAGACCGCGCATGGCTTGGACATCGATAACGCCGACTTCAACGTTAATGTGAGTCTCCGAAGCGATCGCCAGAAGCAGCTTAATATCCGGTGCTAATCCTCATCAGATCGCCTCCGACGGTAGCGTTTTCTCATATGGCAACTCCTTCTTTACAGGCTCCATTCCCGAAGAGAGCCCGCTGAACAAGCGGGAGTTCTCGGACCCTACCCAGGCTCTCACGGGAGCGACCAAGGTTCTCGAGCTGCCAGTGACCGGGGAAGCCTCCGCGGAAGCCGCCGAAGGAACCGAGACCTACACTCTCAAGGGGACTTCTGGCGCGCAGAAAGACCCTGAGGCTCGCCTGGTCTACTTTGTCAAGTCCGACGGTAACCTAGCCCTTACGTGGAGGGTAGAGACAGATGTCCTCGACAACTGGCTATTGTCGTATGTTGACGCGAACACCAATGAGGAGATCCATGGTGTGGTCGATTATGTTGCTGAGGCTACGTACCTCGTCTTGTAAGCGAAGTAGATTCCCCAGATCGGTTCCCACACCTGACAATTCTACTAGCCCCTGGGGAGTGAATGACCCTGACGTGGGCACTCGCTCGGTTGTAACGGACCCGTGGGACCTCCAGTCGTCCGAATTCACTTGGCTGTCGGACGGAAAGACCAACTACACGACGACTCGCGGTAGTAAGTTAACGACCGAATCCTGAGCTTCCTCTTTCCCGCAAGGAAAAATGATGACTGACGTATGAATTTATCGACAGACAACGCTATCGCGCAAACCAACCCCGACGGCGGCTCGGATTACCTCAACAACTACCGCCCGTCTAGTACGTCTCTCAAGTTCGAGTACAACTGGGACGCAACTTTGACGCCGCCTTCGACCTACGCGGACGCTTCGGTCGCTCAGCTCTTCTATACGGCGAACACGTACCATGACCTGCTGTACGACCTCGGTTTCACGGAGGCCGCAGGCAACTTCGAGTCTAACAACAATGGACAAGGTGGCCAGGGCAACGACTTCGTCATTCTCAACTCCCAAGACGGCTCCGGTACCAACAATGCCAACTTCGCCACGCCTCCGGATGGACAGAACGGACGCATGAGGATGTACCTCTGGACCGAGTCAAACCCTCCAAGGGACTGTGCCTTCGAGGCTGGTGTGATCATCCACGAATACACGCACGGATGTAAGTGACTATGCTTTCGTCGACTCTCACCAGTCAGAAGTCTCAGAAGCCGATCTAGCTAACCTTCCCCTCCGGAACAGTGTCTAACCGTCTGACCGGTGGCCCCGCAAACTCCAACTGCCTGAACGCGCTCGAGTCCGGCGGTATGGGCGAGGGCTGGGGTGATTTCTTCGCGACGGCCATCCGCCTACAGCCTAGCGACACCCGGGAGACGGACTACAGCTTGGGCGCTTGGGTCTACAACGACCCCGCCGGCATCCGAAACTACCTGTACTCGACCAGTCTTACCACAAACCCGTACCAGTACACGACCCTGAACACGTACAACGAGGTTCACGACATTGGTGAAGTGTGGGCCACGATCCTATACGAAGTCATGTGGAATCTCATCGACAAACACGGCAAGAACGACGGTCCCAAGCCCGAGTTCGATAGCAACGGCGTCCCGACCGATGGAAAATACCTGGCTCTGAAGCTTGTCCTTGATGCCATGGCCATGTAAGTGATTCAGACCACGTTGACTCGGAAACGAGCGACAGCTAACAACATCTCTCCCCTAGCCAACCCTGCAACCCCAACTTCATCCAGGGTCGCGATGCCATTATCGACGCTGACGAGGCCTTGACGGGTGGCGAAAACGTCTGCGAGCTGTAAGTAACATTCCTCTCAGCTGGGTTTCACTGTAACTAACACTTGAAATTTCAGCTGGACTGCTTTTGCTAAGCGAGGTCTCGGCCAAGGTGCTGCATACTCGAGCACCAGACGCACGGGAAGCAACACGATTCCGAATGGAGTCTGCTAGATGCGCTTGAAGCCGGATTATATGTATAATATTCACGGGATAAAATAGTTCAGTCTCTTGGTTAGTAAGGAACTCCTGGTCGCAATGGCTGCCATCGTGTGATAGGACGTCGAGTGTGTACCTTGCAAAATCGGAGTGCTTCAACTAATTTCAAGCACTGAGGATGATCATATAATATAGTTAATTCAAGTTTCATTATATTGTTCACAATTTGATCTTTTATCTTTCTTTTAATGAAAGGATAATAGGCCAGGGAAATTATTGAAATATTGAAGTATCAATGTCGATACCTAGGTAGGTAGGTAGGTAGAAGTAGATTGAGGGGGACAGGGCTTGTATTTGTAGGTACCTACCTAGGCAGTCTAGGTAAGATACCTACCTAAATAACAGTCCAGCAAGGTACTCATGTTTTAAACCCCCAAACCCATCCTGTTTTGACATGTCCCAAGCAGTTCCCTAATGTAGGTAGTAGCTGTCGCAAGCCGATATGGGTTTACATCCGATAATACCGGTACAATACTAATTTAGATGTTATCCCTTGCACCATGAGTAGCATGTGATGCAATCCAGACTCATAAAGTATCAATACCTATTCGCCTACGCACTATCGAGACTTTCTTCAGACCATGTCGTACATCGAAGTGTTCTAGATAGAACCCTTCAGTTTTGCTTTCTCTCTCGAGTCCTCATTCACTAAAGATTCTTAAAGAATCTGTCCATCTCGTCGCTAATCCAGCTCGATCTCTCTGCAATATCTTGGACAGACCAAAGCCCTTCGTCGGTGATGTATCCGTGTATGAAGCGAGCAGGAACCCACTCGAAATACGTGTTTCTCACTTGGAGCTTTTGCGTTGAACTACCCTGAGCATCAGCAAGGGCGCCTTGAATGATCTCAAAACTTTTAGAATTCCCCGTCCAAGCCTGTATCACCTCTGACGGGTCATTCTCTTCTGCTGAATGCTCCTCCATCAGACCTGGACAGGCTATTTTTTCGGTTTCGCTCAGTATCACCACTTTTGCATTAGGGGCGACATGTCTTTGGCTTAGGACAATGGGTAATGATCCGATTTTCTGCATTCCGCGTCAGTAGCTATCTAGAATTATTATAGAAAAAAGAACTGTGGCAGCGCCCTTCGCAATTCATTTCTGGTCCAAAAGGAGAATATAGGTAGGTAACAGAGTATAGAGATAAGCCGACTTACGTTGCTGACGTCGCCTGTCGTGCTAATGCGATCGGCCCCGAGCACAACGACATCGACGGCTTCTGCTGCTAGGGCCATTGAAGCGTCCGTGTATAGTGTCACTGTGAAGTCTACAGACCCCTCTTGAAGTTCGAGCAATTTTGCGGCTAGTGCTACACCTTCGCAGAGAGGTCTCGATTCCAAGATACGAAGGTCGAGCGAGACATTCAAGTAAGCAGCGGCCTGCAATAGGCATGCTGATATTGTAGAGCTAGAGGATAAGGTTAATATGCAGATCCTCTTCTTCGGTTCCGTTGTTTGGATGACATTTTGACGGAGATAGTTAGAAAATGTATCGCGGATACGGTCGGTCGTAGACTTGCGCTGGATCAGTTGATCATCGATGGATTCGATCATCTGTCGGAGCTTTTCTGGGGATGGAAGATCTTGATTGAATACGACTTCGACCCGATCAAGGGTTTTGACGATGGCGCTTGTGATTGCGGCACCCATACTCTCGCGGGCCTTACAAATATGCCAGGCGGCCATTCGGACATTTGCCCACCACGTATCATCAATAACATCAGATTTCATTTCCGTGATGAGAGTCTTCAGAATGGAAACTGCTTTCTCGGCGAGCTGCCTAGCACCGCTTTCATGGTCGTCCCGTAGCCTCCGTAAGCCGAGCGTTAAGACCTGGCCCGCATGGTGTCCTAGATCATACTCGGGCCACACCCTACGCAAACTATTTACGAGTTTGGGAACGCCGCCAAACTCGTCCGTCTCTTTCACGTCTAAAGGGTCAAACCATTCAAACCCCTCGTGCTCCCAGTCGATGGTGATCCCCTCTTCACCAACACCTCCCTCGGCTTTGTCCTTGAGGCGGAAGCCAAAGGGGTTAATAGTCCACTCACGCCCGATAGACGCGTCGACAAAGGTGTAAGGTTTGCCGACTCGAAGAAGTTCGATCGAGGAGAGGGTCAGACCGGTCTCCTCATTGATCTCCCGCAGTGCCGTAGCATATGGGCTTGCGTCATCCTTCTCGACACTGCCGGATATGGGCGCCAACTTATGTTGGTAGGTACTAACTTTGCCACTACGTCTGAACAGAGCGACTTGAACTGGCTTGTCAATACCGTTGGGGATTTTGAAGAGAAATGATCCGGCAATAGATCGCTTCTTCAGTCCGCCGTTCCCGCTTGTCGCCTCCTTTGAAGCCATATTTCGATTTTGATCAAGTAGATATCTGGAGTGAATAAAAGCAGGGAATCGTCTCAGGAGATGTCGCAGAGAAATTGCCGATGGGGAAATAGAGAAGAGGGTGCCATGATACATCCCAAAGTTGCCACAGATCATGTAAGTCGGTGGTACGTTTAATTCGTGATTAGTTGTAGTAAATCGTGAGGAGCATATGCTATAATCTCATAATCGAAAGATTTGGTAATATGAGGATATGAAGGAAAGTAGATTTTGACCAAGAGGTTATGAAATAAACTAAGATTAAAATGTTAGCGAGGTTACTGGAATACATGTATGAGTGACTAGGTAAATTCGCACGCAGAAATACATATAGATATCTTAATATTTTAACCTGCTTTACAGCATATATACAGGTACTTTTTATGCAATCCCGCTAAACCTAATGATAAAAGCCAATATACCGCCAGCCAATGATTATAAAAACATAGTTACCAAGAAATAAAAAGACATAATGAAGAATTGAGGTTTTCGAAGAAGCGCTTCTACAGTTGTAATTGGCACCCGTCCAGAAATCATACGTTCTGTTCTCCCTTCGAGCTCTGCGTACTCTGCGTGCTCTTTTCCGCTTTGTCGAACCTTGCGTATGGCTTATTCCTCAGCGCATTCCGGATCGCCGACTCCGGTCGCTGCACCCATACGTTATAGTTTGACTCGCTGTGAGGAAATAGGACCTTGTTCCTCGGGTTGTCGACCCATTCGGAGAGACGCGGCTTGGGGCGCGCCGCGATGGTCTCCATGTCTTCTACGATCTGCTGGCAAAAGAGCTCCAGGGGCAAGTCGTTGACGTCGTTGCCGAAGGGGTTCTCAATTTCGTGTCCGATGAAAAAGATGCCGAGAATGATATAAGATGCGGCAACGGTAGCCGGGATTGTGATCCAACCGAGCTCCAGAAGTAATTGGAACGGGAGGAGAAAGACGTAAAGCCATGTGATTTGAGAAATGGCGATGGCGTAAGCGATCGGGAGAGGCGTGTTGAGAATACGCTCCGTGTTGACCATGACATCGTTCAATGCTTGAAGACTGTTGTCTGTACCGAGGTGGCCTGTCAGCAAGTTTACACACACAATCAAGCCAAAAGCGACTTACAGGCAGCGGTCTGTTGCATCCCGACAGGCAATTGCCCACCGATAGCTAGTTCGTCTACATATGCCGTCAAGTAGCAGAGGATCTCTAGGGGGAGATTGCCAAGAGGGGTCTGAGCCTTCTTCATCAATTTCCGCGGGTTCGATGCCGCGAATGATAATCCGAGGTTCTCTCCAATTGCCTTGAACATCCCAGGCTTCGGTCTCATCTCGTGTTCCTCGGTCGCGGCTTTGGCAAAAGTATCGATGTGACCAACCAAATCTACAAGGTCGTCGTAATATGTGTAAGGCTCAAATCGAAGCTTGTGCTTCATGCTCGCGGCGAAGGCCACGATCAGGTTCATGGCGGTTCTAAGCTTGGTTAGGTAGCTGGCCCGAGTTTAATGTAAGTGAAGGGGCCCTACAGTTTCGCCAGAATGTCTTGCTTCTTGGAACCCTCGCGTTCGACGGCATGCAGCCAAAACACCCTTCCAAGCGCTTGGCTGGTGAATATCAACTGACTCCAATACTTTCTGCCCTCAGCGTATCGCTCGTACGCGGTCGAACTACGGAAAGACAGACCCAAGCCCACGACGAAACCGGTAATGGTAAGCAGGATAGAACTGATTCCTAAGTTGACGTTCGGGACTAGTTTTGATATAACGGTCACGAGAGTTGCCCAAGCAGCCACGACAAGCAACGGGACGATCATCTTGGGGAGGATACTGCCGTGCATCTGCATGAACAGAGGCCATTTCGAATGCTTAGATAGGTCGCGAGGTCCCGTCTATCGGAGAAAGGGTTAGCAACCACGATGAACTGGTGGGGTTAGAGCGAGTATCATACAAAATAATCGTCTATATCCATTGTCGTGTTTCTTCGGCTGAAGGGGTTGGGCGTTGCCGTGTGTCGCTGCGGCGACATGGGATATTCCTCTTCTTGGATGACGTGCGGGCTCTTTTGGCCGATGGAAACGTGGTGCCCCTGTTCGCCATCGTGGTTTGTATTGACCGTGATGCCTGAGTCCTCCGACATCTTGAGATATGGTAGAGGTCGAAGCGCGGGAACGAGTGGAGGTCGTGATCGACAGCGACCAGTATTGCTCAATTAATGGGAAATCTACAAAAATAACGATTGGTACACGCCTCGGCAATCGACTCGATCACGATATAACTTTATCTTGTGTACCACGACTGCGGATTGGAACCTGCCAAAATAAAAAATGAGCGGAAGAAGAGGCGTAGTAATGATGGAGTTTTAAGATCGGAGATCAAGAGTGAAAAGAAAGCACCTTCATGACAAAGGCCTAGAACATCTCCCTGTCGAATCCACTCCTTGTACGTACATCAGGGGACGGGCAAGTTTTAAATATCTGCTGTCCGTCAGCCTGAGATGTTGTCGAAGTTATTGGGTAGCGTCCAATGCAGGGCCTTGTAAGTCGCCCTAACTGTAAGGGTCCTTCATAGCTAGCTAATACCGTAGTGGAGTCGATTGAAACAAGAAGAGGTTTTCGAGAAGACCAATTAGAAGGGAACGGATAGAATAATTGACGAATCATACGCCACTAGCCAACGTAGAATTTCCACCGTTCCTGGATCCTAGAATAGGACCTTGGCAGCGCAGGGGGATCATGCATCGCTGGTATTTTGTATCATGAGGTGGTATTCTGTCCGATTACTCCGTCTTGTGCCTGAGCGGTTTCATACCGGTCCAAAAGCTAGTCCGTTGAAGATCGAGGTGAAATGGATACCTAACAAGTCGAGAGTACTCAAGTTGCCATCTCGAGCTGATGGAATCATGAAAGTTAGAGGTCCTATGGGGGAGACCAAGAGGAGCATACGTGGACTACGTGCAATTTCTAAGGCAATTTCTAGGAATACGAATCAGGCGGGCTCCCTTGCTCTGTAGGTACCTCCACATAATCTAGCTGAAGAAAATGATGGATCGATCTGAAACGCTCGGTCCAGAAAAAAGAAGCTTCTAAAGTTTTTCAATGTCTAGAATTCCATCTGTTTAGCAAGTGTCGCCTGCTTATTTCATTATACATACACCTACCTAGGTAGGTATCTACATGAATACCAAGTATGTGGTCTTGAATTGCTTTAAATCGCCCGCCGTTGGCGTAGGATTAACAGAAAATTTTGAATCCGCAGAAATTAGGGGGACCGTCACATACGTAACGTATGCAAGCGATCCATCGCCTGCCCCTAAGGCAAGTGATGACTAAAAGCCGCGCACTGGGGGCCAAATCGTCCGAATCTAAGCCACGCGAATGAGCGGCTGAAAAATCTACATTCTATGAATATAATTAATACCAAAAGTACCTATAAATCGAACACCTAGGCTCACATAGGATATTTTACAAAAAGACACTCTAAATCTGAGCTGAGGATATGTATGCGTCGCATAGTCCGATAGCACCCAACCCTATTGATGAACTAGATGCAAATCAAAGCCTGTCAACTGACAGATGCGTATATCAAATGTGTATGTAAGTTACCTTAGTTGGTACCTGGTTAAGTTCTTGACATATACTTTATATTGTTCTCCGGCCCATGCTCAGATGCTATAAACTCGAAATAAACCGTACATACACTTTGAGACCCTTTACATTGTCTTCATCCCTAATAAACAGATCCTGTAAGGCGAGATCGCTCACTTTATGCATCATGCCCCGTTCAAAATGTTGCCCCTATAACTCCGATAAACTGAGTTTGACATGTCTTCGACCCTGGTATCCCCCTATTGCTGTATTGTGTACCTGTACCTGTAGAAAAGAATTGAAGCCCGGATAATGACTACCGAACCACCGAGTAAACTCGTTCTTTCTCCTCCCGATCCTTCTTCTTCTTGAACAAGGACTTAAGCATGTTGTCCTTCTTAGGACGGAGCACCACGTTGATGGAGTTATCTCGGTCACTGCGACCGTCATCGATCGCCTTAATTTCCACCTTTCCGGGTCGCTTGGATTTGGTGGTGCGCTCCGTCGTGTCAGTCCGATGACTTCGGTGGCTCTGGGTACTCCGATGGCTGCGGTGACTGCCCGCCTCACTCGCATTGTCGGCCCCCTTCTCGCTACGGCTATCTCCGGCGCTGTCCCTCCGGCTCTTGTGCGTCTTGCTCGTCTTAGACGTCTTACTCGTCTTATTCGTTTTCGCTGTCCGGCTGGTCTTGGACGTGCGAATGCTGCGAGTGTCATCACCGTTCTGTTTGCGAATCGCGCGATCAGCCTCGGGGCTAATGAGCTCGAGGTCGGCTTGCTCGTCTTCTCCAAACGGCACGATGCCTCGGCGCCAACTCTCGATGGTGCTCAGCTCCTCTTCCAGGACGAGGGCCTCGTCGAACCCGGCGCTTATCTCCGACTCCGGGTAGTGATGTCGCTCGGCTTCGGCCGGCCCTGGCTGGTACGCCGGGAAAGCCATTGGCGTAGCGGCCATAGATTCCGCCTCGGAGACACGTTTGACGATCTTCCAACCGCCGAACATGACAACCGTAACTCCCACTGTCACGCCGGCGGCGATCAGGAACTGTGGGCTCGCAAGAAGAGCGAAGATCGCGGGACTGCCACCTTTGAGGACGGAAAGGAAAGAAGGCGACATCTTTCCCAGCAGCGCAGACAGCTCGGCGAGCGTAAGCGCGACGGCGGCGGCGGCATCGGGATTCCCCTGTAAGTGTTGAATGATGTGCGTGGCAGTGTGATGCAAGCATTGGGCCTCCGTAAGCAGTTTTTCTATCTTCTCTATCAAGTCTAGTGCGTTACGTTCCTTCTGGGCGGCCTTATAAGCAGGGTCTAGGTCGACCCTTTCCTCTAGATCCGGTGGGACATTTCCATATGCCAAATCCATATCGATCTCCTTTCGCTTCTCTCTCAATGCCGGATCCGAAACTGATCGAGGTACAGTTACGGTGTGCATCGAGGGCGCGATAGAAGGTTCATCGGCATAGGCGGGCATCGTCGGCGCATGCGCCAGAGTAGGGCGACTCAATGTCATCTCTCTGCCGGCAGTTTCCGCATATGGGGAACGGTAGGTAACGGGAGGAGGGCGTGAAGGAGCTGTAGAAGAGACTTCGCTATGAGTCTGGAGGTTGCGCTCGGTCAAGGCTGATCTCGTCTGCGATGCGGCCCGTTGTTTAGATCTCCTGGATCCATAACTCCTACGAGACGTCGCTTGGGAGGCACCATCGTCGTGAGATGCTCGCCTAGGCCAATCCCCATATTCGACTTCATCATAATAGCGCGGTGAGGGCGGCACATCAAAGGTCTCGCTGCGCTTCACGGCACGCTCTGCTTTGAGAGCAGCTTTCTTCTCTTGGTAAGTGGCCTTGGCCTCTTTTAAAACGTTGAACAGGTGTTTTCCCTGTAGAAGCGATGATTATTAGGTTGTGAACATTTAAGATACGGGCTTCGCTTGAAGTGCTAGACTTGGCTGCGGAGCGAGATATTTTTGTGCGGGGCGTCTATGGAGAGACACCCATAGCGTAGACGTAGCGCCGGGAATAAGGGTGATTAAAGCAGATTGTGAGAAATATACGGCTCGGAGTCAGGAAAACCAACGACCTCAACTTACATTGCTAATTATCTTCCCCGAAGAGTTCACAATGGTGACTATTTCCACTGGCATGATGGCAGTACTGTACTTATCCTTCTCGCAAACTTGGGAGTGAGTGAGCGAGACAAGAGAAGGGAAGAAGTGTATTATTTAGTTGCTCCTGAAGTAGCGGGAAAAGGAAGAGGCGGGAATGCAACCGGCTAGCTAGCCAGCACGGTTGTCATTCGTCTGTCAGGGCAACAACACGCAGCGGTGAAGGGATCGCTGAACATTGACGGGGGTAATAAAGTGGAAATAGGAGGTCTACCGTAGACGTACGCGATGACTCTTCTTATGTGAAACAAAACTTATCTACATAATGTCTATGTACAGTATGAGAAGCCGACGAACCGAATATTATATATGTAGGAAAGATATATATATCGAGAGAGAAACGGGAAACGCCTGGGGTAGCAAGAATCCACAGAAGGGCCAACAGCGCATCCGAGCCATCGGTCTCGGAGAACAGGTGTTGGTGATTGGCTGGGTAGGGGGGCAGAAGTAGATCAGGCGTGCTTGCAGCGCTTCGGCCGCACCACGTCGTTGATGGCCTTCTGGTGACCGCGAGGCGCAAGAGAAACAGGCGAGATCAATATGCAATATGATGTATACTTTTTATTCGAAGACCCGGTTTGGTTTCCATTACACCGCATCTGCGTAAACGAAACGGCGTACCATCTGCGGCCGCTTTCGCAATCCCAGTGGTTTGGATCTCAAAATGATCACGTTGTGGTCTTGGAGGCCGCCTAAAACCCGAAAGGGGAAATCGTACATGTAGGTACAACCCTACGTTGAGAATAAGGCGAGGAGACAAGATAGGATCACGACCAAAACAAGAGACGAGAAAAGACCAGCGACGAATTGGGTATGCGCCGGGTGCCAATTGATCGAGCTCAGGGACGATCTAGCTAGCTCAGGTTGTAGTGAAGCCAACATGCTCAGCGCGTTCGCCTCATTACTAGGTATGTGTCTACCTACCTACCTTCGCTGCTTCAGTACATAGCAGGAAGAGGGGTGAATGGCTGCTGATCGACGGCAATCGGGCAGCGCTCATTTGCTTGGCTTCTGATAGTAATAAGCAATTTGGCGAAGAAATGCAGGCTTTGAATGGAGACAAGTGGCGGCTATCGTGACCGCCCAATCGCTCAATCAAGCATCAAGCCAACGATCCCCCTCCCGTCGACGGGGGTCGTTGCTGAGCATGGGCAGCATGGGATGACAGCGGCTCTGACGGGACTGCGGGAGATGGCCGCGGAAAGAAATCTAAGGCTGGAATGGAATATCACTAACTAGTTCTATTGTAGTGTAGTATAGCGTAGTGAGTGGCTTTGATCCACATCGTGACATCCCTCTAGTCGTCGGGGTTCATTGGCCTATAAACCCATTGATCGCCTGTGATGCGGTGGTTTTCGACTTGCTGGCTCCTGCTTTTGTCCACCGCCATGACGATCAGAGGTTTTAGAGATGGAGATCACGAAAACGTCAATACCTTAAAACCCACGTTCCGCCCTCGTGAGCAAGGAAAAAATTTCGCTGCTGGGTCTCTGCACGCTGGCGGGATGACCATATAGACATGCGCGTAGGGCATTCGTGTCTGTTTCAAATGCTGCAAAATGCTGCAAAATGTTGTAATGCATGGCCTACTTATTGTGCCCGCTGTGCATAAATCCAGGTTCACGACAGAAAATATGCGAGTTCCCTGAGCTGGAAGTGAGATCTGGTCTGGAAAATTTGGAAAATTTGGAGAATTTTCAAGGTTGTATGACCCGTCTGTCTGTTCGGACCATTTATTTTATGTGCCTAGCACGTAACTCGAACTCCTCTTGGGCTCTGACCGGCGCCACATTGTGGCTAGTCGTCGTGTCCACGAGGACGAAAGCACACACCGACTTCCCTATTGTGTCTATTCTCGAGAACTGCAAGGTGGATATATCCATACCTGCTATGTATGTAGGTACCACGTACTACTAGTAGATGCTGCATGCAAAATTCTATGTATGTCTAGCAAAATTACCAACCAGGCAGAAGGGCCTCGGAATTAGTGCCCCATGTAGTAATAATACTGTGATACACTGTATGCACTTTATCACATAGGCGTACAGTGTATTACAGTATTATTACTACATGGGGTACTAATTCCGAGGTCCTTCTGCCAGGTAATTATTAGCGGGTCCATTTCGCCCAGTTGAAGCATTAGACGACGATGACGATGACGATAGGACGGATGCATAATTTTTATTCGATGCACAGAACAAAATATGCACATAACGTATTCTCAAGTCCTTCAGTTCATAGCTTGCTGTACAATTTTCGACTCCCTGATGCGAAAGTTATTATTTCTCGTCGATGTTTCTAGGCATGCGTGGGCAACATTGCCAGTCTGGAGGGAATCGCTAATCCGTCTTATATGAAAATCTCTTGGTAGCTGTGTAGGCCCAGAGTAAGTAGGTAGGTAGTTATCAACGTAAAGTCGAACATATTCCACAACTAAAAATTAAGAAGAATTAAGAATAAATACTAAAATCCATTGACTAGGACCTATGATGCGAATAACCTCAAAAGAGCTTGCGCGTAAAATTCCCGTCCCCTATTCTCTAGCCCCGCATTCATATACGCATTACCGGTACCGTCTCCCGTTTAGCTCTGTTGGAACGCGCTATCCTCTCTCCTCGTCTGACTTCTCGGTTGCCGGACATCGCCTTCCAATCCGAAGCCGTAACGCACATCCCCACCGTCCCAAACTATTCTTTCGTTGTATCCCGCCTGCTCCTGTAAAACGCCGAGGCCGCTCGCGCGATGGACAATCCCGTAGCCAACCCTGAGATTTTTCACGTCCCGTGGTAGGTCGCCCCTATCGTCCCCTCCGATCCAACCCAGCTTCTCTAGCGCCGGCCCACGCGTCGCCGCCACGATGCTCGAAAAACGGGTGCTCCGCAGCACCCACTCATTTTCCAATATCGCTAGCGTGCCTAGCACCATCCCCACGATGGCTAATAAGATCGTGAGGCTGTACACGATCCATAAGTCTCGCTCGTGGTAGTCGTAGACATTCTCCAACCGGGACCTCATACACGGATATCTGGTCGACTCGTCTCCCGCGGCTGTTCCGGAGCTCTCGCCCGGCTTGGCCGCCCACACCACGCTCACGAACTGTTGGTCGGAAAACATGGACAGTATCATGTCCTCGTATAGCGCCGGTATCGACTCCAGGAGATTCGACGACGGAAAGCTGTCCTGCGTCTGGTTCACCAGCGCTGTTTGGTCCGCCTTCGTGTTCTCGATCGGGTTATTGACTTGATGTGAGTCGATCGTGCCTTCTAGAAAGCCCCGTAGCTGCGTGCCCATCGCATGGTACGCCGCCACTCGCCTATAACGGCGAAGATCTCTCGGGTAGACATAGTTGCTCTTTGGGGTCGCCGTTGTGTTGTCGTTCGTGCCGTCGTTCGCATCTTCGCCTTGGATCCAGGTTGTGCTAGCACCTATCAGTATCGTTCTAGTTACTTGAGGTGATTGTGCACCGATATACGGGCACTGGATATTTGAATTTGACCCAATCGGTTCATGTTTAGGTAATCACATCGAGGGGTAAAGCGTTCCTATTCGAAGGTATTCACTTACTCCATGACACGACCCAGGAGCTTACGCTCCGTCACATTCGTGAACTGCCGGCCGCCAATCCAGTTGAACAAGACAGTATAATGGGCCTCATAGTGCTCGCACCCGATGACTTTGGGAACGAAGGATCCGTTCCAATTTGGAAACGAGTTGTTGAGAGGTACGGCTTCGTTCGGATTAGAGATTACGGAATATCCCACCCAGATGGCTGGTTCTGTACGGAACGCTCCTAACGTTTTCGGAAACGGAGGCTGGGTTTTCGGAATACCGGCTTGTCCAGTCTCGTTCATTTGTGGGGAAGCATAGTCACCACCGTTCGTAAAGGCATAGTAGCTATAGTTACCTTCGGGGACCAGGAGTGTAGTGTTGAAGCCATCCGGCGGTTTCTGCATACCGAGCGACTTGACCTTGGAGCCGACGCCGCTCGCTAGCTCGGAACACTCGTACGCAGGTGCCGTAAAATTGATCGTGTAGGAACAATTCCACCCAGAACCGCAGATGTCGATATCGGCGCCTGTTTTCCCAATTGGTTGTCCCATAAAGGCCGCCTGAGTCGCAACTCGAATTAAGGGGTTGGTGGGACCGGTATAATAGTCGAACCAGTCCGGCGAATTGGTATCCAAGCTTGTCGTATTCCATAGTGACAAAGATTTTCCATATAAACCTTTGATCTTGGTAGGAGTTCTCCATTCCTACAAATTTGTTAGACAGTTCTACCATGAACAAAAAGGTGGCAAGTCACCTCGAGTTCGTCCCGCGTAAAGTTCAGAGTTCGGATGCCGGGGCATGTCGTGTTGTCTGTCCGCAAAACCAGTCTCACCGTCAAGGTATTACTCGTCAATATGATCATGATAGGCGTGAGCCAGACGAACATCGCCAAGACCATGGCGATCTTGGCTCGCTGGTAGACTTCAGCGTTGAACAGGGCCGACATGTCCTCTGTTGCGGCAAATAGGGAATCCAAGGCCGCCACGCTGAGGAACTTGCTCCTTACCGTAGTCCATATGCGCTGTTTGAACGCAATGACTATGGCTGCTACAAGGCCGGCTTTGGCTAAAAACGATAGAATCGTCCCGTACCGAAGCATGGTGATCTGGGCGTTAGCCGGCTTTCCATCTAGGGTCTTATAAAAGATATGGTGGCCGACCGCGCAAGCTACGCCAAAGAAGAATGCCAGATACATGGACCATACCGGCCGCCAGTGCCACCACTTCCTAGCCGGGGGGATCACGGCCGAGTAGGGCGGTGGGGTTCGCGGACTCCTCCACGTCGTCGTGCTAGGCGTTGCTAGGAGATGTGCGCGGGAACTCGTGCGACTATGCTGAAATCGACCACGAGGGGAGAACGTCGTGTGGGAGGATCCAGGGGGAGAGTAATAATCCATAGGAGCATCTTCAAACTGCATCGGAGCTGGCTTGGGCCGCGGACCTTTAGACGAGGGATCCGGCAGACCTTGGAAGCTATCCATTTTAGGATATGATTGAGATGAAGAACTTGGAGTAAATTTTGATGGTGCGAATGATTGAGGACCTAGGTCGATCTCACCAAGCCGATCCACCGTTAGAGTCGATGCTGGTGGACTGGCCGGCCCAGTTGCGCCCATAATAGGAAGCCATTGTTGCGGTTCGGATGATACAGAGACAGGGCGAGTGGAACCAGATATGTTGTCGATCTGAGATCTTGAGCTAAGAGAGACATCGTCACTATTAATTCTACGGTGGGTGGTCGATGTTGAAGAAGAGGCTAGCTTCCTCGCAAGCGATTGCTGGCTCTGCCGAGGCTGGATTATGTGTTGACTAGTCGAATCGCCGGTATCAGCCATGTCAGGATTTGTGTCTTCGTCAGAATGGTGAAATACATGGAGCTTCCATTGAACTGTTAGTTCTAGGAGTAGTATGGTAGCATGACAGATAACGGTCTACTACTTAGGTACCACAGCCAAACTTTGGAAAAGCAATAGCATATGTAGAACCAAGGAAGCTCATCAGATATAGGTCCAGACGACGGGCTGACCCCACAACGAGCCCGGGCTATACAATATAGGACACTGAAATTATTCGTCGATGCGATGGAGAGGATGAGTAGGTAGTTTGTGATAGACTAACAAAGATAATAATCATTTATTATAGGAGGTCGGTTGCTTAAAAGAGGGGATACCTACCTACCTATGTCCTTGACCAACGCCCCATGACAACTAATCTGCCGTGTCTGTGTGCCCAGAAGAATTACACAACAGTTCTCCCCGAGCGGAGAAGCTTCGAAAACCGGTCCTATGGATCGCAAGTGCAAGACCGGTAAGATGGCATATCAGCTCTTGCTGACGATAGACAAGTCTATAGCGCCACCCTAACCTGTCTGCCACGAGCTCCGCCCCCGAATCTCCCAATGGAATCTTCCCAGCGGCGATCAACTCGAATGCCAAGTAAGAAAGGTTCTAAATTCTTACGGAAGCTTCAGCCACTGATAACTCCGTAATCATAGTTCGGTGCGGCTGAGAAGGAAGACAAATTTTCCGTCTCGGTACTCGTCGATCCTGGCAGAGGGATATTACGGACCTCATGTCTACCCCAGATCCTACCCATCACATCGTAGCTGACAGGGAGTAGATAAAGTTCTGTCTAATCCTGAGTATAAGGAAGTGCAAATATGAGATACTACCTAGGTGCCTATGTACCCTACCCTAGCAAGTGCTGCACTGGGTTATATGGATATCGCACGAGGAGTGAGACATGAATCAACATACCAGAAGACCCAAATTTGAAGTCTTTTGCTGCTTGAGATATTGGTCTCGTTTGTATTATACCTACCTAAGCTCCGATGTCTAGGTCCAACGTTGCTTTTTCGAAATGAATTTACAATTACCCATCTAGGTAGTTGGTCATGGTGGTTATGCGATATCTATAATTCGGTTGCGCTATTCTCCAACCTCAGATGCTATCTTAATGACGATCTAGATTACTTGGCTTTCTGAATGACCGGATTATTTACACAATACTCGTTTTCATTCGTTAGGGTGGTGATTCCATGTACTACGCACTATGTCCTTTATAAAGAGGATACACAATGCTCTTGTAACGGACTCGGCGTAATGAAAACACACAGCTCGGCACGCAGTATATGTCGCGGGTGGTTTCGGTGATTCCGTTCTGTATGCATACTTCTACTTCGTCCGGCACGATTTGAACGATAGGTACCTAGATAGGCTGGTATGTAATGCAATTGATGTAAACGGATCCATTGCGATATGAAGTTCTTTTGTTGTTAGAAGGTAGAGCTGAACAATCTACCTAGTAGGTAGAATTTCACTTTGGGGAAACACATCACCTAGTTGGCTTACGAGGCTTATGACGTTTTTATGAAGTACTCACCGAGAGATACGGCCTCACTAGTTGTGATATTGGGTCAATGACGAGAAGCTTTCACCAAGAAATACATCTTACCCAGCTAGTGATGATGCGGCGGACGCATATTCGTAAAGGATGTTAGTTGACTTATGCTTGAGCTTTAGCCTTGGCCTATCTAGCCGCGTCATGTTCTAGTCTGACATCAGTTTTGGTTCCAGCTACATCTCAAAGACGCCTGATTTAGTTCCTATTAATAGCAATCGAGATTCCATTTCTTCGATGGTGGTAGAACTTAACCACTCTCTTTGAATTTGAGCTGCTATTACCACTATTGCCCCAAGGCTAAGGAAACTCCTACAGGCCATTCTTTAGCGGATACATTTTCGAGGATCTCTGCCACCCTGGGCCTGGAACATGACCATTTCAACAAATCGGCGGCGGACGCGTAATTTGCATGTTTGGATGTATCTTTGAGTTTAGTCAAATGCTCAGGGCCGAAGCTGAAGGTCGAGACGTCTGGCCAGAATCATATATCTCCGGTGGGTATCAGGCCCCGCCGAATGTGTAGATAATTCCAAACACACTATTGACACTTGGATTTGGCTATATCGACGTGTGTCCTGAAGTGAACCTGCTTTAACCCGACGGTCGCAACATACCCCAAAGTAGTCTCCTTCACAATGAAGAAAGAAACTTCGTTATGCGAGGGGCGGTAGGTATGTAGCACATTGAGGTAAACACCAGAGTAGAGAAGTATCGATTTATTCGATGTTCTACGAAGCCCACGTCAGCACCATCGTCCACTGATCCTGTCGGCTAAGGGGCAGCAGGATGGACTCGGAATTCCCGTCCTAGACACGAATGGTAATAGGTCCATGGGTCACTAGGCTTCGATGGGGGTATGAGAACAGAAGGTTAGTAGATGGTGCATAGAGTCACAGGTGCGTCATGGAGCCTGTTAGAACAATGGATGTCCCAATATACAATGGGGTTCCTCGTCTAGTATATCATCTTTGTCGGATATTCTTGGGTTTTCTCTTTTTGAAGATAACAGTCGGGGCATCGCCCTCTGCGTTCTCTTCTTGCTTGACCGAAGCTCCTTCGACATGTTCAACAGCTGTTGGTTTGATATCTGATAACGGTGTATCCTCGTCTGTCTCCTTTTTGATGCCCAGCGAGGGATCTTCCTTCTTAACACTTGGTAGATCTTCCTCCTTAGGGGTATTTTCTGACTTCTCTTCTACCTTGGACGGGTTTGTGAGGGTTCGGTTGAGGAGCGCATCCAATTCTGCGTCGCTTTCGGGGACATGTTTCGTATCGCGACCCCATTTCTTAGGTTTCTTGAAAAGCCCTTTTATGGCATTCTCCTCCTCTTCTTCTTCCTCTTCAGGCTTTGGTCGCTTTCGCACGCCAGACGCGATGGCGTCGACGTTGCCTGGCTTGCTATCTGGGTCGTCCGCGTTCGATGTGTCTTGGATAATTCTCGTGTTGGTAACTGTCCACTCTCCAGCCATGGCCATCTCTCTTCTCAGCTCTGTAGGGAAATCGATACCCATCTCTGCTAACTGTTCCCATTGCTTTTGGCGCTGAGAACCGTCAGCGCGCGGCTGTGGTGGCGCTGGCACGCTGCCACCCGCGGAAGCTTTGCTGGTACTCGCGACATTGGCCGCAGACGCGGAGCTGACAACACCATTCAATCTTTCAACTTCGCGTTTCGCGCGCTCCTTCTCTCTTTGATCTTGTTCATGGTTGCGGTGTAGGTCTCGTAGGAAGCGCTTCAGGGCGCCTTGGTGCTTAGCGGTGGCCTCGTGGTTCTGTCGTTCGAATTTGGTGTCGCGCACATAGATGCTGCAGTGCTTACACCAGTATTTAGGCGTTGATTTCCAATATTCCGACATGGCGATCGAATAGATAGGCGTAGGTGAATATGACTTAAGGGTGGTGAAAGGACGAAATACAGTGAGAAGGTAGTGGCTAAAATTAAAGTGTTAACTGTACCCAAGTAGGCATCGCGTCATCTGGTATAGTGGGGTTGGGGTACCGGGGGCTCTAGATGCCGGCCCCGGCAGCTTCGATCCAGCTCTTTTTCTTTAGTCGTACCTACTAGAGCACGGATTTATTTATGTAGGCACCCAATCTAATCTTTACAACTACTAATTCCAACGAGATCATATAACGGGTTTCTAGAGTAGACATATTCACCCGTTTGAAGAGGCCAGCTACCTTAATAAGTCATTGTGATGTCCCCATCATCTCCGACAATTACCGTGTTATTTGGAATTAGCCCCTATCCACGATCAAGTCACGATGTCACGATAAATCCTCGTCTCACTGCCCCGGTCGTCGAGCATCAGTTCTGGTCATCAAAGCCACCATTAGATACGAAGGAAGACAGGCAAGCAGGTAGGTATCCGTTGGCATGACCCATTGGATAGGTACAGGTAAAGAGCCCCACGGCGAAATAGTCCTAGAGATATCAATTTATGTATGAATTGGAGTTTGCATTATTTCCCAACTCCTGCTATGCTGCAGCTATTATCAAGTTTGCTTCTCATTTCCATTGCAAAGCCATTTCACGCATTAATTCCATCTCATCGTTACCAGCATTAAGTCCCTCCTCGAACCATTGTCCGTCATTCTCCGGCCTATTACTTTCGAGTCCTCCTTCATGAACCTCGCAATGGGGAATGATGAGTTATATTTACAGGTAGAAGAATGCTACCATGGCCGTGATCACCAGAGCACCGACAGATCCCACCGAGACGCGCGATGATCCGCTCTGAGGCGGTGCCGAAGTCGCCGCCGGCGCACTGGAGCTTGCCGAAGCTGAAGACGGGCTTTCCGAAGAACTGGCGCTAGCGCTAGCACTGGCGCTGGCACTTGCACTTGCACTGCCGCTGGATACAGCCGCGCTGCTGCTAGGTGCGGGTGCTGAGCCCGAAGCAGACGGAGCAGGCGCGGAGGGAGCGGAAGGTGCGGATGAACCAGCCGTCGGTGTGGCCGAGGGAGCCGGTGCACTTCCGGGGGGAGTCACTTGAATCTGACCATCGGTGTACTCGCTCACGGGCACATACGTGCTGGTCGCGCTAGCCGTGATAGAGGCACAAGGCGTGCTTCCTTGCTGAACTTGACCATCGCTGATCTGGCAGATGGGAACAGGAACCGTCGTGGTGACGACCTGCGGTTGACCGTCCGGCAGAGCGGTGACGATAGTAGTTTGCACGACGCTGGTGCCGATAACCTGACCGTCGGGGATTTGCGAAGCCGGGTCATCTGAGCCGCATGGTACGGCGATGATCGAGACGGGCGAGCACTGAGCGGCCCAGTTACGGTCGTAAAGGTTGTAGAAGTCGCCTGATAGGCATCGGTAGAAAGTCTTGTTGCTACCGAGCGCGAGGATGTTGTTTTCGCAGAGAGAAAATCCACTGGTGTACAACGCACCGGCTTGGGCAGGGTCATCAAATTGGAATTGGTAGTTGGATGCGATATAACCAGTTCGGTCCTTGGCATCAGAAATAGTCCCGTCCTTCAGCGTCGACACAAGAACACCGTCGCTACCACACTCAGCACGCTTCTGCAACGAGGGTTAGCCAATCCATTTAGGTGCTTCAGTTGTTGGTTGGAAGAGTCAGCTCCCATCCCGGAATCTCATGTCCATACCTCTGGTTGAGAGAGACTTCGCTTCTCGGTGACCTCTGCGACGGTGATCTCGAACTTGCCGTCGAAGGTGCCAGTGCAACCTGCCGGTGCGGCACCGGTAGGAGTCAGCGTTTCGGTGACGCCCTGGGGGGCCGCGACGGCGACGCCTAGAAGGGCGGAGACGAGAGCGAGCGTGTATCGCATATTGTCGATGTGCGTTGTTTTTATTCTTAAGCGATCGGGACTGTACGTATGTCGACAGTGGTTTCGGAGAAAAGGTTGGATATTGTACAGACGGGTTGAATAGCGAGTGACTTTTTGCCTCCAATGTCTCACTTTTCGCCTCTTGCCTCTTCACCCTACTCTTATTACGAGACCGGTGTAAAATAGTTAAAGGGATGGGGGAGGAAAAGGGAAAGAGGGAAAAAGATCAGAGGGGGGGAAGGCGACCTTTCTTCCAGATTTATATGACTGGCGTTGCTGTTCATCAAAGCTTGGATTCCTAGGATGCGTATGCCGAGCCTTGATTCGCTGATCTGTGCCTTACGTGCCTTCACATACGCACCCATCAGCTAAGGTATCATCTAACCACTCTGCATATCCGAAGTCCCATTGTCTTCGACTCACACCTTATTAGTGTAGAGCCAAAACAAAACAACCCGTGGATGTATTTGATGTACGTACATACAGACAGACTAGATGTACGCAGGAGTCACCCCGGTTCACTCCTCATGCTTCCTCCAACCAGGATTCAGGAGCCCCAGAGGGATCGGCTCTTGTACCCTGCCCTACACGTAATTCACGGTTGTTGCCAGTCGATCTCCTTACTGTCCATGGTAGTATTATTGAAATCTCCTATAATTATGACTTAATCTTGGAGGTCCGGAAGCCCTCTTTGGCCGTCGAGAACCAAGCTCTCAGCTCAGATATTACTCCTTTCTAAGGGAGACCAAGCAACGTAGCTAACCGGTTTTGACATATATTAAGGTAAGTGATATAAGTAGGCTGGTAGGTACTTACTTCTTTGTCACACCTACCTATTGTCGTCCTTAGGTATCCCTCCGATTACGAGTATCATAATTATTTTCTAAGACAGGACTGGCACTACCTTTATGCTGTAGTGTATGATTGGACCTGATACATTTTGCCTGAATGGACTAGGAGGCTTGGGAGTTTCGTGTTTTCTTTGACGAAGAAAAAAAAATCTTCACGGCCCAGGCCATAATATTCCTGAGTCTTCTCTGTTGATAAAGTTGATAATCATTTCTTTTGAGATGAGATGCTGATCACCTTTACAGCTCCTCCTGTTTTCCCTGTTTTCCCAATTAGTGTCAGTTAGCCTGATGACGATCCTCACTGTTATCTACTTTGGCATTTCCAATACACGTACTCTGGGCTGCCGAGGAGGCCGTAGTATGCTAAGTGAATCAGGTAACTGATGTGTGTATGCATGTGCTCTGTTATCTCTTCTACAAAGGGGATCGAAAGGATCAACACCGACCAGCTCCATAGTCAAGGCTCGGTGGGGAGTGGAGTAGCCCAAATGACATGGGCTTGGTGCCGCTATCTTTCCAGTCAAGATCACACCAGGGCTTGGATAACTATGACTGTATCTATATGAATACTAGGTAGTAGGCACATGTCGCCGGATAATATGAGTTCTCAATGCATACTCAGATATATAGCAGTCTAGGTAGGTACCATAGGCAAATTCTAAGCTGTGATCAATGTCACTTGGTTACATAAATCCACTTGCAACCAAGCGTCACTAGTTTTTTCAGCGTAGCCACATTTGTTTGAGACTTCAAGCGTGCTGTAGCCCGTGACACCACTACTGCCATGAGCCTATGCCTGACTGCTGTACCCTCGTGCTGTAGAACCTTTCAGAAGCACCAACCTAGGTGGGGTGCTTGAGCTTTGGAATTAGCGGACGCGTGCAGCAATGTTGCAGTAGCTCCGTGGTGTTCCCTCTTCGGGCACGAAGGCTTCTCTGGTTCGTCCCCTGCTTTGACCTTAAAACCATCTACATGCAACTAGAGTAATGTAGCCGTCCTAGCCGTCCTACAGATATCCTAGGCCATGGCTGGACTTTTTCTTTCTATCTGAAACGTGTATATTTTAATAGCATCTAGAGACGGCCCGGGGAAAGACAAAAGATAACGACCTACCTAGTCCGTCCGCCTATGTCAGTGCGTATCTCCTCACTTGACAGTTTTCTGGGATGGAAATCAAGCTTCAACCGCCCCAGACCAGCATCCCAGGCGCCAATCACCATTTCCCGTCCGCGGCGGCAATCGAACGACGGCAACCCAGATCGGAGATGACGTTCCTTACCTGGCGACCCACCGGCATAGACGAAATGTATTGGTGGGGAGACAGGGGAAAGTGAGCTAAGTGGCAGGGGGGTGGTTGGGAAGAAGATTAGAAGCTGAGGAGATCTTGAGTCTAAAGGATGCTTTCACATTCTCGTTGATATTTCTATCGTCTCGATCTAAATCCTACTCCTTTTTTTATCGTGCCATACGCATCCTACGAACTGGAATACTTGACAGCGGTATCGATGTTGGGAACTGTGCACGAAATTTTAATACTCGGCGGAATAATAACAGCCTGTATCAATGGCCTGAGAGAATATTCCGCCTACTCCAACCGAACAACCGACCTCACCGACATAGCACGAGGTGAGTTGCGCGTAAATTTCCCTTTTAAAATAGGTACAGATAAAAAGAACAATAGCACAGTATCAATTGTAAGCGGGGAGGATCAGGGGGGATTCAGATCCCGCAGTCTGGGGTAAGGCAGTGGAAGAACAGGGGCAACAGAGGCCTATAAATCTCGGACAGTGTGCTATTCACTGTCCATTATGGAGTTAACGACCTGGACGCTCGAATGTGTCAAAATGCAACCCTACCCTTGACTATAGCCAGTGAGGCTCGCACAGATGGGCGCAATATTAACTAATCGTAGGGCCGTTCTATTCGCCTATTGGGTAGAGTTCCCGTCAAAAAGACTCACTTGCATTGGAAATAACAAGAACCAAAGAAAATTCAACGCAGCACGCAGGGGGAATCGTTGCAGTGCGCCAGCGAAATGCACGACCCAACCCTCCCCGACCTGCCAGCTTGACTGGGCAGGGGAAAAGAGAAGCTGGTGTGATGGTCGTGATGTGTTGTGGTACGAGACAACCTTACTATGTATGAGACGTTGGCTAGCTGCCGGTTGGCGGACGGACTGATGTTGTTTACCACTTCAACCAATACGAAGAAAATTCGACACGAGCCAACCTTCTCAGGATAAATACCGCTATAGAACGCCACGTTGGCTGAAGGTTATATCGTGAGTGTTTTAGTCAGCGCCAGAAGATGTAAATTTCCTACAAGGTAGCCGATAGAAGAGACGGTGGCTAGAAATTGTCCGTCAGTCCTGTCCTTGACACCCACAACTATTCCTTAAGTAGCCGAGGGAACATTTATGCGGCCTAGAACCATTGAACTATCTGCTCGTCAAATAACCGCCCACGATCTATATCACTTTGACCTCGCTTGGGTTTCGTCGACCAAATCTCGGTTGCTGGCTGATATCAGTTAAATATTGCAAGCGATTCACCAAATTTTCCAGCATCCCAACCACCTTTCAAGCCTAGTTCCCTCCTGCCATGCGTTTCATCGCTGTATGTTGCTACCTACCTGGTTATAAGAGACATTCCGAGAGACAGGAGAAATAAGATCGAGACATCTACAGCGGAAGGGGCTCATACGCGTGAACATAAAGCAGAACACGACGAAATTAGTGTTATGGGCATTGGTCCCCGTGATATGTTCATTGGCTTTCGTCGAGATGAGTGAGACCTTGTCATCTCGTCGTCTCGCGCACGCGCTCCTTCAACGAAAATAAACCTTCATGCTAAACGTAGTCACGTACGTAGCGAGGTCCCATTGGCCTGTGGATAGTCCGAGGGTAGGATCACAGGTGACAGAATACCGTAAAGAGACTGATCTGCGGGGCGTCTGGTTGTAGTATCACGTACCCTGACTCAGTGGTAGTTCTTGAAATGAGACATTGCTACATGGCTGGTTCCGAGGCAGAGCAGGTAGGATCTGAAACCTCGAAGATACCTGGAAACTGGCAGGTAACTTACTTGGTTCGGGAACACCGACAACAACTTAATCACCAACTTCTAACGTTAGTGTCGATGGTTAAACTCTTCTTATCTAGCTATACTTCAACAATGAGAGGCCAAGGGGAGATAATTTGGCAGGGATCGGATTACCTATTCCCGGAAGGTATGGGTTTCCAAAAGGCGTCGGTTCAAAGTTTTGTAAACAGATAGATGTGCATATTCCAAATGGCATCATATATTGTTAATATTGAATATGCTCTTGAGTCTGTCTCAACCAATATCACTGTTGTTGACTTCACCTTATTGTGATATCTCACTAAGAATAATCGTACACAAGGCCTTGAGTTCTGCCCAATGTGCTGATCGAGGTTTTGTTCTATGCAAATTTTATCATGCACTTTCGTCTAACGCTAAAGCATCCAGCTAGCAGAGCACGGGGGGATAGTCCTGCAATGTGACATCTGGGAATCAACTGTTGGGGGAATCATTTATGTACAAATCCGATGACCACCGTACCTCCTGTTCTTCATGGACTCATACGACTCGTCTAATCATACCCGTTTGCCGTAATGTCCTTTTCCTAGTCGCCATTTAACTACCAGATCAAACCTACAATCCTACCCAGAGAGAGCGGAAGTCATGCCAAGGACCAACTCCTTCGTATGCGGATCGAGCTGATCGTCGTTTGCTTCGAGAAGCCCTCGGAAGATGTTCACAAGCTTTGGAGAAAGCTCACGCACCGTCGGGTTTTCCACTGCATCTGAAGACGCGCTGTTAGAACGGTGAACTCGGAAAAGAAATTATCACAAGGCTGATGAAATTGATGACTGTGAGCGGTTAAGTAGGACTTACAGAGCTGGTAGATGCATTGGTAGATGGGCTTGTTCTCCTCGAAGTCCTCTTTCAAAGGGAGCAAGTCGACGATAACAGGAAGCACATCTGCGATTGGAACCTTGTCGGGGTGGGCTAGGATCAGGCGGCATGCGCATCCAGCCGCATTGTCTTGTAGTCGGGCATCCGTGATCTGCAACAACGGCTCTAGTTTACTTAGAATCTCGTTATACGCAGGGAGATACGTGTTGGCGTCCTCCGAGTGATACACGAGCTGTCCAATTGCATACGCGGCGTTCGACTTGGTCTCCTTATCCTCGTCCGAAAGACGGTGCAGCAACGGGCGCAACAGAGTTGCGGTGTGGGGAGTGACTGCGCTGCCCATGAAGGACACGCATTCAGCCACGACACCAACAGCAGTTGATCGCTCGATGGCTTCGTTGGAGCTAAGAAGCTTAACGATGAGCTTCTCGAAGGCCGCCCAAATCTCTGCAAACTGCAGGCCGAGCGCGGAGGCGAGCCCAATCAAGACGTCCAATGCCGTGTCTACGACGAGCCAATCCCATTCAGAGCTTCCTTGGGCTCCATCCTGCTCATCCTCTTCGCTTATATCCGTCTGGCAAGGGTGCGAACGATTGACAATAAGCTTGAGAATGGAGGCAGCCTGGAGTAGAAAGTCCTTCTGTCCGAGTATCGCCGGCCCGCAGGTCTTCAACGTAGAGGCAACGCTGCGGTTGATTTCTGTGATAACGTCCCTGATCAAAATTTAGTATCTGCCTTATTTATAATATGTCATAGTGAAAGTAGGCAAGAACGGTTAAAATCAGATTTAGTTCAATTACGTGTTCTCAGCAACCGCATGTAGCGTCTGAGTGAGCTGGGTATAACGTAGAGTAGTCATCATTAAGACCTGCTAGGAAAGGACAAGGAAAAAGAGGGAAGAGAAAACTTACCGATCAGAGTCTTCCGTCCATAGGTGTATAGTGGCAGTAGAGACGATTTCCCCTAACTTCGCGATGTGGGGAGATACCTCAAACTTAAGGGGCAAGCCCGGTTCCCACTTACGGTCAGCCTGGGTTTCCATGACTTCCCAGACGCAAGCATACGACCGCCACAGAGTCCCGATTGCGGTCTTCCGGCATCCTTCGTAGTTATGCTCGACGAAGGGGGCTACAAGTTCGACCGTCTTTTCGATATAAGGCGTACTCTTGGCTTTGGCGGCGTAGATGACATCGCCAAGAACCTCTAAGGCGATTTCTTTCTCAAACGCTTGAGCAGAGACCCCAACCATGTCATCCCAATCATCATCGTCGTCGTCGTCATCGTCCATGATGTCGACGTATTCGTCATCTGCTTCTTCAGAGCTCTTGGCCTTACCTTTCTTCAAGATTTCATCTACAAGGCCTTCCTGGCCTTCTGGTTCATCCTCCTCTTCTTGCTCAAGGCAATCGAACAGGCCTTTGAAGATTCCGGCAAGGGAATCGCCGAGGTCCCCTTCATATACCGTAGCTAGTTGACTCCATAGTATAAAAGTCGTTTCTCGGAGGCGGGGATTGCCTAGATGAAGGGCTTTCTCGCTTGCCACTAGTAGCGGCATCACGTAGGGACTGAATTCTTGAGCACCGACACCGACGGCCATACGGCCCATAGCATCACACACGGAGCTTCTCAAAGCCAGCTCGTCTTCGCCACTCTCGGCTACAATGTAAGTCGATAGGGCTTCCATGGTCTGTTTGAGGTAAGGGATAAATGCGCTCTTGATGGAGGCGGCGATGGCACCAAGCGCGCCAGCAGCCGAAGACTTGACCTTAGGATCCGGATGAGACAGGAAGGCTCCGATGCGCTGAATCATACTCTCTCCATACTTAGCCATGACCTCGGAACCTAAGCCCTCAGCCAAGGACTCGACAGCGCCACAGACAGAGCGAATGATCTCGGTATTCTTTTCGTCAGATTCATTGGTGCTAGCCGCATCCAGGTTCATAACCAAAGCTGTCATGATTTCATCATGATAGGCTGACATACTATCGGATAGATCTTCCCCCAGATGAATCAAACCTAAGAGAGCAGAATGACGAACACTCTGCTCGGGGTCCTTGAGGAGATTCAGGACTAGTGGCATGACTGACGAAATCTGAGTGGAGACGAAGTCTGGTGCACCCTCAGCACAGGCGCCGAGAGCTAGAACGCAGGCCTTGCGCTGTCCGGGATTTTGCGAAGTGGCATAGCTTCGAAATTCATCTAGCAGAGGAACGACGACTAGACGTGGCGGCATGTCAGTGGCGAGCTGGTCTATGACGGTTAAAGCCCTTCTGGCTGGCGTGTTATCCTCATCGTCGTCGTCGTCGTCCGACAATTCGGACAGGATCATTAATGATTTCTTCATGAGCTGGGCGCCCATGTCACGGATCGCCTGGATCTTCAGGCGACGGTACCTGACACAATGTGCCAGGAATCCTAGTGCTTGGGTGCGTACATCATCTTCCGCTGCCGTGTTCGTAGCTAGGTCAAGCATAAACTGTACCAGATCCTTGAAGTAACGAGTGAGCAAGGCACTGTCATAGGCCAAGAACGTTTGGAAGACTTCGAAGCATTGTTGCACTTTTTCATCATCCCCGTTTGCAACGGCGTCCTTAAGAACCTCGACCATGAGAGGGGTGAACTCTTGGATGGTGTTGAGAGATTGCTCATCCTCGTCAGAATCAATTAACATTAACATGGCACTGATAGATTGCATGGTGTTGATCCTAACATCACGACTCTGGGGGTCTCTAATGGTCTTGGCGAAGAGTTCGAACAGGGTGGACAGATGATCCTCGAAGTAAGCAGGGTTTGCTTCGATGAGGCTGAAGATGATGTATGAGCCAACCTCGCGATGAGTGACATCGTCGGAGTTGGTCAGTTGCATGACAGCAGGGAGTAGATCAGCCCACTGTCCATCGGTGAAATCTACGGTCGCGATGGCGGCAATGACGCGAGACAGACCGTGACGGCACTTCGCATTCTGCTCTCGGATGATTGCTTGGAGAAGTTCATTGCGAACCGAAGGTTTCTGATCGTCGCCAATATTCTCCCAGTGCTTCTCAACGAGTCGAAGGGCCTGGACAGAAGCAAGCATGCGTACGGTCGCCTCGGGATGGGACACGATGACATGAAGGAGGCCCAGTAAGGAGTCAGGATGGGGATAGAAGTTCTTGCGCAACTCTGCCGTTGCTGCCTTAACCTTCTGCGTATCGGCTATAAGATGATGTATGTAGGGTCAGAAAATCGTGTCTCATAGTTACATGTTGATCTTGTGACTTATCACTTGAGACTTAGTGGCTACATAAAGAATGAAAGGACCTGAAACATACGAATCTGGGATGCCTGAAGCAACTCGACGAGTCTTTGTTGGTCCATGGCCAGGGGGTAGTGGTGGTCAGCGCCGAGGCTGACCGTGTCAAAGAAGGCGAGCGTAAACGAAGGTGTCTAGCATAGGCTAGGTGAATAGATTTACGAAAGTAAAACTTCAACCGGATTTCATCGAAGACCTAAGGTCAACGATGTGATCCTCGATTGTTTGTTTTCTATTTTCAATGAGGCACCCTGGAAGATGTGAAAATTTGCTTGGTTTATGCAACCGGAAGGAAAGTGAAAAAAAAAAGATTTATTTATTTTGAAATAGATAACCTCGAAGGTGGGGTTGTCGCAATCAAAAAATTTTGATGGGTCGCATTTGATAAGCGCGATAAGTGATCCATTGGCACCTACCCCTCCATAAAGATCATTAAATGCATAATACTCTCTATATAGGTATGCGTATAAAGGTTGATGCTTGCCTAGATCCATAATTGATTAGCATACTTGATTTCTTCGCGATAATCCTTTCTTAAGCTTCATCTTTACTTCTTTCTGATCCATGATTTTATGCGATTGTTCTCATTTCTCATGCTTAGTATAAAATGATTTATGTTACCTACCTACCTAAGTATTTAGCTAATTAAGAATGAGATTCCTATGTCTTCGTACGGTTCGCCTATGATTTATTCACGCAGATGAGCATCTACGCAGTAGGGGTCTACCAGTCTTTCAGTATGCTTTAGCGCGTACGGTTACCGATCACCCCTGCTAGAACCGAATATCATTAGGAGCTAAATTGGAGTCCCAATTGTAGGTAACATTCGACTACCGGAGATCCTAGGACGAATTCAATAAGAATTCAATGAGGATTCAGCTCGCACTCTGTACAATGTCTCTCCTACAGTTGACGTGGAGAGAATCAATCAAGTCTCAGTCAGGCATCGCAGAATTGCCGTTCAAGTGAAGAACACGGATCTGGATTTGCCCTACCTACTAAGACATCGTGAGCCGTATCTCTGGTGTCTTAATGGTGGCTACTGGTCGATTAGCGCCGCTAGTCCTAGCACCACTTTCTACTAATCTCAGCTCAATCTAAAACATGGCGGAGTGAGTCGGAGGGGAGCCGGTGAACGAGTTCGAGGTGATTCCGAGGGGCTGAAAATGGCCTGTCTTCTTGGCAGCGAGCTGAACGTCCCGAGTCTCTCGCAATCTCGACAGACTTTCCTTTCTTTGTTAGTCACTGGGACAGAGGCAGAACTTTTCATCTCTACGCTGTTGGTGAGAGACGACTTCACGGAGCCATGGGACACCCACTGTTCTCGATCTTACTTCGACTCGAGCTCCTCCTTGTAGCTTCAGCCTCGAGGCTGATTCTTCCGCCCGCCGTCACCCAACCAAGCGATGGCGCATTTGCAGGTATACGGCATCCCGCGCCGACTGCTGCTCCCGAGTCCTACGCGTCTATGGAACTACTGAGACGGGATGGCTACAACATGGGTCACGATACCTGTGGTTTCGGTTCCCTTGACCGTAAGAATCCCCCACTCGAGATAATGTCGTTGCGAGCCTAGCTGACCTCATACTACAGCTGGAATCACGTATACCTGTTATTCCAGCGCCGGAACTTGCGAGGATATTGGTAACTATAGAGGATGTTGTACAGGGGGGTTGAAGGCGTGTTCATCTACTTTCTGGACACAATGCGATGACTATAACCCGACAAGTGTTTGTGGAACGAGCGTGAAGACCCGTTGTTGGTAAGCTAGCATCCCCTTGCGAACCTCTGTAGCATCTTGGTGCTTATACTTACTTCTCGCGCTCTAGCCAATCAGCCCTCCCGTACTGTATCACATGGTTGTTCTCTGTGAGTGTGAAACCCCCAGATCTGGAGTAACGATTCCTCTGGAATTTCTTAGCTTTTTGAAACCACAAGATATCCTCATTTAGTATCTATTAAGAGAGATCGAACGCTGACTGGTTGCTCAAGACAACTGGCTCAACGATTACTGCGTGGGACTGCGATACTCAAAGCGACATCCGAGTATTTGACATGCTTGCTACGCCTCTAAGCCTAATAGATACCACCGCCTCTTCAACCGACGATTCGACAAGTGAGTCTGCGACAGGGGACGCTACCGCTTCATCTTCCACTACAACTTCCACTACAACTTCCACTACAACTTCCGTAACGACCACTGATGCAGCTGTTGAATCTTCAACGTCAACAACCGACAGCTCGTCTTCCACCGGTGCTGGTTCATCGTCGAATAGTAAGTCTGGGACTCCTGTTGGAGCCATTGTCGGAGGTGTTGTCGGTGGTCTTGCCGTTGTTGCCTTAGTAGTAGTAGGCATCTTCTTCATTAAGAAGTACCAACGAGGTGCCTCTACGACCGAATCGCCGCCACCTGCGCCTTCCGGGCCTCAAGAGCTTCCTGGTTTCGGAACGCATTCTTATTACGCCCCGGCGCAATACGACGCTACAGGACAACCGAAGTTTGAATTACCGATGGCCGAGACTCCGCACGTTTACGAGGTCCCAAATACACCTGCCGCCGGGACCGGCTACAACCGAGCTGAATTAGCATGATGCGATGGAAGCTATGGTAGTTGGATATATATATAATAACAGGTTGTTTAAGTTATGATAATAACGCGTATCAATAAGTAGACCATCATCAGGGGTTACAGTGTCTCGTCAGGTTAGTTTAGCGGTGATTCGGGTTAGCCCTGTTTATAACGGCATCGGTTTAATTTGATAGACTGTAAATAACCATTTTTCGCTGATAAAGGGATATTATACAAAGATAATCGCATGAATGTCTAATATGGTTTGATCAACCAATCCAATTGGTGTCGGACATTCATAGTGTTTCCATACCTAGGTATTAAACTTGCAACTGCCTACCTGTGTATATCCTACGCGGAATACGTTGGATAAGAAGGTTCACTATCCTTCTAATGATCATAGTTCGGGAGAATTGGGAAACGACATTCCACATGGTACAATTAAAAATTGTTCCACATGCCGTTACGAATATTAAATAAAGTCAGTCAATATTTATGATCTACCTAGGATATTCAATTCTTGCCCACGCTCGAGATGTAATTCCTACCTACATAACGTGGTAAGCAGTCAACGCGCCTCGTGGGCTGGGATCGTTCGTATTCGGTTGTATTATTATTACGCCCCCTTAATATCTACCAATGCTTTGATATGTCTTGGACGAAGCTACTACTGAATAGCTCCTAGCGCTTCCGACAAAGATTTCATCCAACTGAAGTGTCCCATCCTAAGAGTCACTTCAGTGCCTACCAAGAACATACCTATATAGGTGAACATACACTAAAACGATAACCAGAGCGTAGTTAAACTGGTAGGATGAGGAGGCGGTCGAGGAAGAAAGAGACAGCTATAATCGACTACAGGCATCGATGGCCCACGCAGCAGACTTTATACGAATCTCGAATTCTCGACGAGAATGCATCAGGGAGCCAACCCACATCGCGACGGGTCAAGGCACTAGAGGCGGTATCGGTTCCCCTTCACTGGATAAACCTGAAGATTGAGTCTTAGCAAGACGATATTGACCACCACGCGGAGCTCATCGAGCTGCGGAAGCGAAAACGATTCAGCACGTCGACCTTGTCTGAAAGTCCTCAGAGACAAAGGTTCATACCTACGAATGCCAAGCCTGGAAAGAGTACGCACCCTTACGATACGGGAGTTGGAGAAACAACTACAGTAACAGCAGAGGACAGCATACCGCCGAGAACATCATCTAGGTATACGGAACGAATCGCTACACTAAAAGGCCAGTCAGCACGGACTCCCGATCATCTGCGAAAAGTCGATAAGATCAAGTCGACTCCGAGTCTTTTTAGAGACAGGGCGCATGGCCATACACCTCAGAAAAGGGATGATACAAATCCCAGCCCAGAATCTCACGATAAAGGTGGTTTCCCGAGCCAACGTAGAATTACGTTTCGAAGCATTTCAGGGCTAGATAGAAAGAACCGGAGCAAGATTTCTCATACGAATCCTTCGGAAACGATTTCAACATCCCCACCTCAGACACCAACAGGACTAGACACCCCAACAGAAAATCGGCGGGCAAGATGGTGGAAGGTCAAGAAACAGAGAAGCGTGCATGAATACGAACGAGATCAGGACATCACATCCGGTCTCATCGAGGCACCACCGGTGCTAGACGAGGACGAAGACGAGATAGGGGATGATCTAGCAGCAATGGTTAGACCTCGATGCACACGGAAAAACGTCAAACCTCGCCACGGAAGTAAATATCACAAAGGAGAGGTTACGAAGAAGGTGCCCTCAGGCGATATGAGAAGGATTCTTAAGAATTCCAGAGGAGGTAGCAGGCAACAGGAAGAAATCCACCAAGGAGCATCGAAGGCTGCACATTATTATCCCTCTTCACAGCCAGATAGGGATTCCTTGAAGACTTCGGGTCCCGGGATCCAGAGAGGTCATCGGAAGAGCGTGTCCTCGTCCCAAGCTCACCCAAGCACGACCGGGACAAGCTCCACGCCAGGTACGACAACCGTCCACAGGGACTTCGCACAAGACGATTGGCGCGAGACACCGTCGCCGATGACGCCAAACCAGATCCTACGCTTCTTGTTCGGACCAAGGAAAACCCCTCTGTCGGGAACAGTAACCCAGTCAGAACTTCCCGAGGAACCCAAGATCAGCGTATCGACAAGCACTCCTCCACTTAGACGGCAAAGCCGGGAGAGTCGCACTTCTGGTAGACCGTCAACGGAGAGCAAGAACAAGACTTGGTTTCCTTTCCGGATAACGCCTAGGCCGCAACTAGACGCCTCACCGCAAGACAGCGGCGAGAAAAGCTCAAGAGGGGGAGGACAAGGAGAGCATCTGGAGCCAATGGCGGGAGAGCCGGTTCCAAGCAGATCGCCAAACCTGAAGAAACCTTGGGACAGGATATTGCGAAAGAGATGGCGAAGCGGATAGATTGTTAAGGGCCCGGCGTTATCGAAGCAGATTCAAAGCTGGTGTCGTGAGAATTCGAAGGGGGATATCCGGAGTTAAGTGGGTTTAGAGGTGTGGTTTGTTAACCCGATGAGAGTGGGTAATAAGTATGTACCTACTCCCTAGTAGTAATATACCATATCCTTTCTATAGTGCCTGTTGTAATTGGCTTTGTAATACGATGTATAATCATACCTGATGTATGTATGTATTACAATGCTTCTGACTAAAGGGACACTCTCACTTTTTATTGGGTTGATGAAACGACACTTAAGTAAAATATAGGAAGCTGTTCTGGGTAACATGCAAGTAACTTGACGTGCTTGTCCAAAGGTACCGACGCTGAGGTGCTGATGGATACAGGTACAGGTCCTCGGATACCTCGCTTTGCGCCTCAAGAGTGGGACTGGGACGGCGGGGTTTGTCTTAGACCCCCGACGCCAGTGGCCAACCAGGTATTGTATATAGGTAGCACTATACGTACGTAGTACAGGGCAATGGAGGGGCGAGTGGGATTTAGAGGGGTCGACGAAGCCGGAATAGCTAGAAGGAAGCTTTTCTCTAAAGGAAATAAGGAGCTTCGTTGCTGATAAATATCTGTACCTCGTTCCTCCTCTTTGCGCCAATTACTATCCTGCGTCGCTCACACACCTTCAACTCTTCTAACTCTTTTTGATAGCTATCATAGCTCTCTGACAGTTTACATAACCCACACACGTCTGCTTACATAGGACCTACATATAAGTACCTAGTCATCGGCATAAATCGAAAATGGCATCTAACCCTCCCGGAGACTGTTGCACCAAGGGCTTCAGATATGAGTAAGTTCTACCTCTTTTTTTTTTTTTTTTTTGTGTCTTCTTTTCTTTCCTCTCTCCTTCACTTGTTCTATGGGGTTCCTAAGTTGAATCTTAACTGACTAAACCACCGTGCAGAGGCACCCCAACAGGCAAAGACTTCAAAGTCGGCGAGCACGATGCTTACCTGGCCACTCCCGCCTCTAACGCCAAGGCGGACACTGCTATTCTGTTCATCCCGGACGTCATCAGCATCTGGCAGAACAGCAGGTTGATCGCTGATCAGTTCGCTGAGAGAGGCTACCTCACCCTTATCATCGACCCCTTCAAGGGTGATGCCCTGAGCCTAAATCGCCCCGACGGCTTCGACTTTGTTTCCTGGTTGACCAAGGGTAGCAATGGCCAAAACCCTCACACCACCGAAGCCGTTGACCCTATCATCGAGGAGGCTATCAAATATCTCAAAGACGCGCATCACGTCAAGAAATTAGGAGCTGTCGGCTACTGCTTTGGTGCCAAGGTATGTCCTTGATCTCCTTCCTGGCAAGTAAGAAAGTTGCTAACAATCTATCTCCGCAGTACGTTTGTCGCCACTTTAAGAACGGTATCGAAGTCGGCTTTGTTGCTCACCCCTCCTTCGTAGAGGAGGATGAGCTCGAGGGCTTCAAGGGGCCGCTGTCTATTGCTGCCGCCGAAACGGACGCCATCTTTCCGGCTGAGAAGCGCCACAAGTCCGAGGAGATCCTCGCCAAGAAGGGTGACCCTTACCAGATCTACCTGTACTCCCAGGTCGTCCACGGCTTCTCTGTCCGCTGCGACACCAGCAAGAAGATTGAGCGCTTCGCCATGGAGCGGGCCTTCGAGCAGGCTGTCGTCTGGTTCGATACCTGGCTGATCTGATAAAACCGTAATCTTGACACACAAACCCGAGGAAGTCACAGGTAGTCGTCATGCGATGTGTGCTATGTCCGACGGAAGGTTATAGCCTACAAATAAATCCATAGATAAATGAAGGCTCGACCTAGACGTTCGAGATATCTCTTGGTGTACATTAACTGATGCGTACCTAGGTATTTGCCCATCGCGAGACCTCTTGACCGTGAACTATGCCCATTGTGAAGTTATCATGTAGTGAAAGAGTACAGTTACTCACCGGTCTCGCCGGTCTTTTGCGCAGCTAACAGTTGACTCTGCAAACCCTTCTTGCCCACATTCATCGCCTTTTCCAGTTCGCGCTCTTCCTCTCTTAAGGTGGCCTTTCCATATTCCAATTGTCGCTTTTGTCGGCGCTTTTCCTCGGCTACGACGCGCTCACGCTCTTCGAGCGCCTTCTCCCGCTTCCTCCGCTCCTCCCTCGCTTTCTGCGCTGCCTCGTCCTCTTCGATCTTATCTTCCGTAGGTGGAGGACTAAACGTCTGGATGTACGCTTCGATTAAGGGGTCTCGCGTCTGCGGGTCGAGACTGATGTAGCGCACATCGGCGAGCACTTGCGGAGGGAGATTTGCTAGATGAGTAGTCTTGTTGAGGTCACGAAGGGATACACTGCGTAGTAGTGCAGTCAAGTCTTTCTTAAGGGTATCCGGAGGAAGCTTTAGTCGATTGATATGTTCGCGGTACCACTTCTCGCGATCGCGATCGTTGAGGGAAGAATCGCGCATGGGCGGTTCCTTTTTATACTTCCGGCGGAATTCAGGCCAGTACAATTTAGGCGTTGCTTTCTGTTGCAGAAATGCAAGGTAAGGGATCTTGGGGTCCTTCTTTTCTTCCTTGGCGCGCTGCTCTTTCAGAATCTGTATCCGTTCACGGCTCCACTCCTCCCAGACTTCTTTGCGGGCTTTCATGGTGTTAAGCACAGTATATCGCGAATCGTCGATGATGCGGCCCTCCTCAATCAGCTTCTCCCACGGCGAATAGGGGTTGATACCATAGTCATTTAATAGGTCTTTGAATAACTCTTTCGCATCTGCGTCGGAGAGAGGCAGACCCTCAGCACCTTCGGGCCACGCGTCGGGGTTCCCATCGTCATATTCGCCGGGGTCGAGACCATAATCGTCACCCATTGCTTGCAGTTGATAGGCAAAGTCATCCTCGTTGAATTCGACCGGCATATCTTCTGTGGGTTCTTCCGTACGCTGGCGTTTTGCGTGGTGTTCATCGGCATCGTCTCCTTCTTCGCCTTCATCATCCGTGACCTCCACTTCTTCGTAATCGGAACCTATATCAACCTGGTCTTCTACTTCGCTAGCTGCCACACCAGCAGAAACTTCTCTTTGAGGTTCCGCGGACGTAGATCCCTCGGTATTTGCTCTTTGGCCTTGGATACCAGCGGCCTTCTCCTGAGCACCTTTAATATCTAACTCGAGCACGCCCTTCATTACCTTCTCAGGTATCCTCCAGTAGCTTGCGTTCTTGACAGGGTTATACGCAAACCGGCGACCGTATTTGGTGTACACCAGCAGCCACGGCTCGCAACCTGGAATGGCGACCTTGGACTTTGGCTTGTCGTTGGGCTGCGGGCGCGGGCGATCCCCTCTCCCATCTGGGGTCCCACGGCGTCCGCCACGCCCTCCATGTTGCTGCTGCTGCGCTTGCCGTTGTCGCGCTGGGTCATACTGGGCGAGGAAGGCGTTCGCTGTCGCGGGGTCGGAGAGTTGGGGTACGGTCGAGTACTGGAAGAAACTGGCGTGAGGGTCTCGAGGAGGCGGAGTAGGTTGGGCAACAGCTTCTGTTGTTGGAATTGGTGGCGCAGCTGGTCGTGTATATGTTGATTCTTTCGTTTTGGCGTTGTAATAGTATGTGTGGCCGGTAGGTGCTTTATGTTCTGTCCAACCAGGAGGTAGAGGCGGTGGGGCATTCGAGGAGGGTTTATACGTTGATTTTAACATAGCTGTAGAGTTGACAGATGAGAAGGGAGGGATGTTTGGTATCGAGGTTCGGGTGATCTGGCGCGGGCGACAGAGTGGATGGTTGTAAATACGATGTAAAAAAACAATTGCGAAAACAATTGAAGATAAAAAAGTTAGATAGGTATGTACTTAGGTACCTACATGGCTTAATTCAATTTAAGTTTGACTTACAGCGAAAATATGGGGTAAATGCAGGGTACCTAATGGTACCTGCTAGCCTGTAGGCATACATGTACTTTTCGGCACCTAAAGGCCAAAATTGAACTCTCGTCATTGCTGTCAAACTCCTTATATGGTACATAATTGGGCACGCGACTTACAATTTGCCCTTACAGCCTAGCCTCATTGTTCCTATTTCTTTCCCTTTCGACATTGTCTTCCTACTAATCGATCTAGTTCCAATTGTCGTCGTCGTTTTTATTGTTGTCGTGCTTCGATTCTCTTGTGCTTCCTTCTAGGAAATGTTGTGGAGTGTCTTTAAGGCTCTACGTGGACGGTGACTTGCAGCTATCGTGGCAATGACTCGGAGCGACTCTTTTCAGCAAGGAGGAATATTGGGATCTGTTGCGAGGTTCTGGACTGTATGGCTACGTCTTCATCCCTACCTACACATCTACCTCGAGAACATCGTCCAGTCAGAATGTACCTAACCGTTTCTCAAGCATTCATATGCGCCCGATTATGTAGGATTCGCCGGCCTACTGACGGCATACCTTCTAATCCAATTCTTCGTCGAACCCTTCCATCGCATGTTCTATATCAACAATCTAAACATATCGTTTCCTCACGCCGAGATCGAACGAGTGCCCGTCTGGCTTAACTTCGTATATGCCCTATTTGTCCCCCTTGGGGTTGTGTTGCTGTACAATAGCTTCTCCCGAGCCTCGTTTCATAAACACCATAGCACTATCCTCGGTCTCGCCATTGCCCTAATCCTCAGCTCATTCCTCACCGATATCGTGAAGAACACGGTCGGCCGTCCGAGGCCGGACCTGATCGCCCGTTGTAAGCCAGCCCACGGCACCAAACCCAACGTCTTGGTGACCATCGATGTGTGTACCGAAACGGATCACCATACTCTCCACGACGGCTGGCGATCCTTCCCTTCGGGACACTCTAGCTTCTCATTTAGCGGCCTCGGGTACCTGGCCTGCTTCTTAGCTGGTCAATTGAGGATCTTCCGTGATAGGAAGGACATAGGTCGTTCATTAGTCTGTCTTGCTCCTCTAATCGGGGCCACCTTAATAGCTATCAGTCGCTGCGAAGACTACCGTCATGATGTGTATGACGTTTCCGTGGGGTCGATACTGGGCTTTACCGTAGGCCTCTTCACCTACCGCAGATACTGGCCTCGGTTGAGTAGTCGAGAATGCGACGAGCCGTATCCACCTCCTGGAACAGAGGCAGACGATAGAGAAGGTTGGAGAAGAGTCCGAGATGAAGAGGAAGGGGGTTCGATCGTGGGACGAAACGATGGGTATGAAATGGCCAACCTGATAGGGAGTCATAGCTAACATGTGTTTACTAGATGATCAAATCTGTGACTCGTGCGAAGTATTGGATATGTTGTTGCTTCGGTGCTTCATTATTGATAGGGATAAATCGTAGCTTCTCATCTGAGGCTGTAGCTCCTTAAAGGCACGAAAACATTGCTGAGTTCTTCAAACAATCGTTGTCAAATATGAAATTGCAAATTCTAACGGAATCAAGTCGGCTTGGAGCTATGTGAGATTTCCTCCAGTTCTTGATACATATGACCAAGTAATAGCATTGTAATGCCGGAAGTGGGATACATTGGGAGTCGTGAAGTACTAAGGTAGGCATTTAATTGTATATATTATAGGTACTAGTGGCCAGAGTGAGTTGTGAAAAGTGAGGCCGTAGATAGGTAGTTAGTAGTAATAGGTAAGTAAGTATATGAGGTAGATTCAGACATTGACAATGGTGTTTACAGTGTGGATAGCATCCGAAGTACTCCGTGCGCATGCTTCTCTGCTCTTCCCTGTTATCTAGAAATTGATAACTGATATCTTCACGCGTATTCACCCGATAGCATAGAGATTTGTATAAGGAATTGTGAATTGCAGTTTGCTTTTTCTAAGGTTTGTCCTCAGCCAATCATCTTCATCGAGATAACTGCGCAAGTCCCAGGACTGGCTGAGGACTGCTGCCTATCCCGTTCTTGTACCCCGCTACCAGCCACCGAATGTGCCTACCCCCAGGCAAGTCAGGCACACCCCGGCCGCTACCTAGGTACCATAGGTTTAAACGTGAATAGCTACTCCCTTATACTCTGTACTTAGATGGAGAATGTTAGTGTACTCGCATACTTTTGCCTGTTTCGCTAACAATCGCTATCATCTCATCGAGTTTCTTTTCACTCAACATCACAACAGTTACTTCAGCTCAGATTATGACTTCAAGGTGTAATGCGAGTCTCGAGTCTCAGGTCCCTTCAAATTTTTTTCCCTCTCTTCTCCCCCTCCCAGTGTTTTCCTCTTCTTCTTTTGTTTTCTGCCCACTAACATCCCATCCTAATTCCTCGTTTCGCCCCATCACGGTTGTCTCCTACATGCATGTCGTCCTCAGGACTTCAGAAACTCATTTTTCTACCACCTTACTATATCAGACACCTGGTTATGATCACCCCAATCTCATGTTAGATAATTCTCTCTAAATAGTTATCCGGAGTTGACTTACTCTAATAACCGTCACTATACTCTACTATTCTATAGCTACTCTCCATGTAAGTCCGATCCTCAAATTTCCTCATTATCGTCAGTGCGTGTTTTCTAACTAAAACGTAGCATGACTCGTCTTGGTAGCAAGGTAGTCAAATATGAGCGTCTTGGCTCACCGGCGGCAAGCTTGATATCAGACAATACCATGCCGCCGCCATCTCCTAGCCCGCTAAAGCGGAAAACGCCTCCAACTGAATATCTACCTGATAATCAGTCTGTAGCCAGATCATTCATTAGGTCTCATGCTCGTGAGTTCCTCCTCAGTCTCCTACGTATTACTTGGCTACCTGTAATAGTGCTTAACATCGTATACTTATAGCTAGCGCTGAGACGTGGCAACGACGCGACGACGACGTGGAACCTATTTTTATGGAAATGAGACGCCTGCCTGATAGTTTCAAACAAGGGTCTCCGGTTTCCCAGACTGCCGACGCCAGTTTTGCCCATCAGAGCTTCGCTCACCCAACGTTCACCGACATTGGCCTAAAGCAGAAGGCCTGCAATGACACGCTTGGTGATCTTCAGACGCTGGGAGTATCTCGTAAGTAATGATTACCTACCCTAGGCCCTATTGTTTTATAAGTGCTCTCACGAACATACCAAACCACTTCCGATATCCCCCCTATCCTCGTATCCATATAAACCACAAACAGAATAGAAACGTATTAATTAGATACCCATTAGATGTGGCCGCTCTGCCCGAGCTGGTCCTCGTTGGCGACCAGTCTGCTGGAAAATCCAGCTTGATGTCTGGTCTAGCACGGGTTAACCTCCCGCGGAGCGCCGGCGTCTGTACGCGCTGCCCGCTTCACATTCGTCTGATCAGTAGCAAGGTTGACCACTGGTCATGCAGCGTATCTCTTCAGCGAGACTATGACTTCCGGCCTCTCCCGGATCGGAAGCCTAAGACTTCGGACGTTACCGCGGCGAACCCCTTTCCCCCCTGGGTTAAGATGACCCATCGGGACACCAAGCCGTTCAAGACCATTTTCGATCCATCTGAAATTGAAGAAGTTCTTCGATGGGCTCAAGTCGCCATATTGAACCACAACCGGAACTTCGAACTCTTTATCCCTGGCGAAGGTGCCATGGCCAAACAAGAATCCCTTGACAGTAAGTCCGCACTCAGCTATTTCAAGTCGTAACTCCCTGTCTAGACATCCCCATCGTACCGTACCCTTCATATTCTGTATTCTCATATCCCTATTAGATATACATGTTTTGCTTACTCTAGACTACTCCAGCGGCCGCTCGTGAAACAGATGCCCAGTTCTCTCCCAATATAGTCGCATTGGAGATTAAGGGCCCTGGCCTTCCCGATCTAAGCTTTTATGACCTACCCGGTGTATTCCAGTCACCAGAAAAGGAAGAGGATGAGTACGTAGTGAAGGTAGTCGAGAAGCTAACCCTCGAGTATATCAAAAGGGAGAAAGCGATCATCATGTGGGCTCTTCCTATGAACGTCGACTTGGAGAATTCCACCTGCTTGGGTATCATTCGCAAGGCCAAAGCAGCACCCCGAACAATCGGTGTCATGACCAAAGCAGACCAACTCCCTCCTCAGAACATTCCTAATTGGTTAGCTATGTTCCGAGGAGAAAAACAGTTGGTTGGACAGGGCTTCTTCGCTACGTCGCGACCGCCAAGCCAACCTCTCGAAGATGCTGCAAAATGGGAAGAACTCTTTTTCAACCGGCAAGTGGATGGTAATAGCCCATGGCCGATCGAATTTGCTGATTTTGCCGGTCGTTGCGGTGTTGAGGTGCTGCTAAACGTAAGTACCCGTTCTCCTTAAGTTTCAAAGCAAGATGTGGCATCGCCTCCCGTGTTTTCTCACTCAATGCACTTCTCTAGGTAGCTTGTCATGTAGATAAGTGACTAACATGTAGTAGTTCCTGTCCGGAAAACTCACAGAGGCTTTTGCCAGAAGCCTACCCTCCATCAAGGAGACGGTGCATAGGCGTATCATCACCATCAAAGAAGAACTGGATGCTCTCCCTGAACTTCCTGCGAATGTAGAACACGAAGTCAAGAGGAGTCTGTTCAAATTCCTAGAGCAAGTAAAAACTGCTATAAGGAACACCGGATTCTCTTCCGAATGGAATACCTTGAATAGCCAATTCCAGACTTGCGTGTTCAGAATGAAGCCGACTTGTAAGGTCAAGGACTCGGAACTTCAAACTATCGACATTTCTGGTGGTGATTCAGAAGTTGCAACGCCCAGTCCTTCAAAGAGGCCACGCCCCAGCGACTCAACTATGCGGAATGTTTCTACACCAACCAGGAGGCCGCGCCAGGACAGCGTCGCTACCCCAGTGAAGCATGAGGAGTTCGCAACAAGCAGCCTATCCCGTGCCTCATCTGTCATGGGCGCGCCGGAATCGCGGCAGAGCCCATTCGTCAAGTATTTCAACCGCGGCCGGTGCGCGATGGACATCAAAGATATACGTAACAGGATACTGAGAACCAAGCGACCTGGCATGCCACGAGACTTAGTCCCAGACGAGGTTCGCGAGACTTTGTGCCTAGACGCCGTCAAGAAGTGGGAGGAGCCACTAGACACTTACATTCTCAAGACGGCAGAGCTCTTAGAGAAGACTGCTAACGCCGCTCTCGAGGAGTCTCTCGGTGTGTTACGCCGTCGTCTGATTTTTAAGGACTGCCAGGACCACCTGAGACAATTTATCGAAGAGGCAGTCGCTTCACAGAGAGCGCGTCTCTCAGACATGTTCAACTCTGAGACATACCAGCTCTATATGATGAACGACGATGCCTTTCACCGTTATAAAGCGCAGGAGATGAGCCAGCTTCTACGCGTGCGGGGAATAATCCGTTTGAAGTCTTTTAGTATGATCGATTGGGATTATACTGCTAAGAGGCTGGAAGATATGTCGGAGGAAGACAAGATCAAAGAACGCAAAATGCTCGACGCCAACCTTCCCAAGCTTGGAAAAGACCCGTATGACACCGAAATCGAGGTGGCGGGGTTTGTCCGTGGTTACTACATGAGTATGTGCTCCCATTGATATTTTACGATATCAAGACCTCTCGAATGCCTTTCAGCATTGCTAACTCGTTTCCTTGTACAGTGGCCGCGGCAAGATTCGTAGAAGGAGTAACGATGAACGTCAATTCAAACCTCTTGCGTACGTTTAGAGAACAACAGCTAGACATGGCTCTGGATGAGAAGTTTCATATCTACAGTCACTCTGGTAAGTCGAATACTCCTAGGCATTTTGCCGTGACGACGAAGTTGGTAAACGATACTAATGGTGGCTGGCAGATCCGAGTCAGTACAATAGGTTGATGGAAGAGGATGACAGAACGGCGAAGAGGAGGCTACGACTCAAGGGAGAGATGGACAAGCTGTTGAGGGCCATGCAGAGTATCAACGAGCTAGGGAGCTTTTCCGGCGATGCTATTGACGCGCACAGTTCTAGCGGTGTCCACGGTACAAGCGCCGACCACCTCCACGGCACCGTCGAGTCTGACTGCGAAATGGACGATGCCGTATTGTGATGGAGGATGTGGTGGGTTGTCCAGGTTTGATATTATCACAGGAGCTGTCCTTGGTACACTCGTTTTCCGTTTCATGTTAATGGCTCATCGACTGGGCATGCAAGCCCAGAAATACGGTTCAGAGTTCCGTGGTTATGGATAGGTCACAAGGTATAAGGAAAAGGGCGATAGGATGTACTGGAATTTGGATCCCCGGAATATTTCTGGTTTGCTAGTGTGTATCAATTACTACTATGTAAAAGCATGTTGCTTGACTGAGTGATATCAATAAGGGAATGAAATGTCAGAAATGCAGAGGCCTAGCTTTCAGAATTACTCGAATTTATGACTTAGTATGTTATTCTGTATTGTGTCTGTGTCGGTATCTCAATGATTTTGGCCACAGCTATCTCGTGCTTCTACCTAGTCTACGATACCCAGCTCTTTTAATAAAGAAAATATATACCTATCTAGTTATCATGTCTATCCCTCTGTCTTAAGTCAAAGACGACGGCAATGTTGTGCATTATGCGATGTGTCATAAGAGAGATCTAGTTACCTAAAGAGAAATAGAGGAATAAAATGACTGGTTGGAGCTTGTTGGGCTCTGGTTCCGCGTCTAGACTTATCTTGGTAGCCATGTTTCATTCCGACATTTGCCAATTAGCCGGCCGGCCCTTTTCTGGTCCACGATCAATGCCATCACCTTCAATGCTGCTACTAAGTCGAGAAGAGAGATGACCAATGGTAGTCGAGCTGTTGGCTAGGTTCCCCGGACTGCATGCATGCGATGGAAGATGCAGCCCCGAAGTCTAGAAGAGTTCATTTTTGTATCCTGTCCTCTAAATCTGGACAAGTCGAGCAAGGTTCCTTGTCCCTCAAACCCGGGTAGGTAGGGGTGTCTTTCAACTCTCGCCGTCTTAAGTTCCATCGTGAACCAGTGCTGTTGCACAACCTGGGGAAGTGAGCCATCATTAGGTAGCTTTATATCACGTTCCACATTTGATTACAGACTGATATTCCCAATCTAGACAGATGCCCTTATGAGTATCCCTTAGATGTAATCAAACTGAGGCAGGGTGTCACACATCATGTAGGTAGTTATGAGTCGTTCTCAATACCATCGTCACCACCATTGCCTTGATCAAATAACTCTGATACCTATATGATGTGTAAGAGGTAACCTAAGGGCCAAGCTTGAGGGTGGTCTGAGGGTGGTCGAATACGGATTCCGCAGCAGCTGATGACCGCGGACTTCCCAAATATGACAATTCGGAGCCTCAGACGTGCCACAAGTCTCTTCATTCTGGATGCGAGGGGGGAGAATCTCAACTAGATCGTAGCCGGGCTGTCGGTTTGATAGGCCGCTAGTCAGCAAAATCCCAGCGGAATCCTGGTCGAGGGTCGCGGGTCACTCTCCAACTACTACCCGTCTACGATCCTCTATATATTATCCCCGCATTATCGTGACATGCATTAGCCGTCGTCACGGTATCAGCGTGGTAGAGCCATGGAATCTGGCTCATTTATACGCTGGATACCTTCTTGGCGAAGGGTGCAGGCGGACATGCTTCATCATGCTGTTAATTACCAGCCGCAGCTGTGCTGCCGACATAACATATTTGAATGGCATCATATCCCTCCTCGCATCTTGCGGGCTCTGCGTTGCTTTCTTTGCGTTTGTACCTTGGCTTACCTATCGAAGCTTACCTAATAGTTGAACTAATAAAATTGACTTCGACAACAACCTACTTATATGTGAGGAAGGCAATTCGTAGAGGTCATCATGGTCCATCCTCGCCAAGCCATAGCCAAGGGCCATGAGGAGGAACATGAACAGTTAGCGCAAAGGGTGGCGCCGGAATTTGAATATGTCTACTGGACCAAGGAACCGCATCTACGGAAACTATATGCCTGGGCCTGTGTACTGATGATAGCGTCGGCGACTACTGGATACGATGGGTAAGGGGAGCGTTAGGACTTCTTATATTTGCTTCATGGTCGACTAACAGCCACGTAGAATGCTCGTCAACACTTCTCAGCAAATTGATCGTTGGAAGCAGTACTTCCCTAAGACTCAGGTCGGCCCCGACAACTCCCAGGAGGTGGCCGACAGCTGGCTCGGGCTTCTCGTGAATATGTTCAACATCGGGAGCATATTGAGCTTCTTCCTCACGTAGGATCACTCCCACGGTATTTCATCTAGATACGGGACCTTGCTAATTATGCCAATAGACCGTATGTTGCCGATAATTGGGGCCGGAAGACGGCTATAACCCTCGGGTGTATCTTCATGATAATTGGGGGATGTGTATCGGCGTTCTGCAACGGATATGAGAGTACGCGAAGGAGACCAAGCATGTCCACCTGCGCAAATGCATCCTGCTAACACATGGTCTAGTGTTCATCGCCGGTCGTCTGATCCTTGGCTTCGGCAACAGCTTGTCACAAATGGCATCTCCTCTGCTTCTTACCGAAATATGCCATCCCCAACACCGTGGACCCGTAACGGCGGTCTATAACTGCTTGTGGAATCTGGGCGCTCTCCTCGTCGCGTGGGTGGGCTGGGGAACTGCTCAGATCCGGAACGACTGGAGTTGGAGGTCGATCACTCTGATCCAGATCCTACCCTCGTTAATACAGATCATCTTCATCTACTGGATTCCCGAGTCCCCGCGATATCTCATAGCGAAGGATCGCCACGACGAAGCGCTCGATATATTAGCTCGATACCATGCCGGCGGCGACAAGAACGACGTGCTTGTTCAGTTCGAATTCAGGGAGATCAAGGAAACGATGCGAATGGAGAAACAAGTCGCGCGCGCTGCTGGTTATCTTGACTTCCTACGTACCAAGGGGAACCTCTGGCGATTGGCCATCCTCATTTCCTTGGGTGTTATATCCCAGTACAGCGGAAACGCGTTGTTCTCAAATTATATGGATACCGTCTATGAGGGTGCTGGGATAAAGGTTCAAGACCAGAAGCTCGCTGTAAGGTCACTCACATAAGACGTTGGAATCGCGGAGTAATTACTGACGTGTTTTTTATAGCTGAGCGGTGGGAAAACAATTCTCGATCTCATTATAACAATTCTCGCCGCCTTGAACGTCGATAGGTTTGGTCGACGCCCACTCTTCCTATTATCAACATCGGGGATGGTGGTGTCGTTCGTGAGCTGGACGATCTGCGGTGCCATCTACGAGAACTCGAACTTGACTAATGTAGCTTCTGGTTACGCACAGCTTGTTTTTATCTGGCTGTTTGGTATTTTCTATGATATCGGCTTCTCGGGTCTCTTGATTGCTTATGCACTCGAAGTGCTCCCTTTCAAGCTGCGCGCCAAGGGCATGATGATAATGAACATTACAGTACAGGCCATCCTCGCGCTCAGCAACCAAACAAACAAGATAGCTTGGAACAGGATGCCGAAGCACTGGAACTTTATGCTTTTCTATACCGTAAGTCCTCTTTCTTATTTTTATTGATCATCTCATTAAGATACAGTAAATGCTGATATGTTTTTTCTTGCGCAGCTATGGGATTTCTGTGAACTAGCCTTCGTCTATTTTTTCTACGTCGAGACGAAAGGTCCCACGCTAGAAGAGATCGCATGGATTTTCGACGGTGCAGACGCCGTTGCCAATATCGACATTCGGCAAGTTGAGAAGGAGATGCATGAGATGGAGAGGGAACAGAGTTTCGATTCGACGGCACTGTCATCTAGGGGAAAGGGAGCTATCTAATAGGTCATTTCATTTTACGGTTAGTCGTGGCGGGTGGCATTATGTTGGTGGGTAATGAGTTAACAGTAGGTTATGGCGCAATGGTTCATAGGTAAGGTGAGTGGCCTATTTCATTCCCAAGTTAGGCGTCGGAAATATCAAAAAAAATAATCGGAAGGGGACTGGACGATACCAAAATATTCAGCGTAAATTGCATCCAATCAATACTTGTCTTACCAGGTGTGAACCACCGTCCTGTTAGACACATAGTGACCTCATGTAAGCTCGTATATTTTTATACAGTAGAGGAAATAGGAAAGAAGTAGGTATATGGACACAATAGGCTCGTGCTATGGCATCAAGAGCTGCATAGCGAAACAGCTTATAAGTCCTCGCAGTTGTATCGAACTTATCACCCCCGACTATATGAACTCCTTGGCAAGTTGAACCCCTTATTTCCAGAACCCAAGAGGTATCTATTTAGAAAGCTCGAATCTCAAATACAAATCCCCGTTCACATACCTAAACCACATATACCGCCATGACTTCGAGCGAGAGAACAACACTTGAGGAACCAAATGCTCTCGCAGGCTAGCGCTTCATGTCTTGAATTATCTTGGAGACGCCAACAAAGTTAAACTCCTCCAGCGTTTCTTCCCATATCTGTTCTTTCAAAATCTGTCCATCTTTCGTGTAATAGCACGAGGGAAACCTGTTTTGCGGTTAGTTTATGCGTCAGAATCGATAGGAGAGAGTATCATACGGTTGGATAGTCCAGTCGCTAATATAGTTCCCATGGGTCTCCTTGCCCCTCGCAACCACAGCGTCGAGGATGGCGTTCGTCCCAGCACTCACATTCCTGCCATTTATGCCCTGGAATATGGTGAAAATAGTCCTACTGACGAAGCCCATATTGGCGCTCGAGCCGAATTCGGTACCTCCGCAGAGGCCCGGGTTTGATAAATTGATGATCACGTCGTCAGGGTCAACATATTCCGCGAGCTTAGACACGAAGAACATCTGCAGTAATTTACTCCGCGGATAGGCCGCCATCGGTACGTAGTTCTCACTAATGTCGCACTGTGGGAGGATCGGGCCGGGTGACTTGAACGGCGGAGCCCAGTAGGCCGTGTCAGACGTGACGATAGTGAGGCGCGGCGGCATCGTGGCCGGGTTCACCGACTTCTTAGACTTGAGGACGGGTAAGAGCAGGATGGCCAGTAGAATGGTGGAGAGATAGTTGATCTGAAAGACGATCTCGTGGTTGGTGACGGCGTGGGGCCGGTACACATCAGCCCGTATACCGGCATTTAGGATGGTGATATCTATGCGCGGGAGCGTTTCGCATCTCTGCACGAACGCCTTGATAGAGTCATACGACGCCATGTCTAGAAGCCAGACGGAGACCGTGGAATTCGGAAATTCTTTCCGCAGCTTATCCGCAGCCGCATCGCCTCGAGCTTGCGACCTCACGGCCACGATGATGTGGGTGAGGCCTAATTGACAGAGCTGTCGCGCGGCTTGGAAGCCGAGGCCGGAGTTTGAGCCAGTCACGATGGCCGTCTGGCCGGAAAGATCAGTCCCCTTGGGCCATGGCTTCGGGTACATGAGCCATTGGCGGTATAAGAAGCCAATGAAATGGGTCTCAAACGCGGCTCGATGCTCAAGATGTTGAGACATACTTGATATACGTATAAGTATATGGGTATCAGTTGGTCGGGAAAACTGAACTCCAGATTGTAGATTAAGAGACCATCAGTGTTGTAATGGGTGGCGTATGTAGGTATGTATGTGAGTTAAGCAGTCCTCTATGAGTAGAAATCTATGTCCAGTTATTCCGATCCCCTGCCTTAGTATATATCCATCTTTTTCCATCTTCTTGCATAGCGCAGGTTTTAGATCAACTTGCGTCACCTATGGTGTACCTTTGTCGTCCTTCGGCCGATTACCATCCCGCTGCCGTGGCTGATTATTAGGAGCTCGAAGTGTTTAACAAATCAACGTCTCCATCTAGCGCCCTGGATGCGGTACCGTCTACCGCATGACGCACTTGAGCGGATGTATCGGTCTGTTCGGACGCCGTTGATATAGTAATATTATTTCCTGTCCAGGTAATATAACGAAGAGAGGTTTATCACTGTCACACCCGAGAAATTATATGGTGGCTTTCTAGGAAGGAATCAGTGCTGACCCAACCTCAACTACACGTAAGCACGGTATCCCCAATACTGGGATAGGGAAGCATACCGGTAACTTCGGACTTAGGTACCAGCAGAGTCACAAAACACCGAGACACATGCAGGTGAAAAAGCAAAACCAGTCCACAGGAAAGGCTGATTGATTATCCCTGCAAGAGGTCTTAGCTTTGATGGGATTTGAGGTACATAAGTCATAGATTCCGGTCTGCATAGTCGGTCAACTGACTCGGGACCGACATCATGTCGCTCCTTTCTGACGCCCAGTTTGTACTACCGACCCTGCCACCCTGAGCGACATATTTCCTCCCTTAGCTTTTGGGGCTCACTGTTCCTGACACCTCGTAGACACCTACTAGGCAGGCATTTACATGCCTCATATTTCTTGCGAGACCAGCACGTATAAATAAGTACGCAGCCTCATCTGCCCTCATCTGCCCAATGTCAGATCCGGGTCGTGTCACTAACAATCTTCAAGACATGCAGATTTTTGGACTGCTTATACACCTAGGCTACCTACCTACCTAGGCTATAATAATATCTACATGACCTATCATTTCCCCTACAGTCGTCCGCGGGCTCGAATGGCTTCCGCCACGGCTTTTTGCATAGGCGGAGGGGCCGCCCCGATCAACCGGTCAATCTCCAGATCCGGATCCCCTTTCTCCATCGCCCGCTTATACCCATCTCGTGCGGCGACGCGCTGGAGGTAAGACAGGACGTTGGGGTAAGCGCCGAGGTCGTAGGGTGCGAAGCAGCGCATCGTCGTGAGGCAGCAGACATTCATTATATCCGCCGCGGTGAATTGCTCGCCGCCGAGCCAGGGCACTTTGGATAGGCGTTGGTCCATGAATTCGATGAGCTGCTTTTGCCTAGCGGTATAGCGCTTGAACGAACTGTTCTCCTCATCTACTCCCATCCGAGACATCATCATGAGCGTTAATAGAGTTGGCTGCAGAGTGCCGTTTGCGAAGTCTCGCCATATTGTTAGCTACGCCTGCTCGTACATTTCCCAGATGAGGTTATAATTTTGGCTTACGGAACCAGTATAAATACTCGGCGTAGTCCTTGTCTCCCGGAACAAGCGCCAGTTTCCCACCGCCCCGGGTGTGCAAGATGTACTCCACACAGGCACCGGATTCGGCTATTTTAACGTCGCCGTCTTCGATGACCGGCGCTGAGCCTAGCGGATGCAAGGCCTTGAATTCTTCCGGTGCCATGATCGGGGCCCGGTCGTACTTCTTCAGCTCATAGTCAACGCCCAGCTCTTCGCAGAGCCAGACGACTCTCTCGGACTGTGATATGCCAAGATGGTGAACCGTGAGAGTCATCTTGATTGGGATTGGAGTTGCAACGATCTCAGCTTGGGTTTCTATGCGACTGTGATGCGAAGATAGACGATTTGGCTGGGTAACGTATATTCTTATATTGGACGTTGATAGCTAGAATAGACGACTTACTGTCAGAATAACGTGAGACTTAATAATTTAATTAATTGTGTGAAGAAAATTCTATCTTCTTAATCTAGGAGATTCTGGCTAAGACTAACTGTAAAATCTTTAATGGTCTTTATATTGTGTCTTAAAGGAGATCACGTGAAAACCAGAGATTTGAAGGTATTAAGGCATTAAAACATACGGACCACCTGATAACACAAAAATTATGAAATTGTATCTGACACTTACCGAGGTAACTTTTACGGTATCATTGTCGATGCTCAGGGGGTGGAGCAATCTTGCCCATCGCGCAGAATCGGGTGTCTCCCGAAGTATATCCGTCACTATTGCTCAGTTAGGACGTAGCTATAATACTATATGTCAGATACAATTTCATAATTTTAGTGTTATCAGGTGGTCCGTGTATTTTAATACCTTAATACCTTTAAATCTTTGGCTTTCACGTAATTTCTTCTAAGACATGATATAGAGACCATTAAAGATTTTGTAATTAGTCTTGGTTAAAAATCTCTTAAATGGGGAAGATAGATTTTTCTTGACATAATTAATTAAATTATCAAGTCTTACGTTATTTTGACACTATATTGGTTTGGCCGCATAGTGTACTTACTAATAGTTAGATAGGGGAATCATCGAGATGATATGATGACCTACATACTCTATTTAGAACGTGGGGTAGGTCAATCCAGTGAGACTCATAGGAAGATGGCCTAATAGGGTAATTGAAAGATTTTCTAAGTTTTTCGGCATTGATAGGTAGGTAGTTTTCCACTCAAGTGCCTATGGGCCTATGGATGATATTTACCTAAGCATTCGACATTAGGTACCTACTTATATAGCTAGGTATCTACCTATGATGCATTCCATATGGGCAATTTCAAAAGGTTCTGAGCTAACTTAGCGTAAATAGAATATGAAGCTGTATTCTCAGCTCGAAGCTTCAATTTTCATTATCATTTGGTCTTCATCTTGAAGAGACAAAGCAAACCTGAGGCAACTCCTTACATACAATCATACAACTGGGCAACCAGCAATTCTCAGAATCCCACTATATAACGTAAGAATATTCATGTTCGTCTTTGTCGTAAGGTAGGTATCTATGTAACTAACTTGCCTAAGCAGCCTAAGATGTCACAGTTTGGGGAAGGGATCATCTCAATAAAGAGCTCAGCTTTAACAGCAAAAATGGGTAGGTAGCTCAGTAAGACCTGATATTTGACCAGGCATCTATGAAATCGCAAATTCATTGCTTAGATACCTACATGGATACGGCTGAGCAGGCGACACGCGCCCAACGCGCAGGTGACATGTCGGATTTGTAGGACGGTAAACGGTTGGGAGCCGTTGTCAATGGCTACGCCGCTGAGGCCGCCGAGGAAAAACCATGCATGCCCGCGTTTCATCATCAATAACATTTCAGCGTTGGTCCTGAACTATCGTCAACTTCATGCGAGGCTCTGGCTTTGCTTTGGGTCCCCGCCGCCCTCTCAATGGTTGGCTACACGTGGCTGTGCTTGCATTTTGACGCATTGGTCATTGAAGCGACGCCGAGATTGGTCGCACCACATGGCGGACGAGACCTTCGCGTCCATCTCTCATAGGTGCCCAGGCTGAATTCTTAATCCCCAAAATACCACATCATATCACATCACCCCGCCTCCATTCGTAAAAACAATGGGAGTTCCTCTTCCCATCTACATCCATCGAAAGAAAAACTCCCCCTTCTTCAAAACATACAATACATTGGGATATATAGGTATATCCAGGTACATGAGAGTCGTCGCCCCGGGTCTAGCTCAGCCCGACAGCCCCAAATGATCTAGATGCCTGGTATCACGGTAGCATCGGCAACGGCGACGTCGGTTCGCAGGGGAGCGCGCGAGCCTCGCGAGATCGAGACGCTACGGCTGCCTCCGCAGCTGGCAGGATGCATACTATGGCTACCTCGCAAGGAAGAGCAACCCAACAACCGCGATGAATACGATTCGGAACTCGAAGAAGACCGATGCAACCATCCGGTCGTGGTGCTCTCGCCGTGTCTAGAAGATGGAAAGGTTGTATACCTTATGGTACGTCTTCCAGATAGGGTATCCATCACAGCTTAATTCGATTCGTCCTAATGAAAAAATGCACTAGATGACATCGCTCAAGGGAAAGAGACTCGAGACGCGCTTCCTGAACCAACCCAACGTCAGACGCGAGCACCTCCCTATCCGGCCCTGTGACCCACACCCGGACAATGGGATACTACTCAGCCTCGAGGATGTTGCGCTCGAGTTGAAGAAGAGGACGTATGTCAAGACGAAGAATCAACACCGCATCCGATTTAGCTCACTAAGGGCCTACGACCGTCATGGCCCAGACTACATCCTGTCCAAGAAGTCTTACCAGGACCTGATCCGGTACGCCAAGTACACACCGGCGGCTCCTCATCCGGCCTCAAATACCGTATTTTCACCTCCGGTGTCCTCTCCTAGACGAACCCAGCAATCCCACCCTACGATCGCTATAACCCGAGAGCGCAGGGGCAGTTACGGCGAGTACGTATCGGCCCTCAGAGGCCTGGAGAGCCCGACCAGTCCGCCTCGCGCACAGCATGTTCCGATCTCGAGTCCGACCCCAACTCGGCATACCCGCACGGTTGTTCCAACCGAACGAGATTCCCTACTGCCTTCTCACGGATATTCTCGTCCTCCATACACCAATTATCCAGGCAGTTACCCGAGCAGCCACTCTTTCGGCTCTCCGGCTGCTCATCCGGCATACGGATACAGATCGTCGGTCCAAGCTGGATATCGTGGACCGGAGCCGCCAAGGCCATTCAACTGGGCGATTTTCTGGAAGAGGCTAGGAAAACTCTTGCTGGTCGTGGTAGCGTTTGGCGGAGCATATGCAACGTACCGATTGATTGGCTGGATGATAGATCTCGCTAGGGGGGCAGGTTATCTTCTGAAGGTCACGGCTGGTGACGTCGGTAGCAAAATCGGCGGGCTCTGGTCGACCTTGACAGGTTTGCCAGGCCACAAGGCCCAAATCAAGAAGAGTCTTCTATCGCGGGGTTTAAATAGCCTGGGGATCTCTATTTGACTACCTAGGTAGTTTTACGACTGTATGATTTAGCAAGGGATGGGTGGCTTGGGTTGGATGGGCGGTAAAACGGGAACTGTACGGATGACACTTATGGACTGGCGCATATATGGGGACGGCCCCTTGGGAATTGACGAAGTAGAATGATGACCTTGACTGATTAATGAGAAGCTGATTACTGAATCGCCGCGGTTGCCTCCAGGTCAGGAACCGTGCACTCATTGATATACTGAAAAGCACTGCTGGTCTCTTGACAACTCGGCTTGAGTGTCGTGGTAGAAATATGCCTCACGGTGGACCTGTAAGTGTTTGGGCTTAGCATCTTATCGACAATTTTACAGTTGCCGTTCTTAGGAAGGGCAAGCGAGGAGACATACTGATCGCCACAGCTCCAACTTTGGTTCACACTCAACTGCCATTGGTCCCAAATGATATGCGCACTGGTACTAAGAGGAACCTCATCCCCATTCACCTCCAAGCTCTGATCAACACACTTGTACCAATAATTGCTATCGTCCCCCCATTGACCGTTAACCTCGACGTTCTGAGGGCTACACCCAGTTGAGACGCCGTTGGCGTTGTTAACCACTGTAAAAACTAGTTGCGTCGAGTTGGGAACCGTTGCCATAGTTGGATATTGTTCTATTTTGATGTACGATATCTGCGATAACGAGAATGTTGTTGGAGCGGCTATGTCGTCGCAGGACGAGATTTGTTCGGTCTCAGAAGACGGTAGAGCAAGACAGAGTCCTGCTTGGACGACCGACATCGTCAGTAGGAAATGGTATTGGCGAAAAGGCTTCATTTCAGATATGTGCTGTGAAAAGGATACGAGTCACAATTGTCGTAGGACTTGATTCACCTGGAAAGAAAGGCTTTTGGACGTTTTTATCCGATCACCATATCCTAAAATATCATTATCTTACGATCAACCGCCCTTCCCGTTATGGCACCGAGAATCTGGTACCATAGTGATCGTTATCATACGGCAGAATCGGATATCCTGGTTGATGTGGCATTATCATGACTTTATCCAGGACGGCTACCTGCGTTGCGGGTAATTTATTGTATGCAGGTGAGGTTCCATATGCAACGCAGGTCATTCCCGTTTTATTGGTTGACTTGATGGTTCGGCTTCCTAAGAGAGAAAGAATTAGACGCGCGTCCTCACAATGATACCATGGTAGTAATGGTAATAGACATTGCGTGAATTGCCCAGGTACATAACCTACTGATAGTCACTATTCGAATTCTGCTAGAATTTCGAATTGGGCATTACTTAGGTAGCTTTAATGGGCTGGTTACTGACAAGTTCTACCGTCAATTAGGAACCTCCGTATTGTGTAGCACTGTCAATAGACTCCAACACAGCATTGCATGTATTGTGGGATCTTTGGGCACTATCCAGCTGTGCTTACCGGCGGGCCTGAAATATAAGGAGAGGAATGAGGACACAAATCGACACCATACGTAAGGCAGAACGAGGATACCTCCCCCTTCTTCCTTCGTTACCCGCCTTCATTAACGCAGACCGATGGTAACTCATTGTTTCGCTTCCAACTCATTTGCTTCCTCGCACGCCTTGGTGAATTCTCTCAGCAATGACTAAGCCACAGTGTGTTAGTTTAACTATCACCCAGAACCGTTCGTGGATTATATACCTTGAAATCGTGTTCAACTAGCGATCCGAATATCTTTTGATAATGGAGCTTCAACTGAAGAACCCGGGGACTTTTGATGCCAAAGGCGACACGCGTTAGGAACCTAGGATCGTCCCGCACGCGGCAGACAGCTAGAACTTTTCGGATGGTATCCATGTCAGCAGGTAGATTCGGCCGAGGCGACATCACGATGCGTTTTCTTGAGAGGCAGTGAGTGCAGTGACCGCATTTGGTCTTCTCGTCCGGCAGACCCATGCCGAAATGCTCAGCTAGGGCTAGAGCGAAACACTTATCGCCGGTGATCAGGTCGACGACCTGCTGCGTGCGTTGCAATGCATCCTCCTCGCGTGATTCCATGTCGGCGAAGAGCTTGTCGGTCATCTCGTCAATTTCTTGCGGTTCGCTAGGGAGTTTCTTGAGGACCTTGTAACGATTCTCGACGCCGCCTACTTTCAACATGATGATGCCTCTATCATGATAGTCATTGAGCTTCCGTACTAGGTCCGCTCGTAGGAGTCCGGTAACCGACACGACGTAATTCATATCGAAATTGTACCACTTCGTGGCCTTTCTGGCGTGTTTAAAGATGGCCTTGCCCTCCTCGGACTTGTCATTCTGGGCAACGTGATAGTAGGTAGGCATCGCTTCGAACTGATACGAACCATACTCGGGGGTGATAGCTCTGAGCAGCCCGAAGCGCAGTTCCAATGTGGCGAGTAAAATGGCCAAGGGGCTTGCACGCATGTCATAGTCTCGGCCTAGAGCTGTCTGGTTGAGTTTGATGACTTCACCCTCTGGTGTCTGGTTAGTGTTCATATGGAATAGGTCGTGCAATAGCCGACGGAGCGATTGTCGTGACGGTAGGTCGCCTCGCGCAAAGTTCTCACGGATATAGAAATCATCTGGGCAGATGTAAAACATGCAATGGCTAGTCTTTCCATCTCGACCCGCACGTCCAATCTGTTGCGAATATTCTTCTATTGTGCCGGACAGGTCGAAATGGAGAATATTTCGTATGTCTGGCTTGTCGATCCCCATGCCGAACGCAATTGTTGCTACGACAATGGTTACTTTATTAGCCATGAAATTGTCTTGAATAAGGGTCTTGACTTCTGTCTTAAGCCCGGCATGAAATGCCACCGCATCAAAACCTTGGTCCTTGAGATCGTCTGCAAGCATCTCGGCCTGTTTCTGAAGAGTCACATAAACGAGAGTAGGGCCGGGATGTTGTCTTAGAAATTGGAACATCTTGGGATACTTATCCTGCTTCGTTTTTACCGATTCAGCTAGTAAGTGTAAATTGGGCCTATAGGGAGAGGTGCGAAATATGTTGGGCTTCTTGATCTTGAAAGCCTTTGCAACATCGTCAGCGACGCGGGGAGTGGCCGTAGCGGTAAGACAGATAACTCTTTCGGCCTTGATCTCGTCGACGAAGCGGGCGACCTTAAGGTAATCAGGGCGAAAGGAGTGTCCCCATTCGGAGATGCAATGAGCTTCGTCGACGGCCACTAGCCGAATGCCTCCGGGGACATGCTTCATACTTTCGACGAAGCCCTCATTGTTCAGTCTCTCGGGCGCGCAGTAGAGCATTCTCAGCCGGCCTTCTCTGATGTCGGCCTTGATCAGCTGGTTTTGCTCGTGGGTCTTGGTAGAGTCCAGGCAAGCAGCGGTAATGCCTCTACGTAATAGGGCGTCTACCTGGTCTTTCATCAGAGCAATCAGCGGCGACACGACAATAGTGATGCCTGATCCTATGTCATCTCTGTCGTTTTTCGCAGCATCTATCTTCTCAAAGGCAATTGCGGGAATCTTGAAATTAGGCGAGCATTAGTAAAGGAACATGGAACAGGGGTTAGGGGGCTTAACTTGATAACATAGGGACTTCCCGGCTCCGGTGGGAAAGACAACTAACACATTCTCGCCTCGCAGGATGCTTTTGATAGCGGAGAATTGTTCGTGACGGAAATCGTCGAAACCGAAGGTCTCCTTCAAGATGTTCCTAGAAAGGTCTCCGAGGAAATCATCACCGCTGCCTTCACTTCGTAGATCTTGTACTTCGGAACGCTTGGCAAGCTTGGTCTCGCGCGTTGAATGATCGTCATCCGGAGAACGCGAACGCTTCGTTCCGGTGACGAGAGCATCCGCATCGATACTCTCTAATAGTTCATCGCCTGAATCATAATCAGACATGATTCGTTTAGCTACTGGGTTTGGGTCTACTTCATCAGGAAAAAAGTAGTTGCTAGTATTTTCTTGGGAGGAGAAAACGCGAAAAGAAAACCAGGAAAGGAAAAGGGAAAACAGGAGACAACAAACGCGTTTACTGTCAGGTGGTCAATGCTTTTGACCCTGGTTTTAAGGTTTGAATTATGTCAACTGATGTTAAATATACAACTTTGTTACTTGGACAACCTCAAAGGCATAACACGATACATACATACATACTATTGTATCAATAAGTACCTACTACACTTAGGACATAAAGCATCACAACCTAATCGCAACACAGCCTTTCGAACAGCTCTAAATGTGACTCTTCCTAGGAATAAACTAGAAGATCTAGCTACTTGCGAAAATCCAGGACCAAGAAAGATATTTGCACCCAGGGAGTACGTCTCATGTTTCCAAGACGGTCAACAGAAATACGGCTTAACCACAGGTATGGATATGCCAACGAGCACAGCCTCGTCATCAAGACTTCAAAGAGTGGCACGGAAGTTTAGAGGGGAGTATTCTAGAGATATTCATTATACTTGTCGAGAATGGATCTCTCATTAAGAAGTATGAGAGTCACTAGGAAAGGTGACGAGTTGCAATGTCTCGTTTCATATTATGGATAGGCGGACCCGGTAGGTAGTCCAAGGATGACGAAAGGAAGCAGCGGCGATGCTACTAGAAGTTTATCAAGTCTGTTTAAGATATATATTACTTAAATAAAATGCCCCCATCAGGTACATTGAACTTACGAAAGGATATTATGTTGAAATTTCATGTGGGCATGTAGGTAGGTAGGTGAACGGCCTCACACAGGTCTCTGCCTATTGTACCATTCGACCCTTTTTACTTTGATTGGATGATATCCAGAGGTCCTTACCCAATACCTCTTAGCAACCCCTATCTTCAGCAGTGTTACATAGCTGTCAACGTTAGTACCTAGAGGTAAGATACCAAATCTCAGTACTCAGTGGAAACCAATACGAATCACTTATAGTAAGACTTTTGATTAATCTCATCAATGTGCTATGTGCTTGTTTATGCCGACAAAGTGCCCATTACGCCTTACAATGCTTTCTCTCGGGTACATGAACGCCCACCATGTGTAATGCCTTGAACGCCTCCCCTCGACCTTGATCGATGCTAACTTAATGGAAGTGCATTCTCACATTTGCGGAGCTCATGTTCAAATTAAACTTGACAATGCCCCTCCCCAAATTCTCCGTTGCTCGAGCTCGTCCAAGAGCCATGAATGAATTATTAGCAGCCGGCGACCATACGCCCTCAGTTGCACGGCCGATGACGGGCATTTGTGTGACATATGCACCGTCTCAACATATTCCCATGAATAGTTGAATGTCGTCATTTTCGTCCTAAAAAAAAAGCTTCGGCCAGCGGTGGCAAAAAATTAGAAAAGGTTGCTACACTAGCAACGTTCTCACGGATGAATGTGGTCCTCGTAGACACTTATAATGTGAAAGACTAGGTAGGTATGGAATGTCTGTCCTATACTGAGTATAGAATATGGGATGGTAATTGCGCATATCGTCTCATGCTTCGCCTCGTAGTAGCATATTATCATATGCTCATGGTATAGTAATGGGCAGCAGCCTCAAGCTGCAGAGTAAACCCCTTCTCGATGTCTTTGCGGTTTAGTTGAGCGGATATGAGAGTGAGCGCTTCGAATCGAGCCACGCCGCAATCGTCGAAATCAACTCACGTCCACTCGGGTCGCTTAATTGTCTTCGTCTATAATTCGCTGGACCTCGGGGGCATTCAGGAGAATACGCTTGCCAAGTTCCTCGGGAGATTTGCCGTCACGGACTGCACCGAAGTCAAGAATCTATCTCAGGGTTAATAATCAATCCGTTATAAGCCACAGTATGAGTATAATGGTTCAACTTACCTCGACATATGTCAAGTTGTCTCGCTGGACAGCCGCGACACATCGGCGTTCATCAAACCTGACCTGCCAGACCCCACTAAGGTCCGTGAGAAGGTCTTGGATGCATTCGCCTGTGCGGATGTCCCACATCTTGAGGGTTCGGTCGCTACCACTAATAACCTTTCGCCCGTCATGTTGGAAACAAGTAATCGCACCGGTATGGGCTGTCAGCGTCGACTGGCATCGCCCGCTCTCGGGGTCCCAAATACGAAGAGTGCTATCCGCCGCCGCCGAGACGAGGCGTTCGTCGCGAAGGTCAAGCAACCCGACAAGCAACGAATGTCCTTCGAGAGTGTGCATACACGACCCGGTTTCAAGATCCCAAATCTTCACGAAGCTATCCATACTACCGGAAATGCATCGGTTACGAGCGACGTCTAGTACGACGCTGTACACTTTCTGGGAATGGCCTTGCAGAACGTGAACTGTCTCTCCCGTGCTGATACGCCACACACGAACGGTGTTATCATAACTTCCGCTGACGAGTGTGTCGGCATGAGCAGCGATAGCACGGACAGAGTGGTTGTGACCTTGAAGCGTGCGGATGAAGTAAGGACAGTCGGCATCATTAGCCGGCGGTCCGGTTTGTATGTATCTCCTAGACCCGGATTCAGGCAGACGCCAAACCCGTAGCTGGCTGTCGCGAGACCCCGTGATAATAAGAGGCTTAGGCGGCATCATAACAGACTGCCCGTTCTCCACCTTCCCGGTGTCTGTCGGCATGAGAATCTGTAGACATCTTACAGTACTAGTGTGACCATAAAATACTTGGGTGCAAAGACCCTTCTCGATGTCCCATACGCGAACGGAGCGATCCGTTGAGCCAGATACCAAGACGTTCCCTTCGTACTGCAGGGCCCATACACCACCTTCGTGACCTTCCAGGCGGCGACGGAGCTTGCCGGTCTTGGTGTCGTAGACGTGGATAAGCATATCGTCGCTCCCGGTAATAATCTTATCCTCGTCGAACTGCAGGCAGGTAATGACGTGGCGAGGATGAGCCGCGAATGCGACGTGACTGGGCTTCACCTTTCCACTTGTCCAGCTCTTGCGAATCATGTAATGGCGGCGATAGAGCGACTTAAACAGGTGGAGCTTCCTGAGGCTCGGAAGGCCGATGTGCGGATCGGGAACGGCTAGAACAGCGGCGTTGGCGGCAGACATGGGTCCCTCGGACTTGTGGACTCGTTCGCCCGTGTATGTCTTCTCATCTTTGACCATCTCCTGTGCGCTGGCTCGTCGTTTCGATCGCTCAGATCCAAAGCTATTCAAGGCTCTCTTACGCTTTGAAGTCCGCGATTTTTGCGGAGGCGGGTCGGGTTTTGAGGATCGGATCAGTTCAGATTCGGTAGACGTAAGTCGAGCCTGGGTACTATAATCACGCTCACAACCTTCAGGTCCCACTGGATCTTGCCAACCCCATCCTTCTTTAATAGCCCTGTCAAGTTCGCCGGGCGCTAAGGTGAAGCCGTCACGATCGAAGAGTTCCTTCCATCCGGTCTCGTTACTGTCGATGATGCCCCGCCAATGCTTCGAAACTTGGGCGGCGCGGCAGAGATCACGGAGATCTAAGTAGGAAAGGATATGTAGGGTCAGTTCAAGGGGTAAATCTTTCAGGATGTCGCATTTCAACGCCGGGTTGACTACGTCAGCAACAACATGTAGCGTTTTTCTGGAACATCTACGTAGAAATTGGTACATCATGAACGATTTCATCTCGACGGGCATGGCATCGAACGTCTCCAGCATCGAGCGGGTGTCCAATATTGTCGGCTGAGAGGATTGGGAGGCGTCTTCGAAACGTCTAACAACCATTGATGGGGGGTCGGTGGCAGCAGAAGACGGGCCAGATTCGTAGTCCATCGTGTTCTGGCTATCATCTTGGAAGATGAGGGATACCTCCTCATCCACGACGTTGTCCCCATCGTCCTGTTCGAGTTCATGAAACCTTGAAGCCTGCAAGGTTGGAGACAAGCGCGGACTAGGTAAGCTTGCATCCTGAGCGGCAAGAGTGTTGATGGGTCGCGGGTGATGAAGAGCCCGAATAGACTGCTGGAGGGACTCGTCGGCATCGGCATCGGCGAAGGGTTCCGCATCTGCGTCCGCATCCGTAATGGGGGGAGTAGCCACATTACTGCTGAAGACTGTATGCGAATCGCTGCCAGAAGGACTCGAGATATCAAAAAAGGACTGTGATTGACTGGTATTATTCGATTCCGGGGTGTCGAATGAGTCGAGATTCGAATTACGTAGCTTGAGAGATCGGTTCGCGTTACCGGGGATCAACTCAGATGCGTCGGGAGTAACCGGGAAATCGCTCGTGGCCCTGCTGGTATTGTTTTTGATAGCATCCCTGCGGGAGCCGTTTGTCAAGGCGCGACGTAGTTTGTCGGATACCGCATTCGGGAGATTCGGGGTAAACGACCGTGTCGACTGCTTCTGCGAACTCTTCTTAACAGATCCACCAACAACAGGCGAAGCGGCTCGAGATTCAATCCTATGGCTTCTGCGTGAAGATGACTGTAGATGAGGTTTCGGTGCACGCCGACTGGTTTGGGAATGAGAAACATCCAATGATGGTTCTACCTTGATCTCTTGACTAGGTTCATTACTAGTGAATTGTTGAGACTGAGATGAGGCCTAAAGTCCGTTAGTGACGAGGAAATAATAGACTGAAATAAAGGAGGAACATACATCTTGTTGGCGCTGATGCTCGATATCGTCATCAACAGGCCAAGATACGCCGCCATAATGGGCAATATTGAAGGTGAATTTGGCTAACTCGGGAGGTGTGGGCTTCTGGGCTAGGGGATATTCCTTGGCGTCGAGAGTCGAGAGTGGTTTGGACTCTCTCACAAGAAGCGGCGGGTAGGATCGCTTGGTGGTGGTAGTAGTAGTGATCGTTTTGGTCTCGATGCACTCCGCGACGCCGAATTTGATACGCGGATGGGGAGATAAAGAGTCGGCATCGTCGAAGTTGACCGAGACCGTAGTCTGGCTAGATTGAGGTCGTCCGGACTCCATCCTTTCATCTGCGGATGGTGCCGGTATCCTCATATTATTCCCTTTATCGTTCTAGAAACCATGTATGTCGAGAACTCGAAGTCGTAATCGTGACACTGGCGTGAAAGAAATAGAGATGCCGTGGGTCGATGTTGCAAGCGAATCAAAGGATTATATCACTAAAGAATCTAGGTTTGAAGAATAGAGTCGAGGTTCTAAGATGTCGAAAGCCGAGGTCGGATCCTAAGTAGTGGGAAGAGGCGAGCCAAGGAGAATGAAGGGAGGAAGCAGAGGGAAAGCAGAGAAAGCAGTACTTCGAATAGGGCGTGGCCGCGTATTCTCTAAAGTTGTCGTGACGTTTCCCTTGTTTCTGATTGCAGGTTAGAATGGTTCGAGAATAATAGTGGCCTTCGATACCATATCGCGGGGTTGCTTTGGATACGGGTATGTACAAAGGTGGGAGATGATAGAATTTTGGGATTTGGCGGTTAGACGATTTAGCGATTTGGACGATTTTGGCGGGAAGGTTTTTGGTTGTAAATGACAAAATGCAATGTTCAGAACTCAAGGAGGGGAGGCGTCGGGAATGGCCTAGGCGGCTAGGCACTAGAGAGTCACTAGCCTGGTACTGTCAAACAGTTGGTGCCAGCAACTTCCCAAGGTACATCTACTGTACATGCCTCAAGGAAGGTACAACACAATCCTTCCCCAACTTTACCACATTTAGGTACATCCAACCTCGCCGAGGCGCGCTATCCAGCGCACGTACCAACCAGCACAGACGCGCTTTCCTGAGGACATCCAATGTACTGTGCGTTGTACCTTCAAACTGAGGCACAGTGCCCGCATTAAGTGCTAGCGTCACAAAAAATACTCAGCCGAGGGCAGTTACCGTCGAGGTGGCGATTATGTAAAACCTCACTAAAAGCAAACTGACAAATCTCTACTCACCTATTTGACGAATATTTCGCATTTACTCAGATATGCACACCTGTTAGATGCATGCTGCCTCGAGAGTAGAGTTCACACATTACACTAGAATGATAACAACAAATAGACTGTGCTTACCCCAAAATAACGTACATCTTATTCGACCCCACAGCCATTCACAAAGTACCACCTGGTTTCCGTTCTTGGGGAAGTGACAACAAAAGTTCAGATGATCCCAAATTTCATAATGACATTTCAACATAATAATATGCATCCCCTTATCCATCCCCTTATTCATCCCTTTATTATACCTGATGTAAGAATGTACATGTACATTTCTTTTCCATCCTTTTTTTTTCATCCCTCCTTTTCTTCCACGAGGCTCGACTGGATGTCTTCGTGACCATCACGCATATGGTACCTAATATCAGGCAGAAGAGAGAGGTCGATGTTGGAACCTGGATCCTCTTTTCTGTCTTTTCTACCCCTTCCCTTTCCTCACCTTTCTTTCCCTTCCCCTTTTCCTCCTTCGTTCGGCATTTCCAAGCCATCCAGCCTCTAAATATACCATTCTTCATTCCTCGTTCTCAATCTTACATACCTACACATGTGTATCTGTCGCCGAGGGATGTTTGTGTGGATGTGTGTCTGACTGAGGATTTGGAGTCTAGTGGGACTATTTACAAATGCGTGCCAACACCCGCATATGCTTTCCTTGACTGTTCCCTGCGGCGGGAAAAGAAACCCGGTGTCGTTCAAACGCAATGCATCTCGATCATAATGTGATCTGACTACCTGTTCTGCGAAGGGTGAGAAAAAACGAGTGGTCGATGGTTTAAATACTATACAGATCCATGTGTTCGGGATATAATATGTGCGTGTATGTGTATACTTCCATATTACCTGTACCTGCTGTACATAGCGTGCTTGGGAATATACATGTAGACTCCTCGAAATCCTCTAAACAGAAAGTATTCGTCTAGCCAAGACATTGGAATCCGTCCGAGCACAGTAATGGGTACCGGTAACCAATACAATACTTAATACCGGCCTCTGCTGTTGCACCCTCTGCGCATCCCGCGCAAACAGGCGGCCACTGAGGAGTACCTGTCACGCGTGCGTCTTCCGTGGGATGAAATCCATCCGTGATCTATTGATGAAAAATTCCAGGCGTCCCCGAACTGCCAGACTGCCAGATTCTGTCCGGATCAGGGCTAGGCCACAACCGGTGCTAGTTCCGAAGATGCTTAGCCTTAGCCGTGTGTCTTCACCGCTGAATCCGAGCAGATAATGGAATCGGCCTGTATACTAAATAAGTAATAGGTAATTTCCATTTTCCGAGGTTATTTAGCATGCCCTAAGTCGTCTGTGTGTCTTGTTTCCCTTCTCCCTCCCGTCCTGATACTCCGTATTGAACAACTTTACCGAATGACCAACACAATACGTTGAAATCGCGCAACAAAGAGGTAACCGTACAGTCGAGGACGGTCCGGCCTTATGGTACCGGCAAGAACCCCTCGTTCTAGCCATGCGTAGAAAAGCTCTTCCGCCAATCAAGTGGCGATCTCCAGACCTGGTTAGCATCTCGATGCATAGGAGGCGCCGTTGGAGAACATGGAGAACAACACCAAAAATATTCTCAAGAGTTACAATCACTTTGCAGGTCTGCATCTACTTGAATGTCCGCTGTCCAATGGCGAGGAGATTGAACCAGACTCTCAAATGACCCGACCGTTAATGCCGTACCGTCATAGGCCAACAGCTTACTGAGATATGAAGCAACCGTTCCAATGATGTTAGTCTTTGCGATGGTGGTCATCGGCTCGTAAATATCTTCAGCATCGCCCCGAGCTTGCTTTTGATGCCTACCTACCTAGGTAGTTATCGTAGTAACGCGTTTTGATTCAAGAGGCAACGAAGATAACAAGAAAAACGGTAGTTATTCATAGTATCCGGGATAGGAATAGGTTTCCTTGACTCAGTAAAAGGCTATGTTTTGTCCAGGTCCCAAAGTGCTAAGCACACTCGTCCAGTATCGTATGTATAGTACAGTAACTTCAACAGCTTCCAGCTCGGGTTTATTTTTAGCCAGCTAGCTTGCGTATAGGATATGTATAGAAGATTCTTCAAGAATCACCAGAGTGGGCGGCTACTGAAGACTTGAGCGATCTAATAAAACAAGTACGTAGAATGACGACTAGCACTTCCTACCAGTCAAGCCACCACGTAGCATATCAAGACGCAGTCTATTGTACATCGTAGGAAGGCCAATGTGGACATCTGCCATAGTAAACACGTGAGATTCGGCTAAAGCAAAGGCGATGAGAAATTACACGGAGTCATGCGATGCGTAATCAGACGCTAGGAATGAATCCAAGCTGAAGGCTAGCGGGTGGCTTTGCATCGAACTTTGTACGTATGCCGTGTAAGCCTTCACGACCGACCACTCGTGCCAAGACGATAGTATTGGGGCTGTTGCTGTGGACTTTTATTTAGTGCAGCTCAGCTGAAACTATTTCGAGCCGCACCGTTCCTACGACAAGAAAATAGGCAGAAATATACATCACACTCACTCAATGCATAGATTGAACCATATTCAATCCGTCAACTTGCTAGTGGATTGAAGTGTACCTGTCTCCGGTGAGAAACTCAAGCATAGTAGCCACATCTTCATGAACTTCCTATCATAAGATCCAACGAACTTCTGTAGCTGAATCAGCTAAGTCGAACTTTATCAGAGCAGTTGGTAAGGCATCAAGTCCAGGTGAAGAGGACGGGTATGTCTTATTACGGGCCCAATAACCCGCCGCCGCTCCCGCCGCGGAGCCCTAGACCGACTAGCCACCTCACACCATCTTCGACAGGATACCCAAACTGGAACTATCCGCCGCCTCCCCCCGGACCTCCTCCTCGAGGCTCGGGATATCCACCCGATCCCCAGCCCCCGCCTCTTCCTCCGAGACCCCCTGGATATGAACCCTCGAGTACACAATCTAGTCCGAGCCTGCACCCTCCTCCAAGCTTCACTATCCCACCTCCACCTCCGGGCCGGCCTCCGGGAATGGTCACACCGGGCTTACCTAACTCGCCGGTGTCTCCGTATCCTCAGTTCAATATATCCGGTCCGCCTTCGCCCTTAAACCCAGGTCCCCAGAGTCCTGATGCTTTGGAAACATTCCCTCCACCTCCACCAGGACCTCCTCCTCAGAATGCCAGGTACTCGAACCCGCCTATTCCACAGCGTCCGATTAGCACTTATACTTCATATACGCCAACTAATTCATCCACAACGCCAAATCCTACCCATCAGATTTCCCCGGGAGGAACTCCCTATTCTCCCCCTGTGTATATGCCCCCGAAAGAAACATCCAATAACCGACTCCCGGAAAAGTCACCGAATTCTTCAGTTCCACTATTGCAATCTTACGTCCAGACATCGAATCCTCAGCCACCCAGTCAGCCATCACCTTATGCTCCTTATGTCGTATCTTCATCCCCATCACCAAACACATCGCCGCAACCTAATAATATAGAGACTCGATTTCAGTCTCTAGCTATAAATAACCGGCCAACAACTAGCCCACAACCACCCGCTTCCCACCGTACCCCTCAAACTTTGCAGTCAGGTAGTCAAGCCAATCTATCAAATGTTCCCGCATCACTTTCTCTTGGTCCTCAGATATCCCTGCCGGGTCAGCAGATCTACGAGTTACCCGCAGAAGATAAATCCAAAGACACGCATGCCGAACCCGCATTATCTACGCCATCAGCGGTCACATCGTGCATCGACAGCCCCCTTACCTTCACAACAGACTGGTACTGGCACCCCTCCGCGCCCGACTTTCTAATCTGCTCAAGATGTTACGTCGACCACATACACAGAACCAAGTTCAGGGACTCCTTCCAAAGCAAGCGCTTTGACGACGGCAAGGCGCGAGTATGTCGACTCAGCAAGTCTAGGATGCGGGACAACCTCTTCAAGGACGCAATCACGACGGGCTCCCTCGAATCAGCACTGTCTTGGATGCACACGCGGCCGCAGATCCCAGATTGCAAGGGCATAGACGGCGTTAAGGGGACAGTCGGTATCAAATGGTACAAGCCAAAATCAGGTGCCATCCCAGGCTTCGTAGCGTGTCAGGCGTGCTACGAGGACTACATCCTAACGAACCACTTCTCCGCCAACTTCGAGCCCGCGCCGCCGCAGCCAGAAGGCGAGACCTGGGCCTGCGACATGGCCGTGCCCTTTATCGAGAAGGAATACGCGGCGCGGGGCAAAGCCTCCGATTGGGCCGGCTTCGCGAACGAGACGAAAGCGCGGATGTCCATAAAAGCGTGTCCGGGGCGCGGCCGGGCTTCGACCTACGGCAAGAAGTGGTTCGTCCCCAAAGCCGGACCGGAGGGACTGGTGCTGTGCGCGGCATGCTACTGCGACCAGGTGATCCACACCGGCGAAGAAGCGAAGTGGGAGGTGGCGGAGAGCTACGAGAAGGCCACCAACAAGCACGTCCTATGCGGGATGGGCATCTTCAGCATCAGGATCGCCATGTCGCGCGCGCACGAGACGAAGGACTACGCGTTATTCTGGACGGCGGTGCGCAAGATCGCGAACGAGAAGTTCTGCGAGGACGACGGCATCGAGGAGGGCATCTGGCACTCGTTCCCGTCGGACCCGAGCAACTTCGGCGTCTGCGCGCGCTGCTACGTGGGCATCGCGGAGCCGCTCGACGTGGCACGGTTCTTCGTGCGGAAGCGCGAAGCGCAGCCCTCCGGAACGAAATGGCGGTGCTGCTTCAGCGTCGCGCACCCCCGTTTCAGACAGTTCATGCAGCAGCTTCTGGAGATGTATTATACGCTTAACCCGCGCTCCTTTGGTGAATTTGCCGCTGTGTATGCTTCCATGCCGATATGTCCCCGCGACGAGGACGCGAAGGACAAGCGCTGGTACGGGTGGATGGACTGCACGATCTGTCCTGAGTGTTATCATGAGTTCGCTCGACATACGCCGTTGGCAGCGAAGATGCATTTGAACAACACGCTGTTAGAGACAACCGCGATGTGCGAGATGTACAGTCCGCGTATGCGCAACCTGTACAAAGAGTGTAGCGACGCATCGCCACCAGATGCGGGACCGCTGCTCGCTTACTCGGCGCAGCGGCGGCTCGTGTGGGCGGAGACGGTGCCGCAGATGCGAATGATGCTGTTCCGGGCGAAGATGGCGTTGAAACAGCAATCTTTCCTTAATACGACAAGTACATTCTACAATTCGCTCGGCATGCTCCAGCAGACCTCCATGGGATCGTCGCATACGTACGGCGCAGCGGGGGTTGGGTATGGCTACGCGAATATGAATCTCTTGCAGGGAGCCATGTACGGCCAACAAGCTATGGCGGTGAGTTCTAGCGCGGTGAATGGCGGTACGGTAATGTTAGTTGGACAACTAGAGCAGCGATGGAGAGCTGTTGAATAGGTATGGACCTATATAAGGGATTTTGCTGTAGCAATTTGTAAATACCTAGATCTCATATAGGTAGGTTATAATGTAAGACAGCAAATACTCTGGATACATCGGCTGCGTTCTCGCTAATCTAGTTCCCAAGAGTCTCAAATTGTCTTGTGAACAGTATTATATCAACGAGACCTTGGGTTAGTTGTTCAACTGTCTTACCGTCTTACCTTTCGGTTATCATTCCGAGCCAGATCTTTAAAGTGTCAAGTGGAGAGTTATCCAGCGGGACGGAAAGCTCGTTTTAGTTAGATCTTGGCTGCCCTTATGGCCATATTCTGGGGTTGAGCCGGAATGTTCTCGTGAGCGGCGCTGGAAGCGGAAGATGCAACATATATCATACGAATTCACAATTACGTAAATGCCTACATAACTTATGTTTCGCAATCTCACGATATTTACATAAGGTTCGTTTCATCGGGATTTATTACTAGACCCTGTCTTCCCGTCTGATTTACATACCGGGTTCAGGGGTCGACATTATGACACTTCTGGGTAGGAGGATCTTACATACATACTGCCTGCAGACCTTTTAAAAAGGGGTTTACAGTAGCATTCGCTATGGCATTCGAAGATGGAATCCTTCATTATAAATCACTTGCGCAATCCGCTTTCCAGCTTTGCAACCGAATGTTACCTACCGTTTCAATCGGAACAGGGAATCATTTGCTTTCCTCTTCAACCCCTAAATGTTCTTCAAAATCCCCTTTCCCCGGCCACCGAACCTATTTAAATATAAGTTCCCGTTAGTGGCTCCATTCGTGAGAGTAGTCAATTTCCTGTTTTGAGAATACAACGCGCTAGCGAGCTCCGGGATATGATACGTACCGAGGCAACTAATACCGACATATGTAGGTATGTAGGTACCTGGACATTCTCTTATATAACATCAGTAGGTAAATATCCATATTCTATCTTTTCGTTCTTTCGTCCTTTCATTCTTCTGTTTCATTCAAGTCCAAGAAATTCTCTAAATTCCCGGAGCAGGAAATGTGTAAGCCGGGCGAGACACGGAAGGTCTTAGCGTTTCGATATCACGATATTGGCTTCTCATAGGTTGGCCCGGCTTATTTGAAGGTTGTACAAGAAACGCCATATTCTATGTCTGCATATGTCAATGCCTCGATTGGTTCGCTTGCCCTTCTGCACACCATCTTCTTAGTTTCCGCATAACCGTTCATTCGTTAGGTGCATGCGTGTGGGATGTTCAAGGCCTATGTAGCATCGGACGGCTCGCCGAACTCCCGGAAACGTGAGAGAAATATCCATTATATCCGTAACATCACTCGCTCTTTGTTCTGATACAGAAACTTATCAACGAGGGATGGTTCGACGAAGGGGAATACCAACGCCACAGATCGCCTGCCTGCCACCAACGGCAAGGGAATCCCGTTCTAGCGGAAGGGGACATGAATGTCCCAAACACGTGGCGCCGACCTAGTATTTCCCAACAACCAAAGGAAGACAGACTGCGGAGTATTTCTAAAGATCTGCATTACCTATTTATCGCCCTATCTTTAGACTATGCAGAAGCTGCTCGTGCGTATCCGACGATACAGTCGTTGCAGCACACCAGCCGACGACAATAAAATGAATAGCAAACATCAACCAGATAGACCCCTGGACTTTATCCTGAAGGGCAAAGTCTACATCGAAGAACTCCCTCCAGATATCGAGCCGATTAAAAACTTTCTCGAAAAGTACAGCGGCATCCGCCCCAAGGATATCGACGAGCATGTTCACGAGATAGTACGTATAATCCCCCCTTTCTCTTCTATCCTAGCCTAATACGAATGTTACTAACTTGGCTTATTAGAGAGATCGGTTATGGGATATCTATCCTTACATCTGCATTGGCCACTTTCGCTTCCTCTCGCTCAAGTTCACCCAGGATCCTCGATACCAAATAGCGTTAAATCGACTACTCGCACCCAACTCCGAGGCTAACTTCCTAGATATAGGCTGCTGCGTAGGACAGGTGCTGCGACAGCTCGCCTTTGACGGTGTCGATTCTTCGAGGCTTTTCGGTACTGATTTGGACCCCCGATTCCTCGAAGCCGGGTACGACCTCTTCAAGGACCGTGACAAGCTGAAAGCCACCTTCGTAGCAGGCGATATGCTCAGTCAGAGTGACGAGGGCAATGATAGCGAGAGAAGCCTTGAAATATTTGATGGGAAGATGAGCATTATACATGCGATGAGTTTCTTCCACCTCTTCACACGGGAGGACCAGATACGGGCAGCTCAGCGGATGGTGCGGTTCCTTAACCCCAACGACCCAGATGTCATGATATTCGGACGTCAGGCCGGCACGACGACACCCGGCGACAGGGAAGGCGCTAAGAAGACCAAGAGGTTCCTACACAACGCTGCAAGCTGGCAGGAATTATGGGATGAAGTCGGCCAGCTAACGGGGACGGCGTGGCGAACCGAAGTGGATGAGATAGAGGAACCCGGCATGCACCCGGATGGCAATGCTGACGAGACGCTTCGGCGCATACGATTTGGTGTCTTCCGGGCTTGAATTGTTCACGTTTACTTAGCATGTTACGATGGATATCGGAGTTTGGAGCATAGCCTATGGGATACTGTATTAAAGATAAGCATGGATGAATATTGGACTTGGGTTTTCTTTGGCCTACTAAGTTGCATAGGTACCTACATACCAATCAAAAGGCTTGCCAGAGGAATGACTTGTTTTTGGTTCCAACCCTAATCTGACGAGAATATTAGAAAAGTTGACCTCTCCCTAAGATACGATGTAGGCTAGAAGGTGGTAAGCTGGTCAATGAGATACGGGTGCATAAACACCAGTGATGAGCTGATGATCCTAAGTGAGACGAGATAATCAATGATAGAGTAGCAGCTACGATACCAAGGACTCAATGATATTAAAATGCCCTCAAACGCTCAAGAACTATGCTAGACGCCACACGATGCGAAATATAATGCAATAGTTAGTCTAAAGACGTTAACGCCATATCTTGTAGGACGAGGCTGGATAGGCCGGATTACTATGGCTCTTTACCATATCCGCTTCGCCACCATTTCGTACCTCACCACTTTAGATAACCCGTCGTCGCCTTTCTCCTTAAACTTTTCTTCGGCCTTCCTCTCTCGATCTCGCATCTTCTTTAAGCCCTCCTTATCGTCCTCATAAATCCACTTCCTTCGATCATCTCCGATCTCGACCGTTCCCCAAGACCCAATGCGTTTACCAGGTTGTGAGAAATTCTCAGGTTCTGCTTTTCCAGCAGCGACCGCATGCTCCTTGAGCTTCATGGCTGCGTATCGTTCTCTAGAATAATGGAGTAGAGCCATGCCTAGAAGCAGCTTTACAATAAGCAGTACAACCCATGTGAGGAAGAAGAAGATTAGCATCGTCAGCAATGCAATCGCATCGTCGGAAGAGAAGGTCCAGAACGGCCGGACGTGAGGAGACTCATATGGGTAACCGTATACGGCTCGGCCAAGAGCGTTCCTAAGTAGCGTGTCGAGATGCTCTAATGCGGCAATCATGGCAGGAGAAGACGGAGTTGATGATTCAACTGAAAGCTCAGTGGTTGAGGTTGGGATTGGGGGGCTAAGGTGGGTGGCGAGGAACATGTGGTAGACCTGAACAGATGCCCGGATGAAAAGGCACGATAATGGCAAGACCGGCAAACCCAACCGTCGAGTCAACGAAGGTGCAGAAAATGCCTATATATAGATATATTGTGAGTAACAAGCCTGAAAGAGCTAACTTGACGAATTTGACTTACGTTCGTATAATAATCCTTACATAAGATGTCTAGCATCCTGTTGTAAAGTGTTGGTTTAACATTGTTGAACTTGTTGATGTATGCATGTTTAATCCAATCTACCATCATCTCGATGCCTATGACGACGAGGAAGGGAGAAAGCACTTCGCCAGAAAGAATCCATGACGGTAGGACAGTGAAGCTGTTGGGGATGCTTGAGCTGGTATGAACCGGGCCCGGTTTTACAGCGCCACCGTCTAGTTCGCTCCCGGCTCCCACTACGGAGAGCCCTCCTACTTCGACAACGTTCCTCATCCCGATGATTAGGAGAATAATCCATAGCTGGAATCGCTCAACGACGTCTGAGCAAGTCAGCTGGAATAAGTTCTCCTTTTCGATCCTCTTGAACACGCTTCCCTTAATCTCAACGAATTGGTTGGATATCAAGAGAGTGAGTAGAGAGTTCGAGTATGAGTTTACGGCAACATTCAGGGTGATAACCTGATAGAATAGACACATTGTGTGGATAACGTTGTAGATCAGTGAGAGGATGAACATTCCAAAGGGCAAAAGGACCTTAGATCGCCCAGAGCTGTTCCTAGAAAGGGTCTCGGAGCTGAAGAGACACTCCAGGATGTCTTGACCGACGGCCGAGAGGAGCCGATCCGCAACCTCGAGAATGTTATAGATGACGTACAGTTTCATTGAAGACTGAGCGCGAATAACATGATACATTCGACTGGCGTCTAGGTTCATGAGTGCCATGGCGCTACAGATGAGGACGAAACCTTGGAGGAGGTCGGCTTTGTGGTATGATGTTAGATTAGACGGCATCGACTTTGTTCGACGGTGACGATATCCTCCAGGCCGAGATATGGGGTGTTTTGGAGGGTGGAAAACACCATTTCCATTCAACCGGGATGTCTCTTGGACCGATATGCTTGAGGCGTCAGACGAGGTACGATGTCGCATAGTCCCGTTCTGGTGAGGAGTAGTGTGATTCTCGCTCGCCCGGCTCTGGCTTCTCTCAGATTCGCTGACAGCATGACTGCTCTCTGATCGTTGCCGCAACATGGCCCGCCCTCTCTTTCCCCTTTGCCACAGACGCCAAGTGCCTTGCCAGACATAACCGACAACCCATTTGGCTTCCTTCCATATCACGTACGCCCACCACTTTAAGAGTACACCAAGAGCAATGAGAAATCTCATAGGCAAAATGGTGAAGGTATACAACCAGGCATCAAGACAAGCTAGGGTGCCAAAGGTCAAGATATGCTCGAGGTATGGTGGTAAGAGCAGAGCATTAAGCAGCCTCTCGAACTTGACCGCACTAGATTCGTACGGCGTATCAGCGGACTGTGAATGGTGAATGTAGAGAGGACTGGGTCGCTGGCCGGCAAGTTCGAGCTGAAGATGCGTAGGGAGCGACATAGGCGGGAGGGGCACGGCAGGAAGTATAGGGGATGGCGGCGATGGATCGGCTCGGTCTGTTTTGGGAGGGGGCACGGGAGGGTTCGGCGCAACGAAGGAGAGATTCAGAGGAGGCGGTCGAGGAAGAGGGTTGAAGGAATTTCGTCTTGTAGCATTCGGCTCGCCTCTAAAGGGGCCAGTGGAAGATCTCCTGTTGATAGGAGGAGTGGAAAGTGTCCGTTGCGATGCAGGAGGTCGTCTAAAGTCGGCCGCCGTTTTGGGAGCATCGTTATAAGCTGGCACGGGCGTATCCTTTTCTGCGACTGGCACGTGGACACTATTTCGAAGCTGCTCAGCCATCGATGGACGAGACCCCAGCTCGGCAGCGCCAGCAGACATGGGATACTCGGTGCCGTTGGGCTTGCGTTGAGGAACTACGGCAATAGGCAGTGAGTCGGGCGACGAGGTTAACGCTTGCATTTGAGAGGCGGAGAGCTTCCTAACACTCTCATGGCTCGCCTTCTTCGTAGCAGATTTTGAAGTCGACTGTGTACGAGGCTTGGTAACGGAATCGGCAGTTCGGCTAGAGACAGCCTTGTCTGCAATATTGGGTGTGGTGATGGACGAGTAAGAGTGTCCCTTGACATGTTTGTTGCCATAGCCGTTGGCATTATGGTTCTGGTTGCTGTTGGGTGCCGAGTGCTCGTCTAATGAATGTATTTGTCTACTTCCGTTACTCACAGCCTTCTCGTCTGTGCTACTTGATTCGAAGTCTGATTCGCGTCCCTCGAGTTTTGGCGTGACAGGCGTCGAGGAAATGACTTCGAGGGTAGGAAAAGGATCGGCTGGCGGTGTGGGATATTTTTCAGTCTTGACTACAGAAGTATCTCGATCCTGCTTCTCTCTCTCTAAGCTTCTCCCACACCGATCATCTACCACCTCCTTCTGCGAATTCGTGGGGTCTTCATTATTGCGGTTGTCGTTGACAAACCCGCCTTCACTTTGGTCTCGTGTGATAAATTCCGGCATTAGGGAGACGACGTCGTTTTCGTTCGGCCCATCCTCTCTACGACCATAGCTTGTTCCGCTACTCTTCAAAGGAATGGTATTCACTAGCCTGTAGGATATAAGGTCATCGAAAACTAAAGACCACTGAGCTTATTGAACGGACGGGCAAGTTAGCGATCGTAAATTTATTCGTCGGTGTAGGTGGGAGTTATGGAGACGACAGATAGTAAATAGGTACGATAAAAGATAGAGATAAAAGAGGCCAAGTTGAACAAATTCCACCTTTTCCCCAGGGTCCAGAACCTTATCGATCAACTATCGTTAGCGTTGCAGAATACAGTGCGGGAAGCTGCAAGCTACTACTCCAAAAATAGCTGGGTTGTCCCTGGTCATGAGATGCCACTGCAACTTCAGCAAGTACGAGGTACGTCATTTTGTTGTCAGCTCGTACAATCCATTGTAACCTTGGGAAATCGTAGATCCGACGTCGCACTGTATTTTACCCCTGAGCCAATTATCCACCGGTAATATTCACATCAATGTCTTTTAATGTCCTTTATTAAGACATCCGATTTCGAAAAAGATATCTAAGTGTATTCATAACTCTACGAGATGACGTCTAATTCAATTAAATTCGACAGAAAAATAAGGCTATGCACTCGCCGATAGCTTTTAGATTCGTTCTATGTTCTATTGGATGTTCTAAACTACGGGCTGCGCAAGAACCGAGAGCTATGGTGCTATGTATATCAAGCCCTACCTACCGCTGCGGCTGATAACCCCTCATCATCTAGGTACTATCACGGCAGAATCGGAATGGTGGTCGACGGGCCAAGTCCGGGTTTCTATTCCGGTAGAGCTGATCACCCCGTGGGGCCAAAGACCGATCCAACCAATCAAAATACCGAATGAGCCATCAAGTTGGACTCTCTAGTCTGTTAAGCAACGGCGACTATTTGAGCGGTGCGAATTACATTCTAGGATTTTCAGCTTCTTCCTTCGTCCCTTCATTCTCTACTTCAATTTACTCATATCTATAGGATAGTATCATAATCTCTTACTACCAGTGGCTGAGTTGTGATGAGGGTAACTCGCACTTGGCTCCATACCGGAGTCAAATTAGCTCCATGCTACGGCCTGGCGTTGTCTTCTCATAATGGGTTCTGATGGAAGAAATGAGTGAATCAACATATATATAGCGGCGATTAGGCCCTACTTAGATCGACTAAATGGTAACTCGACAAGATTCTTGATCCAGCTACTCAGACGCAACATGTTATCTCGACACAGCCCCTTAACGAACGTTTTCGTTGCGTTGGCATCCAGCAACATTGCCCTCGCTGCTCTCAATGGACATTGTCCCCCTTTAGGGCCAGTCCTACCTGCTCCGACGAATCCCGCAGCACACGAGTCGGTCCAGTTAGCTGTACATAATGTTGTAGATACCCTTCAGAACCTTACTGCTGATTTTGATTCTACCGGTATATCGATCGCAGTCAAGTCCATACATGAAGCCTCTCCGCTACTGGAGTTCCATCACACACCTGCGGTTCTTAACTCTAATGGAACCTCCGTTATCGACTCCCAAACGGTCTACCGACTTGGAAGCATTTCCAAGATATTCGCGGTTCTCTCACTTCTACAGCAGAGCCAAGTAAAGATGGATGACCTCATCACGCAATATGTTCCCGAGTTGCTTGACTTGAAGGGAGAGACGGACGAAGTCACTGATATTACGACCGTCAGGTGGAACGAGGTAACGCTGGGTGCACTTGCTTCACACATGAGCGGTATCGGCACGGATCGTAAGTGAACATGATAGCATATGTTTATCTATATTCTTGCTAACCATATGTAGTGGTCAATGATCTAGCTAGTTTTCCGACAGACTGGACCCAAGTTGGTTTGCCTAAGTTGAACGCGACGTCTAAAACCGGGTGTGCGGGAGTCCTTGGCCTTCCACCGTGCAACCGAACGGAATTCTTCCGAGATTTCGGGAAACGCCATCCAGTGTACGCGCCGTTCACGAACCCTGTCTACTCGAATGTCGCCAGCGTCATTCTTAGCTTTGCTCTCGAAGCCATCACTGACACAACCTATGAAAACTATGTGAGGCAATCAATCTTCGATCCTCTCTCCATGACGAATACTACGATATTCACTGGGCCGAAGAAGAATTCATGGGGTTTTATTCCGGTGAATGAGACTTGGTGGGGGAGTAGCTTAGGATACGAGGACGTGTAAGTCACGATACCAACTAAGTATAACTAAGACTGACAGTAGATAGAGCTGGTGGTTTCTATTCGAACACACTTGACTTGCTCTCTTTCGGCACTGGTATTCTTAAGCACACCGTACTAGAATCGGCCAAGACAAGGAAGTGGATGAAGCCGTTGACGTCGACTTCCTCGTCTGGCCTCCTTCTGGGAGGACCCTGGGAAATTATCCGGTCCAACACTGTGACAAAGGACAAGCGCCTCATTGAATTTTATTGCAAATCTGGAAACCTGGCTTCCTATAACAATCAGCTGTGCCTCGTACCAGATTACGACCTTGTCATTACCATTCTCTCGGGCGGTCCACAATCCAATGCTGACCTAGTCGATTTGGCTCTTTCGAAGGTTGTCCAAGGCCTGCTTCCTGCCATTGAGGATGCTAGTAAGGCAGAGGCTATGCCAAAATTCGGGGGTACCTACACAGATGCTACTACGAACTCGACTATCACCCTTTCTCTCGACGACGCGCCTGGCTTCGCCGTATCTGATTGGGTTGTACGCGACGTCGATATCATCAATAACTACGCCTCGTTCACGGCATTGTCGAGTAGTCCGACGGATCAAACGGTCTCTGTCCGACTGTATCCTACGAACTTGGATTCAGAATGCCACACTGCGTGGCGGGCTGTTTTCGATATCGGCACCCCTGAGCAACTCGCCGCAAAGGAGGCAACCTTATTCTGGCCCGATGCAAGTTGCCATACATGGGGGACCATGGATAGGCTCACCTATGGATTTCGCTCGATAGACGAGTTTGTCTTTGATCTCGAAGGCGACGGATCAGCGCAGAGTTTGAATCTTAGGGCGTTTCAAGTTGAGCTGAGGAGGGAATCTTGAAAGGCTGGATCGCTTTGACTTAGGGGTCTAAAAGGCATGGCTCTACTGGGGCTAAAGAGATATACAAAGGGTTGTAGTAATGTCTAACCTAATTTACTTCACATATATTTTACTCACTATTCCTCTAGTATTAGATCATTTTTTACATCACGTATTAGCTATATGGATAGAGATATTGTAAACAGCAAACTTTCTTATTAACCAGGAAACAGAGGGTAAACTAACTCCAACTAATGCAAGTATAAGCTAAAATGCGCCCCCTAACTTACGGAGTAGATGAAGCTCAGGTCATCCAATCCGTCAGCTAGCAAGAGCCTGAAGTACTCGCCCCGGTAGATGGGATCACTGGAGATTTACTTCGCCTTTGCTGCATTCACTGCCTTCACCTCGATAGGACGCTGCTCCTTGAACCCTTCCTCCAAGGTCTTGCTCAAGCCCGCGCGTCGAGCAATGGACATAAGCGCGGCTCTGTCGCCGGAAGGCAAGCCCTTCCAGACCGCATTCTCGCGATCGCGCCAGTCCCAGACGACGTGCGAGCCGAAGAGCTTGACGAGGCCCTTGCGGTCGATCACATCCGGCATCTGGATTATCGTCTTGAGCAGGATGGTGCGCTCGACCTTGCCCTGCGCGCGCTTGCCGTGCAGGTAGTACTTGACCTGCTCGCGCGCGTTCTCGTTCAGCTGGGCGATCTTCTCGGGCGTGAGGAGCTCGCTGTTCTTCTGGCTCTTGTTCGCGGCGGCGATGTGCTCTTTCGCGAGCTTCTTCGAGCTCGCCTCGCGGGACTCGGCGTACCGCTTCGTCACGTACTGGTGCTTGTCGGCGCCCTTGAGGCCGTTGGCGAACGCGTCCATCTTCACCTTGCACTCGTAGCAGGGGTGGTTGTTCGTAGCTGAGGCGTAGACGGTCGTCACGGCGTGGAAGTCCTCGGCCTTGTGCGGGTAGAATAGGCAGAACTTGGCTTTGCCCATGCTGGTGGTGACTTGGTGACCACAGCTGTGGTTGGTCTGGCGGACGGTTCGACACATGGTGGAAGATTGGAGTTTGGATTTGCTTTTCTTGAAGAGAAGTTTGAAGTGCGAGAGACAAGAGTATTTGCGAGATTAGTAGACTTGAGCTTTGAGTACGCTGTCCACGTTGGCTTGGAGTTGCTGTTGTTTCTGGTTCTGATTTGAAGAGGTGAATTAGACTGATATATATAGAAATATCTTTGGTGAGGGTCCTGTCGATGCTGTTCTATTCTTTGTTGAACAATAACATTGTTCCTTGACTATCTCATTACAACATCGTCAGAGTCAAAGCAATTGTCTGCGTTAACAATGCTAGTTCATATACGAATCACAGAATTAACACTCAACCTTATGAGCCGTCGGAAGATGCATTACTTAGTCACAGACATTGTCGTCTTATAATTGTCTTGATGCTAAAGCATACAAAATCTTCCCTCCACCACCGTGTTAGAAGAGCTCTAGAGTATATCCTTTCCCCATTGACTCATCCAGAGGTGAAAAGAGATGAAGTTAAACTTTGATGATGTGTTGCTATTTCAAATCCAGCATATTAGGTACCTATATACCTCTTATATATCTGGAGCTCTTTAGGTATTTTCCTCTAGCATTTTGTTTATCATGAAGGTTTTCTTAACTACGAATTTCTCAAGTGTTTGTACTTTGTTGAGAAAGCATTGACAAAGGTTAGGTAACACATCTGATCCACATCCACCTATTTATAGGATACGATTACGTTATACTTCCCATCACAATGTGCCAAATTCTGCCTCTTCTACAGCAAAGCTCTGTGGCGCAGCGGAAGCGCGCCGGGCTCATAACCCGGAGGTCCTCCGATCGAAACGGAGCAGAGCTAATTTTTATCGAATTCTTTTTTCTTTCGGCCATACCATTAGGGCATGCCCCTATTGTATCCACATTGTGGGGACTTTGAGTCGACGAATTTTCCTGCTTAGATTATATTTTTCAAACATTCTGTTATAGATTGTGCCTGATTAACTTTTCGAGCGTTGATTTACATATGACGATGCATGGTAGAGACAATTGCACGTGAATCACCAGAAGTCTGGAGCGACAATTGCTAAGATGACCACATAACCTCCTGTCAGTGATGCGATGCGAACTAAGTCGAACTAGAACTAGGATTGGTCCTTGTGAGTGAGGACGGTATTAACCGGGGTTATGGACGCGTTAGTTGCCGTTTGAAGTCGGCCTTTGTTCCGGCCTATTGTCTCCGATTATCTCTGCCACATCGGCGACCATTCCCCGCAGAGGTGAATACCAAGGTGATGACGTGATCACTATTGATATGGCGATATATTGGCGGAATCAGTAATTCGATTGCATATTCTAGCAAGCATGCAGACTATCTGGATACCGAGGTTGCCTGCATTAGCCATTGCGTCACTGTCTGTTGACCTGTAAGGGATGTATAAGACTCCCGTCACCAGTCTCAAGATACGGTGACAAACATGAGGTCCTAACTCGTATGCCAATCAATACCAATCATCACTTAAACAATTATTTCTTCCAATCACTATCACAAACATGACTTCGCCTATCCAGAAAAATCTCGTGGAGAAGAATGCTGGGTATGCCAGCCATTTTACAAAGGGCGACCTTGCTCTCCCGCCAGCCAAACACTACCTAATTCGTATGTACCTAGTATTATTGACACCATAGGAAGTACGAAGTTCAGAAGCTAACAATAACTAAGTGACTTGTATGGATGCTCGTATCGACCCGGCTGCTGCATTCGGCATTGACCTTGGCGATGCCCATGTTATCCGGAATGCTGGCGCCAGTGCGAGAGACGGCCAGCGTTCCATAATCATATCGGAGCAACTTCTCGGCACAAAGGAGATCATCCTCATCAAGCATACCGGGTGCGGCATGTTGACCTTTTCTAACGAGGACGCCCACGGTCTCGTCAAGAAGAACCTGGGTCCTAGTGCCGCTGTAGAGATCGCTACGCTCGACTTCCTCCCCTTTAGCAACTTGGAAGATGCCGTTAGAGAGGATATTGCCTATCTGAGGAAAAGCGCTACTGTGCCGGAAGATGTTGTTATCAGCGGTTGGATTTATGAGGTTGAGACGGGCAAGGTTAGACAGGTTGTGTAAGGAAAATGTGGACCGGGAATAGTGAATAGGGTTAATGAGAATGGAAAAGGGGTTGGAAGGTTGGCGTGTTGATATCAAGCTTCTCCTGATGCTCATTTCCATTATCCAGAAAATACATACCTAATGATTGAAACCAAACCTGGTCCCCTGTGTCAGTTCATGCCGTTCGTGTCTCTCTGGAGAAGCAACATGTGAAACTAATACTTACGATAGAAAGGGGTTGAGAAGTAAACTCGACTGGGAGAGCTGGTATTTAGGCAAGCGATCAGCTGCGATTATTAGCATATTCAATTGGAAAAAAATAAGAGAGTGGGCAATGTTTTTTATTTTATCGTTTCCGAATCCATCGCGAACTAAAATCATTGCAACTTATGAGATTCATAATTCCCACTATCTTCGGGAACTTCTCATGACCATGTTTGTCCCTGCAATTGGTAGCAAAGCCGAATGAAAATTGCATATTCCCCTCCATCACCTTTTCCCCGTCTCGAGAAGCCATGAGTTTGAAATAGCCTTAAAAGAAAAGCAAGCATCATGTGTTTTAAAAACCAGACCCTCCCTCGTCCGACCTTTCATCCCTACTCCTTCTGCTTTCAATAGAAGGTCGTGAATATTGTCGGCAAATGTGGACAGCATCGTACTGCTGCAAATTATGGGCACGTGATCCCATCCAAGCTTGTCACAGATGTCCTTTACTTCTTCCGGTCGTAGGTATTCTTGGTCATCAATACTGAAAATGCCGAAAACGAAGAAGACGTGTTGGTCTGGTTCGAAACCGATGCTATTGTCCATAATGTCGAAACCGCAAAGCTCTCCTTGTACTACGATGTTTTCCCGAATCTGACGAATTCTCTCAATAATGCATTGTTGTTTGGCGACTTTCCAGTATAAGGATGTTGAGGATTCGACCAGATCCTGTGTTCGATTGCATATGCCAATACGAGTTGTTTCGATCTGCTGTGAACCATCGGGGAGAGGCGGCAGGAGTGAATGCCATTTCGAGTTTTTCTCAATAGCATAGACACTCATCGGGATACCGTCTAGCTTCTCTGTAATTTGCCACGTTTTCTCTCCGTGGTCTTTGAAAAGATCCGGCAAGTTCTGTACTCTTTCGCAACCAGGTTGGGGGAAGAATATCGGTGGGCAATGGAATTTAGGGGTAGGATCTCCATAACCGATATTCTCCCATTTCTTGACTCCCAGGATTCCTTCGAAAGACATTTTTGTTATTATCATTTCGGTGAGTTCTTTGCCATAAAACGTCTTCATTCGGGAGTAGAGATCGTAAAACTCAGCGAATTTGTCCAGATGGAATATGAGACCCTGGGAAAGATGTTTGCATATGATCATAGTCGTGACCACATAACCAGATTCTTTGTTCGAGAAAGCACCAAACTCCCAGAAATTGTGGTTGGGCGGAAGTAGGCTATCAACCTCGAAGTATAGGACCAGCTGACCTTCGATGAAACTCTCTTTTTTTCCTACTACCACCTCCCATCCATCCACTGAAACGACCTTGTACGGCGATCCAGTAATAGGCTTGATATTGGCTATTCGTCTTACAGTGACGAGCCTTCGGTGGATTTGTTGCGGCATGATGAGAATTCGTGGTTGGATAAAACGAGATTGTTTGGAAAAGAAAAGGAAAATCTATCAAGATTTTGAGGTTAGTATAAGAGATTTAGAATTGGATAGTTGAATAGTTGTCCAGTTAAAAATAAAGAAAGAAAGGCGATTGACAGTGCAAAGATGACGAAAACGCGAGAAAACTTACTTCGAGTTTGTGACTAGTTGAGCAAATTCCACCTCGAGAAAGAAAGAAACGCGCAGATAAAAGCAGATAAAAGCGGAAAAAGAAGCTTAATCGAAGCCAGCAAAGTTTTCTCGCGTATCATGGAGGGTTGTTATTGCCTACGCAACGGGAATTGGCTGACTGCCACCCGTGCCAGGAGGATCACGATCAAAATTGCCGCCAGAAGGACCATCAGGCTCGTCGGGCTGCTCCACGAAGAGGGATTCTTCCTCGTATTCGGCGTCATCTGAGGCGTTTTCTTGCGCCTCTCTTTCCGCATCCCGCATCTCCCGACGCTCTTTCTCGGCCATTTTTCGACGAAGGTTGGTCGCTCTCTGCTTGAGCGGCTTGGAATCTCCCTTCATTCCATGTACGGAACGAGCGTGTCCCACCAACGAGTGGAAGTTGGGGTAAATTCGGCCCTCGTTGACACAATCCTCGTTCACGCAAGGCCAAATCCCTGCTCTCTGATTCTTCTTATAAGCAGAATCATCGCGGTGCTTCTTGGAGATGTGAGATCGAATATTGTGTTTCGCGTTTAACATCTGCGCTCCGCATCGTCGTCCTCCAACTGGCACACGACACTCGTAGAGGCCGTTCTGGAGGATACGGCCAAAGGCATTCGGCACAGCCGGATCTGCAAGTCGGTTGTGCGTCAGCTTCTTACCAGCCACCTTGGTCTTCTTGTTAATCGCCATTTCCTAGTAGAATGATTAGTTAGCAGACGAATCACACTGAAAAAATTGTAGGGAATCAATCGTAATATGAATGTAGTGATAGTAAATAGCAATGGGTGTGTATACGCAACGTGTTGATGATGAATATACGCATATTACTTACTGCTCAGAAACCACACGAGCGTAGATGGTTAATCAAATTAGGATGATGAGTGAGCGACTCAGTCAGAGTCTATTGAACGTTGACTGAATTACCTGGATAGTATCGTGAAGGATAGGATAGGTGTCGATGTGGAAGATTGGAAGAGAGAAGTTGTGTTGAGGTAGAGATGGATGAGTTGTGGGATGATGAGTGGGATGTAGGTGTGTAGGTAGGTGGTTTTAAATACTTACTGTCACACTGTTTAGAATCAGTAATTTGGAAGGGAATATGGAAGGAGTATACTACATTACTCACCAAACTATCCCCAAATCAGGTTGATTTGGCCGATTTCGCCCAATTTTGCCCGATTTCGAAGAGTCTAAAGGAAGGTACATGACCTAGCCAGCTGCAAATAAGTGTAAACACCTTTCCGAGCAACTGATAACAAGGGATGGTAACTGCTTTGAGAAGGGAAGAGGACGACGAGGACGGCGAGGTCATAAAGGATGGCAAGTACGCGGCTAGGACGGTAAGCATAGTAAGGGTAAGAACAAGGGAAACCATAATAACGGCGAGAATGATGAGACGACGAGGGCGACGAGAATGGTGTTATAACAGCGAAATCACCGCTTAAGGAAAAGACGGCGGATATCCTGATGGAAATATTAAAACGCCGAATTCGACAGTTAAAAAGAAAATGGCGAGTTTGTCAAGGTAAGGAGAGCTTACCGTTAAGCTCCTGTCTTACGTCCTATCATCGCCGCCTTCGTCGTTTTCGCCTCTTTCTTCACCTCGTTTAAAGTCACTTTTAAAAGGTTACCGTTAACGCCGTTTCCCCTTATCTTACGTCGTTTTCATATTCTATATCGCCGTTTTATTCCTTTTGCTACATATTTCTCGCTTCACAACACCAAGATTCATTCAAGACGTCTTATCCTTAACGCCGTTCTTTGAGTTATCATATTTCTGTTCATTGAGTATCAGCATATATAGTACTAAGTAGATTCAATAACAGGTAGGTGCCTACTTTAGCTACATGAAGAATGCTTATAATATGGTGATTGCAGAGACAAAAGGGGGAAACTAGACGTAGAACTTCAGGCAGTATGCTCCGCAGCACAAACAATCACGGAACAACTGGATTGTCTACGCAAATAAAACTCACAGCCTCCTTGTTTTATATAGCTATCTAGAATGTTCATTAAGAACTACCCAGGTACTTGTCTTGAGTAGATTCTCCCAGGGAGGACCCCTACGAGGAAACTATCATTCTGGTCAATACTTACATGTTTCCTCACGGCACCGAGAATAATAACCATATAATTATGGGGTACCTAGATATGGGAGAAGAAGGGAAGAAAATCACGTACTTGTATCAGCTCAGGATGGCTCAATCAAAATTGACATTGGTATTATCTATTCATGTAGTGATTTAATGGACCTAGACACAGGCAGGTGTCAAACCTCATGGCACTAGGCCTCATTACGATAGCCTCCCGTCCTAAGATATTATATAACCGTTGCGGGTTACTTGTCACTGGATTTGCCTCAATTCGGATTCTCCATTTCATCCCACGTAACCGACGATTCTGAGATCCTTCTCTGGATGGAGGTTTGGGACTGTGCTAAAAGGGAGGAATATTCTTGTATCTGGCCCAATACTTCGGTGCTTCGGGATAGCAAGCCTTCAATATCTCGAGCGAAGAGCCGTAGGTCCCGTTCACGATCCGTCTGGTTTTCGAACTTATCAAGAAATGCCGGGTCAATGCTAGAGAGGATAGTAGACGGAACCTCAGATTCGTAGACTCGTAAAACTTTGTAAGCGAGAGAGGCCAGTTCCTTGTGGAACTCTCGGAGCACCTGCGCGACCCTGATTATCTTCATGACGTCTGAACTAGAAGCGAGCTTGGCGGTATCTTTGGTGTCTTTAATAGGTTCCGACTGGTCTCGCACCTGGCTCAAGCATGCAGCCCAGATGGAATTTGAGGTCGTTTCAGTCTTGTCGGACGTGCATGCGGACAGGATCAACTCTCGCAACTTGTCGGCACTTTTGCCATCGATATGGTTGGTGATGGGCTCAATAAATGCCATGGTTTATTGCTATATCCTTATATATTGTCAATCATGAATCTTGTTGTAGGTGATATCATCTTACAAGTCTGGACGTACCTGAGTAGAAAGGTGCTCGGTATTCATACGCAAAGATGTCGGTACGCCGTAATTCAATCTCCACGGAAAATGATGCAGCTTCTATGAAAAGGAAGAATTATTCTGTTTGAGATGTTTTCCAAAGTTGTTGACTAGGTAAGGAAAAGTGCAACATGTACCTACCCTCTTATGTACTTGGTAAGGTATCATTTTAGGAAGGATTCGTAGAGGGCATTTCAAATGGAAGTTACTAATACTAAAAACATATGGGGAGAACACATGGATGTGTTCTAATCCAGGTAGCTACTGCCTGGTAAATACATAGATATCCATGCAAAGAAAGAGTAATGCCGAAACCAAAGCAAGGACGAGATCAATAATGAATGAGATCAGCGACGACTTGGCCGGGTTGAGTTGGCACATGCATCAATCCATGATTGATCTTTGACAGACTTGTCGGTTCATATGTACCTAAGTAATCTTATCCGACGAACAGAATACATTCTCTCTGAGACGTAACTACCAGCTAGCTATATAGGAAATATCAACCTGGAACAAAATGGATGCGCCCATATTTGTCGTGAACGGGACGTTCGTTGTCTTTACATATCCATCTCGTCTCGGGTTCCGAAGTGTTCACTCCGTTGGGGTGGATATTTTCCATCTCAAGTCTCATCTCAGACTTCGGCTTACCGTCTTTGATCCGTTGTTTCTCAAAAAACACATACGCGCCGTAGAACACTGGGCTGGTGTTTCCTGCCATGGACCCCTTCTTGTCCAGGAATGCTTTTAGCTGCCTGGACTGTACCTTACGTTCCTCTTGGGGGAAGCTCGTAGAGATCATCCTGCAGAAGGCGGCTTGGCTGACGTCGGGCTTCCGCAGAAAAGCCCGGATCTTCTTGCGGATTTCGTCGCAAGTATCGTGCACCGGCACTTCTTGCGTATCCTCGCCCGCCAATTCTATGTCCCCAACGTCTGGTCCTTTCGTTACTTCGCTCTTCTTAGGCTTCTTGGGCGGTGAGGTTCTTAATCCCTGCAGCTCGCGCTTCTTGAAGAAGGCAAAGGCTCTGCCGTGCACCACTGATTCGCTGCCCTCGTATGTACCGTTCTGTCTCATGAACCGCTGATATGTGCTCGGGGTCACCTTGATGGCTCTTTGAAACTCGCTTACTTTCATATTTCCGCCCTCGATGAAATTCTTGATCTTGCTGCGGATCTGGTTGCATGTTTCGTCGACGCAGTGAAGGCGGGGATCACTGTCGTCTATTTCAGGTACGCTCTCGTGGTCCTCCACTGCATCCGACTTACGCTTCCGGGACGCAGCGGCGGGCTTGGTTGTGTCGGTAACTTTGTCGCAACCATTCTCTTTGCCTTGCCCAGGTAGAGGCTACAATTGCGCGACCTATTAGCAAATATTCATAATGTCTGGTGCATCAAAAGAGCTTTAATGCTTACCGCTGCCGTAGAAGGAATATTGGTCTTCCCTCCGTTCTCTCCTAAAGGATTCATGTTACTGCGCTGATAGGAATTTTGTATGAGTAATTGGGGTCAAGAAAGCTGTCTCTGTGGTGCTATGTAACAATTCGGAGTAGAATTACTTTGCTCGATTCATAAGACTTCTATTCTTTTAGATGCTTAAGTAGAATGTTGTCTTCTAGATGTATAGATTAATGGTCATTTGAACATGCCGTATGGAATCTGACGTCAATGACGCGGGTACCTGAATAGATCAACAAATTGACGTAGGTGGTCCAGGGGAGTGAGAGCGACGAGCAAACAGTTCTAGCATTAGGGCGTTCGGGACGGGGTCCCAAGTCCCTGGATGATCGCCAAACAGTGCAGCCGAGCGCAGATCATGACTTCAAAGTCGTTTCGTCCCGTAGGTATTCTTAAGAATTACCAACTTCTGATCTCGATGACAAGAGCTTTCAATCGAAGTTACGTTAACTGTAGGTTATCCAAATGCTAGATCTGACAGCGCTCAGACCTTGCCCCCGTTTCTACTCAGCTCGGTTCCATTGAAATCACCGCGCCTCCAACGCGTTAAATATTCAGCTGTAACAGGTGGTGGTACGCAAGCCGATTCGTCTCGAAAACCGGGATTCCCTGCCTCTCGTGACAACTGAAAGGTTAGGTTCTCATTTCTGCATCCGTCAACTAACATCATAAAAATGGATCGAGCGAAAGGAAAGAAGCCAAGTCAGGTCTGGAAGACTGGAAGAGTATGTTTCGTACGACATCATGCGCCGGATAATGTCCCTGAATCGTGAATCCCATAATGAATTATTAGTATATCTATATTTCTAAAGTCTTACTCGCACGCGTTCCCGAATGGCTACCGATCGCCATACTGTTCCTCATTATTCTTTAACGCCCATCCACATCTCGTAAGCCAAAATATCACCATGGGCGGTGTGGTCAGCAGTCCCAGCACGGCTCCCTGAATGAGCTTGAAAACCTGCGGTGCCCACACTCTGTCGTAGTACCAGTCGTCCCCTTGCCACCTGCCCGACAAGACGAGGAAGCCGATGCTGGGTCCCCAGATGATAGGGAAAAAGACGACGGCCATAATCAGAGATCGCAGGATCTGAGAGCGGAGGAAACCTAGCCAATGCACGATGCTCCTGACCTCGTGCGTCTGCTCAGGCCGATCGAGAAACATGAACCAGCGTACAAGTCGGTTCTTGGGCTCTGGGATGAAACCGATAGGATGCACTCCGCCTTTCCTCAGATCCCGATTGACGAGGAAGAGTTCTATGTGCCATGTGATGAGGCACTGTACAATGATAGTGACAGCCGCATCTCCGGCAAGGGTGTTGGGGAACAGCCATAATCTAATGGGTCGTGTTGCGATATCCTGGGTCGCGTACATAGCTGTGGCTGTGTCAGCAATGGAAGTGTGGCTAGGTAGTTAAATGATGCGATGCAGGGATCGTGAACCAATACCACCCTACAAGGTAATTGAAGGAATGATGAGTCGATTGAAGAAGACCAAGAAAGATTCAAGTGGTCGTTTCTTACCATATGCAATAGCGAAGTTGATTCCGCCGGACAGGATCATGGCACCTATTCCATCAAGGATGAAAATATAGAAGATTTGGTGAGCGGTGAACTTTTCTGTCGGCTCCTTGAAGCCATCATCACTGCTTGGAATCTCATGTCGCGCGCTAGAACTAGGCTCGAGAGCCTGCTCAGGATTAGGATCAGAATTAGCGGCGGCGGCTTCAACATCAGCCGTAGCCTCGACCGTCGGCGGTTTGAAGAGAGGATTCGTGGCCCAGGGCATAGTTGGGGATCTACGGCTGTGGGAGAAGAGACAGGGAGAGGTAGCACAGGTAGGAAGGGCCTATGAGTCTATGGATAGTTAGGGATAAACGATGGGCTTATGCGTCATATCATGTTGTTGGTGTTAGCCAGGAGAATGGAGTGAATGCTTCTTTCGGGTGCTGACAAAGAAGGAGCAAAAGCAAGAAAGGGAGAGAAAATAAACAATGCGGATCGTAGGCGATGCTGCTTTCCGCCTCATATAATAATAAGCTTTCTGGATGGATTCTCTGGGTACCGGCAGATTAAAATAAAAAAGACAGGGTCCAGCTGGCGATCCTAAGGGTCTAACCATCCCCCTGTCCGACGAGTCCAGCATGTCCTTCGGCTGTCCGCCTATTTTTTTAGTGTTAGTCCGTCGGTCCGCAGTACTCAGTGCTCACATCGCCGACTGTATGTACAACATCGAGGCTGGCTCGTGATGGCTCCTACCGGAAGTCTCGGCGCCCACTCGGATCACGGCAGGTAAGCACATACGGCCGAGTGAGAAGGTCATTGGACGCATGCGATTTCTTGTGACAGGCAGCCATAGGGCGATTGATAAGCAGCGATCTTGCAGAATACAGGAACATGCAGGAATTAGCTGCGGCCAGCCCTAGGTAGTTGGCTTAAATTTGTTGAAGTTCCAAAGTTCCAAGGGTTGAGACTGGTCCAAATTAATTGAGAAATTGCCAAGCCACTTAGCTGCTGCTAGAACTAAACTAAACTAGCTCGATAGTACCACTAGTCTTTCCCGGATTCGGCCACAAATGGTAAAACCGAAATCTCCGAATACTCTGCTTATCTAGGTACGTATGTAGGTACCCGGAGATATATGCAGTAATAGAGGCCCTAGCAAATATCCAGCAGATTACTCCATGAATCCTGATTCTCACTCCTTCAATTCTCATCTTCATCACCAGAACGAGCACCTACAACGATAGGATGACGAGACGCATCACGAAGACCATGAACCAACAAACTTTGAATTATTTGCGATAATACAAGTTACAGTACTACATTCGTCAGCTTGTCTATGATTTTCCAAGCCCCGAGCTCAATGATCGCCTCAGCCGAGTTCGAATATATCAGGAACCCCATTTTTGAGATACGGCGTCGTATAATGTCTGGTTGATGGGTAGAATGCTTCCGTGCCGTAGGTTAGTCGGAAATGCTGATCGACTACTCGCTGTCCATTTATTGCCGTCTGGGTCTACGCTCTCGTACGGCCTGTACCCATCGCCGCCGTAAAAGTCCAAGAGTACATGAATCTTGGCATCGTCCTCATTATCGCGGTACGCGGCAGGGCCTTCTACGCCAGATGTAATGATGCCTGTACTTCCTCCAGCGCGAGTCCAAGTCCCGAAAAGTCCGGTCGTCGAATACTCAACGAATACCGTCTTAGCCGTCTCGTCCTTCATGAATCGCAGATAGCTCTTCCCCTCGGTGTCAAGCGGGAGGATATCGAGGTCGATGATGTTCGTAGGTGAGTAGTTGATGTATGTCTGAGGTGCACTAAACGTTTTAAAGTCGCTTGTATAAGCGTACCTAATCTGAATATTCGACGCCGAACCGGTATGCTGAGTGTCAGATGACGAGTACTATAACTCAATGTTAACAAAATCCGCTACTCTAGAACAAGTCCACCTACAAACTTCGAAGCCCAGTGAACTAGGTACTGATCTGGGAAAAGTCAGCACTATCTTTCGAAAGATCAAATACTCCCAACTAACTTTTCGACGCGTCCCAAATTGCTTCTGGCGCCCATACCATGCCGGCGGTCTCGTCTTCCACAACCACGAGACGCTCGCCGGTCCAATTAATGAGATCGGTGCTGTCCCAGACGAGTATACCCCTAGAGCCGGTCCTCTGGGATGCGTCCCATGTCGTCTGCGATGCCGTCAGATACGATGCCATCTCCATGCTAGCAAGTCACTCACTTTACCAATATCGAGATCGGTGCCAACAATGTACCATTTTTTGCCTGCTTCGGCACCGCCGCCTTGTACAAGATAGGGATCTCTCACACCACCAGTGCCCTTCGTTGGACGTAGAATAGGTTGGCCGCCATTCATCGCCTTAAAGGAGAGCGGGTCATTGCCGTTGCTCAGGTAATAATATACATAAGGATCTGCCCCAAGAAATATTGCGCCGAGGTAGCCGACCAGTCCAGCGTCTGCCCGGCGCTCAGCTCGGAGGCCCAGCTCGTTAAGGTCAACCGGGTTGGCTAGAGACAGATTAAGGCAGACGCCAATCGAGATGGCAAGGTGAAGCGCACGGCGTATAAACATGGTTGCGACGATCCCGAACAGAAAATAAATGGTGTACCGTAGACCCGGTTCTCGACTTCACACACCTGGGATAGATCTCGCATTTGTATTAATGCTTCTCGGTAGATCGGTGTCCGAATTGACCAATCCAAGGCGCTGGAGAAATTGGCATTCCGGTACTTTAGCCTCAGATCTCATGATGCGAAGCCAAGAAATAAATATGGGGAACCCTTGTAAGTTATAAATACGAGATAACCGCATGAATAGCATCCATCCATTCCCAGACCGCGGTGGAGAGGCTCACATCGTTGGAATACAATTACAATGGGACGCGGATGCTATCCGCAGTATCCACACGCGCTTAGAGGATACAGAAATCATACGGGGCGACGTCCGATGTCATACATGGATTCAGTCAACAATTACATCCCTACCTAGGTAAACAGACATACGATGGTGTTTTACCATAACGCAAACTCGTGCAAAAAAGGGGGTTAGTGCTTTCTGAAAGCGTTTCATGAATTCGTCTTCGAGGCTAAGTTGTACATAGATCTACGATTAGATCTAGCATGTTGGCAACTAATGATATTAGCTCGATGAATCAATACGTGATATAATCGTGGGAATCAATGGCACTCGTGTATTTTTTGGCACTAATGAGACTTCGTCTTAAATTCATGAGACGTCGTCTTAAATTCATGAGACGTCGCCTACGACTAGAAAATAGGACGGTAGCGGCCACGAGTTCCCCATTTCCACTCATCTTCATTTCCGCCAAGCTTCCCAAGTGGCCCGAATTCCTTAGGCCGACTCTGCGTGCGATGCCTCCATTAAACGCAAATGACTTTCAGATTTAGCAGTTTCCCTGCTTCGTTTCCAGTTGATTGCGGTATTCGATCATACCGATTCCACCCATAGCCTCGGTTGGATATATTCCCCTACTCGGAATCGTAGTCGTGGAGCCACCACTTGATCTCGACCTTTCGATCAAGGGCCTGAAGCTCGAGGTCGCTATCCACGTTGATCTTTCGCGGAGAGGCGATGCAGAGGTGGTAGAAGACGAACATGTTCGTAAGGGCCAGGACAGCGAGCATAAATACCATGATGCAGACGAATATCTTGTCTTCGAGGGCGGATGATGCTTCCATGGCGGCTGCCTCTTCGGGTGATGGGTAATGGTAGAATCTAGACATCTTTGCTGTCGATTGAGTGGTTTGGCTGTTGAAGTTGTTCGCTAGGCATGGTTAGATGCCAAATAATATGTGCTCGAAGGTCAGAATTACTTACGTGTATCTTCTGCTGAAGCAACCTGTATTGGCTATTGGCTGAGGATGCCTTTGATGGGAAGTATCAAGAATGAATGCGGTCTGAAGAGAGATGTTTTGTTCGAGTTTGTGATTGCTCTGGTAAAGAGCAGCCTGTGCCTAAGAGGTACTGAGTCACTCTCATACATCACGAATTTTCACCGTCTGCCCCACGGCTGCCGTTGAGGACTCAGATTCGATTACTCAGATGCTCACGCCACGACGCTCAGAGGAGATTTGACGTATTCCAAAAAGTGTTCCTCAGGTATGTATACGCCGAAAAAGAGGTGATGCTTGCAGTAACTATGAGATTTCTGTAGTAGAGCAAAACTCCGTCATAGACTGTATGATCAGGTCACGGCTCTTGGACATGGCAGCCACTTGGAATATGATGGTATATAGCTTATCATTTTCATCCTACTACGGGGGGAACACGCGCCGATTCAATCCGAGCAATGCCAAGTGCCATATTGAACATGATGATCGTTTAATAGTGTTAACATACTACCTAGTTGACAGTCATGTCAGCTACAGATAACAATTACTCTGCACCTACTCTATGATATTGGATACCGTGGGGAGAGGCCCAATACGGATACATGGTTATAGCTTCATACTAGGTACATGACGCTATTCCTATTCGGCCTCTTTTGGCGCCCCGGCACGACGTTTAGACGCGCTAGGGGGCATGTGCCGATGTCTCGCGGGTCCAAGGCACCGTATCGCATACTGGACGCGACAGGAACCTGTTTCCTAGGTACCAATGTGACTAGACGATTAATATAATAACCCGAGAGCAGGGACATAAGTACCTAAGTAACTAAGCGACCGCGTGAAACACGCGGGTCTTAATCGCGATATATTATCTTCCTAGGACAGCGCGTAATCAATCTTAAGATCCCGTGATATTCAAGTATGCCTATTCCTGCATAAACGGATAGCTTGCCTCCTCATTGTCTCGAGAAGCGCGCTTGGAGGTTCGGATGCTTTGCCGAATAGAAATGCTGCATAGTGGTAACATCCGGTTCTCCAGTTTCCCCAGACTAAGCCCCGTAGCTCTATGTAGTTGGACCTAAAAGGAGTTATGAACATGGAATACGGTCCGATGAGCGCGTGGAAGTAAATTGTCTATATAACAATAGGCGCAGGCGAGGCTCCTACGAGGTTGGCAACCCCAGCTTTATGGCTAAATATACGAGAATTCAGCCTACTATTGGATAGCCCTACCGCAGAACAAGCCTTATTCATTTAAGGAATTGCCGGGGAGGACTGGGAGCTAGATTAAGTCTCATTTAACCGGTTAGATGGCATGAATGAAGACGGCGTTGCCTACTTTCTACTTGACATGTGGGGTCTAATATCAAGGGACATCGTAGATAGGTATGAACTAGGAAACAAGTTTGTGGCATGACATCGTATGTTCTAAGTGACAACATATCCAGACGTTTATATTCGACGATAATCTTATAGCCTCTTGCGAAACCCAAAGCGATGAATAAAGTCACGGGGACAGCTTCTCATATATAGCTCAATATATTTTAATTTTGAAATACTTTAAAAGTCCTTACGGTGGAATAAGATGAAAGTTAAGCTACATATAGTACAAGCTCCGACGACATTTCAGAACGGTGCTCCGGATTTTGTAGATAATTACCTAGTGAATAAGAGATATCTCCTGATACATGACCAAGGCCTGTATTAAGTTGTATCTTGAAAGAAAATTGATACGATAAATGAGAACTTGAATCTACTTGATACCTAATATCTTACTTGGTAGTAGGAAATGTCACAAACCACTTTAAGATGAAAGGATTATCAACCTAAGTCGGACTCCATATCAAACCATACGTGAACAATCAATTAAAATAGGTACATATAATCTTGAATATGTACATTGTGAACAAAATGATGCTTCAACCCAACGCCGACAACATACCTAACCACAGCGGAACCGGACTCCGGAATGAAACTATGCCCCTATCGGAGGACACCGTAGGAAGAGCGCATATAATTAAGTAGGGGTCATCACGACGTTCTTCAATTTCTAGAGATATTAGCGAGTTCTACAGAACAAGTAGAAGACGATCGCAGATAGCATGCGTAAGCAGGAAGTAAATGACCGAGTTATTAGTATACATGAATGTGCAATTTGACCCTTGGGTATTCTCTAAGTATTCGCAGCATTGTTTTTTCCCGATTTCTATCCCAATCGTTTATAGCAAAAGTTTTCCTCATCACGCTTAAGCAGTGTCCCTTGAAGAGTATATCAGAATACCTGAACGTTAAAGCATGGGAAGGACATGTTTTGCTATGACGCGACGGGAGAATGGGCGAAATACCGAGCTGAACGCAGCAATGCAGGCAATGCAATGACGATGTGGACGAACAGAGGAAAAGATCAAGTGCCGGACGAAAAGGAAGGGGGATCACGTACAGTAAAGCCAACTCTAGATCTCCATGAATCCGAGCTTTCAGCGTAACCTCGACCTCGAGGTTGAGGTCAAGCCTAAGTTTCAAAGTGTCCGACTTGCTACCACCACCGTCTCCGCCTCCCTGGTTGAGCGCGCCTCCGGCGACGTTTCCTAGCGTGCCCGTGGCGGAGTTGGTCAGGTTGTTGGCCGTCTCGCCGACGTTGTTGACGGGGAGCATCTGGTCGACTCCGCCGACACCAACTCCGCCGAGTGGACCGCCGCCACCTTGTTGCTGCTGCTGCTGCTGCGACTGGTTACGCTGGCGTCGACGGCGCTGTGGTTGTGGCTGCGGTGCTGCTTCGGCGTCTTCTGTGCTGTCTTCTTCCGAGTATTGCTGGTCTTGGGGTTCCGGCTGCGGGGCGGTAGCCTGCTCCTGTCTTCGGGACTGGTTGCGGCTGCGGCGACGGCCCTGGCGGGATCGCGACACGGAACCTGAACCTGAGGGAGTGGGAGAAGACATATTCGAAAAGTTGGTGAATAAAGTGTAGGTGTTGGAACGGATGACCTTGGTGCTTAGAAACCGAGGTGAGTTGTGTATAAGAGAATTGATATCGAAGTGACAATATTATGGGCTTCCAGCTATAAGCGATGTGCACCAAGGCGACATAAATAGGATGGCCTATCTATAAGGCGTAAATTCGCCAGCCTAGACCATGTACATAGGTAGGATACGGTCGAGGAGGGCTGTGAAACCTCATCGATACATCGACCTCGAGTAGATTAGGTATGTCATACTTGGAGACGGTACGTCACCTGTGGTCTAGATCGGGAAACTTGTCTTGTTCGTCAAAAGCAATCGAATAGCAAAACCCTGATTTTACGCCTTCGTAACTTTTGCACGTCTCTTATCCCATATGTAGAGAAGTATCATGTGTTGACGCCGCCAACCGCATGCAATATCTAATACGGTGACTTCAGGGGGTCTGGATATATTACGCGTGGCATACATATTGACGTCAGCCACAGAAAGTCCGTCGATCTCTGGTCCCTAGCTACATATCCGACAGGGGTGCGGATTTAAGGGAAGGGTGTGGAGGGTTTATTATTAGGTACTGCAAGATAGTTTACTAGAGCCACATGGATGTATTTGGGATGTATTCGGCACGTCCTTTACTATCAGACGACCCTTAGTTCCCCATACCGCTATCACTGCATCCTGAGGTTCCTGCATGTGAACCACTTTCCCCTGAGAAATTGTCCAAGCTAAATCCTGTTTATTTACTTCGTATATCGACTAGATACTCCAAGCTGCAGGTCGCGATGTAAGCTGATATCTACCACGTCGCAGTCTAACACCTCATCCAAGTCCCCGGCTTTATCGTAATGCAGGTTCCAGGTGCCTTCATCATTCTCCACGGCCACGAAGTCTTGGCCATCCTCGAGCGTGAGCCATTCCTCATCTTCCGTCCAACTCCAGGGCCCGATTACATGACCAAGAGAGTCTGATCTTGATCCGTGGCGTAGTAGTCCCGTTTCTTTATCAGCGTAGATCCAATTAAGCATTGGCGGATCGTCTGCTATGGGCGCTACCAAGCCTTGATGGTTTTCCGGCCCTGGGTAGCCGAAGTAGTAACCGTTGAATGGATAGCCTTCCACTGGACATGCCGGATGGTTTAGGTAGAGCTGTCCTGAAGATTAGAAGATTGGATTGTTGGTTGGTGGGATGATAGCGTGGAGTAGGTTCTAGACGCCACACCAACATGGGTAGCTGTAAACTTACCTTCTTATCTTTTAACACTACCGAAGCTTGCTGCGCCGGTGAGACGCCATCATGTGAAAAGTTGGCCGTTAACTTGAACTTGATTCTGTCTTTCGCTTGCTGGTTTTGTTTCTTCTGGGCGTCGATTGCTTCTGCGACGCCAATGACCGTTGGTATGGCGCAGACCGTGAGTAACCCGAGGGTCGAGAGAGCCATGTGTCTCGTAATTGAGAGGTACAATGCAGGAACTTAGCTGCGACCTCGAAGATCCCCTTTGTCCTGTTCGGAATAAGAGAATGGATTAATGGTGAAGTGATGGAGCCGAGAGCTTGGCCTCACTGATGCTGATATGTGTGGGTGGCAAAACAGGTTTTGAGCCTCCTCATATCGCTATTGGGAATACTCAAGGGTCAGATGATGAAACTAAACAAGGTGTGCTTTGCTCCATACGAGCTGCCTATATTCTTAGCCACAGTAGAAGGGGGCCAGCTGGAGGGACCCGAAACTTTGTTCGTGCTTGTGTAAGACCAGTACATGACTTCATCCTTGATAGACCACTAAATCTGACGTTGGGGTAAGGATGACTCTGCACGACTTCGGTGCCGGAGTCTGTTGATTGGTGAAGGAACTTTGAAAGCGGACAGGGGTCTAGATGCCGGCCAGAGCAGGGTTACGAGCAGTTCATCTCGATTGGGATGCGACTCAGTTCACTCGACAGCGCCCCATTGCGTCACAATGCCGACGCTTATCATATGTATACACGGTGTATCATATGGTATTTCGAAAATAGCATTCTGGTTCGAGTAAATAAAACAAAGGTGACCGCCACAAGTACAAACAGTCTCTGCTCACTTCATGTTATGACATTTATTCTCTGCCATATCTATACACATCAAACGGAATAAATTGCAGGCCCCAAGCTAAATCATTATGTCATCAAATGACGATAAGACGTCTCAGCAACCCAGTGAGGGAGGTGAGGTGAAGCAGGAACAACAAGAGCAGCCCTCCCCGCAAGCTGGACAAGCACAACATGAAGTGAAGCAAGAAGACGGTCAACAAAACGACGACGTGTCGAAGCAAAACGGCGGGAAAGAGCACGACGACATTAAGAAAGAAGAGGACGACAGTGCAAAATCCCGAGCTCACTCTCCGGCGGAGCCTGAGAAGAAGCCACCGCCTCAACCACCTAGGCCGTCGCGTGTGGAATCGCAAAAGCCAAGTCGGTCGCGGCGACGTCGCCGCAATAATCAACCGGCGTGGATGGAGGACGACAAAGAGAACGATTACGGGAAACAGATGGCGCCTCGCCCACCACGCCGGGCTCCGTCTCAATATCAGCAGCAGCAACAACAGATGCAGATGCAACCGCAGCCAATGCAACAAGTTCAACAGCAACCTCAAAAGGACAACGGCGGAAAGAATCCGTTAAAGCTGCGGTTAGATCTCAACCTCGAGGTGGAGGTGACGCTAAAGGCCCGGATCCACGGTGACCTAACCTTGTCGCTATTGTACGTGATACCTTTTCTTCTATCCCTGCCCAACACCCGATACTCCCCTATCACATTAGCGTGCGCTCCTAGTCAGGGGGTGCGCCAGCTATTTATTCATCCACATGTCCACGAGACACCCAGAAACTTGTTATGCTGGGTGTCAACCGAACTGACCTCTGCCAAAGCGACACTTAGGGAGATGAGTCAATAACTAACAGCCTTGCTTGCTGCTAACAGGGAAGGTCTGTGAGCCTGTATCGTCTAACCGCGAGCCCATGCAAGGGGGAAGTGGGTGACGAGTGGTTGCGACGGCTGGGCAGCCGGAACAAGCGACTAGTGTGATATCTTTCATCTCGCATGCATTTAGAGGCGCGATTTTACCTTCGGATTGAATATTGGGCAGGATATTTTACTCTTCCCAGTCTTCCACGGTTCCAGTAACGTAGATCATCTCGATCCTGGTCGGTGCCGAGGATTTTGGACTGGCTGAGCAGGATTAAAGAAATTTACATATCTATGTACTCAAATGTATATAATTATGACGGCGCATGTGGTGGCTATATGCATAGAAGAGGATATATTTGTAAGTGATAGGAGGGGTTGGCTAATAATAACTACAACAATGCGACGAGGATGGGAAAAGTGTTGATATCATTCCCCTAATAGAGAAGTTTAATAGCAGATCTACTGCAGTTCCGACTGTCGAGGTGTGAAGTCAGAAGAAAACAGCTTCAGGGGTAAGAATTAGTGGATGTCAACTCTAGCTTCACTTTAGCTTCACTTTAGCTTCACTCTAGCTTCGGAGTTTGGGGGGGAAATCTCCACTTAGCCCTATGCACAGATTCCCGACAACAGCCCAGCAGCCCAGGGAGTGGATACCGGTGGATACTGAGCGGGTACTTAAGTAAGCAGATATCTAGATATGTACTTGAATATTCCTCGAATGGTGTCAGCCGCAGCCTCTATATTCGTTGAAGGATCACGCAAAATTGGGAATATTCCAAGTTTATGGTGACTTAATACCTGTAATGTCTTAAAGCTATCAGGATAAGTCCAGGAGAATTCAAAAGAACAACGAATCTTACACAACCGATTAACTATCAAATTGCCCAATAATGGAAAGATACATGTAAGTACCTTGCTTACGGGAGTGACGGAGTCTCATAGCCACACTCGTGCAAATTCGTGTTGAAGCCACAAAGACAGCTCCCACCAATTAAAAGGCGCTAATGTCAACCCACTTTCTTTAATCTTTCCAACTTTTCCAACTTTTTTCAACTTTCTCAATTGCCTATCCCACAAGTCCGACAAGCATAACACCCCAGAATCTGTCAAATTGATCACAACGTAGCAGCCGTGAATTGGCATGGCTCGCTAGCTGTTACTAGTCAATGACATATCTACGGCACGGTTCGGCTCGGGTGTCATCCGCATACCGGGGGCTGAACTGACCAGGCTGCTACGTAGTAGGTCGCTATTCTTATCCCAAATGGTCTCCCCTTTATGATCCAAAAGAGAAGTGCGCCCGAAACACGCTACCCGGCCTGCAGATTAAGTGGTCTCAGATACTCGAGAAAATGGCTATCTAAAAGTTCCGATATACGTACCTCGTATGTTTCGATTAACTTTTTGTTATACGCCTTGGGAATCGTGGCAGAGGATCACAGAACAAGTGTCCATCGTTTCTTCTAGCGAAAGTGCTAGTATCTAACATCAACTAAAATGTTCGATGTTTACCTAGCTGCTTAGGCTGCCTAGCTGGAGCTTGCTAAGCTTCTAGCAGGACCGGAGCAAAATGACCGACAACCTAGGGTTCACCTACGGTGCTAGGTGCTAACATGAAGCCGAGCCAGCGGGTGAGGTAATGGACTGCTCAGTCCCCTGTCAATCTGTACGCATGGATGGGATACTAAGATCGCGATTCGGCGTCGATCGCTTTGGAGCTCCCCTCCCTGTCCTCCCTGCTTTTTATGACGCACGCGAACCACGCCGGGGGCGCTTATGAGATGGGGTAAGATGTAGGTGGTGCAGGTGGTAGGATGAAGTACCTCTTCAGCTCCTGTGACTAGTAGCAGGCTCGTTACTAAACACTCTAGTTTATTGTTAATGCTTCACCTTTAGAGTTTCATGCTGTCATTCCTCCACTTCGTCTTACCCCTATCTCATCTCCATACAAACTAATTTCGTAGGTGAATGCCCTCGTAGCTTTACGCTGCTGCTAAGCTCGTGTTAGTGAATGATATCTCTCGCATGGTCTGGGATTTCCGGATTTGACCTCTTCTGCCACATTATCCTGGCCGTATACTTTGCTGCATTCCTCTTTCTCCATGCCAATCACATCCGCTCCCTGACCCTAGCCATGGCCGACATGATGAACCCACAGACACCACCAAGGAAGTTATTCAAGCCTTCCAGTAAAACCAAGACGCCAACCCCCGTGAAAAGGCCTAGGCCAATCACTCCCGCGGCCTCGAGCACCCAGTCCCGCGACGTCTTCACTCCTACCGAGACTATTAGTCGAAGCACAGACGGGCCTAGTGATTTAGATACTGGAAAGGACCCCATCGACAGCTCAATTGAGGAGGGCAGTGCTTCGGATCAAACTATTAGCCCATCCAAAAGCATTGCTGGGAAACCTCGAGAACTTCTTTCTTCCTCGACCGACGATCTACCTGAACCCTCCAATCCCACGGACACTCTGAACTCCCCAACAGACATCGCCAAATACTTCGCTGAACAGGGGAACTCCGAAATGAGTGCATTTGTATCGGCGCTATCTGGCAAGACGTCGAGTGACCATGCGATGGACTCTGGTAAGGGGGCGTTGGATGAGTCTTATAAGACGATGAGCCACGTCACCGACGAATCGATGAAAGACGTATCTAAATTCGTGAAGGGATTACCTACATCCGAAGCCAATGAGGAAGTTACTGGAGACACAACGTCAAAGACACCGGATCTTGCAAATATGACCGAGGGTTCTACTGAAGTAGATACGGCTGAAGCGGCAAACTCGAGCCAAAGTCTTCCTGAGAAAACCGCAAATATTCCGAACCCTGCAGACGTTTCCAAGAAAGCAGAGGGAACCACGAACGACGTCAAGGCCCAGACATCAGGCCAGGCGCCAATTAATAACATTGGTGAGCCTGATATGTCTAGAATCTCGAAGGAGGCACACGTTGGGGTGCATACTGGAGAGGGAACCCCGAAGGACACTACTCAAGGCGCCACAGAGGACGTCGACAAAAAGGCAGATACTGGCACGTCAGGAACTACGGAAGACGGAACGCGAATCGCGGATAACATGGGTCATCCCGCCCATATTGAACGAAGAATTGAAATCCCCCTTCCACGCCCCGAAAAAGTAGTAAATAGCCCTCCTCAACCGGCAAAGCCCGATATGAACAATATCGCAGCTGGTCTCAATGACCCCAACGACCTTCCCGGTACGCATGGCTTACCAAGCACCGACGACCTACCTGAACTTTCGGAAGAACTACAAGATCCACCGGAAGAAGTGCTAGACCCATCAGTGCATTCTCCATCCTCGAATGTCTCACCTATTCCAAAAATCCCGAAGATCACACCCATTGGCGCGGCACCGCCTCCCGATCTTCGTCGTCTCGCTCATGGCCTTGGAGGTAATGTCGTCGACGACGTTGGTAATATTGTCGATGCGTCGGAGAAGGTACTCGGCCATGTCACAGGCGATCTCCCTGCCATGGTAGGGAAGAAAGTTTCCGATAATGGCGAAGTCTATGGAAACAGTGGTGAACTCATAGGATACGTTTCAGAAAATTTCACCGGCCCACCACCTCCTACAGAGATACCTGAGAAGGTATTGGGAGGGTTGAAAGTGGATCACGAGGGAAACATTCTTGACAACAGCGGTAACATAATCGGTCGCTTCAACGAGAAGGCTGGGGAGAACGACGACTTAGCTCCATTCATGAAACCATCCAAAAAGGGTGAATCTGAACCCGATGATGAACCTGAGGAAGAAGAAAAGCCGAAGGTTAACGCTCACACAGGTGGGAGCCCTTCTGATATCTTCTTAGATGTCAAGTCTACGACGGATGGTATTCAACTGACCATCCGCATCCCGACAACGTTCGGGAAACGACCACAAGAACTATGAACGGTGTTTATATATCTAAGTAGGAAGGTTATGACTCTGACTAAGGGGATGTGGAAAATGCATAATGTGTGGAGCGAGATTGGCGGAATATGATACCTTGGGTCTCTTTCATTTGACGAAGCGCGCGCCGCCATCGTTCATGAACAGTACTTCATTAATATTCCAATCTTGTACACTATATGAATACATAATTTGAGTGCCGTGTACCAATCAGGTACATACCTAAATATTGTTGAATTTTCAAAACCAGCTTCCTTGTGTTACTATCATCAGGTGTACTCAATGCAAGGAGGAAACACTGAAGCTCTCAAGCTCGAGATACAGTACGTTGAAAGATATGTCGGCCGAAGGAGACGGCGCTTGCGCCATCCACTATGCCGTTTATGACGTTAAGCTGATGCCCACCCATGTCAGGTGTGGCTTGTCAAACTGCAGGGAAAACCGGTTAAGACAAAGGAGACCGCGTATGCACGAAAAGTGGGTGACGTTAGCTATTACCCCCTAGCTGTTAGTCGCTGGCGAATAAGGCAGTTGCATGTAGCAACTCCTTGGTGTCAAGCCATAAAACGCTATGATAGCTAGGGTAGTGTATAAACACCGGCAACGAGGTGGCGTTCAATCTAATATAACCTAACCCATACGACCAATGATCACTTACTATAGGGACCTAAGAGCTAGGGGTGTTGTTTAGATGTGGCTGGAATGACGACTAAGACTTATAGTGCCAAGAATTCCTCAACCTCCCTCGTCCATGTCACAACGAAATTGCCATCAATGGATGCGGTCAAAGGTGTAGAAGCTGCTGCAGACTATCAACAAATTTCCCGACAGCTAGCCCAAGATCGAGATTTGCAAACGGCGCCCCCCAGGGTGGCTGATAATCTGTAACCACAGCTTCAAGAGGAATCCTGTTTTCTATGCCGCCCTTTGGTAACGCTCGACGAATGATAGCTCAGAACTTCCAAAGCCTTTATGCTGGAAAGCTACCTAGGTAGCTTGCAATAATCGTTCAATCCTATCAGCTAGTTGATGCGGATAGACGGCAAGCCACGGGCTCAGCATCCTATGCTTGTCGGTGGCGTATCATGGTTCGAGATTGCTCGAGATCGACAGAATACCGGCTTACACCGTAGCCTCATTCGTGGTCGGGCCTCATCACGAAGTTTGTCTTAAGACCCCATGGCTAGGTATTCCCTACTCATGACGTTCACAGCCGTTTATCGAAAGTAGACAGCCGCAGTCATGACGTCGAACAGGATGTGTGAAGGGTCTTCCAAAAAGAAGCTGGGAAAGTGAAAGGATCACATCGCACCCGAGCGATTGGGATGAGGTAGGTGATTCTCCAACCCTGTGACGTAAGTACTGGCCTTAAAGGCAAAGGCCAATATTTCTTCTTGTTTTCTCGTCATGATCATGTCCTCATAAAAGATCCAATTCGTCGTTTCGTGTACTGTGGATTTAGAGATCAACACTTTATGACTATTCCCCATAACTATACCCAACCACAACCACAGCAGACACATCAAGAACAATACGGTCCAGTAGAGATAACTGTCACGACACGAAGAATCACTACAAGTGAAGATCCAGTAGAATTCATCCACCCAGCCGCCATGTCTAGACTCGGAGAGGCTGTCGGCGGGCTAAGCAGTCCGCTTGGCAAAGCTACGGAGAACGTTCCCGGCGGAGGGAAAGACGACCACCCACAAGAAGCCGCGTCACAAGCTTCGGTACCCCGTTCCGTCCCAGACACTTCTGATGGAAACGAGGGTGAAGGCGAGATGGTCCCGGCAGCGGGACGCATCAACGACAAAGGAGAAGTGATTGATGATGAAGGGACCCCCATCGGTAGGGTGACTCATGCCGAGGTGAAAAACCTTTCCGGCCTCATCGTCACAACAGAGGGTGACATACTAGACGAAGACGGAGGCGTGGTCGGCAAGGCTGAACCCCTCGAGGATGTCGCGTCAGAATTCAACTACACGACAAAGACTGGCAAGGACACCGCTACACAAGGAGGACAAGAAGGACAAGAACAAGAAGGAAAAGAAGGACAAGAAGGTGAACAGCCACAGCGCGGCGGTGGAAGTAGATTTGGTGGTGCGCTCTCTGGAATCTCAGGGACCGCGCAATCAGCCCTCGGGGGCGTCACGGGTGGACTTGGCCAGACTGCCAAGAGCGCTACCGGGGCTGCTGGTGATACGGCCAAAGGTGTCACAGACACTGCCGGTGAAGCGACCGGAACTAAAGATGCTACGGGTGAGGCCGGGGATGCGGCTCAAGGCATTACGGAAGCGGCCGGCGACACCGCCGAAGGTGCAACGGGAGCCGTAGATGATGCTGCGCAAGGTGCGACAGGAGCTGCCGAGGGGACCGCAAAGAACGTCGACGTACCAGAGACTTCCGACGTTGGTGGCGATGCTGCTGACGTTGCTGAGAAGGCAGCTGAAGGCGACGTTCCGGGCGAGCAAGAGCTTGAAGAGGGAGGAGCTCCGATTGAACTTAAAGACGAAGAACCCGAACTTGGCTCCAAGGTTGGCGATCTTACCAAAGAAGGTCTTGCCCCAATTGACATCCCTTCGTTATCTCCTTCCGTCGCGAATAAGGTCGTGGCGCTATTCGAAGGTCCCTTTACTATCGCAGATGGTGGCAAGGTCACCGACAAGCAAGGCAAAGTCATCGGCAAGTTGGCCAACGGCTCAGATATTCAGGACCTAGTGGGCAGAGATGTCAAGGAGATCGATAGCCAAGGAAACTTAGTAGCCGACAGCGGTACCATCGTCGGCAAAGTCGATATCGCGCCAGAGGGCTCAATCGCTCAACGCATCAAGGAAGAGGTTCCCGAAGCCGCAGACCGCCTCAATGCCATCGAGCAACAAGCCGAACAAGCCGAAAAAGCTGCGCCAATCCAAATCCCCTCATTTGCCCCATCCGTAGCCGATAAGGTTATCGCAATGTTCGAAGGTCCTTTCAACATTGCCGAGGATGGTCAGGTCACAGACCAGAAGGGCAAAGTTCTTGGCAAGCTCGCGGAAGGCCAGGAGTATGAGCATCTGGTCGGCAAGGACATCAAGGGTATCGATGGTCAAGGTAACTTGCTCGGCGACAACGAGACCGCCCTTGGCAAAGTCGATTTGATTCCCGAAGGCACGATAATCGAGCGGATAAAGGAAGAAGTGCCAGACGCTGCGCCCAGACTCGATGCCCTCGATGCTGCTAAGCAGCAAGCCGAAGAACAAGCCGAAGAGCAAACTAAGTTACCTGACATTTCCACTCTTGAGGGCAAAAAGATCAACAAGGCCGGCAATGTTGTCGACGACAACGGTAATCCTATTGGAAAGGTGAAGAGCGGTGACATCAAAAAGATGATCGGTAAGGCTCCCGATAAGAACGGAAAAGTATGGGATACACAAGGAAATGTTATCGGCGAAGTCGAAGTTCTCCCCGAAGCAGTTCAGAATGTGGCTGCGCCGTTCGAAGATTTCCCGGATGCTACCGTGGATAAATTTGGCAAGGTCATCTACGACGGCCGCCAAGTTGGTGTTGTATCTGGTGATGATTTCCAGAAGTTGATCGGGAAGAAGGTAGATGCTGACGGCGACATCATCGACAAGAATGGCAACGTTATCGGGCATGCTGAGCGCGCTGAAGCCGAGGAGCCCGAGGAACCAGAGCAGGAAGAAGTCGACTACTCTATGCTCCGCGACAAGAAAATCAACAAACTCGGCAACGTCGTGGATGATAAGGGCCAAATTTGGGGCCATGTTGTCCAAGGCGTTCTGAAGAACCTCGTTGGCAAAAAGGTTGGTGACAAAGGAGAGATATTTAACGACGCCGGCCAGGTCATCGGCAAGGCCGAGCCTCTCCCAGATAGCGAACGCGCAGAAGTTAAAGAGCCCGCACCATTCGAGGATTTCCCCGATGCCATCGTGGGCGACCAAGGAAAGGTTATGTCCGGTGATGAGCAAATCGGTATCTTGGTAGAGGGTGATCCCAAGAAGCTGAAAGGGAAGTCCGTCGATGCCGATGGTGACATCCTGGATAAGGCAGGAAATCAGTTGGGCCGTGCGGAGCGGTGGGAAGAGGAAGAACCTGAACCTGAGCCAGAAATCGACATGTCGGCTCTTGCTGGCAAACGCATCAACAAAGCTGGTAATGCCGTTGACTCGCACGGCGACATCTATGGCCGCGTGGTTGAGGGTGATCTCAAACGCCTCATCGGCAAGATGTGCGATAAGAACGGCTTCATCCGCAACGAAGGTGGTGATATTATCGGAAAATGCGAGCTTATCCCCGAAGCTGAGCGTGAGGGCATGAAAGAAGGCCCCTTCACTGAGCTCCCTGGTTGCACTGTCAACAAGGAGGGTAAAGTCGTGACACCTGGCGGCGACGTTGTCGGACGACTTGTTTCTGGTGACCCTAAGATTCTGTTCGGTCGCGCTGTCGACGACGACGGTGATATCTGTGACAAGAATGGAAACGTGCTGGGTCATGCTGAACGCTGGGAGGAAGAGCCAGAGCCTAAAGACATCAACCCCATGTCTGGCCGTAAGGTCAACCGTGAGGGTAATGTTGTTGACGAGAACGGCGACCTCATGGGTAAACTTACATCAGGTATCTTGAGCGAGTGTGCTGGCAAGAAGATTGACGACGATGGTGATGTGGTCGATGGCAAAGGCAGCGTCCTGGGTCATTGCTCGCTGCTTGAAGAGATACCTCAGACGCCCGAGCCCGAGGAGAGTGAAGAGGAGAAAGAAGCTCGTCGGCAGCTTGAACAAGACAAGAAGATTGCGGGGCAGATCTCATTCTGCATTGAACAGTCTCTCGATAAGATTAAGCCTATTTGCAAGATGATTACTGATGTAAGTCTACGACTCCGTTGTGCTGCCTTACGGTGGAACCCCTTTACTATTACCAAACTCATATACTAATAACAAATTCTACACCACAGAGAATCGACTCCGAAGAGCGCAAGCCAGAAGATGAGCGTGATGAGGAAGAGCTTGTCAAGCAAGTCCGCCCTCTCATTGAAGAAGGCGGCAAGATCCTAACCGAGGCCAACGGCGTCATCCGGGGTCTCGACCCTGACGGCCGCATCTCAGCCAACGCCAAGCACAAGACAGCGGCGCGAGAGGCAACGCCTGAGGAATACCGTCTCGCGGATCTACTGAAAGAACTCACCGGCACGGTAACCGAGACTATTGAGAATGCTAAGCGCAAACTTGAGAACCTACCTCATGCTAAGAAGGGTATCAACCCACTGTGGGGTCTCCTATCCGAGCCTCTATTCCAAATTGTCGCCGCCGTCGGTCTCCTACTCAGCGGAGTCTTAGGCCTCGTCGGAAAACTTCTTAACGGACTTGGCTTAGGCGGCTTAGTTAACAACTTATTGGGTGGTCTTGGGCTGACGAAAGTCCTGGATGGCCTCGGGTTGGGCCAGATCTTGTCTCCTATTACTGGGCAGAAGAAGAAATGATCTAATGTGGATTCTGAGGAAGCTTGAGATCTTATCTGCACGATTGTAATGAATTGACTGTTTTGTATTATTTCTCTACTTATGTCTTGTTCGAAATCTTTAAGGTGGCATTTGAAAAAGTTACAGATATATGAGCTGGATTGTATTTGGCGGGCAGAACTAATTTCCATTTTACATACGTAGTTACATAGTTATGAGTAATAAACAGTGAATACTTAATATCGCGATGTCCTCTGTTTGCATGAGAGTTTTTTCTGCATTTTCGCGTTGTAAAGCACGAGTAAGGGGTGTCGACGAGATACTGACATTCAGGAGGTGGCTTTCCTAAGCGCATTGTGGCGTCTTTCATCCCTGGACTTTTAGTCTGAACTAAATCAAGGATATAATCGAGAAGCTGAAGCTTTAGTGACGTTATAAATGACGTGTTGATGCGAATATGGAGGGTGTGTGTGACAATACGTGTGACAATGCCAGAGGCAGTTGCTAGTTGCTAGTTGCTAGCTGGTATGCCCTACAAAGAGCACTGGCACGTTTTACTAGCACTGAACTAAAGGCTCCTATCAATGACCAACCAGGATCCTACCTCATATACCTACTTGCACCTTAAGAAACCGTCTCAGTGTGACTACCTGATATCTCACAAGTCGCTTATTTTCCTACCTACTACCTACTACCTATGAAATCTCACTTATCTTCAGAATGCCTCGAACATTATTACTCTGCTTCATCCACGGATTTAAGGGGGACGACGATACCTTCCGAACATTCCCAAACGATTTGCAACAGAGAGTAGCCGGCAAACTCCCGGATCATAACGTCGAGTCCATAGTGTATCCGAAATATGACACGAGAGGCGAGTTGGGTCCATGCTGCTCATCATTTCTATCATGGTGAGTTTCAAGAAACGAGAATTTACTGAGTTATTCAGTACTAATTAATGCGCTAGGCTAAAGGAAAAGGTAATGGACGTGAGAAAAGCACGTTCTGAGAAGCCCTGGCCGCCTCATGACAGAGACGTAGGAGTTATCTTAGTCGCGCATTCAATGGGGTAAGATAAACTCCGTATCATACGTACACAGCACATGACTGAGAGAATCTTCAGGGGGTTCGTCGCTTCAGACACTCTTTTCCTTATTCTGAATGAGCGGATTGCGCATGGACAGGAAGGATCACCAATCTTCCCCCTAATCCAGGGGGTTCTAACCTTCGACACACCGTTCAATGGTCTAGCGCGATCTATGTTCGTTTATGGTGCGTTCTCAAATTACCAGAAAGTGAGCACTGTTTTCAACGTTATGACTGCCCTCTCGGCGGCACCGTCGGCTCTCGGGAAGTCTGCCTTCAAGAAGACAGCGGCGCGTGTCTCGTCCACAAAACCATCCAACCCAGCTTGGAAGGGCTGGCAACTCGTTGCGGTGCGTACCGGTACGGTCGGTGCCATAGCCGCTGGTGGCGTTGCCGCTTATGTGCACCGCCAAAAGATTATAGATGGGATGCGTAGCATGCGAAACCTCAACAAAGAGTCAGTTAAAGAAGGGTATCAGCAAAGCATGGATACGCTCAGTCAGGGGCTAGCGTATATCAACCGCGGAAATGTCGGAAAGTCATTTGAATACCTCTCCGACCACTTCACCTTTGTCGGCACACTCATGAAGCAACAAGAACTGGCTCGGAGACTAGAACGCATGGCTGCGCTTCAAGGCATCGGTATTCATGATTTCTTCACTTCTCTGGGGGAGAATGGAATGTGGAGCGGGGGCTACTTCGTACCCGAGCGAACATTCTGCGCCATCCCAGTGAAGGATCATCAAGCGTACCACATCTTCTCGCGGCAAGTCATCAAGAAGGTAGAAGATGAAGTTCAAGCGCACATGAGCATGTTCATTAGGGACAAAAACGAACAATACGATCAGATGACGGAGGAGGCTAGTAATCTCGTAATTCGCTGGTTCAATGATGATTCCAACATCGTGGATGATCCCAAGTTTGCTTCGCCCCCGCCACCAGAGCCCGTTGAGCAACCTGTCACTACGACGGAAGATGGCCAAGAAGTCCCGATAATAGATAAGGACACCGAGTCAACGCTGAAAGAAATGGAGGACGAAGGTCAGGACGACAGTGAACTTCCCGATACATCACCGTTGGACATTACTGCTGCTGCATCTGTCGTCCCATTGCCCGACAGCGACGAGGAATTCACGCAAGACGACGAAACCACAGAGGCGAGGAAAAGCACATACATGCGATACCTCATGCAAGTTGCACAGCAAGCAGGAACCGGGGTTAAGTCTTACGTACCAACTAGAATGCCCGAGATGCCTCAAATCCCGTCGGGGTCTAGCTTCAAGTCATATCTCCCTACGCAAATGCCACAGATGCCGAGTATACCGAAACCATCTGTCAATATGTTTTCCAAGAAACAAGAGCCGGCGGCTTCTGAGACAGATAAACCCGTAGAAACGTCAGAACCCGAAGCCACCGGAGAATCCACCGGCGGGAGGGAGAGAGCGGATAGTGGAGTGCACCTTAGTTCGGAGCCTACCGGGTCAACCGAGCTTCGTCAAGACCCTGACACGATGGAAGAACCGACCATAGCGGCAGCTAAATAAGAGATAGGGGACAGGATGCTAAGGTCCATAGATGTGTTTGGGGATGTTTTGCGTTAGATGCGTAAGGTACCTGCCTACAGAGTATCTACAGTACTCACCTGCATAATACAGAACGGAATACGATGAAGTCAGATTCAGTAACAAGCTTTCGCAGTGCATCACGAGCACGAGAAATCGCCCCCTTAATTACTGAGTAGCTTGAATCAAGGTAGAGTTAAGAGATGCAATACATTTGATAAAAGTCAACCCATCGTTGTCGCCCCGTACACAATAACTCCATACCTTCATGGCGCTGCACTTGACTAGCTCAAAACGGGAACCGTCTGGATATAGCTTCGATCTTGAGGATAGATTTTACATCGCACTATCCGTACGCATTTCAGTAGCCGTACCTAAACCCAGCGTCGCGTAATATATTGAGATCATTCATCTTGCTTGCCGTGTATGTGACCTCATAGCCAACAGTCAGAACAGCAGGAGTACGTCACGAAGATGTCTAGCGTAAACTCTCTTATGAACAGCAGTACGACAATTTAAGAGAGCAAGACTAAGCCAGGAAATGCCTTTCGACTTCAAAAAAATCGCAATTGAATACTTGCCCTCCAAAATTCCCAGCCAAAATCATTCGCGTTTCAAACACATCATAACTCGAGGAACAATCAAATAATCAAAAGATTCTAATTCATCCACACCATGACCGAAAACAGCGGAAAGCAGACCAAAGAGCAAGGCGGCGGCAGCGGCCTCATCGGCAGCGTCGTCAGCGGCGTCGACAGCATCCTGACGGGCGGCGACAAGGCCAAGGGCCAGGGCGGGCTCGTCGGCGGCCTCAACAGCGCCATCGGCAAGACGACCGAGGGCGCCGGGAACGCCCTGAACCAGACCACCGAGGGGCTCGGGAACACCGCCGGGTCGGCGACGGAGGGCGTCGGGAGCGTGGGAAAGGACGTCACGGGCACGTTGGATAATACTGTTAAGGGGGTTGCTGGGTCGGGGCAGGAGCAGCAGCAGCGGAAGTGAGGGAAGGGGCTATTGCTGTGGTCGGAATGAATAACGGGCTGGAACAAATAATGGCACGGCGATGAATTCGGCGTGCAGGCTTTTTTCTACGGGGGCTATGATAAGGAGGCTGGTTTACTAAGGTCCGTGGCGGGGGAATATGTACGATTGATTATTTGTTAGGTGGTTTCTACGCTAGTGAATCATTATCTTTGTCCCATCTCTATTGTCGTTACAATTAGCATTGTTTTATGAGGCTCCTCGAATGGTAGTACCTAGTATCAATCGCATTTTCTGCTGATTTCGGGATGGTAGGTAGAAAGTAAATATATAAATAAAAATAAAATAAAATAAGAGCTACTTCGCTCAGACGCACATTGATGAATTGTCGGCTTGCTAAATGGCGCAGTTACAGCGAGCGCTCGAGCTTTCAGGGTATCATGGTGCGCACCCATCTGAAAATTGGGATGCCCGACTCCATCTTCATCTCATAACCGCGGACCTGAAGAATGTATTAGGGGTGGTTAAATCTGCATAAGTCATCTCATTGCTTAGATATTAACTTTTCGCATTAATTATGTTACTGACCTTGCCCAAGCTATGCCAATATCTTCTACTATTCCCTAGAGGGCCAAATGTCCTAAGATCAAAACGATCTACTCGATGTCGGCTCCAAGCGCCACCAATTCAACCGTCATTTCCGGCACTGGTTACAGCGCAGCGGCGCAGCAAAGCCCATAGCCGACAATCTACCCAAGGTTGCTCTAAGCTCTAGCGGCTTTCATACTAGCATAGCGTCGACTTGGACGCTGTTGAATCATTGACTTGGGCTGCGTAGTCAACTTCCACAACGGCCAGAGTTGAAAGGGAAGATCGATTGGGTTGGCGGGAAATTACCCAAGGACTAATACAGGGAGATGCCAAATTATGATGTCGCTCGAGTTTTCGACGTCAGGTGCCCGTCTTAGGCTTAACCGGATCGCATTCCTAGCAATGCCGTAGAGGGGGCTAAAGAGTTAATTAACGACTCATGTCGTACATTGTAGGTAACGTCGTAAGTCGGGTCTGCTCAACTCTCTTGGCGATCAGCCACGATGTCTCACTAACTAGAGGCTATTCTTGTATATATAGTTGGCAACTTCACGATCTTGTAAGATGTTCATATCATAAGAAGAATTCAACTAACTCGACCTGTACTACGTATTTTCCCAAAGGATGAAGAATTGATATAAGAGGGAGTGGGGAGGGGAAAAGAAGAGGATTCGGGTCTAGGCTACTCCCTTCTAGGGTTCGTAATATTCATGCAGGATAGTGGAGAATCTGCTCATCGCCCCGGATTTTACCCCAGGTTTTGAAGCTGTAGAGCACTATACCGATTCGAGTAAGTATGATGTTGCAGCTCACCGGCGGAGCTCAGCGAACCACAGCTCGAGATGTCACGCGATGAGCACACCATCCGTGTCTCGACAACACCTTACTGTATTCCACCCCGCCCAATCATTACGAAATCTAGTAGCATGGAACTGCATCAGCTGGTCGCCGATCCATTATGGTTCCTCGTACGTACATTTCGGAACGTCAGAGAAGGCCAGGGGCCCCTCTCTTCTCCCGAAGCCCCCTTTTTCCTCCCCTTCAAATTGCCCTCACTTCCCCTCTTCCTGCTTTCCTTCTTATTTCTCCTCGTCTGTCCTACAGTCATCGACTTCCCAACAGTATCTGTACCTGCATTCATCATCATTATCATCTTCCCTAGCTGTTCCAAGGTAGCTCTTAACTTACTCCCAACCTAAACATAATTGGTTTAATCCCTTTACTAACAACTGCCGGTTTAAAGTAGCTAGGCCAGTATAAGCTCCAATTCGATATATATAATCCCGTATATATCACTTCTAGCATCAATCCATCATGGCGGAACCTCTCACCAGAGTAGACTCAGCCGTTCAAGGTCTCGAGCCTTCTTCGCCCGTGAAGGAGAAGGTCTCCCACCGGAGAACTAGCTCAAGTGTAGCTGGAGTCCAAAGCATGAAAGATCTGAGTATGTGGTTTCCTCCACGTAATGTCCACCGGATATTTCGGATCGTAACTAATTGGCACTTGCACAATAGAAACAAGCCAAACGGAGATACAAGTAGCGAAAGAATCTCAAGGAACGGGATGGTAAGTAAACCAATTCATCTCATCCAGGCCACCCGACTTCAGTCTCTCCCTCCTCGATGTTGCACCTAAGATACCATTACCCCGCATTAGACTAATAGGGGTTCTCGATTAGGAAGATCAACACATCCCCTATGACGGTTGATGATAAAGACATCTTAAAGAAGCCATTAATAACACCACTCGTGAGAGCTGTTGACCTTCACTTCCAACATGGCGTTGTTGTAACAGCGCGGAACCGGCAAGGCGTCACCATCAAGGATGCCATGGACGCCATACATAAACCGAACAAGAAAAGAGTATGTTCCATCCGATCTTATTGCATCCAATTTCGCTTAGTGATACCGTCCGACTAACATACGATTGCCCAGGCTGACGATGAACTCTCCGAACCGTACCTGAAAGGATTCGAGTGGTTACCGAATCACCCCCAACTAAAAGACGACCCAGACAAGGCGGAAGAGCGGGAGGCGGAATGGGATCGACTATACATCCACCTATCATCAACGCCCGGCGTATCAAGCTTCGGCGGTGGCAAGAAGAAGAAGAATAAGAACAACAACGCTGACGCCGAATAATGGCCTCATCGGTCTACATGTCCTTGTCTTATCCGATACTTCCCGGAGCCGTTCAGCTCACTGTCTTCCCGCTCAAAATCATTCGAAGGCGTATGGAATACCTTGATAGACAGCTTGGATACTGTTTTGGATATTATTATCTAGTGTATAACCTTCATGACGTAGGTCTGGGACTTACCATTGTCGACATCTTTATAGTAGTCCCAATATACAATTGAAACTACTACTCATCATACATCTTATCGTAACCGCGTACTTGACAAGCGACTTTATAGACTGCTTGCTCTTTCTCAACTACAAGGGCTTGTGAAATGCATGATGCATCGCGCCATGTGAGTATACACTCTTTGAAAGCGTACTTGAAACGGCATACCAGTTCTATCCCATGTAGTGAGGCTCGTGAGGCTCTTAAACCACACTAACAGTCTTTGTTGGAAATCGACTAAATAATTCTCTTTCAAAGTCACCCTCAAGGTCGGTGGGTTCTTTCAACCATACCGACCCAACTCGACGGTAAGACTGGGACTGGTCGTCCGGGATTAACGCCAAACCTTGCACCTGCACGTAGGAAAATACTTTGGCTTTGTGTGGTTCACAAGTGAAAAACAACAGGATTACCGTTTCGCAGCTGTCATCAATGGTGTCGAACTGGAGATAACGCGTGCGAAGATCTAAATCAACAGGCATATCATTTTCGGGGTGGTGGAAATCAACGGGTGCGTCGGATTCGGGGTGGTGAAAAGAGCCGATAGAATAGATCTCGCGCCGCTCGTTCCGAGTTTCACGAACCCTCTTGGACCGCCGTGCTTTACAAATATGCCCTCGCAAGGTAAGAGTGCCACTGACTACTTCACCAGTCACATCATTTCCGTGGGGCACCATCTCGGCCCTGAGAAGTTCCACGCGCCATCGGGACTGTCTGCGAACGCTCCTGAAATCAATATCCCCATCAAGGGAAGCCCATGACCATGAAGGAGCTCGGTATGAGGATATACGGCTCCCTATTATTTTAGGCACCCACAACAAGCTCTCTGGCATTGTGTGTTCCCACAGGCCGGCCAAATAGGTGTCATATCCATCCCCGTACTCTGTCCTCATGATGTACCCCATACGTTTCGCCAACCCGGATATGGCTACGAGCTTGTCGCAGGGGAACGTCAAATTGCATTGAGAGTAAGTAAGAATCACACTATCCCAATCTGTTGGCTGTGCTATAGATCGCCCTTTTTTAGGATGTATAAGAGGCTTCCACTTGTATGTACTCGATTCAGTGCGGTGAAGGCGTGAATATGACGGGTAATTTGACGGTTTATCCAAACTGGTATTTGGGACAGTCTCGCAACAATTAGTTTCGAAGCATTCCCAAAAGACTTGTTTACTGCCAAAATACAAGTTTCGAGTCGAAAGGATCCGCTCCTGAAGAACCCATGCACGCGAAAGTAACGGCTGCCCTTCGAAGTCTTTCATCCATGCCTCCCGCTCAGCCTCAAAACGATAGAACATACCAATACTTCCGTCCCGGGGACCCAGATCGACAATGGTAGGGGCAACAGAGGCCGGGTCACGATCAAAGAAACATCCAGCTTGGTCATCTGGAGCGCTGAGCGCCGCAATGTTTAACAAGCCATGTCTATAGACGGATTGCATAGTGGAGGCTTCTGCTCTCCAATCTTCCGCCGAATCTTGGACTATGCACAGCCTATCAATCCATATATATCGAACTTTGAGTCGAGCGATGACCTCGAAAGCATTCTGAAAGGTTTTAGGAAGAATGTCTACAGAGAGACCATTCCGTAGACCATCTATCGTTGACTTCAAGAGTCGCAATTTCGTCTCGGGTGGGCCAGGTCCCCAACAGTGACTTAGAGTGACGTATCGTTCTGTAGAATCAAGCTCTTCCCGATAGACAAGACGGAAGAACTTTTCGTCACCAGTCTGTCGTAATTCTAGAAGTCGGGTCGGCCAGAAGATTTCAGAGTCCTGATGAAGACATAGTTCGTGGTTCGCAAGGCATCTATCCATCCAAGTTTGAATGTGGGCCCATGTCTGCAAATCCGAGGTTGAATGTGAGATCTCGGAGTTGACATCGTCGTTTTCTTAATCATTGCCTCTTTAGTGCAAGCTTCATAGTTTGGCGATGAAACCCTTACCATCATGCGCAACCATATCATGGGGAATTTGCTCAAGAGGTTCACCCACGTACACGGCCATCGTCGCTTGGGAGGCCTCACCTCGAGGCAAGAGTATTTGGAACGCTGAGTAATAACCCAAGTTTGCAAATGATGGGTTCAAATCATCCTCGTCGTTTAAATCGCTGAACTCGCTGCAGACGACGCATCCTAACAGTTTAGACCGTAGCATGGAGTTGTAGTCGGTGTGGTGACCGAAGACGTAACGTTCTGGTTCTCGTAGTTCTCTCTCGTGCTCATCTGTAGATCGTAAGTCTAGGTTGTCAACCGTCCGAGACCTCAAACATGCTTACCTAGTACTTCATCATAATTTTCGTCTTCGACTTCTGGAAACAACTTTTCTAGCAAATCGGGGAAATCCTCGAGAAGTCCAATCCTCCTAGTGTTTTTCGGATCCCACACACCTTCCAGGCCCGTGCGACAAACATCGCACAGCATATCTTGGACTAGATCTCTTTGGAAATTATCATGAGTAAACTGTGTTACCTTAACCCAGCAACAGAAGAGCGAGTATATCGCTCATATATAGATAGAGCTGGCATTGTGGGCTTGCTTTCACTTATAGATGTGACGAGTAGGTGTAATGTTGGTGCAAGACATTGTATTTTGAGAGAACTAGGATTGTGAGGCTGTTGGCTGGTCTGACAAAATGCGGGCGCCATGCATCTGCAAGGGTATCGAACCCGCTGCTACGGCTCGCAGCGCTTGCTGACGCCTGAAGTCTTCTCGAATATGCTACCTCGAGCGCCGTTCCATATTCTCGGGTCCTATCACGTCGATTCTCATACGAGTTCATATCCCACAAATAAGTCAAAGACTCAAAGTCTCGTTGGAATACGTCTCCTTCAATCCGTATTGGTTCAACTGCATACCTATCATTCCATGCACTTTCCACTCGTTCCCTGGAACGATATTGTGTTGGCTCTGGCAAATGTTATAGCACGCCGAGAGAAGTCGTGCTTGCTATGATCAATTTATGACGGCGATAGGGTTAGTATTTGGCCAATGTCTTTCGTGCTAGAGATACGATCAAATCATTGTGGAAACTGTTGCCGCTTGTTGCTTTGGAAGGAGATCGGTCTTTAGGTGCTATTACTGAGACCGCCCAGCTACACTTCAACGATGAATACCTCATATTCTCGAAGGTAATACCTTAGCTATGTAGGTAACTATTTTTTCTTTAGTCGACTAAGAAATAATCGACGGATTAAAACGGTATTGAATTCGTTGTTTCCTGGTATTATCATGATCTTCGCTAAATTCGGCTGTCGTAATAAGTCCCCACGGGCATTAAACCAGGGTCAACTCCCCAGTCTCGTAAACTGGCCGAGTAGTAGCGGGTAATCAGGTAACTACCTAGGCAGCTAGGTAATCAGTGATCGCGATGACGCCTAAATAGTTAATCTCATCGATTCCAACGGATTGAAATATCTAACGCTAATAAGAGAAGCGTACTTGTAAGCAGTAACTTTAACCACACGACACCATTTCCTGAAAAAAACGACACCTTCCTAATTGGGACTAGCTGGGACCCATCTAATTTAGCAGTGTTTTTGTCGCACACCTTACCTACCAATTGTACACCTTATTACCTAATATCCTCAATTGACTTTATTACCTAATATACTCAGTTTGTACCTATTATGCCACCTCCCACTAATTTTGTATGGCTACTGCCATCACAGGTACTTACTCTTACTGCAACCTTGGCTTTTGCGATATTTATACCATTATCAAGTAGTATAAACGGCATACAAGGTGCTGCAGTCGCAAGGTCCTTTAAGTCAATTACATATAAATCAATTAGGGTGGCTGTTAGAATAGCGATTACGTAAGCCAATCAGGTCAAATCTGATTATGTAATACACCCGACGGGCCATATTGTGGTCCGTGCATATGCTTACATAGCAAGAACAACAACAATTATCGCGAACCTTATTGTCCTTGTTATATAGCACTACCAACGTCATATTAATAACAATACCCAGGTAATTAATATAATCGATATAATCGACTTTTTAATTTTTGATTTAACTTAAGTGCGTAATACTAGATTTTGAGTTGTAGATTAGGTATATTGACTTGAGAAAAAAATTGACTAAGTTTAATTGACGTAAGAGCATATTAGGTAATAAAGTCAATTGAGGGTATTAGGTAATAAGGTGTACGGCACTGAATTAAGGTGTGCGACAAAAGAAGTTAGGCGGGTCCTGACTAGTCCCAATTAGGAAGGTGTCGTTTTTTTCAGGAAATGGTGTCGTGTGGTTAAAGTTACTGACTTGTAAGCCCCGGATCATTGTCCCCATATTTGCGGCATATGATCTAAAAACTCCAATGTTTTTGAAGTCCTAGCTTGTACATAATAGGTAGAAGATCAAATGTGAGTCTTTCATGTGCGCGATAGGACAATTCTTTGCTTGGGGAGCTTGCCGGGAGCTTCTAGTTACAAGCCAATTATCAATGAGCCAACCTGATACCGATGTGTTGGCTCACTAGCACTACACTAGAAGGCCCACGATGGTAATATGCCGAGGTAGGTTACATGTTTCGAGGAATTACCTGACTCGCGTAGCTGCTTTGTGAAAGACATTTCGGGTCTAGCGAGAAGCCATCTACAGCATATCAGGTAACGCGGCGTCCCGGTAACAAAAAAAATAGTAGGCACCCCGGTCCATATTTGGAACCAGAAGATCCGATCCTTCTCAATCGTAGTGGGGCAGTTCTTTTGTCGCGATCCTACTCCATTCAGCTCGCCTTCGCCCTCGCTTTAATATCTTTAATCCTCAAACAGAATGCTGGCGACGACGTCCACCTCTTCCACCATCAGTAGATATACGGGTAATCTGAAGGGATGGGATTATGGAATTCTTCGAGAACCAAGTCGGCGAGGTGCGATACTTGACTACTCTGGCTGAAACCCCTGCTTCCGCGCCGCCGGTATCTCCAGCGTCTCAACAGCATACTAGCAGCAGTGGTATAGCGACTGCTGCCGGCGCCAAGAGGAAAAGCAGTGCGGAAGAGTCGCCAAGTTCCAAGGGGCCACCTCAGCAAAGAAGTAAGAGGAATAGATATATATCCATAGCTTGGTGAGTCTATCTGCATTCGTCTCTCCCCTTCAAATACGCGCGCGATGTAGTGACGCGACTTGACTCGAATTGCGTTATGTTGACCGAGTCCACGCCACCCATCCAGCAACGAATGCAAGCGGCGCAAAATAAAATGCAATGGCGAAACTCCATGTCAACGATGCGGGAACCTCAACCTCCAATGCCTCTACGCGCCTAATTGTTGCTCTAGTTCGTTCAAAGACTCGGACGAATTCAAGCAGATGACTAGTAAGGTCAATCAGCTGCAGGAACAGGTCGATGCTCTATTCGCAAACATGAACGCTTTGAGATCGGAAGCCTTGCGCCTGGCCCCCATCCAAGATCGACCGCCAACCTTACCATCCACGTCGAGTACTCCGTCGTCATCTTCTATACCTTCCATCACACCCATACATAGGCCGGCCGAACTAGCCCAATCCCGACAACCCGGCTTCCGTGGGCCCACGAGTACCCGATTCAACTTGGATGTCGCGAAGAATACCTTGCATAAGATGGGCTATAGCAACCCAACTGATGGCAGCGAGCAGGATGGTTATAGCCAGGAAAGTTCCGCACCCTCACCGAATATGACGACTCATATAGCTACAACTCCCAACAGCCCTCGCGATCCACTATGGGAGTTTGACAAAGACGATTTGGTGCGCTTATGCCGGTTGCATGATGAAGAAATTGGCATCATGTACCCGGTGGTTAAGATGGATACGGTCATCCGCCATGCAAAATCTCTTTCTTCATGGATGGAGGCAGCCAGAAAGAACTTCATGATATATGGCGATGAAAGCAATCTTAAGGACCGTAATACTGTTTTGCTCAAACTCATCGTTTGTTGCGCATTGCAAATTGAGGAACACGGAAATAGCGAGAAGGCTCAAAGGGTCTTTCTCAGTGTCCGGCCGACGACGGACAGGATGTTAATGTCCGATCCAAGTGACGTGAAGAATATGCCAATACTAGCTCTTGTGGTATGTCTTAACCTTTCGTTTACGATGCGCCTTCTTATGAGCCCAATCACTAGGAGACAGAGACTCAGGGGCTAATATATGCAGGCGGGATATTACTTCCTTGCCAATGATGAGATTCTAGCTTGGCGTACCATGGGTCAAGTCACACGCCTTTGCTTCGAATTAGGACTTCATCGGCTGGATGCGATCCAGCGAATAGAGAACGAAGAAGAACGGAACAACGCGATCAACTCATTTTGGGCGGCTTACGTTTTGGATCGTCGGTGGGCTTTCGGTACAGGTTTGCCATTTACCGTCCCGGACGACGAAATTGATCCTCAGTTACCCTTTCCCGTAAGTACCTAGATGAGATCATAACCATGCTGACATACATATCTCCCCTTGTCGCTTGGAACGTTAAGAGATCTATCAGTGCTGACCTTAGTCTGAAGGATTCGCACCCTTATCTAGTCGCCATGATTACCTACTCAAAACTCAGTGCGAAGGTATGGCGACTCGTACGGAATTTTGAACCTAACACGCCACTAGAACTTCGACCAAATGAAATCGAGGAACTCGACCATCAGATAAAGCAGTGGTATAACGAAGTGCCTCAAGAAACTCAACTTGAGCTAGCTGATTGGGAAGCGTTACCAAGATATCTGAATCCACCAGTCAACTCGCAGAAGGATTACGACATACAGAGACTACAGATCTGGACTTACTTACGCTTTAACCAAATCCGTACTTGGCTCTATACCCCTATTCTGCATACTCATAGTAGCATCATGGAAAACATGCAATTTGCTGAGCGTGCCGTCAAGCTTGCAAAAAACACCATCTGCTATCTAACACATCTAAACAACACGACCAACATATATAGGAAGATTCAGGTCTTTTATCACCAATTTCTGTTGGCCGCCATCGCCGTGCTCTTCCTGGCATCCTGCCATGCTCCGGTGAACTTCAGTTCAACATGTCGAAACGAGTTCTACATGGCGCTCGAGTTGGTGAAGGACTTATCTTCTAGATCATTTGTCTCGCAACGTCTTTGGAGCACTATTAAATCACTCCGGGAAGTGGCACCTCGTCTCGGACTCGCCCAAGACCCTCACTCCACGGCAGCGCTCACGATGGCCGGGCTAGCTACCGGCCAGATGGGGGTCACGCCTCTCATTGCTTCCGGCTACGGGTCACAACCATCGCCCGTCTCGGGGGCGCCCCCCACATTTAACGGCGTCCAGAATGGACACCAGATCTCGAGCGAGATGTCGCGGATATTCGAAGGTTACATGGGGAAGAACAGCAGCCCGGGCGACCAGCTGGCGGCCGGACCGCCGCCGCCCGTTGACGATGGCGCGACGATGCCTTACGGTGTCGGTAGCGTGTATCAACACTTCAAGGATATGTTTTAGCCTTTTGTGGAGCATTACTTGGAAATTGATTAAGGGCATGGTTCTGCATAGCGAATGGGGCGGGTAGCGAGTAGAACAGGCTCGGGGTTGGTTGAATCGGCGCATTGATGCCTCTCAAGGAGTTATTCCAGGACAATACCTAATATGTCAAACCTACCTACCTAGGTAAATATAAGCATCTGTATTTATGTGCATCCTTTAAACTGGCACAAGACCACAATTTCCATACAATCGGGTGGAGCAGACCTATTGGACCTGGAAGCATTGGGGCTTTTATAGCATTGCACAATGATCTTCAGAGTACCAAAGTAGAAAAGTACGAACGCCTACCCCCTGGAAAGTCAACATACGAGTCCGCGATTGACTTGGTAATGCTATTCGAAAATCTCCGAATAGCGTCCTTGGGGCTTCGTCTGCGAGGATAGCTAACATATTTAGACGCCGATATTTAAGACGTACAAATACCTAGGTGTATGAGGCAGAAGTCGTCGAATTCGTCGGGTGATAGCTAGTCGCTAGCATTGTGGAAGCCGTACTCATTTGACTTTCCTGGACAAGGACGGCTGGGCGTGAAGAGTCTTGCCATTGTCAAGATAACTACCCTCGATGCATAGCTTCTCAATCATAATTATTGCGCATTCTTATTGATACATGACAGTGTTATTACAATATTCACGTCCTTCTTAGTGGGCTAGGAAGAAGTATCTTCAAGTTAGGCACATACCAAAGCGTCGACTCATGACAGAACATTGGGTGTGTTCTCGCCTCATGTGCCTAAGGGCTGTGGAAAGGGTTGTAGTAATCTACATCTAGAAAACAGTAAGCATACCTAACATAGGGTATTATAGTTCGAAGTCCCTTCCAGATGCCTTATCACGAAGTTGAATTCCAGTCGTGTTTCTCGATAGGATAGGTACCTAGCTTTAGTCTAAAGTAGCTTCTATCTAAGAGCCTGGGGAAATAAGAGTCGTTGAGAGGCCCTGATTGAGCTTCATATCTATACAAGCCCGAAGTCGTAAAGGGCCGTATAATATCTAGGCATTGGACTACTCGATTACTCCTTTCCTGAGTCATTGATGTGGTACTATGTTGGCCCAAGGGGGGAGGAGAGGGGGGGATCAACACGGTCATTTCGGTTTTAGAAATATATTGAGATTAACAACAGGTAGTCACATCCGAGTACATATCATAGTCCCATCCCTAGACTTTTTAGGAAATCTGATGATGGTGCGAAAAAGGTCGTGCCCGTTAATGGCGTCGAGAAATCAAGTATCCTATCGTGCAAACCAGGCGGATGGCCGATGAACATACGCTGCAACATCTTCTCTATAACCCATAATCGCCTTGAATACCCTATAAAGTAAGTTCCAAATTCACCCGAACCCGGAGACCCAAATGGCATGTTATCGCGAAGAATGTCGTGCTCATTACCACTCTCATCTTCGATTGTGGCAAGCGACTTGTGAGACTGTTGCTGACCCTCTGCGGCATCGTCCAACTCGACGTTATCGAGCTTCTTGCGCCCGATTATGGCTTCTTGCTGCTCAGTGGAGAGCCCGCTCCATGCCTTCATATCATGCACATATTTCTGAACAACGATATAACTGCCCCCAGCGTAGGATGCGTCCTCTTCCGCCACGAGGACGGAGTCTGGCACATCAGGGCCTACCGGATTAGCCGTGCCATCGACGAATCCTAGAAGATCGCGAACATCGAAATAGCGGAAGCCAATCGTCTCATCAACGACAGTAACAGAGTCACCAAGCGCGTCAAGCAACTGCTTCTCAAATTCAAAACACAGATCTCGCCGTTCTGAGCGGATGTGGAATAGCAAGTCCCCCGGTGTCGAGACAGCAGTATGTTTCTGACCATGGACTGGGGGGAATGGATGAAGCTCTGCCGGAGGCGGGATCCGAGTAAGCGAGGACCATGCGTTGCTGCCGATTCCTACGGTGCAGGAGGATGCGGCGCCAAGATCTCGGATAGCGACGTTTTTAGCTAAACTCCCGATGCTTGAGAGGACTGAGCATACGACACGAGCGGCGTCTGGCGTAGGAGCGATAGCGACCACGAGAAAGGTCGCAGACTGGGTTAGGGGTGCGTCGACACGTTGTGGTTCGATAGGAACCCGGTGTGCGGACCGCGTGCTCATGGCAACTCCTTGGCCTGGTGCGCCGATGGACGATCGGGATGTAGCACCCCGCAAAATATTTCCACGTTCTAGATGTTTCCTCAGCTCGCAGAATGAGGCTGCTCGGATACCCGCGCGGCCTGATATCCGAATATGACTTGTCGAATGCAACCAACTGAGAGAAGAGCGCGAAGGAATTCCGAAAGTCTTCGATGAGTTCATATCGCTGCTGTCAAAAGGACGACCAAGGTAGGCTTTTGACGTAGCTACCGCACGCCCTTCCTCGGATAGTTAAGCGCCAATGGATTTTGAATAGGAACGTAGTGGTTGGTTACTTCGATCTCGCCACTGCTCCAATTGCTGCAAGGTGCTTACACACCCTTTACTGACTTCGTATCAATGCTCTGGCTAGCCTCCCATTGGCCCGCGCTCCTCTCACTCCTGATATACTAATTGCTATGATCGCAACTAAGGGCCTGCTTAGAGTTTTGAATAGGTGGTATTAGTAATCGGGCGTTTATGGGCGGCATTTGGTAGATACTCACTGGGTAGACGAGCACTTCTGTTGCACAAATCTCATGCGACAGGAAAGGGGACGGCTGAAATTCCAGTCACACACGACAAGTCAATATTCATGTTTTATTAGACGCAGGAAATATGTTGTGTGTCAATGTAAATAATAGATAGGTACCAAATGGTCAAGATCATGCCTGCATTAATGTGGTTGGTACCTCAGGTGTTGGCAAAATTCAAATTTATAACGTAATTGCCCCTATTTTCATATACCCTTAATTCACTACCTGGGTAAGTATCTATATTAAGTATTACTTTGACATAGGTTGTTATATCGAACTACTTACTAGTTAAGCACATTATTAACACTCAAGTAGGTATCTACCAACACACAGATACCGGATACATTTATTGCAATAAATCTGGGGTATCTTAGTAATGAACTAGAGACGTACGCTCTCAGGGGCTGGCGGAAGTCTCGGAAGGCATGTTGGACCTTGTGATAAAGGACTTGGTGTCGTGAGTCAAAATATGGCAGGAATATCATGACTCAGAAATCAATATTTCTTGATAACTCCATAGATCTGGTCCTGAAATCCTACATAGTCTTTCAAAAGTTCTAGCCTGGTCTTTGAAATAGTCATGTCTTTACCTTGCTGGAAAACTCGGTTGTTCCTCAGGAACGGCGTCTTTACTCGTCTCATGGTCCGTATATCCACTTGTATCCTGCAAGATCGTACATGGTGCACACATAGGTGTGGCGTCTAGGTTGATAACATCTTATGATCTAATCACATTAATATGCTTTCCACAACCAGTAAGAGACAGATTGCAAGGGTAGGATTCAGTCTAGCTAGGACAATGCCTACAGAATAAAACGAGATGTGATTATACGCTGGGCCTGGTCAAAGGAGTTGAAGTCTTCATGTATTATACGATTGCGTGTACCACAATCCACTGCTGCAACATAACTACAGAATTATTATGACCCTCAAAGCCACATTGCTTAGGTAAGTAAGTACCTATTTACCTGAATAGGTATACCTGTGTGGCCGTTTGAAACTTGTATTTGTATATTCCGCTAGCTAGTGAGGTAAAAGTCTACTTGCCCGGCAGGTAAATTTACTATAACATTATAATTGAATGACTTTATAACTTGTGAATAAATCCTCTATAATTATATGATAGTATTATTTATCTATAAGGTACTTACGAAAGTATTTCAATAGTAAATATTCTGTAAGTTCAACTCTAGTACGCTTGTTTTCCAAAGGTTAATGATTATAATGAGGTACATCTATATGTTTCATTAGGAAGAAAGTTCTCGTATAGGAGAATTTTGTCAATAACGTACCTATGTAAGTTGGTTAACATCCATGAAGTCCGTGTAACATCTTGTCATGCAGATAATCCTCAATCAAACCACCCACCTAGCTTAAATCCTTCCTCCGGAGCTATACACCGGCTGTAAGTTCGCGGTCATTACCAGAATAGTCCGCCCCTTTCTTATAGTCGTAATTGCACAATGAAGCAAGTGCCCGCGCCGCCGCTGCAAGTGTTGGAGGATACTACCATCTGCCCAAGGCCCAGGCCCTATCTATACCTTGTACATCGTACCATTAATAACCGAATCGAAATATATGTAGGGCTACCCTACCAGCCATACGTCAGCGGCTGTGGTAACGTCACATTCTTTCATCATATACGAATTCGCTTCCTTTCCAGGCGCGCGTCTACTACATTTCCTGTTGAGCGACACGACAACTCGAACACCGAGTATATCATTCTGACGGAGATAATGGAGATTTCTACCCGATCATCCGTTGCCGGCTTGCGTGGCTGCTCGTATGGAGATAGGAGAAATGGTATGATGTGAAATATCTAGTAAAAACGTAGAAAAGGGGGTTTCTGGTGAGATGCTCCAGAAAATCTAAGTTTGAACAGGACTACAAACCATAACTCGTAGCTCCTTGGGCCGTTAGTTTCAAAGCCAAGTATACGATGCTTAAATTACTGGACTAGTTGCCTACATAAGGTAGGTGCTAACATATAGAAGTTTCAAATCTCAACATTTATTGCAAAGCGAGTGGAATTTGTTATAGAAGATAAAGTTAGGTATCTATTGAAATTTTGTCAAATTCTAGATAATTCAGAATGAGTGCCTCGGTGTGAATGTGTGTCAACGAGTGGCTCATGGGAGGCAGACACCTAACCCATGGAATAGACTATCAACCTCCTTAAACGATCGTAACAGGTTGCTAATCCATGCTCTACCTAGGATGTCGTGTCCTCAGTGGAATCCGCTGTCGGGGAATCCGCACCGTCCGTCGATGGGGCCACAGCCCTCAGAGTAACGATCACCTGTCCCTCGGTGGTGTCGCCAGTTGAGTTCCAGTTCAGGGTCCAGATGCCGTCCTGGCCGGAAGGAAGGGCGTACCACATGGACTTGAGATCTCCACTGGAGGCCTGGTGGAATAAGTATTGACCATAGAATATGAAACCTGAAGCAGACCTTCCGCTGCTGTTAGTCGACGAGTTGCTGAAAGAAACCTGATGACCGGCCGTGATAGTGTCCGGAACATTGAAAGTGAGGTTCGACCAGGTGGGAGTGGTGTCAGTGGTGTTCGGGCTTCCCAACAAAGAGTTATCCGTGCCGACATCGACTATCCTTAGAGTTAGTATAGAAGATATTTCTGCGAGATAATCTCATATAACTTACACAAAACGGGAGCAGCTTGAGTACTGTTAGAAGCAGATGCCGAGCCGACAAAGGCACCCTCTATAAAAGGTATTAGTACCGATCACTTTAGCAAATTGGCCTTGATAGTTGACTTACGGCCGGTGGTGAAGACCTGAGCGCCACCGATACCATCGCCGTAGGCGTAGAGGCTGAAGTTGGTGGTGGGTCCGCGCCTCATGAGGGCTGGTGAAGCGGCGAAGGCCATGGGAAGGCCGATAAGAAAGAGACTCTTGAGTGCAGGCATTGTGGATAAGTAACGAATGGAGTTGACTTTTTTTGATTTTTCGCAAAGGACTGAAGAACTTGGGTAAGATGATAGACAGCAAGACCCTGTTTGTGATCTGGAAAAGTTATCAACCGAGTTGCGGTCGTTGATAAATGATATTTCGACCCAGCGCCGGTCTTTTCATCTTATTCATACCCTCGAGTTGTGCCCCTTTCCTGAACCTGCTTGAATATCGATTCGTCAGCTCGTCCTTAGAATAAATCGTCAACTATGCCATGACGGTGTTAGTATCTATATTCGGATTGTGGGCCGTCGCGGGGGCTGCGGGAGGGTCCGGGGTTGCGGCGAACACAAGCATAGCAGGGTCCCATGCAGTTAAACGCGTAATCATCCCAACGTGGTTATTCGTCCAAACCTTGCTATTTTCTATTTTTTTCGATAGTCGAATCCACTTGTTTTTCTCGGCAGATGCAGGGGCCCGGAACCTTTTGACAGCTACGCGACGCCATCGCCGGCGGCCAACCCTGATTGAAAAAGTTTATCTAATAAGATCTAGGATCATCGATCTATTCTATCAGCTGGACCTCACAGGGCTTACAGAACATTTCGTAATCCCTGGAGCTGATAAGTTATGCACACAAGGCATCGGGGTGGGTTCGATGATGCGGCCAACCGCCCGCTACGACTATCTATCCGATCACACAGGTGGCTGAGTGCGACTTCGTCGCGAGCTCGGACTGGTCGATATTACTACACATCAAAAGAGTCTAGACTGGTTACTCTATTGATCTCTATCGAATCCAGGAGTCGTCCCTAAGCGACGCCTTACTAGTATACCCCTCGGCGGCTCTGCGGCTCAGGGGTTCACTGCAAGGCATTATCCATGAAGCTCCACAGAACACGCCGGTCGCCTCATAGCTGGACGCGTACCTCAGCAATACGAAAGCATCGTGCAGCAAGCATCTAAACCAGCTTTCTCAGCTTCCAAGGGGTCACCTTGGTGCGACTTCACGATGGTGGATTTTTGTGCTCAGACCATTCCACGTGCAGTATACTGGAAGAAGTCCATGCGATGCTACTCTAGGACGAAGCATTACAATCCCAAGTATCGAGCCGTCTAATCCTATAGTCGGCAAGTGGATCACAGGAGGTCCGGAGAGGAGAAGATGGCGAACATAAAGACTGCCCGAGTTCGTTCGTGATGTCAAGAAGAATAGAAGGGACAACCAAGTCGTTCTTTGCTCTTCAGTCTCCTGGAGACTTTTCTTTAAAAAAATATTAAAAAATCCTTCATTTTTCTTCTTGGATCTGCTTTGAATTCGACTTATCGGCTACAGCTGGAGTCTTTACATCATGTCTGCCTTTAAACTATCTACTCTTCCGCTGTTGTTCTTGTACGGGACGGCGGCAGCCTCTCCGTTCGTCCCTGAGGTGAACCTGTATCCGCGAGCAGCATGCTCGGGGAATACGGCTACGACCAGGAACGAGTGGTGTGACTACTCTATCGACACCGACTATATGACCACGGCTGTCGATACTGGAGTGACCAAGGAGTATTGGCTCGAGCTTACCGACGTGACCGTCGCCCCTGATGGAGTCTCTCGAACCGCCATGGCCGTTAACGTAAGTCCTATAGTGGAATCTTAACATTAAACCCCTTAATGCATAAATCGTTGCTAATCATCTATTATAGGGCTCAATTCCAGGACCAACCATTTACGCTGACTGGGGTGATACCGTGGTTGTGCATGTCACCAACTCCCTCACCACTTCCAACAACGGCACATGTGAGTATAATCTCCAATATTTCCTTGATTTTCTCGACTGTGCCGCAAAAGCATAGAGAAGTCAAACTAGTTTCCCCCCCGCTACATCCGCCTTCTACCTTTGCCAAGACGCTGAGGGCTAACACAATAATCAAAGCCATTCACTGGCACGGTATCCGTCAGAACTACACCAACGAGAACGATGGTGTCGTTTCCATCACTCAATGCCCGCAAGCACCTGGGGAGACCAGGACATACACTTGGAAGGCACTCCAGTACGGATCTACCTGGTATCACTCGCACTTTGCACTCCAAGCATGGGAGGGTGTTGCCGGCGGTATTGTCATCAACGGCCCAGCTACTGCCAACTACGATGAAGATCTCGGAATGGTATTCTTGTCCGACTGGGATCACGAAACGGTAGACGAACTTTGGATTTCTGCAGAGACAAACGGCCCCCCTACTCTGGACACTGGTCTCATCAACGGTACCAACGTCTACAATGACACTGGATCGAGATTCAATGTTTCGTTCACTTCCGGAACTTCTTACCGCATGAGACTCGTTAACGGTGCCGTTGATACCCACTTCAAGTTCTCTATCGACAACCACACCATGCAAGTCATTGCATCTGATCTTATTCCGATTCAACCGTACAACACAACCATCCTCAACATTGGCATGGGACAACGCTACGACATCATTGTCACGGCTGACCAGTAAGTGGTATTTCTTAGGACTTTTGAAAACATTGCTAATCATACCATTTATAGAGCCTCAGTCGCAGATAACTTCTGGATTCGAGCCATTCCTCAGGCAGCATGCTCTGAGAACGACAATGCGGACGATATTCGTGGCATCGTTACATACACTGGTACCGTGGATACGCCTACAACTACCGGCTACAACTACACCGATTCTTGTGACGACGAAACCGCGAACCTAGTTCCATACATCTCCAAGACTGTGGGAACTTCCAGCGTCTCCGACAACGAGGATGCCTCGGTTGCTCTCACCGACAGCGTCTTCAGATGGACCTTAAACAGCACGTCTATGCTAGTCAACTGGACTGACCCCACTCTTGCGCAAGTCTTGGATGAAGTTACCGACTTTGAGACCGACGACTCCGTGATCCAACTATCAGAGGCAAATGTGTGGTTCTACTTGGCCATCACCACTGAACTTGCCGTCCCCCACCCGTAAGTAGCTCATCTGTTTCACTGGTTCCCTTTTTTGGCATGCAACATTTTGTTAACCTATGCCATAGGATCCATCTTCACGGACATGACTTTTACGTCCTTGCCCAAGCCACCGGCACCTACTCCAGCAATGTCACCCTCAACCTAGACAACCCACCTCGCCGAGACACGGCTATGCTGCCCTCTAGTGGATATCTCGTTATCGCCTTCGAGACCGATAACCCCGGTGTCTGGCTCATGCACGTAAGTAACACCTTGAAACCCCACTATGTTCTAGAATCATCAGAAACTAACTTGATTCACACAGTGCCACATCGGTTGGCATACGGCCGAAGGGTTCGCGTTGCAATTCGTCGAGAGATATGATGAGATCGCGGGTATAACAAACTCGACCTTATTGACCGACGAGTGCGCAGCCTGGACGACATTCCAGGACGCAGAGGACATTGACCAAGACGACTCCGGAATATAAAAGGAATGAGTTGATACATAGGCGTATAGGAGGCTATACAACCTATGATGTATTATTTAAGGCGGAATCACATGCCTATACAGGCGCATACACTCGTGTTCATAGCAATCCACTTACTCTCGTTTGATTTTACGGTCGTTCACTGTCTTGGGAAGCATAATAAAATCAGTTGTTCAATTTTTTGATAAGCGATGCTAATATGTGACTTGCATTCCTTGATAGAAAACTATCCCCCTTGACTAACATGGTCGTTGGCTCCATTAAAACCCCTGGTACTTCAAGGACCAATGATTAACACAGCATCTATCCCTTTAGTTGGCATAAGACTACAGTCTCCATAAAACCGGTAACTGTACATTGGCGATAGCGCAGGCCTCTTAAGCCTGTAAGCGTTGAGGCTCTCACAGCGATCTTCAGAGGCGTCTAACCAACTAGAAGTAGGATAATCGTCGTGGAGCTGTAGTCTTATGCCAAAGGGATACCTAATGACGAATAATTACTACACAATAATTAGCTAGCCTGATATTTTGCGGACATTTCACCTTACTACGTACTTTACTACGCACCAATGTCCGCCCATTGTCATCAGTTACAAAAGGGCTTCACAGCTTAATGCCTCGTGCCAATTAAGGGGATTATCCCAACTCACACAAATTATTCCTCGTCTGAATTTTTTTACACGAGTGTAATAATATGTAGATTAGGCTATTGGGTCTTTTTTGTCTCGCAACTTTGACCTATTTCTACAAAGACCCCTTGGGCAGAATTTTTAGCGCTTTGAAACGCGGTTATCGCCGTCCAAACGCCAAGATCTAAGCGTACCCCTAAGGGGCATAAGGTGAGGCTCCCGTTGCATCTTGCCTCCCTCCGGAGATAATTGAAACCCCTCAACCGAGAATAGGCGAGATGTTCTTTTCGCAACTATGTCCGCTTGTGTCAATAAATACCTCCCTAGGTTCCTAGTGCGGCATAGTCTACCGAGAACCTCGTCATCGACGTCCCTGAATTTCTTATTGGAGGGCATTAAGCCTCAACTTGGCACTGGCAGCCATTACGTGGCCCAAGCAACTATTTAATCTATTTTAGTCCTGACGTACCCCACAAAGAACAGCCTCGTGGGTCCTTTAAGATACCCCTAAATCCGACAGCGGACGATAGTACCGAATCCGCCAACCCGCCAATTCATCAATCCCCTTCAAGCTAGTAGACGTGACGTGGCCCGAGCTTAACCCCTATTAAGGGGTGAGTATCTATATCTCGATCTAATGGGAATATAGTAAGGTGAGAAGGCACGATAGGCCACGGGCGATAATTATTCGTCCAGAGACGTAGCATGGCTTATGGGGCGAGAACACGCGAAGATATCTTTAAGAAAGTTTTGCGTTTCTTGGAAGATACAGAAATGTCACGATGTCACCATATTTGTCTACAAACGCGGCATTGTGGGCACTAAGTGTCCAAGTGCCTACCTATCTTATACATGGTTTGGGCCAAGTTTTGAAGAGGTTGAGCTCATTACTATGCTACCGTGGCTACCAAAGAGAAGTTCACTCCGCCATCCCAAGCCAACACTATTTCAACCCATTCGTAAATTACATCGTGTGTCTCGCACTAATCTGTACTAGAACATCTAAGCTCCTGTGCTAGTGATGTTCCATGGGCGGCACCTAGTAGCAGCGCAAAACCCATTGCAGCAAGGAGCGAGGTATTTGCCGCCGTCGAAGCAAACCCCATACGTCGGAGTGCACGCGCCGTTGCAGCTAACGCTAATGATAGGCTGGGGAGGCCCAACAATGATGGACTGGAGACCAGTCTGAGTGTCGATGCTGCTAACGAGTGTCTTCTCACTCGCAGTGTTGAAGGTACACTGGGTTATGGCGTCGTAGTCCGGGGCATCAATGATGCTAACGGAAATGTCATTGTCTAATTGCACGTATGGTGAGTTAGCGGGAATCTTTTACATCGTGATGGCCCTATGGCTTAATAACGCACTCGTGTTGACTACCGAGCCATCAGCTGGCACAGCAAGATCATATGAGGCCGGGCCTCCGTGGAAAGTGAGATGTGCGACCTGGACATCACGTTCCTCGAGGGGGTGAGCTGAAGAGCTAGCAACAAGGCCGATGCCGAAGAGAATTGCGCTTGAGAACTTCATGATTGAATTTCAAGAGTATATGTTCTTATGGGCGAGTTGTTGATTTGGTATCTTGGTAGAATGTCTGGTGTTGAGTTGGGATCATATTCCCATACAGCATCGGAAGGGAACTACATCTTTATACTTGGAGGCAATTCCGTTACGAGGTAATCCTATAACTGACTGCACCTTCCAATTCGTCCACGATTGCATCGATCTTACTCAAATACGAGATATCAAAAGTCCTAAGGTAGTCAATGACAACCTATTCTACCAATGGGGGAAATACGGACTCAATCTTTGTTCTTCTTTCTTTGCCTGCCTACCATCTAGTCCAATTCAGCCCTAAAAGCTAAGCTGACCATAGAGATCGTGATCGGATGCAAGCCACAAGGCGAACTCATCCAATTATCATTGCAGAACTTCTTCATGAGGACAGACACGTTTTTCCGCATTGCTAGTCCGCATAGGTGCTTATTGTGCAGTTTTCTATCATCTTAACTGCTCTGTTATATGATTGTTAGTCTTCAATATATCTTATCGACTCAATATCCGTTACGAGATATCTTGATTGCGCTATACGTTGAGCCGTCAGCCCGTCAGCACGGTGAGGCTTAGCGGTCGTGGCGAGCTGAGATGACGGGCACCTTCGCGGGATCTCTCCAATATAAGGCAAAGGCTTTTTCATGCTTTAACCAATATCGGTTGTCATAGAATGGTTAAATAACCGACGGTTCTAGTGCTATCGTCCGATCATTGGCAACATTGTGATGTCAGATGACAACATTGTCCGATTCTTCGGTGCAAAACATTATTCCGCGGAGTCCTTGGTGGTGAGTTCAACCACGAGAATCGTATGTCTTACATAATACCAAGCTTCCACAACATGCACCATCATATTTCAGTTGACATCTAACTGTAATTATTGGCTTGAACATTAGGCTATTAGTGTAAAGTCGGAACATTTTCACACTTCCTTGTGGTAAGCATCGGGGATTGAAGTTGATGGGGCTTGGCATCTGGAACCATCCTTAATTCTTTGGGAATATTAGATTAGACAAATATCTACCTAATGGTGAATCCCAATCTGAAGGACAAGTTGACAGGTATCTATGAATTCCGGTATCTGGTAAGTGTTTAATATCAGTAAGTATTCGATTCAATACCCTTCGAGGATGAATTTACCTAGGTAGTATTCGCCAAATTTCGATTAACATCCAGCTGTAGTTTTCCCTGACAACTAAACCTCTCACTAGATATATCTTCGTCTTCGAAGCCAACACACTTCCAACACTTGAAAAGACCTTCAGGGTCATACTTCTTCTTGACCTCAAGCAAACCTGCGTAATTATCGCCCCACCATGATTCACGCCAATTGGGTGTAAAAGGGTTTGCTTCGTTAGTGTATGTTCCTCCTTCAGTGCCAGTTAGTTCTTCCGCAAGGAGCGTCGCCCTTGTGATTGCCGTCATATTTTGCAGGCGCTGATCATATGATGCGCCCCATGGTATTGTCAGAGAAGTCGAAACATCCCAAAGAGAATCATACCACGCTGGGTGAACAGAGGTTGCAGGCCTAGTTCCGTTCCCAGCCTTCAAGTTCATCGAGCCGTTAACGACAAATGGAGTACCCACTGGACAGTAAAAATTCCGCGGATCAAAACCTAATTCCTGAGCGGCTTCCATGAAGGCCATCAATTTGGTTATTCCGACTTCATCTTCAAAGAATTTCCGCGGTATTATTCTTGTTGCCAGTATGCGAGTTACTCCTGCCGTTGCTAACGCCCCTGGAAGGACGTATTTGTTCCATACATCAAGAAAGCTTGGGAGAACCTCTATGTCACTGGTCCCTCCAATAGCGAGTGCAAATTCCGTGGCAAGGCTCATTGAGTCCTTAGCAGCAGCAGCCCCGTCCGTCAAGTTGGCGATAGCCGGCAATGGATTCATATAGGTCAGATACAGCCCCGCCGCATGACTTCCCCAGCCCTGCTTACCCCAAGCTAAGGACTGCCGCGACATCAACTCGATCCATTTTAATGACGTATCGGCGGTTCCATTTGTGGAAAGTTGGATATTGGCGACCGCAACAGGCATCAGGGGCTCCAGACGGTGTGAAGCTTCTACTACAACACCGAACGTGCCGCCGCCCCCTCCCCGTAGAGCCCAAAATAGATCTTCGTGCTGGCATTTGTTGGCAACTCGGACAATACCGTCAGGGGTAACAACCTTGAATTCGACCACACGGTCGACTCCGAGACCATACACAGGTGATAACACACTATGCCCACCACCGAGGACCCATCCTCCGGATGCCGCAATTGTGGGTGAGTAACCGCTGATAAATGTACTTCCGTGTTCATGTGCGAAATTTTGAATATCACCTGCGCTGGCCCCAGTGCCTGTTGTGACAACACGGGCGACGCTTAGATTTGCTGCGCATCCTTCTAGTACATAGTCCTCATGGAAAACAAGGCTTTGCAGCTTATGCACCCAGAGAGCAAGTGCTCCTTTCTGACTATTCCTAGTCATGTAGTCATGACCGCTGTTCTTGATTACTAAGGGTACGCCGTATTCCCGGGTGAAATTTAGAGCTGCGCTGATGTCCGAAATCTCTTCGACCTCGATATAGTATGATGGAACGCTCCCCTGATTACACGAAGACCCCGGGGCGGGTTCTGCAGCTGGGATTACTGAATTATTGAGAGTACATTCGTCTAAGGGATTTCCTAAACATAACTCCCCCTGAAGATTCAGGTACCCGCTGGGGAACTCTGCGCGAATCGAATTAATGGTATAATTATTTCGAACAATGGAGCATGTTACTTCATCAACTGCAACTGAATTGCCATTATAAATCGAGTAACACGGCAAAGCAAAAGGTCTGTCTGCGTGAAGACGTCCACCGGTGCTGGCATTCAGCGTGATCCACGCTTCTTCACTCTGCCCCGCGCCAAGAGGAATGAGTCCAGCAAGGGTCCAAAGCAGAGATTCTTTCATACTAAATGTCGTGACGTGGTATCATATATAGGTATACAACTGTCGTCTTTAATTGACTTAATTTTGCGAAGTGCTAAACCGTGAACGATGTGGGGATCTTCTTTTCCCTCTGCTTGAGGCTATAGTTGAAGTCGTGCGAAAACGGGAAATGTGCCGCAGAATAAACCAAGCGACGCCACTAATGCCGAATGTATCAGTAGGACCGCCTTCCGATGCAAGAAATCCCGACAAAGACAAAAAGGCACCCTCACGAGGGGTATAGGTGGTATGGATGAACCTTGACATATTTTATTGGTAGTCTCGTAACTGGGTGTAAGTCGTGAGAGACGATCATACCCCGCTAGCCTATAAGAGTTATTCCGCGGATGGGGACCGAGTATGTTGGATACAAGCATTACCAGGTGCACTGTCTGATACCAGGTAATATTCCGCGAGACTTGCTTCTGAGATGGCCTAATAGAAAAATAAATAGGAAGATCCCATCAGTAGCTGAGCAAATCTGGAACCGCGCGAACGTACAACAATCGAGCGCACGCCGAATCGTTATTTCCGGCAATGTCGTTTTCGAGTATCATCCACTTGTATTCACAAGAGCTAATGCGAGGTAATTGCCGCTCTCAAATTCGCTCGCTAGTATCTTCCTAGGGAATTCGAGTACACGATCCCACTGTTTTCCAATGTGCCCCATAGCCGTAGCCGCAGCTCGTTTAGCCCAGCCGACCATATACCAACGTCGTGGACAGCGATGCATTATAGAACACCAGTAGACGAAAACGACGAGGGCTACGGGATGTTTCTGAGAAAGTAACGACAGATATTGCCCCGAGATCTCGGCGGGCCATCTAATATAATGAAACCAATTCCTTGGACGCCCATCGACCTGCATAACCCATTTCTTTAGTGCTGCAATGGAGTGCAGGCATGCACACCTCGTTTCTTCCGTGGTTTCTGCGGGATACTCAAGCGAGTCCAGGCAGCATATAGCATTCCATGTGAGTTCATCCAAGTGTAACTTAAGCCTACTTAGCTGAGGTCCAGTAAATTGCATGAGTGGGCTCGCATGCAGATAAGGTCCCAGTTCCGCAGCTAGTTCGAAGGAGTTGCGCAAAACGTAAAGTAGCTCCATATAGCTACCGTCTTCATCGGATGCCTTTTGGGCTGTGGCAAACTGGAAGACAATAACCCCTATTCCAAACATTATCATGGCTAGCCAATTCGCCTCATTAACTTCGACTTGCGAGTTTCTGAACAGTATTGAAGCTTCGATCTGATAGCGATATGCGGCACTGCGGAGATTCGAGTGCGACGTCGCCTGACAAGACTCATGAAGCGCGTAAAGTGCGGTGATTGTACGGTGCACATATTTGAAAGAACTTGCCTGGCGGTCAAACTCTTGAGCAAGCATCGCTCTCTCAAGGCTCGATAGCCGAGAGATGAAAAACGTCTCCTCCATGACCGTGACCTGCCACATCCACTGTAGACTGTCTACATCGTGGAGACCGCTGAGCATGGGAGAGGTTGCAAATTCCAAAGGAACGTAGCCATTGAAGAGGTCATCGTCATTGGACTCTCTGGTTTCCGTGGTATGTGGGACACTTGAAACCAAAGCCTGGTTTAAGTCTTGGTTTTGTTGCTGTTCATAAGAGCATAGGTCATTACGCCTATGACAGTTAGAGCAAGTAGGCGGCTGCAAATTACACTAGGTATAGTAAGCATGTAGGTGACAGTCTAGAGACCAGGAAAATACCAGGAGCTTACTCTAACGCGTCGCCTGCGACAGGGTAGACAACTGTTCCGGGATTTCCTATGAAACCGGCGGGAGACGCTTCGGCGCTCTTTATTATGAGTAGTGGCCATGTGAATAAAGGTCAACGCAACAGCTCGGAGTTGTCCAGAAACATCGCTAGCCCGATGTGCGGTGGATTAGAAAGAGTTTAGATCCCTTAGATGAGAAAGCAAGCGAGCTTGACAATCCATTCAAGCATTTTTACAGTGTTCGGGCTGTGCATCAGGTTCAAGAACGGCGAGTTCGGGGTTTGGATCGGTCTGGAATATCCGCCACTCGGACCTTAGACCATTAAACCCAGAACTGTAATGGCACATTGACGGAACTTGAAGATTGAAGATTGTTAGAAGCATCGGGGAATATTGAAAGGAGACAAGACAATATGTACCTAGGTACATCTTTAGCTGAACATTTCAAGGTTTAATCTCCGCATTCCGGATTCCGAAACGTCATCAACGTGCTCTGGTAATGTGACCCTACCTGATACGCTATCCCTTTCTGGGTCTAGTGTACGAGTATCCCTGCAAACGCCCCTGGTTTTATTGATCTTAAGATCTTGGCTAAGATCTTTCACCTTACCCTCCACCATCCTGACTTTCATCCACTCTCCATCCTCCGATCACTTCACCAGTGATGAGTGCCGCATCCTCACTTCCATACAATTCTACAACAATATCTATCTTCCAAAGAACCCATCTGTCAATATGACATAACAGGGCTATCAGACTGGGCCTCCCGAATGGGCTGAGCCCTGTACTTATATCCTCTCTGAACTATTTAGGTTTAGTGTACGAAGAGTTGAGATTTACTCATAATCACGAACCACTCGTGAGTCGAGGAATAGAAGATATCATGTAATTTGAGTAGGATGTGCAGTTTATGCTTCGTATACGGCCAATCTTCGACCTCCATTCATAGGAGCGCGTAAGTCCTACGATGTGTCGTTTCGCAGGTATATAACATGTTGTAACCAGCGGCGAGTTTAACTCAACATCAACCTCGACATCCTATCTCCGTGTCATCTTTCACTAGCCTACGACAAGATGCATTTCAGACAGTTGATCTCAGTCTCGTTTCTTATCTTCAAAGCATCGAACGCTTGTCTCCACGACCATGTTCCTGCACCGCAACTACGAGATGTGCAAGAGGCTCTCCGTAAGCGCGATGTACCGGCCTCCGTCAAGACGGCCATCCAGAATGTGCGAGTTTTCGATGGCTATACGATAGGAGAGCCTCAGACCGTCATTATAGACGGCGAGTACATCACTGACTGCGATGATAATGTCGTAAAAACTATTGATGCCGGCAATCGCATCCTGATCCCTGGTTTAATCGACGCGCACGCTCACGTGCAATCAGTTGAAGGCTTAGAGAATATGACTGCATATGGCGTTACGACCATCTTCAACATGGCCTGTCCTAGTTACGAGCTTTGCGACACGCTCAAATCAAACCCGGGCCTAGCTACCCTATTCGCTACCATGCTACCTGCTCTCGCACCGTCTGGAGGGAACGCAGCGCTCAATCAAGCACCGGCCTGGCTGCCTTTATCCCCCGGCGAGGATCCGAAGTTCGTCGTCGATTATTCCTTCGGCAATGGTTCCGACTATTTCAAGATCGTGGGTGCGGCTGACGGTCCAACCCAAGATCAACAGAATACAATAGTCGAATACGCGCACTCTCTAGGCCATTTCGTCGTCCAGCATGCGCCCAGTGTGGCCCCTTACACACGTGCTGTATCAGCGCGAACTGATGTCTTGCAACACATCCCCGACGATGGCTTACTACCTCCCAACATCTTCCAGTCGATCAAAGAATTCGGTCTGGCCACCACGCCAACCGTCGAAATCTTTAGGCGCGCCTACACAATACAGCCAGAGATCCTCCAGGTCCTCCGCGGAAACAACAGTGCCAATGCGTCATATGAGCATGTAATTACTAATGTGAAACAACTGCACGCTTCTGGGATACCGATACTAACCGGCACCGATTCCGTCGGCAGTACGTTCCCTATCATTTACTTTCCATTTGGTGTGTCGCTGCATCAGGAGATGGCAAACCTCGTGGATTTTGGCATGACCCCGCTCGAGGCTTTACGCGCCGCGACGATTGTCCCAGCCACGGTGCATAGGTTGAAGGATAGGGGTGCGATTAAACCTGGTCTGCGCGCCGATTTGATTCTGCTGAATAGCAATCCATTGGAGAACATCACAAACACTAGGGACATTGCTCGGGTTTGGGCTGGGGGTATAGAGTACCCTAACGTTGCCCCGAAGTCTGCCACAGGTTAACATTTAGGATAGGGGATGATATCGAAAAGGGGGATCTCAAATTCAACTACCTGTCCTTCAATTGACTTATATTTTAGTGGCATTCCCTTAGGAGTTTTTGCCTGTATCTTCCTACACTTCCTTTCTACGCATATATTGAAATATCTACCTAGTCACCTGGACACGTTCGTCTCATTAGTCACCTTGAACACAATTACGCCGAGATATATGATTCGTTATTCTTAGCTTAATCTCATCTTTAAAAGCGTGAGAACACCTACTATAGTACCCTAGATAACCGTGACTTTATTAACAGCAGCCGCTGCTACTAATTTTATTTACACCAATACCAACTCCTGTATTTCCCCTCTCCTCTTATTAATCATGTCGTTCAGATCGTCATCTGCAAGACCGAGCATCAGGCAAGTACCCACGAGCTTGAACCTCTCACCTTCTACATACCTCAGGACACAAGGAGAACATGCGCCTACCAAGAGAGTCACGACATCTCCGGCTTGTACTATATCTTGTACCATACCCCTCCGTCCTTCTTTCGTTTGAAACAGCCGCCTCCCATGTAACATCTCTATATTGTTTTTCCTGGCAAACACATCCACCATAGCATTCTGTATGCACTCCTCAGTCCACTTGAGAAGACCAGAGACGGTTGAGATTATCAAGCCTTGGACGTGGAGTGTGTTAGCCTCGATACGCGTCACGGGAAGCTCAGGGACTTCGATCCTGGTTGGCCATATAGAAACAGATATGCCAATGGTTTTGCGGTGTTGATTGGCATTCCACCGTGGCACCCAGCTGGGATAATCCGACGCAATTGTCCCCGCAGAATGCGAGACGGCACCAAGTAATCTTAAGTCATCATGTTGCTCTAACAATTTCTTGGCGACGTCCAGATACACCTCCTCGGTAGTCTTCCTATAGTTAGGAGTTATGAAGGCGTGGTTTACGTCATTAAATATCTCTTCATAGTCCATGCTCTGGTCGTTCTCATACGCATATTGCCTTCGCGCGGCGGGATGGCCTAAGAAGGCGTATACGTGATCTCGCGGGTCAGTAGCTTTGCAGTTCGAGCCGTCAACTAGAACCTGAAGGAAAGGATTTTGGGCCATGAATTGGTCATGGTCTCCTGGCCAGTCGCTGCGAGTCACGCGACTATACTGCAACCACAAATTCCGTGTTCCTCGCACTGCAGATGCATCCCCGATGAACCGAGCTCTCACTGCATCACCGACGTTCTCCATCCAGATATCGAAGCCGAATACATCTCTCACATCGACCGGAGGGGCGTCTCCCCAGTAAAAGAAGGCCTCCTTTGAAAGGCCCAGCTCTTGTTGCACCCAAGCGCGCTCGAACCAGGAATTTCGATAAAGCTCCGCGACTCCTCCCCAAGGAAGCGGGTCGAGCGAGGCGGCCTGTTCTTTACTAAAACTCGACAGGCTAGCATCGGTCTTCCAATGTGCAGCTGATATCGGCTTCACGGCTTCGAACGCCATCTTTGCAACCCCTCGTCGATCCGGACCGAGCCAGATGTTAACTCTTGACGCCGACCAGTATATCAGGCCCATAAGTATGACTTGGTTACTGCGTTCCTCGTGGTCCTCCTGATTAATACAAATGGCGTCTGCCCAGATAGTGCGCGGTCGCGACGGGTGCTGTAAGGCTCGAAGGGCGTCATTGAGGTTCTTGCGAATCTTCAGTTTGAACGACTCGGCATCAGGCCCCACAACGAAAACATCCTTTGCTTCGCGGTCTCCATCTGATGTGCCCCAGGCATACGAGAGACATTCATACGTCGGGTCATCTTCCAGACGAGTTGTTCTCAAGCCAAGCCTGAGTGCTTCATCCTTAGGACCACCCGGAAGAATATCGAGGAGGCGAATATGATGATCCCCGGGTCCTGATTCTGGAAGGGCTGTATAGCGATAATTCTCTATAACAGATTCAGGCATTGGGGCCATGGCGGTTGTTACAGTCTCGAGGTGCTTGATAATAGTGTGAAGCTGTGAGTTTGACAACCCTTCAAAATCGAAATAACGTCTAGGTATCCTTCAACCCCAACAGATAGTCAAGTCGATCTGATGTCAGAAAATTTACCTATGCGCATGTCGATCACCGTCCACAGCCTACTTTGCCTACCAACACGTGTATCACGGCGGTGTAAGTAGCCACCGACGGCGACCGTCCAAATTATACATAGTAAAGCTGAATGTAATCGTCCTCCAGGTTAATAGCATACCTAGTTACCTTTTCAGTTCTGGTCTGGTCATATTGGATTGAAGTCAACACATGAATCTGCCGATTATCCGGATTCTTCGTAACGACTATTGCCGTATTGCCGCATTGACATCGGAATTCAGGAATAGCTGGAAATTCAGCACAGTGCACTAAGTCACCCAGATATCTGGATGATCAACCGTATTGTGGGCACCAACCACCATTTTAATGGAGGACATGGGTCTATATATGGGTCTGAATAGCCTCATAAAAATTGTCCCCACTCAACCCGGAAAGATCAAATTTTGGTTAGCCAAGTCAATTGAATCCAACCATAACCAAATTAATCGAATAGAACAAACTATCTAACCGTTCGATCTACAGCATCCCCCGCACCGTTCTCGAATGTTCACGGCCTATGTACTTCGTATTAATATTGTTCATTCTTCATTTGGAGCAAAGTAGACCGCCCTCCCAGCACCAGCCTCCTTCGCCGCAAACTCCAGCGCAGCAAGCCCGTCCTCCAACTTGAACACCCCTTTAGTCACCAAGCCCGCTTCCGGCCCGGTCTTCAGCGTCCCCGTCTCAATCAACTTGAGCATATCCATCGCCTGCTCCCGCGTGTACATCTCAGTCCCCTGCAACCTCAATCCGCGGAACGCAACGAGCCGGTACGGGATTTCCAACGCGTTCACATTCCCCATCATGCTAACCCTGCCCTTCGGCCGCATGGACATGATACCCGCCTGGATATGCGAGGTATTCTTCGCCATCGGCGGCGTCAGGTCCAGGAACACGTCGACGGGACCGTACTTCGCAATGCTCGCCACATCAGCCTCAACGCTCCCACTGAAAACGACCGTCTCCACTTTCCCCGGCGCCAGGGCCTTCAGCTCCGCGAGAATCTTCTCGTTGCGGCCCATGGCGACCACGCGCCCCGCGCCCATCGCGAGCGCGACATGGACCGCGGCGCCGCCGAAGTTGCCCGTCGCCGGCGAGATCAGCACGGTCTCTCCCGCAATGAGTTTCACATCGCGCAGGCCGCCGTACGGCACGACGAGCTGCGCGTAGAACGCCGCGTCCCTGATCGGGATACCGTTTCTCTCGAGCGCGGCCTCGTCTATGCGTAGCACGTTCTCGATAGGCGCCTTCACGAGCTCGGCCCACGTGCCGTTGTCCGAGATGCCGATGGCGCGGAAGTCGGACAGGTGGTGGGCGCTGCTGTCGCGCTCCTTGATGATGGGGTCGACGACGACGAGGGCGCCGACCTTCAGGTTCTTGGCCTCGGGGGGTACGGCGGCGACGCGGCCGATGGCGTTGCCGCCGCCGGTGAGGGGGAAGGAGACCGGGTAGTTGCGCGGGTTGCCGTTGGTGAATATGTCGCCTGCGTAGCCGTATACCCAGCTGTAGAGGGGCCTCACGATGACGGTGCCGGGGTCTGGCTTGGGGGTTGGGAGCGAGGCTACCGTGGGATCGATGGAGGCAGATTCAAAGAAGAGTGCCTTGTAAGTGCTTGGGGGCTGAGCTGAAGTTAACGAAGACATCATGAGTGTTCAGATGGTGGGACCACTAAAGTAAGTCTGGAGATTGAGTAGGTAATTGTTACCTACCTCGTTGTTTATTTTTTTCAGATACTAGTTCTACATATCTTATTTACATTAACCCTCTGTTTTGCTCTTTCATATGTCTATTCTACGGAACTTTTGACTTCGACGAGGTTCGCTTTGGAGGAATAGAAACGGCTTTCCTCCGCATTGTGCCGTCGGTGGGATTTGTCATTGCGGACGAATGCCGGTTACATTTCCTAATCGGGCGACTGACGGTGGCCGTCGGCCGACCGGTCATGGATTAGTAACGATTGTAGTGGATTATGCTAGAGTCCCCGGTTAGAGGCAGCCTTACTTGTTAAGACCTAGTTACGACAGCACGAATCACGATGCAAGCTAGGATACTAATCCGAACACCTAGAACGCCAGGACAACAACACCCGCAAGAGTACACGAGATAGAATGAAAATTATTAATTCTATGGCGAAGGCCTTGGTCCGCCGTTGGCGTTAAGGATTATCTCATATGGAGTGTGACGAAACAAGAGAAGCGGGCAATGGGGCTAAGAAGAAAAGGGGACATAAGATAGTAAGTGTGGTATATTCGTATATCTGATTGTATCATATAAATAGATATTCTCGGTGGCGGAGATAGGTTAAAGGTGAATACTCGGGTATGAGATATAACACGGAGGTACTTGTTGCTCAAGAGACTGTGGTTTATGTGTTTAAAGCGATGATGACGCCAACATACAGGTTTCATATCCAGCGCCATTCTCTTCAGAATGGTCTTGCGTTGTATTTTTGGCCATTCATTAATCCAGGTATATATAAGGAGTCCATCTGATAGAGCTCTATGATCGTAGTATGTTTCCTGGTCCTTTCCATCGAAGAATCTCTCATCCAGCAGGCCCAACAGAGCTTTCTGACTATTCCTGCCCAGTGCTCCTCTACAGTAGGACTGATCTGCTTACGAGTAGTCAAACCCTGTAGTCACCCACATCCCGAAACTCGACGGTATATGAGAACCCCGCATAACCGAAGCTGTAAACATGATCATGGCGAGATCTCGCTAGCACAAGGTCAGCAATTCGCAATCGAATTCACAACTCCATTACTCTAAATCCCCTCCCTCAGACCGGTCACATGCTCTAGATCATACAGAGCGATCAAGCATTGGGTGCATGTTGCGAGACTGCCGGGCTGCTTAGGTCTGCAGTTGTGACCCTGTATTCCAAATTCACTTTCGCGATAACATATTCGCGACTCCCAACAATGATTGTGCAGGATAATCCATAATGCCTACCTAGAGGATGTCTGAGGAAAAGGGGTACCGTGGTTACGCCAAGGGTGGTTTAATGCATATATGTATAAATGGAAGTTTAGTAGCTGATACAATCATAATGCTGGATACAGACCTTTCTAACGGGTTGAAATGTATATTGAAGTTTACGTAATTTAATGTGGCCCGAGCTCCCCATGTAAAGTCCGAGGCTTTTGCAGTTTGAAGCTCGAAAAGAAAAAAAAGAAATGTCATCATTGTGAATTAACTTCTAAGTTCTCAGTCAACTCACCCCCTCCCACGCGCCGACTCGACTCGTGACGTGGCCCTCAGCCAACATTCGTAGGAAGGAGAGAAACGGAAGCGTGCGGAACGTGGAAAGGCCGCAATCATGTCGCTGACCAGAGCTGAGAGCGTCGTCTTGTCGGCCTTACGGCAAGGCGCCACACGACAAATACCTCGACAAGCAACGAGAAGGCTGCTAGCACCGTCCCTCGCCCTGGGAGCCGTCCGAACTTTCCAAACCACCGCAAGATCCTCTGCCCCGTCACCCACCGGTCTCACCGGCCTCGGCACTCTTCCGCCCTCCTACTTCCAACGCCCCTCTCTCCCCGCCAACACCATCATCCGCTTCGTACCCCAGCAGACGGCATGGATCGTCGAACGCATGGGCAAGTTCCACCGCATCCTCGAACCTGGTCTAGCCATCCTCGTCCCCTTCCTCGACCGAATCTCCTACGTCAAGAGCTTGAAGGAAGTCGCCATAGAAATACCTAGCCAGAGTGCCATCACGGCCGACAACGTCACCTTGGAGCTCGACGGCGTCCTGTTCACCAGGGTTTTCGATGCATACAAAGCTAGGTACGCCATTCTGCCCCAATGCCTCTCCAACGTCTCCTCATTTCTCCCAATTACCTTATGCACAAGCCAATCTTTACTCGGCCAAAATCCACAATAATAACTAACACCCCTCCAGCTACGGCGTAGAAGACGCCGAATACGCCATCTCGCAGCTCGCCCAAACCACAATGCGCAGCGAGATCGGACAGCTAACGCTCGACCACGTGCTGAAGGAGCGCGCGGCCCTCAACACCAACATCACGGCGGCCATCAACGAGGCGGCGCAAGCGTGGGGGGTAACGTGCCTACGTTACGAGATCCGGGACATCCACGCGCCCGGTGCCGTAGTCGAGGCGATGCACCGCCAAGTCACCGCCGAGCGGTCCAAGCGCGCCGAGATCCTCGAGTCCGAGGGCCAGCGCCAGAGCGCCATCAACATCGCCGAGGGCAAGAAGCAGAGCGTCATCCTGGCCTCCGAGGCCCTGCGGTCCGAGCAGATCAACCGCGCCTCGGGCGAGGCCGAGGCCATCCTCATGAAGGCGGAGGCCACGGCCCGCGGCATTGACGCCGTCGCCCGGAGTATAAATGAGGGCGGCTCGTCGGCCCAGGGCGCGGTTAGCTTGAACGTCGCGGAGAAGTACGTCGATGCGTTTGGCAAGCTGGCGCGCGAGAGCACGGCTGTCGTGGTCCCCGGGAACGTGGGCGATATTGGGGGCATGATCGCCACGGCGCTGAGCGTGTATGGTAAAGTGGGCGACGCGCAGAGCCGGACTATGGCGAAGCAGTTATTGGAGAAGAGACAGGCGGAGGAGGACGCGGAGAATGAGGACGAGCCCAGCGTCGTGGATTCGATGGTGAGGGAGTTTGATAACACGGCTGGTAGGAAGTGAACGGAGGGGAGTAAGAAGGTATGAGATTAGGTAACAAGGGCACCGCCCCTTTACGAAGACATGAAAGCTAGGGGAACATAGAAGAAATGGACGGGGTAAGGGATGAGATAAGATGAGATAGGGCCTCGTGCGTGAGTCGGTCAAAAAAGGTCACTGTAACACCAAGCTCTCATATATCTATCGAAAAGGAGGGTTGAGATTCGTCACATCACTCCGCAAGGGGGGAGAAGGAAAGAGAAAAAGAATTTTCTAAAAATCGGCTGAGCATGGCGTCGGCGGACACTGCGGTAGAGGCATTGTCATCATCGTTGGTATAATTATCCTACTTGGGGCTTCAGTGTCTCATGTACGGATATGTAATTCTACGGCACTCATAAAACGACCACGCAACTCATGGGAACGTATGACGGGGGCGGATCGGGGAAGGGGGACCTGGGAGTTTAGGTCTTGTCAGATAGGTAGTTAGGCGGTGGCTCCCTGGGTGTGTCAATAAAAGTCTTGAAGGAATATAACTCTGATGCATGCAACTCTTTTTTCAAGATCATTTTTGGGGCGATGTAGTTTACTTGGTCTTCGTAAGAATAGGTTCGATTTAATCGTACAGATGCCCTAAACCAATTTTATGGAACCTTAAGTCTAGTGGTTTATGAATCCAGCCCCTCGTCGTTATCATCGAAGTCCACAAACCTCAAATCCCCAATTCCGATCCAACAACATCCAATGCCTTTGTCAGCAACTCCAATACGCCTTCATCCCCACTCCTACCGGCGACGCTGCTCGCACTGACGAGCAACGGGTAGAGTCTGAGAAGATGTTTCCGGCTCTCACTTTCGACGTTGGCCGTATCTGGGATGGCCTCGGGTTCGCTCCGAAGCTCTACTAATCTTTCTAACATCCGCGATAGTTCCTTGCGTTGACTAAGCGGTTGCGGCATGCGGCCACGTAATGGTTGATCTGCGATATAGGCTCTCAGCGTAAGAGCTGCCCTTAGTATCAAATATGGTGCAGCTGTTCTCGCCAACCGCACATGAAGGGCATGAGGGGATTCGAACGGCATGTTCGCTGCTGCCGCCGCCGCACTTGGTGGAGGGAAAGCTGGAGTCGGCGGTTGAACTGTTATATGAGGTGTTGAAGCTTCGCTGTGGTTGGTCACTAGGGCGAAGAGTTCATCTATGCATATGTAACACATCTTCTCCCGTTTAGCGGGAGGTGGATCGATAGTACGGCCTCTGCGTGGTTTATAAAGATTTGACAGCCCAATTATATCGTCCCCATCGCCTCCATAGATAAGTGCAGATTCGGCAGGGGCTGGCGCATGTATGATGGACATGCGGAATAGGTTTTCTGCGAATACCTTTCTCGTCTTATCCGCCACAACCTCTCCGCCTAGGGAAGGGATAATAAGCTCACGGAGTTTCAGGAATGAAGAGATATCGAAATCTTGATCCTCTGCTATGTTAACCCGGTCTGGTGGTGCATCACAGTCTGCGCTAATAACCCCGTTGGCAATGGTAACGATCATCTCCCAAATATCCTGCAGATTCGATCGGGATATGTCGAGTTTATGAAGTTGCGGGAGAGTAGCTTCTAGAATAACCAATGCAGATGTTGTTGATAATCTCCAAGGTTGTTCTGTCTTGGTGATAATAGGAAACCTGTATTTGAGCACGATTGGTTTCGACAAGGCCGTGAGAGCAGTCAGGAATGCACCGTCGCTGTAAATGTTTACATCAGAGGCGTGGTTAACGATCAATGATTGAAGAATTGACATGCTAGTCTTGGACATAGCAACATAAGTGCGCTTTTGTGTATTCCGTTGATTTGACATGGCATGCTCTTCGAGAAAGGCTAGAGAGATGAACTCGGATGTCTGAGATATCACGGCAGACGGCGCCCCTGGTAGGTCAGTTCGAAGTAATTTTATCACTTCCAGTACCTGTCCTTGTAAAGGCGTGACATGATCGATATCGGCTACGTATGATCCAGGAGTAGCCACTTGCATAACTTCTCGCAACAGTGTTAACATTCGACGAATGCGGTCGACGGTAAGGTCAACTTGTATAAGACGATACACATCGCGAAGAGCCCCAACATATGCGAGAAGGCAATTTTGATTGTCCGTGATCTTGCCGGTGTTGCCTTTCTTGGAGACGGGGACGCCGCGAGACCACAGATCCCAGGCCAGGTCAATTGTTGTCTTGTTGAAATTCTGTTTTGTGCCGTTCTGGCTTTGTGAGAGCATCTGAGTCAATGCTTTGAATGTTGCTGTACTGATCTCGAGAACTTGGAAATCGAGCAGAGAAGCAAAATGACCTAAGAGCTGCTGCCAGTATGAGTTGAATGTCGGATGGACAGTCAGCACATCGAGATAGTTGGCAAGGAGACTGGATATGCCATTGAGTACTACGACAGCTGTGTCATGCCAGTCGTAACGGATTTTCTCATCAACATCTTGCTTGCCAACATCCTCAAGCTCTTCTTCTATCGACGAGAGAAGTTTAAAGATGACAGACTTGATACAGACAGACCATGCTTCAGGCCCGAGCCTTTCTCCATACGCATCGAATATTCGTAAAAGTGTCTGGATGGCGCCTAGAGATGCTATCAGCGTAGAACAATAATAAGATATCGAAAGACCTACTGTTTCTTAAATCAAGTCTCTCGTCGCTTGTCACAGTTGTTAATCTCAATAAGAGGAGCATCCACAGGGCCGCGTCTGATGATGCATCTTCCGCATTCGAGGCCTTCTCAACCAATGAGATACCGTCGGGATCATCCACGAGAGTATCGGTGATTGGAAGTAATTTGCTTTTACCAGACAAGAAATCAGACAGTACCCAGAAGAACGTTACAGTCTGGTAAAAGAAATATTAGTATGGACCACAGGTGAGCACGAGTGTGCGGAGTGACTTACCGTGAGCGCAATATTTAAATCATCGTCCTGTGAACAAAATTTGTACAGGGTATCAACAAGAATAAGAAAACATGATTTGGGTAATGACCCGAGGAAGTCAGAGCATATTAACTGCAAAGAATTAAACGCGGATCTAATAAGCTTGCTAGATCGCGTTGTAAGGGTGAAGGATTGGTCTCCAACGTCTCGTGTGTCGTCGTTACCGAACTTTCTGGGAATGAATATGCTACCAATAACCTCGAATGTGATCTCCCATCCGCTTAGAAGTGCGTCACCACAGTCATCAAGAAGGCTTTTGAGGCCTTCGAGGATGATCTTATGAATATCAATATCCGTCGAATGAGTCGCCACAGAAGCTGCACGATCCTCCATTTGTAGTGGAAGCAATGAGTCACGGAGTGCCTCTAGGAGACGAAGTTGAACTCGACCGCGAGTTTCGTCATCAAAACCAACGACGGATTTGGCCGCGTCCAGTATAAGATGCACAAGGATATCTGCAGCGCGGTGCCGAATCTGTGCAGGCATATATACGGAACTTAATGCACTAATAAGTTCGGTCGTGATACGTGTCCAACCTGATACATCTGGAGGATAGCCTAGGAGCCTCTCAATGTTGATACTCGCAATTTCGCCAATTTTTGCAAGGGCAAATTGGTCCTCTTGACTAGGCCCAGTCGGTACTATGGTAGTAGAAATGCTAACGAGTCTCCGGTGTTGGCCACTCGGCGTCCGAAGGCCTGGCGCTGGCGTCGGCGTTGTTAAGGAAGCCGATGATTGCGGTCGGCTTGATGCTTCTGAAGCTTGGTCTGTCCGCTGGTCTAATAGACCACATATGGCATCAACGACTTCCACAAAAGCACCGTTAGGGAAGTCAACTGTGCTTTCAAAGAGTCTGGATGCAGCGGTTTCTACAGCCCTGATCTCGGTGCTGAAGTTAGCTAAAAGTGAAGAAGCCTCGCTCTCCGCTCTCGGGTCCGGACCCTTCCCAGCAATTGGAGTCCTACCGGGAGACTTCCCAGTTGTGAACAGCACAAAGTCAGCTTGTTGTAAGGTTTCCAAGACAATTGACCAAGAGTCACTGAGTGTCGGCCCTAAAGCTATCCCCAGGTTTAACAGTGCTCGTAGGCAAAGGAGGTTTCGAGTATTCAAAGTTTGAGGTATCGTGTTAGCGTCCATAGATGCTTGCCTCTGTCTCTCACCGGCGGCGCCAACCGGAGTTACTAAGTTATCAACGCTGAGAAGGCCCCTGGCATTGCCCAAGATACTGTTTGGGGGCTCGGAGACGGGACTGGCGGCGGCAGGCTTAGGTGCGCCAGTGTTGGTACAAGCAGTGAATACGTTTGGTGGCACAGCTGCTTTGCCTAAAGTGGTGAGGAAAGCATCTCTTGGGGTAGTAAGGTGAAGTAATCCTGCAACATGGGCAAATTTCTGAAAGGCTCGAACTAAGCCATGATAATATTCCGAATCAAGCGCAGCATATAGAAAGGTGGAACACGTTGCGAGAATGGCTGGCCAGCATTCGTCGATGATAGCCGCGCATATCTCGACTTCGGTATGTAAAGGGTGGTCCTTTACAGCGAGGGGGTTAAGAGGCACTGGATTTTTCTTGAACGACCCAGATCTCTCTAGGGAGTTCTGAGTGGCTGTGCGTTCCGCCGCGGTCTTCGAAATATTGCTGTCATCATCAACCAGACTGGGAGAATTTCTCCCTGTGTCTGGCTGTTTGGCACTGCGTTTGCGAGCTCGATTGTCAGGAGGAACTGTAAGTGGCAGGATGAATTTAGCCAACCCTTCAGACAATGAAGTAATACAAGACAGGGTCAACGCATAGATGTACGACTCTGGAACCAAGGGCGGTTCAGTCTTGTCGAGCTGGTCAATGCAAGCGACCCGGACCGTACTCCACTGGGAGCTGATTCCAGTATTGCCTCCCTCGCCAACGGATCCGCCAATAATCCCAGTAACACCGCTAGCCTCTAACATCGCCTGATCCGATGAGCCTCCTAAATTCGCATACGGATTTGCCACAGGGATGGTAGACTGGTGGCCCAGACCAATTACTACTGGTCTTTCTGTGCTGACCCTAACAAACGTAGCGGTCAGATTTTTAAGAACATCTTTCTCTCCTTCTTTGGAATCGTAGAGCATGTAAATGCGCCTGAGAAGAGGAGGCTCAGAAAATATGCCACGAAACACCTCCATACATAAGGCTCTCCTCCAAGCAGCCGTATCTTGATCTAGTAGTTGAGTGAGCGTGTCAAGAGCTTCACCACCCTCCGACGGCAAAACTTCTAGGTGTTTTCTTAGCAACGTGTATAAAATACGGACAAGACGTACAGAGGTTGCAAAATTCGGCTTTCCAGATAATGACTTAATCACAAAAGGCATTACCCCTGTGCGGAGTATATGCGCCTGTTCCGGATGACGTGAGTCAGTGAAGATAATAGCATGCTGGCTCAAGACTGATTCTATCAACTCTAAGCCGAACGTCTGCGGAAGTCCAGTAAACCTGAGATATTCTGGTCGTTGATTCTCTGTCATGAGGCAGATGTCTTTGAAGATACGGTAAGCATCCATAGATGCCGCGCGAAGTTTGACAGCGCCATCGCCGGTGGGGGCGTCGCCAACGAAGTTTCCATCAGATACCAATTCTGGATGATATTAATTTCCGGAATTGAATTTGAGCCAGGTTTGAACTCACTATCTTCGGCTGCTACTTTTTCAAATACGGTCATAACAAGCTGCTGAAGTGTAGCAGCGGATGTATTATTGACGACCCCATTCTTGGTCGTCTGCAGAATGAAGCAAATATTCAGAGCAGTGACAAGTAGATCTCCCTGAATCTCCTTGGAGTAATTCTGGAGTAATGTTGGCAGAGCCTGTAAAATCTTAAGCTGAACATCCAGCCCAGCAGAGGTAGCCTCTCGTAAGGCTTCTAAGACCGGGCTCAACTTCGACCGTGGGAGTGCTGTCACAAGAACGAGGCGGCACAAGCAGACAATGGCTATACCGGTGAATTTGGCGTTCCTTGTACCACAGGCTATGACAAAAGGGTTGACAAAGTTGACCTTTTGAGAAAGTTCTATGTATACCATAAGTACTCCTCATTATCCGGATAGTTAGGAACAGAGAGCATACCAGCAGCAAGGTGTGATTCACTTGTGGCACGAATTCCTTTAAGTTCCTCTAAAGACTTCTCAGCTGCCTGAATAATCGATTAGTACATGTTTGCATCGTTGCATTTATTCCCCAAACTCGTATACCGAGAGGTAGGGTAAGTTGAAGTGGATGCATGCCTGTCTGAGATCGTTGTGTTTCCGTTTGCTCTCTTGTATGAGATTGGTTAACTCCGTAGAGAGGAGCTGCGTGGTCATCTTGGCCAGTCCGGTTGAGTAGAATCCATCTGATGAAGAATACGAGCTAGAAGGTTAAAGATTTAACGACCGATTCTCGTGAGGCATCGAACAAAGGTAGAAGATTGAAGTGATTAATTAAGTTGTTTAAGTCCAAGTCGTAAGCTCCAGAGCTTCTTGCCAGATTCGTCGTAAGTCCGCTTGCCGAGAAATTGGCAATGACTAAGCAGCAGGGTCATCAGTTTCAGCCACAGATAGTGGGACTGCAGACAGCCAAATTGAAGCTTCCAGGAAACCCCGCTTACTTAAACTTCGGCAGGAAGTACCTGATATCCAGTGCGACGGGACCTTCCATCCAGGTACATGTATTGTACCGTAGTCGCACCCGACTTTCAACCCCACCATCCCGCATCATTTATCTTTATCGCTGTAAGGCTGCGTTACCTATCTTCTCTCCTACACATTCAAAGGCTCCGGCAACACAAATATCTACAAGACGAAGAGAATTAGATTTAAGAACCTCACCTGATCGAGAACGCGTCCCCTTACTCGATACGTACCAGATTATATCCAAGATGGGTGCTAAGGTCCCCCGAAATTTCCGTCTCTTGGAGGAATTAGAAAAGGGAGAGAAAGGATTGGGAGCTGGTATAGTCTGCCCTTGCCTGCCCTCTGCAAACGAGATATACGCATCTCCTAAACCTCGAGTGTGCGCTTTTGCTGACGTGCAATCTATGATATGTGCAATAGAGGCATGCTCTTATGGCTTAGATAACCCGGAAGATCTCCTAATGTCCGACTGGAACGGCACTATCTTAGGACCACCCCACGTCAGTTGCAACATGTGTGCTTAATGATGAGTTGGGAGATTAGAACTAATGCGCGCGAGTTCAGAGCGTACACGAGAACCGAATCTACTCCGTGAAGATGCACTGCGGCGATCAATACCCCGACAAGCCACCTACGATTCAGTTTGTCAGCCAAGTCAACCTCCCATGTGTCAACCAGAAGAATGGGATGGTAGACCCGACCCAATTACCCTGCCTAGCGAACTGGAAGCGAGACAATACCATGGAGACCATTCTGATTGAGCTTCGAAGGTTAGCATATTTCACTGTAGTGAACCGAACCAGGTCCGGACTTTTAGATATGACGGCATGCTAATCAAAGGTCTACTTTAGATACATGGCATCGAGCCAGTGCAAGAAGCTTCCCCAACCACCCGAAGGATCAGTTTACCCCGGCCATTGAAGTGTTGGCATAAACAAGCTTGCGATGAGAAGGTTGAATTTGACAGACAACACGCAACCTCCAGCATCATGCGTAGTAGGCATATTCAAGGGTCTAAGAAGAGGCCCGGATTCTGATCTCGTTATTTCCTTTTTCTAGTATGACTGTACTAGTTCTTGTTAGACCACCTCATTGCATCATAGCGAGGCCAGAACCACCGCGGAGGAGTCTCCAGTTGAAAGGGGTGGAAGGTCAAGCCCTGGAGTTCGGCATGAATCAACAATGAATAAACACTATCCCCAACTATACGGTACTACTTATTCTTATGCCATCGTGACTATGATGTTATTTCGGTGTATTAGTAACCAATGTTCATGACATGAAATATGTACATCAGTATATGTGCACGTGACCCCGCGTGGCTAAATTAGCGCGGAATCGTTCCGTTCTTTAATTGAATTTTAGAACTTCTAATTCAGGAGCCTCTGAATACTCGATCCTACAAGCTTGGAAGCGGACGAAGGACGAAACTAAGGGGACACAACACCCAAGAGCCTCGATGCCCATATGCCGAGTTTTCTCATACCAGCCCGCAACTCACGGCATCGGACAGCATGTAAGCTAACTTCTATGATTTCCAGCGCATCTAATGTCGCATACTACCTTCTACCTACCCACCTGCCTACCTACATAGTATGTATCGGCACTACAAAGACTAACACACACCCCTCAACCAGGCTTGGCCCTCTACCGCGCCCTCCTCAAGCAAGCCCCCACCATCACGCTCCCCGGTAACCTGATCCGGGCCTGGGGCCCCGGCAACCCGATCAAGCACCTAATCCGGCGGTCCTTCCGGCGCAACCTCGCCGACACGAGCCCGCGCATCGTCTTCCCCGCCCTCAAGGCGGGGTACCAGATGCTCGCGCTGCTGAAGGCGTCGTCGCCCCCCTCCGTCCAGTGGGCCCGCAACCTGAACCACGAGTCCGTCATCGCGTTCCTGCGCGCGCGCCTGCGCGAGCGCAACGCCACCCTCGCCGCCAAGGAGCTGCACCCGCCTAATAGCCGCAACCCGCCTAAGCTGACCAGCGCCCCGCGGAAAGATACCGTGCCCTTGCTCGTCGACGTCACGCCCGCCCCTACGCCCGAGAACCCGCGCCCGACGCCCGTGTTCGCGACGCCGCACCGGCCGCGCCCCGCCGAGGAGTTGGGAGGGACGGGAAAGAGACATGTCCCGCGCTTGGACCTGGCGTTCGATATCCCGTTCCTGAGGATCAAGAAGCCGCAGCCGCCGGTGCTGAGCCGCGTGCTGCACCAGAAGATCAAGAAGCGCGTGGAGCGGTTCGAGTCCCTGGGCGAGTTCTCGGAGTTCTCGCTGCCGGAGGCCGAGCTCGAGGATATGTGGGAGAAAGGCGTGGGTGAGCTGTTAAAGAGACATCAGAACAGCAACTCTGGTGATGGCGGCAGGAGTGCCGGGAACAGAATAATCCCAGATAACCCCGAGGTAGGGGCCATATATAACGATATCTGGGGTGGGGAAACGTTCCAGAGCACGACGAGGAGACACGCTCTCGACTACATATATGGTAAACTCAACGAGGAACGGGTCCGAGAGGTCGCGCGAGCAGACGCCATGCGCAAGCTGATCGAGGAAGAGACCGCGCTGGCTGAGCAGGAGAAGATACAAAGAATCCAACAGAAGCGCGCCATGAAATGGGGACGTAAGTTGGCGAGGGCAGAAGGCAAGACGGAGGAGCCGCAAGGCGAGCAGTGGGAGAAGCTCGAGGCTGCTAGTAAGGCTGCTAGTCTGGCTGCTAGTCGGCCTCCTACTCAACCTGCTACTAAACCTGCTACCCAACCTGTTAAACAAAAAGAGCGCGAGTCTCGCCCGGTTCAGTTCTTGGAATGACCGGGTAGGGTCTCGTATAGTGTAGATGATATGCATTTGGTATGCGAGCGAATAGCTCTGGCTACATAGAAGTATATATACCCTTATACCCCTTACTCCTTGCGCGAAACGATTGATGCCGCTCGAATTTTATATTTTCGGCTGTGGCCGAAGCAAATTGCCGCCCATATAACCTTGGTATATATACCTCTCTATGTACGAATAAAATAGGCAAATGAACATAACGCCGGTTAGATCCCTTCCTCGCTCAGTATCGTGTATCTATACGTGTGTATATAACAGAAAAGGCACGCGAGCCAAGTCTTAGCTTGTACCATGTATCATTCAGACACCACAGCGCCCCAGAACGAGTTTGCGATATCTTTCGGCCTAAACGCGGGGGCGCGTCCGAGGCAAGTAGCATGTGATATCATGTCTATTACAAAACAGTTAGTCATTTTCATAAACGCATTGAAATCGTATTCAGACATACCAGAGATGAATCGATTGACGTCCAAGACAACTCTCTTAGATGCCGGGGGTTGGATAGGGGCCGCCGGTTCTTGATGTGGATAGATGTAAGACGGAGTGTTGGGGAAGACATTAGCCATGTTATCAAGGCCGGTAAAATTCGAGGCGCCTCCGTCTGCAAGCTGCGAAGCTGCATAGAGATTTGATGTGACAGAAACATGAGGCCAGGAATCACCTTGTGTCGTAGGAGGTCCCGTAGTAGGAATATGTGGCCTGGCTGGAAAGGTAGGAAGCCCTGTAGGCGGCGAGCTATTGTCAGATCCCCCAGAAGCAAAAGATTGGTTTCCATGTGACATAGGTGAAGTATTAGGAGGTATGGTCTGCATGAGCTGGATCTGAGGCGGTACTTGGACATCAGAGAACGCATTTGGTGGAACCTCGATAACATGTAAATCAGCTGCTGTCGGTATGACTATCCCGTTCTGCGCTAAATAGGTCTCTACCTCACCCGAGTCGAACCAAGTACCTTCCCAACCGTTCATATTGATATACTGAGACACTCCCAATAGGGTATCGCGCACTCTCGTTGTCCGTTCATTGAAGGGTCCGGTACCAAAACCGGTGCTGTGATAATCTGATGTTCCCGAAAGACTTGAAGGACCGTGTTCTGAATAATGAGTACCGGAGCCACCAAGCTGATGGAAAGGATGCTCCCAGTAATTCAGAGGTTCATTTCTAATCCGGTTAAGAGTTGCAGTTGTTCGTGCTCTGATCTCATCGACGGTTTCGAACAGCATAACGAAGCCAAAAACCCGTGATAGAACTGTCGGAGGTGGATTAGGCATATTGATCAGGGCTGATGCCCTTTCGACGGCATGTCGGTGAAGCCTCCGAGCAAACGCCCATTCGTGAAAAGACATTGTTCGAGGACCAGTAAGCCGATTATATGGGTGCGTCGCCCAATTTGTAAACGCAGGGTTGAAATTCATGTCGAAAGGGAGACGAGTCCCAAAACTGGCATTGTCAGGAGTTGGTGCCGTAACAATCTCATATTGATGTTGATGTAACTGGGGATTAATTAACGAAGGATCTAGATTAGATGCGCTGGCTGATGTTTCCTCAATCACGGGTTCGTGCGTCACTTGAAACCCACCCCAGGGGTTTACCGGCTGGCTCTCGGGCAGCGTAGGAGGGAGTGTAGAGGGTAATGTCGTAGGCAGTGTCCTAGGAATAGGCCCTTCATTCAAGGTGGCGATGTCTTCAGCCCCCTGTGTTTCCCGGACATTGTCATCGAAATTCCCTTCCGGGCTGTCCTGGTCACTGAGCTTAGGGATGTCCTCTTCTTGAGTTTGCTTAATAAGCGACTGAAGTCTTTGGAGTTGCTGACCAAATTCGGGTGCCTGGGCCAAGAGTCCGCGTTGCGAGGCATAGTCAAAAAGATTTTGATATGCACTATTGATCTCGTTGTTCACGTCTTTTAAATCGTTAATTCTTGCCTGAAGGTCCGTGATGGCACTCTCCTTTCGGTTACGATATGCTCTCTGTGCGAGTCGGATTTGGGTTCGTCGGCGCTAGGTTAGGCGTAAGCACATATAAATTCAAGGTCTACCAACTTGAGATATTCAAACCCAAATCGTCTATCAGACTCGACGACATGAAATAACTCTACAATAGGGAGGTTGGCAAAATATAGGGGTTGAAGGCCTCCACTAACCTCGGTGGGAGTCTGGTCTTTCGTTTCAAGACGTGGGCGACCTCTGGTTCTCTTGGCTTCCTCATTTGCTTCTCTTTGATCATGGTCCGCTGGTTTCCTCCCCCTCTTCCTCGGATTAGGAGCCTTATTGGCATGGACAGCGGTGATATTTGGCTTTTGATTTACTTTAGAGGAAGACCGCTTTGAATAATCCCCTTCCTCATACTGCTCGACATTGAGCACAGGTAAATCGGTATGAAGGTACCTCATTGGTGGCGGTTTTGGCAGTGATGCTGCTGGTGTCCCACTAGCAGTAAATTGAAAAACGGAATGCTCTGGCTGAGAAACCGATTCGACTCCACCATCCCAAGAAGCGTGTTGAGCCAGTGAGGTACTAGTAGATAGACTAGGGCCTTCATTTACGCTGTTGTTAGGTTCTACCACTTCAGATGATCCGAGAGGATGATAAATGTTGGAGGAAAATGGTAGTACAGATGTTGTCAGGAGGGGATCTGACAACGAACCGTTATGCGCGGGATTAGACCGATTAGGATAACGCTGCAAGTTGTCACCAGTGTATTGGGTCCGAATGGTGGGATTTTGCTGGGACATCGAGGACATAAGGAGGCGCTGCTAACAGGGGCCTAGGCCCCATGTTGTGTATCAATGCAGGTGGCCGGAATGCCTCCTAGGCGTTCCGTACTAGACCTGAAGGCTAACGTCAAGACCTTCTCCTGTGAGGCCTTGATAAGACACACTCCTTCCCCGCCGTTCCCTTCGGTAGGTAACGGGCGGTGAGCAATACACCACGATTTCCAAATCGTCAAATCGTTGAGTGAGTACCCGTAAGTACTTGTACTAAGTGTAATATCGAACGCTTTTGCCAGTGACTTTCACCGTCAGAGGCCTGTGATCGTGATCGTGACCTGTACCTATGCACTCGACTCGCTTATGAAACCCAAAATGAGCACCACAGCAACAGTCTAAACGGATTTGTATTGGTCAGTGGTCAAGCAATCAAAAAAGGACAGGCTAATATTTAATGATTAGTGAACATTAGATTTAGAAGATGAACTAGTAAGCTTCGCGAGAAATCGCGTCGGCGCTGATTCGATGCATCTGTGTAACATGACAAAAATCACGTGACAGTAATCAGTAATTTTAGTCATTGGGATTGTGGCACGGATTACTAAGTGGCTCTTACTAAAACCACTAAAGGGTACTTCGGTACGTGCTAAATCTTGGTGCAAACGCCGTTGAAGGTTATTGTTCTCTTCATGGATTCATATTCGAGCCAAGCTGTATCCAGGGTTGTATCCTTCACTACATATGTATTTTATTGACAACGTTGTTGAAGTCATACCACTACCGTACGGAGAAGCAGCACTGACAAAGAATATGCAACTCGAGGTTCTATTCTTAACAACCGAGAAACCCGTATGAAACTCCTAACAACCATATTCTTAATGTTTAAGTAGCCGCCCACCTAGAATGTAGCCAACGCCGCTCACATATTTTCGCCAATTGCGCCGAGTCCGAACATATTGACACTATTTCTCCATGCCGCTGCAGCCACCTCATCCACGGTAACCCCTTTCAAGCCAGCAACGACATAAGCAACTCTCTCAATCGCACAGCTCTCATTCCTTTCCTTAACCATACATTCCGCATCCCACTTGTCCCTCTTCTTACTCAGTGGCAAAGGCGACGCGTTAGCTAGATATCGCTTTGCAACCTCACTTCCACTCTTTATTTCTCCCCACGGAGCGTCCGTCTCGATTTGCAAGCGCTCTAACGGGATGGCAGCCACCATTTCCAGACTCTCCTGAGTTTGGAAGCTGAATCCATTTACGCTTATGTCAAAACCCAGCTCTGCGAGCTTCTCCATCTGCGCTTTAGACCCAACGAAGCTGTGTACCAAGCCTCGTCTCGGCAATCGTCCAAGATAAGGGGTTATGATTTCGACGAAGTCGTCGAACGCTGCACGGCAGTGCAGGAATAAAGGTAAATTCCACTCATTCTCCACGAATAGTTCCAGTTGCGCTTTGAATGTGCGGATCTGTATCTCCTTCGATGCATGACTTAGCCGGTCGTAGTCGAGGCCTAGTTCACCAAAAGCCGCGAGAGGGCATGGTGTCAACGCAAGGGTAGTTTTAATACTTTCTACCAACCCCGCCAAGTATTTCGGCCCTTCGATATCAGGTTCAGCGGCATGGTATGGATGAATACCTATCGTGATGAAGCATTGAGTCGGACGAGACTGTGCAATTGCGAGATTTATAGGAATATCAGACAGGGACATCCCCGTCAGCATAACCTTCTCTACACCAGCAGCCAGAGCGCGATCCAACGTGTTCACGAAATCGGCATGATGATATTTCTTGTTTCGGTAGATACCATCAAACTCCTTAGCAGTAGCGGTCACTGCAACCTATACCTACAAGTGTTATAGACCAGAAATAAAGTGGGATTGGTAAGATAAGTTGAATTAGACCTACATCTGCATAGCGTAATGTCTTTGTAGGCTTCGAAGGCGCTTTCTGAGGGAGGCTGCTTAAATCCAATTGTTCAGACGCCATTCTGAGCCGTGAATCGTGATGATAAGGTTGATATGACTCATACAAATCTCAACTTAGTGGTCTAAAAAAGTTCACACTAGATCTCCATTAGATGGTATCTACCAGTTCAAGAATGATATACGATGAAGGCATCCAAGACAGTTACAGCGCTCAGTAGATTATCTGATACCATGATGCCGTCTTCGCTCAGAAATTCACGGAAACTCCACATTAGGTTCCACTCTTATCTCAATGCGGCCTAGTAGGATGGTCTAATTGCGAAGGACATATGAAGCGTGTAGCGAATGTCGTCGTTCTGCGACTTCGTGAAAACGACAACATAAGTGAAGCCTATCATCGCTAAAGTGGCGGTTCAGTTCAGGCCTAAATGTCTCCCGACAGAAGATTGCTTCCATGTATGACTCTCAGCTGTGATAGTGGCTGCAGAGGCTGTTGAATGCAGCACATCCCACCTAGGTACATAGGAGGCCAATTATACACCCTCTTTTCTTCGTCACTCCATTTCAAATTTCAAGAAATTTCCATTAAGAATCAAGCCCTCGTCAAAGCAGGAACGATAAAGTACTATGACACGCAACAAATTAGCTAAATGATCTTGAAGGATCATGGATACCTACTAGGTACATGTGACGAGGCACATATTGCAAGCCATTCGGAATTAATGGACCTCTAGGAATATGCGGCTCTGACAGTCTTACACGTTCGACAACTACAGACGCTAGACTTCTTAACGGACTATTATGAAGGATTCTTTGCCGAAGATCCGGGAGGGAACGATGGCACCGAACATCTGCAAACTCCCTGGGTTGAGGGGTACGTCTAAAAATGATAGGTATCTGATTAACTAAGTAACGAGGGGAGGTCTATAGAAACTCCGCTCCGCAAGCCCCTATATATGCTGACGATGCAGTACAAGAAAAAAAATATGCAGTATCCGTCACTCGTTACACTACCAGAATGAGTTTCTAGACGACTCCTAGTATACCTCAGCCCCTATTCTGCAAGCCACCGAGCTCGATCAATGCCCCTCTTTGCCTTCCTGGGCCTCGAGAGCCTTGTATATTCCGTGGTAAGTACAGTTGTCGTCCATCACTTTGTATCTCTCATCTCCCTTGATGCCTCGTTGAGTTCTCCGAGTGTTAGCGAGGATGCGCGCGGCGCGTGGCCGTCTTACGCTGTCTATCCGCTTCAGGATCGCGGGGACGTCATCGCGTGTGACACCGGGCTCCATCAAAAGCCTGAAGGCCTCGGCGTCCTCGATACCACAGTTGGCACCTTGGCCTTGCATAGGCGTCATCGCGTGAGCAGCATCGCCGATGACTATTGCGCGGCCCTTGTTCCACGAGTCAAGTGGCTCCATGTCTTGGAGTTCCCATAGCTTTACTTCGGTCGCCACGCTGCATAACTGTTAGCTCTGGCTGGTCTTTCCAAACATAGAGGATTGGGACATCCTTGCTTACTTAATAAGCGTGAGTAAACTCGGGTCGAAGTCGTGGAAGATTTCTAGCATTTCCTGGCGATTACCGTCGGCAAACCAGGAATTGGTCGTGCTCTCCTTTTCTTCTTTCGTCACGAAGATACAGGACATATTCATGTAACTCAAGTGACGAAGGCCGTATATGACCATGATACGGTCGGTGCCGTCGCGAGCCTCAAAGACTAGGATGCGACGGTCGCCGGTCTTCTGTTCCTGCCACCAATCGGGCAAGCGACCGAGCGCTTCGATGGCCTGGTTTGCGGAGACGGCCACTCGGCAACATGTCAGTCCGCTCTTCTTGGGCTTAGGGCAGTCCGGACCGGCGATCTTCGGTCTCAAGCGAGAGTGGATGCCGTCCGCGGCTAAAGTCATATTGTCAGCAACCCCACAGCAACGACTTATAGATTAGGTGCTTACCTATGATCACATCCGCCTTTGCCGTCGTTCCATCATCCAAAGTGACCTCACCAGCCTCGGGGTTGATATCCTTAGCGCCGTTGTTGAAGATAATCTTCGCAGGCTCGCCGCCGATACCTAGTTCCTTAGACGGAGCTGTAGCGAGACGCAGCAGTTCGGCTCTGAAGTCGACCCTCATATGGGATAAAGCGGGAGCACCATATTTCTCCTGAAAAGGAAACTCGGTGTCGTAGACCAGGTTACCGAGCTTGTCGAGTGTCCTAAAACCTTGGACAGGCACCGAACCAGTCCGCTCTGGGTCAAAGCCTATTTGCTGCATGATCTTGATGGCATTGGGAAAGTTGGCGATGCCCTGGCCTCCCGTCGCAACCGAAGGTTCGCCACGCTCATACACGGTAACATTGTGCTTTTCCCGCAGGATACGGGCAGCGGCCAGACCGGCCAGACCCGACCCGACTATTATGACGTTAAGTTGCTGGTCCTGCTTTTCGGCCATGATTTTGTGTTATAGTTTTCGGAAGACAGCAGCTAGGTTTGCTAAGGCTATCATTACCTGATAGATAGACGAGTGCGAATTTGGATAATTCTCAAGCTATGAGGGAAATTGTTGGATGTATAGAGTGATATTAGATTATAGAATTAATTTATCGTTGTTAGAGAAGAAACTAGGTTGCAGTAGAGTACTATTGTAACGCATCCATGGCCGCCTACCTTTTATATATGTGAACATACCTTCACTTGACCTACCTGACGTCTCCATGAAGACGACATTGAGTCGCCGCTGCTTGTGACTGGGCATCAAAAACACATCATCATACTATTTTTCATGAGCAAAATCCGAGCAACCTCGAATCTCCGGCCGTAGTGGCTCGGATCTCGGATTATTGAATATATGTCAATCAACGTCGTTTTGGTCATTTGTGTAGCTTATAGTAGTGGGGAATTATGGATACCTACCGAAGTAGAAGGATATTGAAGGCTACGTCAAACTGCACATTGCTTCAATGCGGGAACTAGGACATGCATTTTGGCTTCAAGCATAATACCTCGGGAAGTAATCAATTAAGTAAGACAATTGGATTCCAAGTTGTGTGAATACCTAGGTAAGGAACATATTCACATGACAGGAATAATAGTTAGGAAGTGTTGTACCTGATTCGGGACAAAGAACCAAGTTAACGATCTCTGAAACGTTTGACCATATCCATGCCTTCTAAGATCATTTGATTTTCAACAGCTTTTAAGCACAACTGTCGCGTGATCGGGTAATGGCATATTCCTCTTAGGAACATGGCGATTGGGAAATTGCATGCATATACAGCTTTCCCTTTTTAGGAATAGCAGATTTTGAATGCCGATAGATCGAAGGCAAGTTATGGAAGCTCGCAAAATTCATCTTATTCACGAGTTGATATGATGCTTGGGGTACAGACACAAATACCTCAGCATCTTACGTAGATTTCACATGTCTTTTCGACTTTACAGTTCACCGGATGCATCAAATGACCCCCTAATAGGCATTTAATATCAGTGGAGTTATTTAGTTTGCTTGAATATCTGCTACGTCCGTTGACCTAAGCTATAATTTGCGAGTTGATTCTTGTAGAATATTAGGTACTTACCAAAGAGGATATCCGATAATTCCGAAACAATCGGATATGATCGTCCGCCGTCGATGGTCACACATGAGAGAATGAACTACGTACCTAGTGCATGTCGTGGCGTCCTGCCAAATACGCCACCGTCGTCAATCCAGAGACTCGGGTCAGGTTATCATTATTTTATTACTTCCAGCCAAGATCGCGGTTCGCTCTTTGTCTGTAATGCCGGGCCTCATCGCCTACATTTATGTAACTACCCGAGGATCCCTCAACCCGGTCCAGGCACAGGAACGTACTGCACTATCTAGAACGCACTCTAACTATCCAGACCGCTGTTTGCCACGCATAACCTGTTTATTGCCGTTTTAAAGTGATTTTTTTTACTAGTCTTGTGACATCAAATCAATAAAATCAATTAACTTCGGTGATAAGACCCACTATGCGGTGACCGATTCCGAGAGTTTGCCCCCGGAAATGCCGTTTGCGAGGTGAAACAGCGTCCCTCCGCAGCCGGGTCGCGCCTGCCATTTATTAAAAGTATTGACCATTAGCTGCGGATAAATATCCGTGCATACCGGTACTTTCGCCTCCAGAGGTAATAGATCATATAAGATTAACTGGAACATAGCCAATAGGTACGCAATACCCTGACTTCAGAATGGAGCAAAGATGATTCAGAATATTTAGAGTTCATCGGCGAAGCAAGTGTGCAGTGTTGAATGTCTCCCAAGTCACATCGTCCTGCTCTTAGTGAGCTGCATCTCGTGAATACGTACACCTCAGCCAAAAGTTATTTTACAATTGTAAGGCTTAATACGCTCGCTCATTTGGTGGTTTATAGCGATTTCAGTGGGAAGTCCTACTCATATGAAGGAATTCAATTCGCTAATCTAAGAAACGTAAGTGATAAGTGCGCCAAATTAAGCTCATAAGAATTGCACGAATTACTTCCTTGGCCATTAACTTCTGTTGCGAAAGCCATACAATCACAAGAAGACTGCGCAACTTAGCTTGGCTTACAACTCAGAGGGAAACATCATGTCCCAATCTTAAAAATATAAAATTGGTAGCAGATACGGCTCTATTAGTTAACCCAATACCTCAAAAACTATCAGCAGCAAGTTCAATATGCAAGCTCTCCCTCCCCGCTACTCTCAAGCAAATATGGCGTTTACGAATTCCACTACCATCACTAACGCTCTGAAATCAACTGGACCTTACCTATTACCAGCTCTCCGAAAAGCACCTTACAGGCTAAGATGGGTTGACATCGTTCCACTAATTCTCTGCCCTCTGTATATACTTATAGTCACGATCGTGTTAGTCAATGTGTTCGTGAACAAGAGAAGAATTCGGCCGCGTTGGAAAAGGAATTTAATCTGAAAAACGCTCTTTTCGGATAATACTTTAGTCGCTACCCTCACGACTACGCGGGTTAATGGGGCAAAATGAATGCCTAGGGGCAGAACAATGTGGAAACAGGAGTTTTTGGCTGTGATGATGGGGCTGGAATGATAATCAGGGTGTTCGTTATGGGATTCCTATCACTGGTCAGTTGGCTACCACATTGATTGATACAAGCGCTGTTTATAAAGGAGTCGACCTATTGTTAATCTACTTCGTTTACCAGAAATGTTGGCATTCGTAACTTGAGTACCTAGGTACTTTAGCATACGCAGTTGCGGTCCTCGATCCCCGTTTCCACTCGGCTTCGGTCAACGCTTGTTCGGCGCTGACTATAGGTACCTAGAAAATGCTGTGGCGGCTCAGAAGTCGGGCGATATATTTACCAATCATCAGCTTTTAGAGACATGCTTCGCGAATACCATAATCGCGAGCTATTGATGGCACTACTCGTCCGACAACGCATAGGGTATCACAACACTATGTCGTGGCATCAAGAAATGGGAACAAAGTGGCGATTGCCTTCTAAACCAGAACGTTAATCATGTTTTCTGATCTGCATGTCTATCATGCTGCTTCGAGCTGTTCGAGTCTTGCGCGGAGCCAGGCCCCATACCCAGCAAATAGACCAACTTGCCTCCACGAATCACAAAAGTCCGCTATGGATTTATACCTCTCTTTGACGTATTTGTCTTTACCAGCTTCATCTCGCCCTTCCAGTTCGCAAGTTATCGCATGAGATACCTTGCTAAGGCACACCGGACATAAATAGGGAGGTTGTCGGACGTCTTCTGCCATACAGGACGAGCTCTGCATCACACAAGCGTAATATACGCAGTGAGCAAAACCTAAACAGTGCCCAAGCTCATGGACCACCGTCCTCGCAATTTTCGAAAACCATAAGCCTCGTAGATCTTCCAAAGCCGAGTTCTCAAGCCCTCTTACTGCTTCCACAGCTGCGCTCAGCGGCCCGGGAGTACTTTTTGTCTGGATGTTCATCCCTTCGTCTTGTTGGAGACCCTCTGCCGCGCAGAATCGGTCAACGTAGGATTTACAGTGAGATATCGGCCACATATGCGCAAAATCAATGTTGGCGTGATTGTCTAGGGCAGGATGGTATCTGGCGGTGGAAACCACGGCAACACGATTAGCTCCGTAAGCCCGACCACAGCAAAATACGTCTTCCTCATCCTCATACATGTCGTGATTGACAAGTAAAAGGATGGAATACGCGTCTCCAGGTAGCATCTCGATAACGGCATCAATGAGATCGTTGAGATTTAGTTGATACTTGTAAACACCATCAGGAGATGGCCTGTAGCGGATGCGAGTGCAGCCATTGCCCGCAATGAGGCCAACATAGCCAGTGCCACTGCCTGGTTTGCGTGATTTTTTCGACTCTTCCCAAGGAACGAACTGCAGACAGGTACCTGGAAAGGCTTCAACAGGTAGCCCATGATAGAAGACACGTGTGTATCTGATGACATCTTCTGGCAGAGGAGGATCTACCTGTTTGGTAGCGACTACCTTGCCACCCATGCTAACGACTGGTTGCAGCCCTGTTTTCATGAAACTTACGGCCGACGTGATCTCAGGTGCAACTGCAACATACAATGTCTTACGCCTCCTGTTCAACTTTCGATTCTTGCGCAGTCCCTCGTTGAGCCAGGATCGAAACGACTGTGGCGGGTCTTTAGGGTCTAGGGCTAGTTCATCGCCTGGTAGGATCAACGGGCCTGGAAATGCGCCAGACAGCTTGTTGGCAATACTTTCGCTCAGCTTCTCTACATCTTCAGCTTTCCGGCCCTTCACTATCAGGGGGTTCCGCCCTGATTTTGTCGTTGCGGCTAATCTCCGGTCTGGACAAGGCCAATTATATCCAGCTTCTTTGGCGTATGCTGAGGGTTCTAGTTGCAAGGCCTCATGCGAGCAAGTACTTTGAGCTCTAGACATGATTGCTGATATTATTAGACAAGAATTATCGCACGATGAGAAAGACCTATTCCACTCGGTAGGCTCTAAAAGTTGACATGGGCAAGGATGAACGCGTTGTCGGTTGTTGCCGAGGTAACTCAGGAGCAAGACGCGACTAATTTGGTTCAATTATTCAATTACACAGGGTGAATATACTTATTTAACGAGATATGTCGACCACATATTGCGATATCTATTGTTCTATACAATATATGTAGTAAAGAGCACAACAACCACCTCCCGCAAAATGGACAAGTAGAATGAGGAAACGTACCCAATCCTAAGCTGTGTGATAGATAATTTATTCGATTAAGATAATTTGCGTATTTACAGTTACTAATATACTTATCAAAAGCCTCATTTAGGGAAAGGGTGTAACTCTCTTCACCAAATTCTGCAAGATTTGAGAATTACGGTTATGCATTAGTTAGCAGGTTAGGTAATTGTCTAGCTTGTGGTTCATGTTCCATAGCATAGCTATAATGAATTCGTTTGATTATATAAGGAAGACGTCGGATATTTCATCTCCTAGTTGATTACTCAAAATCAAGTGAGTCAGCGCTTAGGCAGATTCATGACTTGCAACTTTATTCGTAATATATAGTAAACTTCTTGAGATCTACCCGCCTGTGATAGTCTGGGTTGCAAGGGAAAAGTTACACACTTGAGATATGGCATCTAATATTTCTCCTAAATTAATATCAAGGTCGTACCGTACCTAAGTAGGTAGCTTTAGAGAAACCTTAGGGAAACAGTTAATAGACTTCTTATACAGAGCTTGCCTGGACTCAACAAGAATACACTAAAACAAGATATACAGGAGTAGCAAGCTTGGAATTTAACATATCAAGCATGCCTACCGTTAAAATAACCGCCTATCTTAGGATTTAACGAGCTATTGCAACAACTTATTATATTGCTTTGTTAATAGGTATGTAAACGTATTCCATGCTTTAGATAATTTAATCTATAGGTTTAAATAGGTGGACATCCCCCTAAGGGACACCTCTATGCGGAGATTAATCAATACTTCGTTACCTTAGTCATTGGGCAGGTATCAACTTAGTCCAACTAGACCCTCATCAATGCCATTAGAACCCGATATCGAAATTAGGGGAACTTTTAAACACCCGCAAAACAAGCTTGACAACAGCTGAGTAACGACTGATGAACCATTGACTCAGCTTCCATTAAAGGTAGGTATTAAACTTGCAGTGTTTATAAGTTTTACTCATAGTGGTAGAATAGTTCGCTACCTGATTTTCAAGAACATGTGACTCCCACATCCTTAAACCCTACCATATCCCGAGCACCTTGGTAGGCTTGCGTCAGCGAGCCACTGTTAGTGCTTTGTTGATATTATTGGCACGACCTTTAGATGGAAACTGTGGGATTCTGGACCAAGACCTAGCAAACCAGTGCAAAACCCGCGTTGATAGATGCCAAAGTATTCACCTGTGCTTGGAATCCTACCTACTCCCCTCTTTTAGATCTCGTTACGCCTAATTGATAGAGGGGTGAGTAACGACACTTTATGTATAAAACCATGTTTTATTATACAAATAGGCCTATGAATCTCTTTTGCTTCTTCTAGAAGCTATAATGGTTAGTAGAAGCAAGTTGGAATGTTGTTTAGCGGTGTTTTGCATATGTGCTGTCTACATGAGCAAAATCATGGCGTGGATATGAGCGGAATCTTGCCATGTAGGTATGTAGGTAGGTACCTATCTACCAACCTTGCCCAGGAGTCATCTGGTTTAAAATCCCCTTCCTAACAGCTAGAGACTGGTTTGAGTGTGTAGGAACACTCGTCGTACGTTAGTGAGGCAAAATCTGCTAAATGAAAGGCATCGGCTTGATGCGTATGATGAGGAAGGTGAAAAGAGGGGTGGTCATGAATCATGAGCCGTTACAGACCGCCAGGAGGCTAAAATATCAACCTATAGGTTTATGCGTACGGAAAATCTTTTCTCGAGGTGTTTATGCATCCTTAACCAGGGGGAGTGTTCGAAAAGAAATTTTGACCAGCGTGTTTCCTCCAATCACCACCCGTAGATACTGAAGGATCGAATTTCGTGATACAGATGGAGCTTCAATGAAAAGTCAGATGACTAGCAATCAACTACCGTACTTACTGCGATATTCCCACACGTTGTGTAACTGGGATAGGTTCTATGACGCGGCATATATGCTGCTATCGTACGGGTACCTACGTCGATGTTGCGCTACCGTCAATCCACGGCGCTGTAACGGTGTGCCGCATTGTAACGAGGGCAAATCTGGTCGCATGTTCTCGGCCAGCCAGCGAGTAATTGCCATAGGTTAGGTAAATAGGCCAACCACGCGAAGGCTTGCCCAGCCATGCAGCGCATCTCAGGTGCGCCGGAGAATTAATTTAAAAAGCGGCTACGACGGGGGCCTCCTCATCTGGCTTCTCCAGATCAGACCGTTGCAGAAGTCCATGTAATTACTACGCCACGGGTCCAACGGCTCGAGGTGCCACTCTCGGCTCGGTCACCATAGGTCCAAGGTCTCTCTCGTCTTCCAAGCGGGTTGCTATCTTGGTGCCGAGGCCTGCTGTGTATTTTACGGGGCGCGTTACGGGCTTCTCGTAGGCTAGAATATCATTACTATGTACTTGCAAGTTGAATGGGAGCCCTATTCTATGACTAGGTACGTAACTGGAGGTAACATGCGTAATTAAGATGTCGGATAGAAGAAAAGCCTCAACCGGGGAAGGTGACAGAAACACTCGGTGGAATTCGGTTCCCAGGTTTAGGCCAAAGTTCCTAGTCAAGCGCTAGAAACTACATACCTACCTACGTATCATTGTGGTGGTAGGGCAAAAGGACAGAATCTGCTCTTGTATGGCTTCCGGGAGATTAGGTTCCAGAAGAGATCGATAGTATCAGTACCTGGAGAGAGTAAGCAGTGCGGTGAGGAACGGGAGAGCAGCAAGCTCGCAATTGCAACAGCGGCAAAATTGCTTGGCGGCTACTATGGATTCGTAAAGGTAATTCGACTTTCATTTTGTTGGGAAGTTAGGTAGTTAGGAAGTAGGATAGTGAGTGGCACACGTAGCAATTCGCGGCTTAAAAACGGAGACCAGTTCGATATACTTGAACGAAGAAGGCTAAGTTGATCTGTCTATGGCCAAGACCATGACTAGATCTTCGACATTGGACCCGAAGGTAATTCTTAGCAACGGCAAGGTCCAATTCGCCGCAAATAAGCACCTATCCTAGATATCGTCTGACTTAGGAATAATCATGCCATCTGATAACTATATGGACTATTATAGAAGAGTGATTTGAATAATCTGAATAGTATTCGAGTCCTTTGTCGTTTTCACGGCTAAGGGAGAGTCATTTACTAGAAAGGCTACAGGGACTCAGTACCTTGAGCAAATAATTGTGTAGTGCTCTTGAACACTGAGCACGCGATGTAACGACGGCTCGCGGAAGTTGTACCCTTGTCGTCGATGGGATCAACTCAATGGGGTCCCTGACTCCCCTGTCTTGCAACCCTCTTAGTGCAGTACCGTGCACCCTTGACATGCTAGGGTATAACTGAGGCGTGTTATTGCTAGGTATATATTCAATAGGTTTAAAGTGAATGGTAGTTAGTGTCGGAGATAAGGATGGAAAGAGGTAAAGCGTCCTTAACTAATTTGACTCTCTTCAATAGAGCCTTCTCGATACCTTGACAGCTCTCCAAGCTAATAGTAGTAGAGAGAATACAAATTAGATATGTCTGATTAGAGGAGGATTGTAGAACCTGTAGCGGGGATGACAAGAGGAATGGAATGTTCATTATTAATCCTCCGAATTTGGGGTATCCTACCTGCATCTTGACAGCTCCCAAGCCCTTTCAAGCTCGTGAGGGGAAAAACGTGGTATCCGGGTGAGGAGTCCGTGTAAATGGACAAGGGGGGGCGGGTGAACTGCATTCTAGTCGACAACTTAACCACCCAAGCTATGTACATACGTCGTTGATGTCACCTGCCGATCAACTCGTGCCGTCTGAATCTCTCTATGAGTTTTCTAGCTAAAGTCAAAGATTAACTACTTTGTATCTATTACTAGTAACTCACAGAGCTATATCATGATTGGCACGGCTCAGAGGTGCTCATCTCGCTTCTTGTACAGTACGTAGAAATGCAAACTAGTTGGAAAGGTAGTAATCCTACCTTAGGTAGGCAGGTTGGTACTTTTAAACGAGAATAGAGGGACAGGCCGGAGATGTATGTATCTTGTCCACTTGTGACATGGGCGCCGTATGTCGAGATGTTTACCCTAACGGACAGTCGGTAGGTCCCTAGGTATTCTAGGTTCCGGAAGCAAAGAGGCAAAACAAATGCATGAACGTATGAGATGTAGATGATGTACGTAATTGTAGCCAAGTAGTTCTTTCTCGATGCTGGCTTGGTACCGAAACATGGTTATAACAGTCCTTAGATGTACTACAGATCTTTCAAGCATCCATCCTGTCGTTGCAGTTTCTGCCAACTAAGTTGACAGCGAGATGGACCATGTTTGGTCGGAAGATTTGAGAACTCGCTACCCGAAAGCTGTCTAGAGAGGTTAAACTTTGCTGTACTCCGCATGCAATCAATTTATCCCCATAGTCCAGATCAAGGAAAAGCCACCATTTGAGATTACCGTTTTGGGACTGATGGTGTGCTTGTTCTGCAGCTCCCCCTCCCCTACGCGTCTTTCAAGCTGCAACCCTAGTCATCCGCGCCGACTGCGGGCAGACTTGCATATGTACGTTGCTCTGAAAATAGCTCCCGTTGGTGCTGAAGCGAGATGTCATTTTCCTAGAGCGCTTACCTGGTCCAATCTTGATGCCAAGTCTATAGCAATATACGACCTGTTTAAAGTCGCGCGCGACTCTGAGGAGCCAAGATGGCCAAGCAGGGCTCGGTGTGATAGGACATGGAAGAAGATTGCATATATCGCGTGCTCGCTAGATACTGTGGTGGTTGCTGGCAGCGTCATCTGCTCATATCTCTAACGTTCGTTTTCCTATCATGTTCCTTTCGAACGTGTGCTACGCCCCCGACTCCCCGGCTAGCTTCGAAGATGGCGATACCGGATTCGGCCAATGTGAATATCGGAGAATATTTTCGGAGGCTAGGGCCGAGCAAAGATCCTCGTAAGTTCCTCGGATCTGTTAAACGTGTCGATACTCTGCGTAGTACCTATCATACCTACATACATACCTACTTACAAACCTGGTGTCCGCTATCTAGGGACCGAGGTAATGTACATACCGGAGGATGGCTGGGGTGCTAGGTAGCGAACATGGATCATGGCTCCGCGTGGATGAACAGATGACAGGGTATAACAAGCAGGGGTTAGCTCTGAAGAACTCCACGTTTCAACGGTTATCTGTAACTTCGAGAAGCGAGTCGTTCGTCGTTCAATAGTGGCTGCGGATCCAAATGCAACACCTTGAGCATATCATAATTGATGATAGCTACTTCTCCAATCTGTACAATGTACTAATGTGGAGATTGTAATACATACTGTATCTCGTTTCTCTGAGAATCATTAATTATACGAGAATGTCTGGTTGAGATGAGGGAATGCCCGAAGTCTCGAGGAAGTCTGATTGGCAAGGCGAGTTAACTTACCGCCATAATATTGATTTGGCTCGGCTTCGACTCAAATTGGAGCGGTTATGAATGTGAAAAGGGCAAATTAACCATCTATCCAGTAACTACCTAATGTAAACAAGCTTTTCCGTGCCATTATCTAGGTACCTGACACTGAGCCTCTGCACAATGCTGCTAGCAAGAACTTCAAAGGGGTTTCTAATTGTATTATATCATTGTAAGCTATATATTTGCTTGTCATATAATTATCTCCTTCATATATAGGCCTGATTAATATTTCAAACATCAAAGCGTACGTACTTGAAATTTGTTTCACTGGGGAAATCCGCCATTTTCAAGTCTGCGAATATGAAACCCACGGTACTAGACATCATAAATACAAGCGTTGTCACAAGAGTCGGACGATCCCCAGTGCCTTGGGTAAAAGCATTCCGGGGAGCTGCGAGTTAGAGAATAATAGAATCTACCGAGTAATAATAAGATGTGTCGGGTACAAATCCCGGGCATGGGTTTAATGGAGTCTGTGTGGCTTAGACTCGTTATCAATTCAGGGTTTACATATACATAACTAGGTAAGTAAAATATTGAATGCTCTATTAGATCAGAGGTCGGAGAAATGACTCCCATGATAAAAAGTAATTGTTCATAGCTAAGAAGTCGTCATCAGTAATTGCGGTGTGGCTTAAACAAACAGAGACGAATTAGTGTAGAGGTAGTAGACGTACATTGGATTCTTCTGGGGTGCCAGAGCAAGGATCAACTGTGTCATGACGACCAAATAGACTCTACATAGTAGATGAGAATGATTAGAATGGTTAGGTAATTACGGGCAACCTGGTAACATTCCATGTCAGCCAGAAAAGGAATGGGCACAGTAGATAATCCCGACAGTCACTTGAGTTATGTGACCGCTCGACTTGACACCTGGTAGGTTTCTATGACCGCTATGAATAAATATGTATGACGGCTCCAACGGCATATATTTTTACAGAACCAAACCCAAAAAACAGTCTCTACCTTCCAATGAGGTCTGCGAGAGGCTATGGACAGTAAGCAGCTAGATGAATTGCATTTGACGGGGGCTGGTCTGTAGAATCCTTAGTTATAATGGTGTATTTGTCAAGAAACAACACATAATAGTTCAAACACATCATCATGCTTACAACCAGCCACACGTTCATGTACATACAGGGCTGCGGAATATATGACAGCAAAACTGCCAATCCATAGTTCTGCAAATAATAATTCGCCGCTGGGGCAAGCTGGCGGAGAGGCTGTAGCACTCAATGCACTGTACTCGGCCACCTAAAAGCCCTAATTGTCCCTGTATCTACTCACTGTAGTGGACGCATTCCGAATAATTTGCAAGTCTGGTTCCGTCCCTTGCGGGGATTGGCCAGCTTAGCTACCTTGTTCTGAGGATATCTCGACCCCATGGGCTATAATATGATATATAACAGCGCGGACATAGCACACCCTGTCTCATAGTACTTCTATTATTGGTTTATAGATCTGATGAGAGATAACTGATCTGTATTGGGCTACCTACCTACATGGTACACAAGGCTGCAGCTAGAGCACATGCCGTTATGCCTTGATTTATCGTATGCAAACGCGTCCCCAAGAACTGCAATGCACTTGTATCACACCTATATCCTGAGTTGGCAAGCGGAGACGTCTTAGCCGTGACTCTCCGGCAAGCCCGAAGACGAGTACCTACCTATATCACGGGATATCGTAAGAGGAAAGATATAGTACAACTACCTACATACTCTTACTAGAAACAGTTACTCGGAGTTAGAATCGCGATCGATGAAGCACGATTCACGTATTTAGTGCCAAGCTCGTAGTAAGTCGAGTCACATTGCAGAATTAAGCATAGCATTGCAGTGATGCCTTCATTTCTATTTTACTCTAGCAATTAAGTCGGATTCTTGAAGAGTGCTCGTGGTAGCTTTTGTCATCGTAATACCAAGAGCCTCCAGGGGAGAATCCATTAACCCCTTGACGTGCGTAAAGTAGTAGTAAACAAAGGGGACCTCGAATGGTTGCGCAAAGGGGGAATATGGGGAAAACCAATGACGCAGAATAGCCTCCATTTGGGTATCTTTCAGAGAAGTGCTTTTGAAAACCCGTGTTGCCGTACAAACTCAGAAGGATGAACCGGAGGAAATACGACTGTCCCTCACTATGCATCAATTTCCCTTTCAAAAACAATAAAACAGAAAACAGGTAAACCAATTCCGACGCATGCACATACGCACATACACACACCAACGCCACCTGCCTTCCTGTGAACTGGAATAAGTTCCATTTCGATGCAATGTTCCGTGGGATGCGTATGACAAATATTTCCGAAAACGAACGAGAAAACGACTAGACGGTTGTGTAAATAAAGTAAGTGTACTGTCATAATGTGCCAACATCGAAATCTTAAGTATTATTCTAAACCGTCAAGTGTTCGTCCAAGCCGAAAAGGGGTATGAAAAGTTTTGCTGGTACGCCAGCAATTAATAAACGTTTAAGCTCGCCAATAGTAATCTTTCCTCGTGGGAGGTGTCACATTAGCCATCTCTAGTGGTCTTGCTGTGTTTTATTGACCATATGGCCAAGATGGTGATCGAAAGAGTCCGCGCCGCCAATTGGGTAAGAACCGTTCAAACTCTCAGACGGCATAGTCGCTGTCAAAGGTGTTCCTAAGCCGTGCTCGCGTAAGCTGCCATGGTCGTAGGCATTCGTCATACTTTGATATGCTCCTTGGTTAGAATAGGGTGAATGGTGGGTCTGATGTGTATTTGAGGTGGGAGGTGCTGTGGTGTATAGATTAGGACCTACTGGCGACGCAGTTCCTGAGGGCGGTGCGCCGTTCAGCGGTCCATGTGATCGAGGCGACACATTATGTATTGGCGAAGCCATCGCGCTTTGGGGGTGCGTTGGGATCGGCGCGAGATTTAGCGGCGGATTGTTTCCGGTATTAGAGCCTCCTGTGAAGATAAAGGGGTGAGAAGAGTTTGGTGCAGTTGGATTTCCGAATTGGATCGGTGAGTGATTTATCGGAGACTGTCGCTCGAAAGCGTGAGGGCCTTGTAGCGAAGAGAAGTGGGTTTCGATACGGCCGGTTGGAGGAGGCATCGATACTGTCGTCGCTGAGCTCGGTGGTCCCGTAGTCACCGACCCTAAGGAAAGCTGTTGGGACGTGTATCCTGGGCCCGCGGGAGCACCATATGGCCCCCAGCGTAACTCCGGACCCCCTTCCTGCGTAGGTGTCCCAGGGTTTATCGTAGAATATTCTGTTCGGTGTCTCTTCGCTACGGGTTCGTCTCCATAATCGTGATAGGAGCGCTCGTCAATAGGCTGCATGCCACCGTTCTGTGCGGCTCCACCTTGCCTGTGTCCTGCCTGCTTGTCTATGTCTGCCATACGCAGATTCTTTTTCTTGTTCGCAATTTGCCGCGAATCCTTGCGTAGTCGAAGGCGAACTCCCTGATCGCTAAATGAACGAGTCAAAAACGTAGATTCTGCCATACCAGGGAATGCCCTCCCAGCATGGACTTTAAAGGGGTCGCTCGTCACCGAACAAATCGTGACCCAAAATTCGCCTTCATCGAGATTATCCATCGTCATCTGTAACAGGTCAAACCGAATGACATATTCCCCTTCACTCTTAATCGTAAGATCACCAAACACAAAGAACGCCCCCTCTTTATTAGTAGGATCCTTTAGTCGGTGTAATGATGAAACTGTTGTACCCGCCATCATGTTTGCTGGCGGAGTAGACTGCCCATTCGGACCCGGAGGGTGCGCATACTCTAGATATGCAACGGCTATAAGATAGGGGCCTGGAGAATGTTTAGTGTTCGGGTCAGGCGTCCTCGCAGGCAGGCCAATACTCACTTTGCCGGTATACACCATCGGGATCTTCGTCGCTTGGTACGTGTAGTTGGAGGATCGGGGGAGGGTCGACGGGCTTACGGTCTTCTCAGGTAAGTATTATGTCAAATATAACGAGGGAAAATCTCTTTACCTTTGTCTTTACCATTGGCAGCTTTGGCCATGGTAGGTTGTTGTAATACTTCTAAGCGATAGGATTCGGGACTATACCTAAAGACTTAGCAAACAGGTTCTTCGGAAAGCTATAAAAGCGGATTATTCACTAACCGTTGAGGTTGAGGGCCACTCTGCTGTGGATGTGGCTGATGGTGAACCTGAGGAGGCCCAGATAAGGGTGGCATTGCTGGGCTCATTGCTGGCATATATCCAGTTGGAGGTCCATGGCTGACCCACTGGGTGCTGTGATGAGTATGGAACGCCATCTCTTATGACAAAAATTAGACGCGCCAGATAGACTTAGGGATCGTAGAGATCAGCAATGGGGACACTTACCGAAGCAGTCATGCGGTACTTTATGCGTAACTCGCAAAACACTTTATATGGTGGGTTTTTTCGTTCCGAGTCGCAAAATTGGGACTAAACCTGTAATCTGGTTAGAAATGTAGGCGACTCTAATGTAGTGGTAGACAAGTGGACTTCTAATGTAACATCTCTGGGATAATGGAAAAGGAATAACTTTTGTCAGAATTCTCCAAGAGTTGGGTGTATCGAGGGAAAAAGTGGTAGCCAGATGGTGGCAAACAGGGAAAATAGTAAAAAATGGAGGGTACTGACAGTTGCGTGTCCCGAATCGTCCCTTTCGCTAGTTCACAACCCACGTCTCCGCCCAACGGAGTAAACAGAATGCGACTTCTCCTTCGATATAACCTCAAGATTCAAGATTCTCGAGATAATCGTGATATATCCGATCCGGAGGTGAGAAGCTACCAAATCCGTGTCCAAGATAACCCACCAAACTAGCTTTCATGCAAAGCGTAATCAGCGAACAGGTCGAGGTATTCGGGTTTTCAAACAGAACTGGTGAGAGCAAGTACAGAAGCACTTTTACAAAGCAATTCGTGTAAAAGGGCCGTATAGTCTCCTTCCTTTGCATGTGTATTAACTTCCTTCCAAGCCTTGAGCCTAGCACCTCTTGTTGCTCGAAACCCCTGACACCGACTTTTTGGTAGGATCTACGTCTCTTCCCAGTTGAGGCAAATAGCTCTCACACAATAGCAACTCTACTGTGGAAGCTCGATTAGTGAAATAAATCTTTTTTCCCGTTTTACAATCCTTGCCACAAGCCAAACTGAAGCCAAAAAGGTCGCCACGACCATCCAAGATACTACTCTTCCACATCAACTTCGCAAAGCGCGACAGTGGCGTATCGTCCGTCAACCGTGGACAACCGTGACAAGGCGCATAACTTGGTAGATGAGCCGCAAATTGAAAAATCCGTGGACGTAGTCTCAACCGCAACGCTCTATTACGAGTACCGTCAAGGATGAGGGACCGTAGCTGCTACTGTGAGGGTTAGAACTTAGCGCAAGGCTTTGATTCGTCTCGTCCGCGTAGTCAAGTGATACGGTGAGTATAGCCCGGCAAGGTTGGAACCGCTAGGACAACTGCCCAGTACTAAGAGTCAAAGGAACAGCCAGTGCCTGTTGCAAGATCAAATGGGAGGGCGTTAGGAATCGGAAGGTTCTCTAATTTGCGATGGTCTTCTCAACTTGAAGACGGCGCCGGCAACCTGATGGCTTTTTTTATATATCTGATCAGGGTATGAATGCCCAAGGTCTCGCGATCTCGGATTCATACGACGATGAATTTCCGGCACCCTTCTCTTAAATTTGTCCAAACCCAAGGGCCAGGGAGTGCGCTCCAAAAACCACAACTTGTCAGGATAATATGTGCCTAATTCAAGGTGGTCGGTCCACGTTTCCCTGTCCTAAAGAATGGGGATGATGCCTGTTGCCTGGGTTCGCGGGCCTAGAGATCAAGGGCCTAGAGTCCTGCTGTCGTTCGGGCCGCCTTTGGAAAGAATCAGGAATCTGCCGTAGCCCAAGGCCGTCGCTGTCGGTGGGATATTCGTCTGGTATTATTTGGATGAATTGAGTTTAGTCGTATGTATGATGGTATAATCCTGAAGCTCTACAGATCAAGAGAGGAGGTCCAAAGAAGACGAAGTAGAAAAGACGAGAAATCTAGCAAGGTGGGCGAGAGCTTCGTGGGGGTATTTCCGCTTTCCGGGATCTTCCAGCAATATCGATAGGCCGGTCGTGCGGAGGGAGAGAAGGCTGTCTTTACCGTAATCACAGGTTTTTGTAGAAGTTTTCCGTCAAGGCCAGTAGAAGTTCGATAGTGAAGACAACACGACGTCCTCGTCGTGATTGTTCAAGAAGGTTATTCTGGAACTAGTCGTGTATTTGGGTGGATGGATTTACCATGTGGAGAAGAATAAACTACGGTATACCATATTACCAACGGGAAGGCATAAGCTAGGCAATATGTACCGGTCCAAGTACAAATGGCACAGTAGATATTCGAGGCAGGTCCAGAGACAAACGATAGTGGTGTGATCTGGCCAATAACTGCAGAAAGCTCCAAAGAAAAAAATATGCCAACATTAAGCACTGTGATGTACGGGGAATGACGATGGTGGGCCAAATGTCTGTAGGGATCAACCGGTAGGTACTCGACCCTCGAGGGTAGTGTCTAAGAGGGTACCCTTGATGGGTGTATACGAAACTCGCCCATTTTTGTACCTTGAGTTCATGATTGGCATGGCCAGCAACCTAGCTCCGCCTTGGCTATTGGTACACCAGACCAGAAGAGAGCTATCTCTGCTGACGAAACCATGCTGTATTGTATGAAAGTAGACATACATACTTCCCCCGGCAAGGGTCGAGCTGCAGGATGAGTACTTCGCATCGAGGTACAACAACGAGCCTGCATGGGGCGTTGTCAACCGCTGTCAATGATCAGAGTAGAGAGCGACAGGGGGGGTCGCCGCTTCAAGCTTTTCTATCCGCACAAAGACTTATGTATTGTACATGGGCAGCCTAGCTCATCTGTCCGTGCTTTGCATCCGAACGAGCGAGGGACTTGATGCTGGCACTCCCGCACCGCACCAGACTATCGAACGCGGAACCCCAACGCGACTTCGCGCTTCCCTATCCCCACGTATGATATATATGTAGTTTAATATGATATACACTACTATTTCTCAGAGCAAGGTTCTCCTTGGAGGACGGGCAAAGGAGAGGTCTGATGAGACTGTGGATATAGAAATATTGTTCGAGCTCACTAGAGCCTAGGAGATTTCGAGCCGGCAGGAATAAAATAACACAGTGTGTGTGGTGTGGCTAGGCTGCCAGGTAGGTAGTCGGCCGGGACGAACCACGAACCCCGGTCTCTCTCTTGAATGGCGATTCCTCCCAGTACATACAATAGAGAGAAGACTGCCGCACACGCGCATACGGTAGCAGGTGATGAGACTAGTAGGCAACTCGGCGAACAAAAGGTACATACGAAAGACTCCTTCTAGAGCCGGACAGTCACAGTAAGTGCAGATAGGTATGCGCGAAAGAGCTACGCCCCCTCGCATGCGAAGTGGAGGGACGTGGACGGTGAAGGCGAATGCTCCACTATCTATCAAAAATGTGTAATCCCCGGGCTATGCCAAGTATGGTACATCAATTGCATCGTCCCTCTTTTAAGTAGCCTTCGAGGAGGGCCGATGCCACCTAGTAATTAACGCCGTACAAGTATAGGTACGGCTCCTAAGACCCCATATACTGAAAAGATCTACCATGCCAAAGTCTTCCGGGACCAGCAAACTGACTGTGGCCTGCCGGTAGAAGAACTCGTGTTAAATTAGCCCAACATTTTATTTAATTCTTTTCAATAATCCTGGATGTCGTTACCGAAGGTGACATTACTCGCACGGTTGGTTCATTAGCATAGCATCAGGTGTGGGCAATATTCGGCGTTGTGTGAAAGAGGAATTATTTTATGTACTCTGCCGTCGCATTCGTGCGTGGTTGTAGAAGATCTGAATTATTCGCCGAATCAGCTCAGCACCTGGTCAGCATGAAGAACTCTCCCGCATTCAAAAACCAACGAAAGAACGCAGAGGTCATCTAACGGGCCTGCCGCTAAACCAGGCAAGGACATGCCAGGCCAGGTCAGGCTGCCTATCTGTCTTCTTATTTCGAGATCGGACGGAATCCCCAGCCGGGACTGGGCCGGCCGTGTTTCAGAAGCTTCCACAGCCCATGCTAAAGAATGCGCATCGAAAGAAGCCATCAAACGCTAAAATGGGTAGGGCGATCCGGTCTTCACAGCCTCAAGGTCGACCGCGGCATATCTCCCCTACCTTAATTCTGACATCCCATCCCGCTGCTGTAGCACGTCAAAACCCTCAAGTTGGTTGAGGTAGATGTCGTGCCGCATGCCCCCAAAGAGATTCGACATGGTTCAGGGTTCAATTCTGTACACTAATAATAAAGGGGTAGCGTTCATGTGGCGAAGTAGTTCGCGTTCCTGAATCCTTACTACCTATGTAAGGCCTGGCAGCCTGGGTAGCTGTTATGACAGGTTCAAGGAGTCGCCGTAAGTGAACGGTATCCGAACACCATCGCCATTATTTCTCATTGCAGAAAAGAGTAACAATGCCTGATGTGGATGAATATAGAAGAACTACCTAATATAGATCGATGCATTCTGACCGATTATCTTACGGAAGCTAAAAGCTTTTTAATTTTGTAAACTCTTAAGGCATTGGACAGCTATCTGTTGATATGTTAGGATATCCTTGTCCGATCTATTTTGTCGCGTTTTCCTATTAAAATACGAATAAAAATAAATAAATTCCGAATGCGAGATCCTGCACCACAACGACTTGGCCATCACAGCATCTCGAAGAATGTCACCTACAAAATTATTACGTAGACAAATAATCCTGTTGATGAAAGAGGTTTAGATATATGTATTGGTACATCGTAGAGCACGCCACGTTTAATGGAACTGACCCACGTGAGAATAGGTAGCAAGGGCTTTAGTGCTTCAGTGTTGGCGATGCTAAAGAGGAATTCCCACATACCATTTTAGGACATGGCCAGATACCAATTGATTAAGAAGCAATATAGACACCTGAATCAGGAAAAGACTGCGAGCAAGACTGGTCTCAAACGAGCCAGGCGACAGAGCTGATGGGGCAAAGCAAGCAGTCACCTAGATCTTGGTCGGCGATTTTTAGCCCTGTATGTAGGGTGTACCACAGACCTTTCAGCTCCGAAGTAGTCGTGGGGATCGGACGAACGACGAGAAGATACATACCTGCATCCTGCTCCTCTCCACGTCTTCCTCTTTCTTCTTTCCCTCCTTCTAGAATTTGAGATAGACTCCTGCAACAACCCGTACGTCAGAGATTTGGTGCGTG